GATCGACTGTGCCATTGTTGCACCTTGGCGTGAGGCTGCCTGCCTTAGTAAGGGCCCATCCAACCAGTCACCTCCGACGGGACCATTCCGGCCCCAGCCCAGCCCCCCAGCCCCAGGGAAAGGGAGGGTTTGAAAGAAGAGGCCGGACGCTCGCTGTCGTACCTCAGGTACGTATGCGGTAATCGGCTGCGCGGTGTGGCCCGCCACTATCGGCTGATCGTCTCGGGAAAATAATAAGCAAAGAGAGGGATTGCGGACAAATCATCTTGGAGTTTGTGTTTTGTGACTTATGTACGAGGTACGAGTCTGAAAGTTTGAGCGCTTTTGTGTAGCGAGATATGTACATACATCATTTACGGACAGGTACTTAGTGGGAACTAAGGAGTAGGCCCAGCGTTCAACCACGAGCTTGTGAAACGTTAATTGAACAGAAAGAAGAAGAAGGGAAAAAAAAAAAAAAGAAAGAAAGAAAGAATATGACATGCGGTGTACCAAATCCCACTGTTACTGGATAGATAGAAATTAATATTGTGGTACGCGCGCGCGATTCATCCGACGGACTGATCTCGGATCCAGACTGGAACACTTCCTAATGCACTGATGATCAACAATTAGGGTAGCTTGGTCGGTCGGGTTCCCCCCCCCTCCCCAAGTCTACTGTCCACTCCTCGTCTCCATAACCCTTTCGGGGCTCGCGTGGATAATTATCATGGATCTCCCGGCCGAGGGAGAGCGGAGGCATCTCGTCTCGTCTCGTGCACACACTGACTGAGCTTCCAGCTGCTCCAGCTCCAGCTCCAGCTAAGGTGTCCCGAGTCGAGGTCCATCTACAACCATACATCTATGATCTAGATGTTCGGTGCCATAGCACTGCGTAACACACTACCTGTAGCCGTAGCCCCCTCCCCCTTGGATTAAATTATGGAGTGGAAGCTTCTTTAGTGTGGCTCTTTTCTTGTCCATCAGCTGTCGGACTCGCTGACCCATGCCATGATCTGACGGTCGATCCTAATGGAGGGATTAATTGGCAGGGAATCCCACGCCTAGTGCGCCGTGTCTTTCGGCAGTTGTTTTCGGTGCTTACTACGGAGTAATATCCCGCGGCTGTGGTGGTCGTGGTGGTGGTAGTATCTGTCACTGCCATCTGGAATGGCGGGTTCATCTGCCGTACCCTATGCATGACCTACTAGGTGTACCTTTGGTTGGTACCTAGGTTGGTAAGGTAAGTAGGCAAGTAAGGTAGGTTCTAAGTTAAGTTTGCGACCCGAACAAAGAAGCAATACCATCACGACCGACCGACCTACCTACTACCTACCTACCACCGACTCGGCCTGTCCCCCTGTATCCTGTTTTTCTTTTTTTTTTTTTTTTTTTTTTTTTTTTTTTGTAGCCTACAAAGTCAATTGTCGCTTTGTCCTGTCCAGGCCCGGCCCTGGCTTTAGGCACCCGACGATGAGGGACATACAGACACCAAAAAAAGACTCATTCGACGTCATTGACCAGCCACACATTCGACTGGATTGTAATAATGCATCCCACTAACCTGCAGCAGTGGCCGCAGTGTGGGTGATCAATCATGAGGAGAGTTTGAATTTTCTTTTTCTTTTTGTTTTTGGATTTCCTTTTTGCTGGGCCAGTCAGTAGTTACCTAGGTATGTGAGTCAAGGCTGGTTATGCATGCACTGCGAGTAGTAGGGTGCATCGGCGATGCAGGCAGGTCTCTTCGGGATTCTTGTTGGATGAGGGGTTCTCGGTTGCTGCATACACTGCTAAGTACTTACTTACCGCCCAAGGGACGGACATCTATCGACTAGATACCTGCCCTGTCTGGCGGTTTGGATAGATGCCGTGGCTACCCTGGTCTCGGCCTAGAATAGCAGCCGCCGCCCACACGATCGATCGAAGCCGGCCATTAGATAGATACTAGTACTGCTACTGTTAGACTTAGATGGATAGTTAGCAGTAGGCTCTGGCTCTCCCATGCCGACGGAACATTCAATATAGAGATGCGAGAGCTACTCTAGACGCCCCTAACGGAGTTAGGTTAGTCACCCGGGGATTAGCGTGGGGACTTGGCCTTTTCGCATTCTCCGGCCTCTCGTTGGCCGTCCGCGCCACGATAATCTCCGGCTCCCTCATCGCACTAAATCCCTTGGCCCCCCCGAGGAAAAGGAAGGGAAGGGCAAGGATGGGACAGCATCGTCCAGAGATTCCCTTCCTGGTGATGGCGGCTAGGCAGACTCAGGTTAGCCCGATGCTGAACAGGAGCTGCCATCCGCGCATCGTGCCGCGACTCCGTCAGCCGGCCCCAAGGGCCTGGTAGTCGGACTGTCGGTCGTCGAGAGATGATGGCCCATCACGGAGACATTTCCCATCACAGAACAGGCGAGTCATGCCTCATGATGGCCCCCCCCCCCCCTCCCCCCATCCCTCCCTTGTTCCTCCCCGGTCCCCGTCCGACCCCCCGTTCTCTCAGACTCTCCCCCCTGGACTAGAGACAGAGAGAGGGCGGAGGGAAGTTACCCCTCTGAGGTTGGCTGGGACAGACACCACAACACCACAGCACCACTGACAGAAAAGACAGACAGGGGGATCGACTTTACCCTCACATCCTCCCTCTCTGGTGCGCAATGAGACCGGTTCTGTCGATTTCCAGAACGGGAGGTTTAATCGACCGCTAGAATCCGGAAGAACGGGAATGGAACCTGAGCCCAACCAGGGTTGAGATCTGGGAGTGGGAGTGGGAGTGGGAGATGGGAGATTATTGGGCCCCCTCCCTTCCCCAAACCGGTGATCTGAGCATGTCTGGCATTTTGGGCCGGGGTACGTATACAACTCTACCACCACAGCGTGAGTGTGTCAGTGTGATTGAGTGATGTTAGGTAGAACGGACAAGTGCCGTGGGTGAACCATAGAACCAGGTCTGTACCTTAGGCAGCCACAGCCCCCCTCCTCCACTCGCCCTCCCCCGTCCCCTCCCCTCGAACGAGTCGAAACCCAAGGATCTACGGCGAGGAGGCCGCTGGTTGGAAGCTGGAACATGAGATCAGGTTCTCAGCGCTGCGTGATCGTGCGGCAACGATCAGCCGTTTATGGGGCATGGGATCGTTGTGACAGGTAAAACCAGGACGGAGCCTGAGGTGGTCCACTGACCGGCCGTCCGCCAGAAGATCGGCTGCGGGCTGTTGTATCTCGTAGGCCGATACCCATAGCCTGCTAAGGTGTGAGTATCTGGTACTCAGCCCATACGAAAAGTAAGCCGGAGTCCATACCCCAGAGAGCCTAGAGGTATTTAATAATGATCAGAATCGACTACTGCACACTGCACACTGCACACTGCACCATGCACCGTCGGCTCGTCCCCCATGATTAATGATGATCTATGATTGACTCCTGCCGGGCGCATGATGGAGAAAGGAAAGGTGTCCGTGGATCTGCACTAGCGCCAGACTTACTGTAGCCGAGCCCCGAAAGTACCGTTGGTTCTCCATCGGCCGATCTGTGTGCCTTCGTACGACGCAGTTACGTACGACGGGACTGGGCGCTCAGGAGGTTTTGCATTTTCTTTTTTCCTTCTTTATTTTTTCGCCTTTTTTTTTTTTTTTTTTTTTTTTTTTTCGAAGCAGTTTTATTTTTATTTTGGATTTTCCGTTTAGGCTTGGACTGGATCGGACGGTTGAAGATGACGCTGATGACGATGCAAAGTGGAGGATTTTCCTTTCCTACTTGGTACAGTAAGTAGTAGTAGGTAAGTATAGCTTCTTTGTCTATGATATCTCGGCATGAAGATGATCTACCCTCTCCTCCTTCTTGATGTTCTCGGGGCTGTGCATCTGTGTCCTCCTCCTCCTCCTCCTCATCATCCATGGTGCATCTCTTTTCCTCCCCCAGCTGCCACCATCTCACCAGTTCCAAGGTACGTCAGTTGAAGCAGTCCAGATGGGAAGGGCGGAGGGGGGGGGGGGGCAACCGGCGGAGAGGCGCACGTTTTTTTAGCTCTCGTTGAGTCTACCGAAAGGGTGACTAGTTAGCCGAGAGGGAGGGGTGCTGCAAACCCAGAAAATCATACATCATAATTAATACCCGCCCGAGCAAGACATCGCGTGTGAGCCACTGGCCGTACGCGGTACCGGGCCACTGGTCATTAATTAAGCTTTGGGACGGAGGTATCAGCCCTTGTCGAAGCGAATCGAGAAATGTGGCCACTGCGGGCTCGGGAAAATTCAGTGCCATCTGGCCCAAAAGGATCAAATCGAGTTGAAAATAATAATAACGAAAAAAGAAAAAGACAAATGAAATTATTTGCTGTTCGCAAGGATGGCTCATTCCGGAAGCCTCCCAGAACGGAGCATATCCGTCCCTGGGAGTGGGTGTCGTTCCGGCCGGCCACTGCCAGAGACCGACCCATTATTCTTCTTCTGGGCGATTTCCACGCCAGATGATAATCATCGGCGCCGAGATGACTGTACGGGGGAGGTTCACGTCGGCGTCTCCCGCCTGCCTGCTTTTGCTTTGCTTTGCTATACTCCCCTCCCTAGCTATAATTAACCTTTATTTTTTTTTTATGAATATGCATTTAATGAATTCCGAATTTCCGAATATTCTTTTTTTCTCTTCCCTCTCTGTCAACCTTGCTCCCCACCCCTCCACTGCCTATCCACCCCCCCCCCCCCTCCCCCCTCCCTCTGCCATCCACGCGCTTGGTCTATAAACCCCGTTCTTCTCTGCCTTCTCTTCCAACCCCCGCCCCACTTGTCTCTGGTACCTTGCCTGGATTTGTCTCTTGCATCGGATTGGGTCCTTTATAGATACCCCCCCGTTCCACAGCCCGCTCCCGATCCATCCCATCCTCGATACTTCTTTATATATGATCCCGGGAGCCTCCCTCTTGCCCACGCTACCTCCACAGCCTCCTTCCCAATCTTTCCCAATCCTCTCTCTCTTCCACGCCTCAACCTGAACCTCACCTGCCCTGACCTCCATCTCTCTCTCCCCTCACCATGGATCTCGCCAGCCTCATCTCCCACCCGGGACCTGCTCCCAGACCTGCTCCCATCTCGACCTTCCCGTCGCGAGCCTCCTACAGCCCCCGCGCGGGCCCCTACAAGCGCTCCATTGAACACACTTCGGACTCCTACTTCACCTCCTCCGTCCCGACCTCCTACACCCGCTCCCCGCAACCACCGCTGTCGCCGCCGGTCGAGGACCACTCCCCCAAGTGCTCTCTCCCCTCCATCTCCACTCTCCTGGAGGGCGCCGATGCCGCGTCGATGCATGCAGCGAGTATGGCCCCCCAACGCTTGACAAACCGCCCCGTCTAGACCCAAATCCACCGTGCTGACGATAGATGCCTGCAGAGCGTACTCGAATGACCCCCCCAGTGCAGCTCGACACTCGTCCGCAGCCACAACAAGCATATGACTTGAAGTCCAACGGCCCCCAAATCGCCCTGCCACCAACACCCCCATTGCGCCCCGGTTCGGGCTTCCACAGCGCCGGCCACTCCCCCGCCTCCTCGATCTCCGCCACTAGTGAAGGTCATGCGATGAAGCGTTCCGAGTCCTACTCCCAGGTGCCGGTGGCTCTGGCCAGCCCGACGGACCGTTCGTCCATCTCCAGCCAGGGTTCCGTGCAGCAGCAGCAGCAGCAGCAGCCCGTGTCTAGCGCTCCCTACGCTTCTCCCGCTCCCAGCGTCGCCTCTTACTCCTCCCCCATCGAGCCCTCTGCCTCGTCCGCCATGTACTACCAAAGACCGACCCCCACGACCACCTACCAGTCTGCTGGCAATGTGACGCCCACTGCCGCGCCGGTCCCGGCCCCGACCCACCAGCAGATGATCTCCCCCGTCACCCCGGCCTGGCAGCACCACCACTACTTCCCCCCGTCGAGCACCACCCCCTACCAGCAGAACCACGATCGATACATCTGCCGCACCTGCCACAAGGCCTTCTCCAGACCCTCCAGCCTCCGCATCCACTCTCACAGCCACACGGGCGAGAAGCCCTTCCGCTGCACCCACGCTGGCTGTGGCAAGGCTTTCAGCGTGCGCAGCAACATGAAGCGTCACGAACGCGGTTGCCACAGTGGTCGCCCGGTTGCCACCGCCATGGTATAAAACAATCATCATTATCATCATCATGCATTGATTGCATGAAAAGGGGGGCAAAGCACCCTAAAGCAAAAAAGAACACAAAAACCCAAAATAAAAAACCACCCCAATCACACTCTACCATCATCATCACCGCCGCCGCCACCATCACCACCCACCCCCCTCTTCCCTCCTCAAACCCAGCGACCAAATCTGCTTGCTCTTATTTTCTTCTTCTTTGAATGATACCCTTTTGTGCATGTTACATTATATATCTTTCTTCCCTTTTTCCCATCATCACCCTTTCACGCCTGGGAAATAAAGGGTAGGGCAGGACAGTACCCCCACCCCCCCATGGCATTTTTCTCTTCTTCTTCACTTCACTTCTTGTATATTTGAATCCAAGATTTCATTTCCTTTATTTTCTTTTTTTGTGAAAAAAAGGAGCAGGCGTCGCTGGTGCTGGTTTTCGGTCTTGGCGTGTACATACATTACACATGCATGCATCATCATCATCATGGGGGGAATGAGGGGGGTATGGTTTGGTATTGATTGGACGAGTCTGTCGGTGAGAGTTTTTTTTCTTCTCTTCTGTTTTTCACCTTTTTTTATTCTTTTTATATATATTATAGCTTTTTCTTTTCTCTTTCTTTTTCTCCTTGTGTCATTCTCATTTCCTTTGTTATGATGTGATATGACCTTGTGAACAACAAGATAGATAAAGACAACAAGATGATATCTTTATCTGGTTATACTTATCTTCCTACCTTCCTATCTTCTTACCTTATGAACTATCTTCGTAAACTATCTTTGTAGCTTTAGTAAGAGACGGATTGATATCCGTATTTGAATGATGGTGATGATGATGGTGATACTGTAAAAAGCGGGACTTGATTGGACTTGTATACTCTTTCATTCTTGGTAATGTTGCCGTGTGTATGTATGGACCTTACATACATGGTTCCATTCCTTCTGTCTGCCCCTAGGTTCCATCCATTGATTGTTATTAGGGAAACAATGAGAATGAATATAAGGTATAGATAGGGTTTGACGTTTGTTATGGCCATTCTACTACTACTACTACTACTACTACTACTACTACTACTACTTACTCGCTATCCTACCTGCTTACCTACAACGTATCTATCTATATATATCTAGCTGCTCTATATGGAATTATCTGATTAAAAAAATTGATTATTTGCCTTAGTTTTTTTTTCTCTTGTACATACGTCAATAGTCAACACACAATACAACGTGACCTGGGTGGACTTCAATTATCTACATACCTACCTACTACCTACCTACCTACGTAGATAGTAAATATTTAATAGTACTTATAGGTAGTGTTTTCTATATGCTACGTGCTACATGCTACAAATACACCCTACATCCCCTGAAGGATTTACAGTATAACATAATTTCAGTTATCGAAATCGTTATCGAAATCGAAATCTCATGCATATACAAGCCAACCCCATCCCACACCCTCACCCCTACCTATCCTATGTCCTTATGGAAGAAAAAGAGAGGGGGAAAAACATGACAAGAAGAATCAAAAAAATAATAAGGATAACACATCATCAACACCTTCACGCCACGCCACATAATTTTTCGGAATGATCAGTAAGTAAGATGAGAGAGAACCAACCGTCCAGGCCAACATAGGTATCATAAGATAAGATGAGATAAGCAAGCACACACAGTACAGTGTAGCATAGCATATAGCACAGTACAGGATAGCGTACATAGCACATGCTCAAGCCCTCGTCAAAGGGATATAGAGAAAACGAGAAAGGGAAGGAGAAAGAGAACCAGAGCCCCCCCCCCCCCCCCCCCCCCCAAGAAAAGAAGTAGGTAATCAAATCAGTGGACGCTCACGCGACCATTGCTTTGATTGGAAGCAGGACCACCCATAATGGCCATCTTCTTCGTGACAGCGCCCCGGAAGTTGACCAGATTGTAATCTTCCGGCATATGCTCTCCACTGTAGATGCAGAGGACGCGCATACCGGGCTGATAGACCAGACCGCTGAGGAGCTTGGGGGTGATGAGGAAATACTGGCCGCCACCGCCGCCAGCGCCGGCCTCGGAGGCCGGGGCGCAGGCGATCTCGACCAGACGGCCGTGGACCATGCGCTCGTTGCGGGGGTCCATACCCTGGTTGATTTCGTCGACGACGCGGAAGGGCGAGGCGGAGAGGGACTGCAGGGCCATGAGGTAAAAGATGGTGCTGACGGCGCGTTCGCCGCCGGATTGGCGGTGCGAGTCGAGGAGGGACAGGTTCTCGTGTTCGCGGAACTTGACGTGGATCTGGATGGACCACTGGTCGAAGTCGCTGCTTCCCGGTTCGCCGTCCGCGCCGGGCTCTTCTTCGACCTTGTCCAGGGTGACTTGGCCGGCGCAGCCGATGCGGGCGAACGAGTCCGAGAAGGCGTCGCTGATGCTCTTGATGATGGCGTCGAGCTTGGGTTCCCACTGGGCGCGGATTTCGTCGATCGCGTGGTTGTAGTCGGCCAGCTTGTTGCGGAAGTCGGTCAGCTTCGTGCGCAGCTTCTCGATCTGCCGGCCGCGCTCTTCGAATTCCTTGATCACGTTGCTGTTGCCGCCGTGCGTAAACTCGAGCCGAGCCTTTTCCGAGTCGATGTCCGCCTCGAGCTGCGCCACGTCGTGGTCCACGAGCGTTGACAGGCATTCGCGCAGATCGTCCTGCTCCTGGGAGACCTGGGCTATCTTTGCGATCTCTTTCTGCAGTTTCTTCACTGCCTCGCTCGCGGCTTTGAGTTCTTGCTGGGCCTCCTTCAACTCTCCGCGCTTGTCCTCCAGCATCTGCCGATGTTCGGTGTTTCGGACCTTGAGGGCTTCGAGGTCCGAGAACCCTTCAATGTGCTGGACCTTCAGCCTGGTGAGTTCTTCGTGCAGGCTTTGAAGCTTCTCGACCGCGCTCTGCTTTGCGTTAGTCATGATATCGATATCGGCTGAATCGGTCCAGGGAGACATACAGCATATTCAATGGTCGCCTCGGCCTTTTGGATGGATACCTGATCCTGCTCGCTACGGATTTCGGCGACTCTCGTCTTGATCCCGTCGAAATGTCTGTGGGCATCACCGAGTTTGACTTCTTGCTGGCCTATTTCATGATGTTAGAAGAAGGGTCACCCGCGTAATGAGGGCAACAACGGGAAGACGTACGGATTCTTTCTGGAATGGCTCTATAGTTCGTCAGAGCCGTTTGCTTGTCTGCCTTCTCCTTCTCGAGTTGTTTCTAAATACGCCCCATGTTAGCAGAAAAGCCTAGAAGTAGCTGGGGCTGACCATACCCGTTCTCCATCAATTTCATTATATTCCTCCTGCAGCTTGCCAAGCTTGGCCTTCTCGCCCTCCATAGTTTCCTGTATTTCTTGAGCTTCACCTTTGAGCGTGCTAATCCTCTGCAACAGGCCTTCCTTCTCTGATAAATTCACCGGCTGAGAAGTCCACACCCTCGCAGGCCTTATTTTTCTCGTCATAGTGCTGACAGCGTCGGGACCATATATCTTTCGCCGGCTAACGACATATTTGGTAGACCCTGAAACCCAGGAACTTATTTTCTCGTGGGTTTTCAATCGCTCGAAATTAGCGGGCGAGACATCTCTAAGGGAAATTGGCGTCTTTTCCATCCCTTTATCGCCGACAAGCATAGCCAGGACGGGTTCCGGTCCATCGAGATAATCCATGGCCCACCCTTCCAAGCCTAGGCTTCGCATTTCGTCGTCCGACACAGGGCGGCGGAAACTCTGCAGCGACTGAGAGCAAGTCCTGATACTGATATCGTGCAAATTTTGCTCTTTAGTAAGGTATTTCTGCATCGATTTGAAGTCATTCGTGGTTTGTGCGGTAAATGCTATAAAATCGTTGCGTTGTAGTAATGACTCCATGATGTTGGCGTATCTCGGGTCTTTAACCGAGCAGGTGATAACTGGAGGACCAAAAACCTCCTTCTCGAACTTGTCCTGATTCTTTTGAATCCAGTGATAAGCCCGTAGGGTGTCCTCTGATAATTGTCTAAGCTTGGCCTCCTGCCGCCCAGAAACCGAATCAAGGTCTTTCAACTGCCGTTCCGTCTGTTTGATCTGATCGGCCTTTTCTTGGATTGAATCGAAGAGTGGCCGTCGATCATTCTTGATCTGATGTGCTTTCTCCTCAATATCTCGGACCTCGCGTCGTTTCTCTCTCTGGTATACTCATTAGCAAGCACAGCGAGGGTCGTTCGGATGTAACCTACAATTCTCTCGTTATACCAATCCACATCAAGCTCCACAGACTCTTCTTCCAACTGGCGTTTGAGTTTGTGGATTGCTTGCTGGGCTTTGGCCGCATCTTGCCTATAGTTGTGACCACTCTTCTTTTCAGCTTCGATACGATGGTCAAAGTCCTTCATCGACTCCTCGTGTTGCTCAATCTTCTTGGCGAGGGCGGAGGCCGCACGGTCCGCATCCTCTACAGACCGCGTTTTGTACTTGATCACTTCGTCCACCTGCAGACAGTATTGTTGCTTTGCGTTCACAGACCTCAGAGCTGGTTCGAGCTGGGCTTTGAGTTCGTCTAGCTCCTCATGAATCCTATCTCTGTGGCCCTTCAACTCCGTCCACTTATTGTGAGCTTCCTTGTACTGCGTAACTGGGCGGGCAAACTCCAGCATTTCGATCTTTCTCTTGATCTGCGCTCGTTGGCGCATTCTCTCAACGTCTTCTCTTTGCATCTCCTGCCGGTCCTCGAGATTCGCAAGCATATCCCTGTCACCCTGGTTGTCCATTTGCAGCTTCTTCTGCTCACCCCGCAGGCGTTTCAAGTTGTCATGCCACTCAATCATTTCCTCGCCAGCAGCGGCTCTTTGCGTCGAATTGAGGAGCTCAATTGGCGTGAGAGCCGCAAATTCGCTGACCTTGTCTTGGGGGAGGAACTGGCAAAGATTGTCGATCTGGATGGCGAATGACTGGGCAAGTTTCAGCACCTGGTTGCGAGAGGCCTGCTTCCCATTGAGCGTGAAGGTGCTTTTGTTCCCGTCGCGCTTGATTGTCCTGGAAACTACAGGGTTCCGACGAAAGCGAGGACCGCCTGCGAGCTCGATCTCGATGATTGCTTCTCTACACCCGTGCTTGACAAACTCCCCAGGGTCTTTGGCACGACCCAGATGCTGAACACGGAATCGGTCAGAACATACTACTTCGTACAAGGGGCGGCTTCATACCTGTGGTCCCCACCCTAAGCCCAGACATATCGCGCAGACCAAGGTACTCTTTCCGGTACCATTGGGGCCTATCACCATATTCAACTTCGGACCAGGGAAGAATTCCGCTGAGGTATAGGTAACGAAGTCCGTGACTTTAATGCGCACAATGGCGCCTGGCTTGTAAGCCTCCTGCGCGGGCTTGCCTCGATCGCTAGTTCGCGAGTCTCTTGTTCGCACAGATGCAGCTCGACGGCTAGTGTCATTCGCGACCTGGCTCTCCGTGGATCTGGAAGCGCTATCCTCGCCATTTTCTTCGGCCGCTTCCTCGTATTCGTCGTCTTCCACAGCTTCTTCAGCCTCGTCTTCCTCCGCAGCTTCTTCGTCCTCGTCCTCTCCTACACGTTCGGCAGCCTCATCTCCCACGGGTTCTTCGGCCTCGTCTTCTTCCGCAGGGTTTTCAGCTTCTTCGTCTTCATCCATAGGTTCCCCAACTTCCTCGTGTTCCTTCACTGCTTCCTCTGCCTCGGCTTCCCCCACGGGTTCTTCAACCTCGGTGTCTTCCTCCGCAGGTTCGGCAGCCTCGTGTTGCACAGGTTCTTCGGCCTCGACGTATTCGTCGACAGCTTGGCCAGCCTGGGTGTCCTCTTCCACAGGCTCCTCAGCTTCGCCGTCTTCCTCCTCGAAATTTGAAGACTCATCTTCATCGCCGTCTTCCTCTCCAGCTTCCTCAGATCCATCCTCCCGATTGTCATCGTCCTCCGCAATCTCCTCGCCTTCCTCACTGTTATTTTCCGTCGTCTTTTCCCCCGTAACTTCCTCTCCCGTAACTTCATCCCCATCATTATCTTCCACAGCCTCTTCAGACTCAGACTGAGACTGAGACTGAGCCTCAGCCTCAGTCCCCTCAACATATTCAGCATTATCATCCTCCACAACCTCTTCCTCTTCTTCCTCCTCTTCCTCCCCTCCCTGCCCATCCACTTCCTCCTCCTCCCCCCAGACTTTTCCGTATCATCAGCCCCTAGCTGCTCGCTCGCATCGCTCGCATTTTCATCACTCTCCATTTCCACCTTCCCCTCCCCCTCCACATTATCATCCACATTCATCTCCCTCTCCCTCTCCCTACCCATCTCCATAGCCATCTCCATCTCCATCTCCCTCACCCTAGGATCCACCCTCCGTCTCTTCCCCCCACTCGTCCGTCGACTCCCACTCCCACTCGACTTCTCCACCGAAACCGTAGTATCCCCGTACGTCGACACCACCGAATCAAACATCCCCTCATCATCATCGCCATCGCCATCTCCACCCCCACTTCCATTATCCATCTCCCGTCGCGGTCGTCGGCGCGGAATCGTCCGTGAAGAAGATGAAGACATTGTGAAGCGCCGTAGCGTGGTCGTGTTGCGTCGTGTTAGGTTAGGTTATGTTGCGTAGTTTGGTCGGGGAAATTCGCAAAGATCAGAGATCGAGATCAAGATCAGCACCCGTGTATGGGCATGGGCATGGGCATGGGTATGAGTATCTGAATGAGCGCGGGCGGGGAAGGAGGGAGGGATGGGAGGAGGGGGATAGTCGTTGTTGTTGCTGCGCGGGGGAGAGGGGTGGGTGGGTGAATAGATGGATGGATGGATGGATGGGTGGGAAGTATGGTGCGGGCTGGATTTTCTTTCTTTGTCGTGGGTGAGTGAATGAGATGGAGATGGGTTAGATAAAGAAACGGGTCGGTTTGGTTTGGTTTGATTGAGATATCGAATCGAATCGATCCCTCACGCGGCGGTGGCTTCACGCGACGCGGTGCGGGAACAAAGAAAATGGGAAAATGGGCCATCTAGCTGTTTTGGGTTAGGCGGGCCGAGGTGGCAGTTTGCTTTGCTTTTCCCGCGGAGGTAAACGAGTCACTCCAGCTCCAGCATCAGCTACGGCTACAACACTAGCTAAGCTATCTACCCCCAGGGCCCATCTCACTAATTCCAGTCCATACATCCATCATGCCCTCCCCTCAAACCATCAAACGCTTCGCCCTGACCGGCGCCGTGGTATCCATCACCGTAGCGGGAACGCTCTACGGCGCTGGGATCAAAACCGACCAGCAAATTACTCAGGTCAGTCAATTAGCAAACCAGCCAGCCAGCCAGCCAGCCAGCCAGCCAACAATCTACTCCCCAGACCTCCTTCCCTGAAATCTACTTCCAGTTACACGCCATGATTCTATTTATTTAACCATAAACATAACTAACATATGACGAACAAACTACAGCAAACCCAAAAAGCCCGAGAAGTGACGATCGACGAGCGCATCGACGGTCTGCAAGGCATGCGCCAGAATCTCGTAGCGAAGAGAGAGCTCGTGGAGAAGCAGCTCCGGGATCTGGATGTCAAGATTGAGGCGAGGAAGTTGAAGAATATCGATGGGCCGAAGAAGGGCCCGGAGGATTATAGGTAATTGGTTTGATACTGGATGGTATGGATATGGATATGGATATGGATGATATCGGGGGGTTTGGTCTGGTGCTCGAGGGTATGATATGATGTCTGGTGAATGTGTTGGAAGGATGGAAGGTCATGAGGGCGGTTCTGTGGGATACTATTGCCACACTCGAGGAGTCATCTACACCTTCGCATCTTCGCTCCACGACTGGTCTACCGGTACAAGCTACGCACTGCACTGCCCAGGATCCGCGCGCGGCGGTTGCGATGGAAGGAGTCCATATTTAATGGCTGGTTTTCTATCAAGGATCTACTGGTGCATGGCTTTGAGTGGCCGTGTGCTTTCCAGCAATGACTGTCGGCAGTCGACAGATCCTAGGACGAATCACTGGGGACCCAAGGGCTATCGCTCACGCTTCGAGACCACGATGCCGCCCCGCGGATTGCTCTTCTCATACCGAATACCTGGGAACAGCACGGTATTCCAGTCATACCAACGGCTCGAAAATGGTTGATGATCAACTCAATGAGCAAAATAACCAGCATTCCAGAAAGCCTACAATTTATTTCCGAGATTGTCCCTAAATACTATATACATGAGGGTTGGAAAGGAGGCTGGCGGCGAAACAAAGGAAAGCTAGTGAGCCGACAAAGATCCAAAAAGTTTGTCCAGATGCCAATAGATGCGCCGAATCCAAACCGTTTTATAAATGATGCTTAATACAATGTTCGAAATCAAAATCAAAGATAGATCAATCATCCAAGATACCCCGTGCAAGTGCCGAGAGACTGGCCTCGTATCTTGCTGGGTTGTGGTCGCTGAACATGCCCGAACCAAAACTGAGCTCTCCAAAACGTGCCTCAACGTCACGGATGAACTTCAATTGGACTCGCGTTGCAGGCCGACCTAGCAAAGGATTCCCATCTCCGCCCGAATCGGATGTGAAGGCGTTGCGCTGGAGAACACGCATCGTCTCGACGACGAAGACCTCTCCCGGAGGCATCAGCTTGGGAGCACGCATTTCGTCCCGAAGGGATTTCAGAGTGTCCCACGCCCAAGCATCCTCGCCAACACCATCGCCAGCATGTGTGAGTATAGGTGGCTCATTGACGTAGAATTTGTTCACTATACTCTGCCTCAAGCCTTCCCAGACACGGAATCGCACATGGGATCTGGCACCGGAAATATCGCTCTTGAATGCGAGGGACACCGTATGCATATCATGCAAAATGCCCAGAGATAGGCTGGGCACCACATCTTGGCCGTTCACGATTGTTGTTATTAGGCCGCGCGTTGCACGGCGCAAGAACGGAGACATGGTCGAGGGAGGGCCATACGCATAGACATGTATGGGTCTTCCTGGAGGAAGGAAGAAAGCAGCATTGCTGTCCCCCTCATTACCTTCAGTCAGAAGTAGGCTTCCCTTGGTAGACTGGTATGACGTGGTTGTAAATGAGGTCCCTGAAGCGTCGTTGTTGGGCTCTGAGATCATGGTTGCCAGGAGCGCAGCGACTCCTCCACCCAGCGAGTGGCCGCACAAAACCACCCCATAATCTGGGTACTCCTCCAAAGCAGCGCGGATTGTGATCATGACTCTGCCCCCTCCTCCCATCAGGAGTCGCTTCGCAGAAGCATGCATACCCTTGTGAACCTTCCAGCTTTTGCCTTGCCACTCAAGCTCATCATAGTCGCATGTCATATCCGTGAGAATATCCTCGAACCCCCATGTTCCTCTCAAAGTCAAAACAACTGCCTTGGATTCATGATCCAGGAAAAGGTAATGGACGAGAGGAAACCCGCTTTCCGTCTCGCCGGCAGCATTGGTCCCACCCGCAGGGTCAACAAAAGATGACAGCAGGATAGTGGAAGCTGGCAAGCCAGCATGGTCCGAAAAATCGCTATGCTGGGGGCTATGGGAATCCTGATATGGAAGAACCTGAGTAGTCCGCGGGACACCCATGACTTTAAGGGCATTCGAGCCATAGGAAGCAGACGAGAAGCGACAGAAACGCCGAATGTTCTGCACGAAATGCTTCTCGGGAAAGATACCAGGGACGGTACCGTCCCGATTAAGTGCTTCGATGGTTTCAATATCATCGTATGTGCTTTTTCGCGCACGATGAGCAAGTATGAGAGAAGTTTCGGAGCCGGCAGTTGCCAAGGAGTATAAACTAGGCGTAAATGAGCCGGACTGTCGTTGCAAGGAGGGAGATCCTGGCCCATTATCGTCATTGAAAGATATAGTCATATCACTTTCTGACCTGGTCAATGACATGGCACTGCTGCTACGCACATGTGCCTTTCTGGGCGTTGGTGTTCCCGGGCGCGTTTCCACTGATTGTCGAGAATAAGCATCTGTCTGCGCCATGAATGTCTCCTTATTCTTCTCATGTACTGCATAATACTCTGCTCTTGGGCTCTTTCCACTGCTGACTTCGTGCCCATCAGGTTGACGTGTGGTTGGAATGGGACCAGATTTCATCCGCTGTCCTTGCAAGGGTGTTCTCGGCAAACCTCTGTTTGCTACAGATGTTGAGGATCCATGTTTAGGCGACATCGAGGTCTTTTCAGTGGCTTTTCTTGAACCGGATCCGATGGTCTGTTCTTGTGGGGATCTTTTCACAGGAATGGAAGCTTTTTGAGATTTACCCCGCTGTGTGGGATTCTCAGACGAACTTGGCATTCTTGACTTTTCCAAGATTGATCCTGTAGATGAGCGTTTGGCAGCATCCTTCTTGTCAAGACCCACCGGCTTCATTTTGTGGGCAAATTTTGTCAAGGAGGGCTTCGCATGAGGATCTTTAAATGCCCCCTCACTCGTATGTTGCCGACTCGGGCCCTGCCTTTTTGGGGAGCCGTTCTGCGCCGTCTTCGCATCGTGATCAATTCCGACATGCTTGTCCGCAGAGATGTTGTCCTGAAAAACGTGTTGATCACTCATCGCTTCAATGCCGAGGCTGCGTGGTGCCCCAGGTGATATAGAAACATTCCCAACTTCGGCAAGCGGTTGCCGACTGCTCGACTCCCCTGACCCGATTCCAATCTGGTACACTCCTGCGTCGTGCTTATTTGAAGGTCTCACATCCGAGCTCTGGAACTTATTGAAAGCTGTCCGGAACACCACAGTGTATCTAGGAAGTTGTAAACCGTTGGAGTGTCTGTGATCGTGATCGGCATTGAACGTCTGCTCGATCATCATTGTACCAGGTGGGGGAGCAATGTCTGCAATTTCGTCGTCGTAGACGTCCACGGTGACGGTGCGTGCTGTTACCAAGTCGGTCTTGATAGAGGCACGGCAGCCATGGGGGAGTTGCTTCATGATGTACAGCCGAATGTCTTCATCTGATACCTGATGTTGATCTTCCGAGGGAAGTGATATATTCAGGCACTCGTTCGGGTCGATGGTGCTGGGGGGTCGCCGCACAGCATCAAAAACCTCTTCATCGTTCCCGGGGGATATGAACGATGAGTGATTATTCTGCTCAAGCGACTGATCATGACGGACAATAGCCTTTTCGAGCTGGTGTGAACCAACAACATCTGCCCTCAACCCATTATCTAGGATGACAACATCCCAGACGGTTTCCTCCCGGTGACCGGCGCGGATGTGTCTCTCCGTGTTCCTCCGGCCCCAACGTTGCAGCATCGCAAACCCAACGCAGCCAACTAAGAGGTCGCCTACGCCGATCTTTTCGGCGCCAACATCAGCGTTAGGGCTCCGAAACTCCCTCCGGATGAGGGTAATGATGGCCGCAATCGCCCTCGACGACTCGGTGGAGCCAAGGATAGCATCCAGGGTAGACAGGAGAGACTGGGACATGTTGGCCGCAGAAGAAAGCGTGGTTGAGGACAGATGGAACGACGCTGCTGCAAAGAAGGATGCAGACGTGACTGTCGTGTGTAGCGTGGCCAGCTGAATCTCCAAGTTAGCCCCACGGAATGAGTCAATATGGTAACGACTTACACTTCGTTCAAGGAGGGACTCTGCTTCAGCCTTCCCATGCTCCCCGTGAGTTCGAATAGCGACATCACGCCCAGCGCGTGTCAGTATTCCCTCGATCACGGCCCTGCTGAGTTCCAGCCCGGTCAAGGTGGTGGCCCTCGCCCCATCCAGGGCTACGCCCCCAACGAACGTCCCCACGCGGAGGGACAACGAGGTGGACTGGGTCAGGAACGACACCACCGAGGCGAATGGTCGGGGCAGCAGAGGCAAGCCCGAAGTGGCAGGAACGTGACTGGCATCGTCCCCGTGGGCTGCGTCGTCCTCAGCTGGGGGTGTCGGGGGTTTCGCAGGTTTCGCGACATCTCGTTGCCACACTCGTCCGACGCCAAAGAATCTAGGCATGTCGAAGCATCAGGTGTTGAATGGTGAAAAGGTCGTCTTGATTTCCATCAGACTGATGTGTGCAGCCATGAGCACGGATCTCAGGAGAGATGCAGGAACGAGGTTCAGACGCGGGGAGTAGATGTGGGGGGGAGGTCTTAATTGATAGGCGACAGCAGCCAAGTCAGCAGCCAAACGTTGCAGTCGTGGACTGGTTCCTGGGATGACCCAAGAGCAGCGAGAAGATGTAGATCTGCGCAGGGTGGCAAACAATGGCACGCCAGAAAGAGAAACTAGCGACCGGTTGGGAGGCCGGGCATGTGATCCTGGCACCCGATGGTTCGGGCGCTCCCCAACCAACTTTGGCTCCTCCAGCCATCCGCCCAACAGCAACTCTCCGGTATCCGGATCAAAAGGAATGGACGGCGCTGGCCAGAAGGGGTCATTCGGCACGGCATTCTTTTAGTCAGTCAGTGTCTTACTTCGATCGATGCGGTGTGCTAGTCTCTAGGTCTAGTCTAATGCCTACTCTAGGCTAGAGGCGATCCTCCTCACAAATGGGCATTTACCCCACGGTCTCCAGTCTCCAGTCTCCAGTCTCCCCCTCATCTTCGCCAGACTCCACCCTGCGCTCGTGGGCTCGTGGCTCGTGGCTCGGTATATCCCGTGGACCGCCAATGATATCCAGCCTTTTACAACATAGCCTTTCCATCGCCTGGATACAGAACTTTGCGGATCTTATCACGGTCGCACTCTGCCACGGTCCGGATCCCCGACAGTTTCATGCTCTGCCACAGATCTGCCAGAAGCCCCCTCAGCACGGCCTCAGCCCCGTGCCTGCCATTGATTGCCAACCCATAGATCACCGGCCTGCCAACCAAGACTGCCTTGGCGCCCAAGCAGAGCGCCTTGATGACATCCACGCCCGTGCGGACCCCGGAGTCAAACAGGACCGTCACTCGATCCCCGACCGCGTCAACTATCTCGGGAAGCACCTCCAGTGAGCCGATAGCGCCATCAACCTGTCGACCTGCACAATGATATTAGAGAATTGCTGTCCAGACGGGTCCCGTTGTCACGCAGGATACCCCGGATAAAACATACCGCCATGGTTTGAAACAACAATCCCGTCACACCCCGCTTCCACAGCAAGCTTCGCATCCTCCACATGCTGGATGCCCTTCAGGACAAGTGGGCCATCCCAATTCTTTCGGAGGAAGGCGATTTGTTCCCACCGATGCGGCTGGCCAAAGAAGATCTGGGAGATCCACGCCCTGGACGCCCCAGAGACGTCCTCATCGACCGTCGAGCCGGATTCCTTTGCGTATTTGGCGCGAAAGACCGGGTCCGTAAAGCCGACCCTGTTGCCGACTCCCCGAATGAATGGAACGTAGGCATTGTCGAGATCGGCTGGTCGCCAGGCCAGAGACCAAGTATCCAGGGTGACAACCAGGACAGAGAACCCATTTTCTTTGGCGCGTTTCAGCAATGAAAGTGTAATCTCGTCGTCCAGCGGCCAGTAGAGCTGGGACCATCTTTTGCCGTCCCCGTTTGCTTCGCCCACCTCCTCAATTGAGCTGCTGCTCGCCGTGCTGAGGATGTATGGGACCCCAACATTTCCACAGGCTTCCGCGAGCCCAGTCTCCTTGTCATCGTGGAAGATCGACTGCACGCCAACAGGTGCCATCAGAATCGGCGTTGGATACTCTTGACCAAAGAGATTCACCGCAAGGTTCTGGTCTTCCATCTAGAAGCGCACTGTTGGTTAGCCCCGAGGGAGGCATATCGACTATGAACTGACCGGTTTCAACATCCTGGGGATTCTGTATAGTCATCGTTGCCGATGTCAGTTCCCGTTCGTTGAGTCGGTGAAGACGAGAAACCTACAGCTTCCATTGGCGAAACGCCAACCGATTGCTATCCATCGTCGCCTTCTCCCCAGCCCCGCCAGCGACGTAGTTAAAGCCACGCGCGCCTAATGCTTTCCGAGCCTGTTCCTCCAGCAGGCGAGGATCGGTGGTGACATTGGGCAGGACACCTGTAATGGCTCCTCGAGCATAGATCTCTGATTGATAGTCACCGTAGTTTTCCGACATTGTGGATAGGCTCTGTTCGACTTCTGTTATTTTTGAATCAAGATGGGGACCATTGAGGGGCTTACGATGAAGGGTACGAGTCGTTCAGCTCCGGCTATGCCTCATGCACTCGGCACGTGAACCAGCAACACCTCGGGCTGGTCGTTATAATCGCCGAACACTACTGTCTGACGTCATGTCTATCCATCGCCATCAGGATTATACCCCGACGTCTCAGCGACTTTGTCCCAGATTCATCCCATGGCCAAGGTTATATGTCTCGATAGTTGAGACTACCAACTTGAGGGGGCACCTGCGGAGCGTATACCATGCATGCATCGATGCTCCCGTCGGATTTGAAGTCCTTTCAAGTTCATGTTTGAGAGAGATGAGAATCATACCGAGACTTGACACGCTCACCTTGATCAAATCATCACAGTCGATTACTCTATCAGTCAGTAGGGCACCTAGGACCATGACCATGACCATGACCATGACGCTGGCATACTTTCATCATGATCCAGACATGAGGTAACTTTCCTTTCCAGAGCGGAAGCTCACCCAGGACCAACATTCCACAATGAAGTATTTCTGTCGTCGCAAAGACAGCATCCATCTATCAGAGCAAACACCCTCAGATAAACTCATGTGTGATACTGAAAGTGTCACACATCGCCAAGCATGTGATCTGCATCCAGGGACCTTGCATCATCTTCGATGGATGTCTTAGCCAGTAGCCTGCCCTCGAGGTTCCAAGTCTCAGAGAAAGAAAGGGAATCAACCGTCACAACCCAAGCACCACACAACACCACACCACACCACACCACACAATACAATACAACACAACACAAACAAATAATCCCCGCTGCAGCAATATCCTACTACTCCCAATCTTGAAGCCTTGAGTAACACTCACATGCCCCGTCAATATTCCCTTGCGAGCGAGTGACAAAAAACAAATTATCATTCGGTCTGGACCCCTTGGCGAATCTTGGCTACACTTTAATCGCACATCTTCTGGTCGCAAAATTCCCCCCTCGCTTGCGGTGTGGTTGGACGACGTCGGGCGGGTCTGGGTCTCTCATATATCCCATCCCACAGGTCGTGGATGGATGCTACTGAACGGCGAGGCTCTGTCTGCTGTTGATTCCCCACGGGGCTACTAGGTTCTGTTGTCGTCGTGCGGAGTGCAGATTGTGGCTGGGGAGATTGATCAGATCGGCCACATGAGAATGGAAACCCCGAGAGAATCCAAGGTGGAGATTGAGTCTTCGTCGCCGTTGCCCTTCGGTAATGAGATGGGCCAGGGGGACAGCGAGAGCTCTGATGGCTCCGGACTGGAGGATAGAAAGAGGGAGAGACGTCTGATTCGGAAGATCGATCTGCATATCGTACCCTTCGTTGTTCTGCTCTATCTGTTTAGCTTCCTAGACAGAGGTGGGTTGTTTCCTTTGCTGGCAGCTTTAAACACCTACCCACTTGGGATCAGTGCTGACCACCGCAGTGAACATCGGTAACGCTCGCTTGTACGGAATGGAAGAAGACCTGGACCTGGTTGGCGATCAATACCAGGTTGCCGTGTCCATTTTGTTTGTGACCTACTGCGTATGTTTGCGCTGGCGCCCAGGGAGGAGTTGAAATCGCGACTGACTTTCCCCCTAACAGATCTTCGAAGTCCCGTCGAATCTGGTGATCAAGAAACTCAAGCCGTCGCGTTACATTGCCTCCATCTCAGTCATATGGGGCATCATAGCCACCCTTACAGGGATTACGCAAAACTACGGCGGCCTCATTGCCTGTCGCATCATCCTAGGTCCGCAAAGTCCCTCAACCTGAACAATCAAACGCCGCTGACCAGCTCCTCCAGGCGTTGTAGAGGCTGGTCTCTTCCCCGGCCTAGTCACATACCTGACTCTTTTCTACAGCAAGCGCGAGATCGCGCTCCGCACGGGCTATCTCTTCAGCAGCGCCGCCATCGCCGGCGCATTCGGGGGTCTTCTAGCCTACGGCATCGGGTTCATGGACGGCATCGCGGGCTTACGGGGCTGGAGATGGATCATGATCCTAGAGGGGATCCCCACCGTGATCATCGGCATAGTAACGTGGTTCTTCCTCGCGGATGAGCCCGACACGGCGTATTATCTCAACGACGAGGAGCGGGCGTTGGTCGTGCGCCTCCGCCGACGCGACGTGGGCCAAACCGCGTCCGCGCAGAAATTCCACTGGGCGGACGTCAAAGAAGGGGCTTTGGACTGGCGAATCTACGTCTTCTGCATCGGCCAGTTTGGCGTCGACACCATGCTTTACGGATACAGCACGTTCCTACCCACCATCATCAAGGGCATGGGAAAGTGGACCACCCCCGAAGTCCAGGCCCTGACGATCCCCTGCTATGCGGTGGGCGCGATAGCGTATCTGGTCACCGCGTGGGCGAGTGATCGCATCCAGCGCCGCGGTATATTCATCTGTATCTTTGCGGTGATATCCGTGGTCGGATATGGGATCCTGATCTCGGATTCGTCGTCCGGGGTGCATTATTTCGGGGCCTTGCTTATTGCTCTGGGTCTATATGTCACTGTTGGATTGCCGCTCGCGTGGCTACCCACCACGCTCCCTCGTTATGGGAAGCGCACGTTTGCGACGGGCTTGCAGCTGACTTTTGGCAATATCAGTGGCGTCATGTCTCCGTTCCTGTATAAGACTGACGAGGCGCCGCGCTATGTTCGGGGAAATGCGGTGACTCTCTCGCTGGTGGGGTTTGCGGGGTCCATCTATGGTCTAATGTGGTGGTACTATCATATGAAGAACAAGCGCAGAGAGCAGGGTCTTGAGGATGACAAGGTGGCGGGCTTGACGGAGGAGGAGATTGAAGAGATGGGAGACAGGAGCCCTCGCTTTAGGTATAGCACTTGATGCTTGCTGGTCTTCAGATAGTAATTTATGGTGTCTTGCTGAAAGATTGAAGGTAAACCCTAGTAAAACAGACCAGATCCAGTTAGAATGCTCGGTTTCTTGGCAGCCAGGAGGGTGGTCACTTATCCGAACGAGTCTCTTTTGCTTGACCTTTCCACGATCTATTTCTCCCCTTCAATGCCATCGCACCTCCTTCCATTGAATTGGAAGATACGTGCGGAAGATGGCCAATGCATTCTCGTCTAGATCTGTGATCCTCTCTCTCGTGACTGCAATTGCAGCGGTTCTTTACCGGTATAGTACCTACGATACAACCTCCAACAATCCTGCGGTCTCCCCTGCACCGCACTATTCCGCCCGGTTCTCTCCAGAACCGTACTACAGCCCTATCCCATCGCCCATCAGCGATGACGGTTGGAACCTCCACCACCACCTCGGCGGATACGGGCCCTGGGTGGAAAAGCCCGACGGGGTAGATGAAGCGCAGAAATTCGACCAGGATGGATGCATGATTGATCAATTGCATATGGTAGGTATCTCCTCCTCGAGTCGATCTACTCTCTTTCCCCGACGATATTTATATCGCTCTACAAGGCAGATAATAACATAAGAATAGATGGCACGCCACGCGGCGCGATATCCGACCAAATCTGCTGGACGCCGTAAGCTCCTTGCTACGATCCAGTCCGTCAACATGCGATACTAACCCAGCATGACGGAACAGGCCACCTCGCTCTGCTAAGTCGGATCAAAGAAACAGGCGTCTCATTGAACGGCTCGCTCTCTTTCCTGAACAACTGGACCTACATCACCGACGATCCCGCGAGCGACTTCGAGCAACTAACCACCACCGGTCCCTACAACGGTATATCCAAAGCCTTCAGCACCGGAATGCTCTTCGCCGCCCGCTACGGACACCTCATCCCGGAGGAATCCAGCATCAGATTCTGGGCCAGCGATTCCCAGCGCGTCATCAACACCGCCGAGCACTTCGCCTCGGGATACTTCGGGTTCGGCTGGAAGACGAGCGGGGACTTCCATCTGGAAGTCATCCCGGAGACGTTCGATCGTCGCGCTGATACGCTTACCCCGGGGGATAGCTGCCTGAGATATATCGAGGATGCGGATCACGGCCACGACGCCGGAAGCCAGATGCTCGAGCTGTTCCAGCAGACGTATATCCCTGTCATTGCGGAGCGCTTGGTCACAGCGCAGGATAATCTCGCCCTCGGGTCACTGACCAACTGGGAAGTCTTCAGCATGCAGGAAATGTGCGGGTTTGAAATCACGACTCGCGGGTGGAGTCCATGGTGCGATGTCTTCACGCGGGAGGACTGGGAGAATTTCGAATATGCGCGTGATTTGGTCCATTATTATCGTGGGGGCCCGGGGAATCCATACGCGGGTGCTATGGGGTGGCTGTGGTTGAATGCTACGGCGGAGCTCTTGCGAGCCGGTCCTGATGCGGGGACTTTGTTCTTCAGCTTGTGAGTGTTCGATCTCGACCTGCCTGTCGGGGTTGGAAATGGCGAGCCTAATGTCTGTCTGTCTCTTAGTGTCCATGATGGGGATATAGCTCCCTTCTTGACCGCATTGGATATCCTGCGAGACTCGAAGTATGACCCCTCTCTCCCCGTCACTCATGTGGCTAAGGACCGCGTTTGGCGTACGTCGACGGTGTTGCCCATGGGCGCGCGAGTCAACCTGGAACGGATGACCTGTTCGTCAGAATGTGGCGGTGACCCGGACAGCGAGGGGACGTATATTCGGGTCAACATCAATGATAAGATCGTGCCACTGCCGTATTGTAAGTCTGGACCGGGCTTGTCATGTCCACTGGCGGAGTTTCTTGGTCATGTGGAGAGAAGAAGGGGGGAAGTGGGAGAGTTCAAGGAGGTTTGTGGATTGGAGGGCGATGTTGGGGGAATCACGTTTCTTCGACAAGGGTGAGGTGAGGTGAAGTCGACATGGTTAGACAATCTTATAGAAGGCAATTTCCATCCCCAACACAGTCCGATTCCGACGGTTAAGTCCCATGGCAAGAGTAAAGGTGAATGCCTGAGGATGTGAATCGTGTAACGCACTCACACCAAAGGACCATGAAAGTATACTATACTTCTCCCTCTCTTCTGGAGAACAATCAGCCATAAACAACAACCACCCCCGTATAAGGAAAGCGCATCTCTTTATCCTGAAACTCGGACTCAAACTGGGCCTCGAGCCGGTGAGCATACCGCCGGCTCACGTGACGGTATCCGGGCGAACCCCAGTGTTTATTGCGCACCCAAAACTTTTGGCCGAGCCGACCAGCAGCCCGATCAATCAACCATCCAACCAACCCATCCCCGTCGTTGCTAGCGTCGCGATCCTTTTTAATATCCCGCTATCCTATCCTTGATTCCCTCTTAACTGTCACCTGGAATTGCACCCATAGAAACCGGCTCCCGCCTTCATCTCCGCGATGGAGTACCATTTCGTTCCCCCCGAGGAGCGAGCAAGAGACGAGAAGGGCAACCTCTTACCCTGGGGATACGTTTATAAAGAGTAAGGCATCTCACCACTGTGGTAGCATCACCACCATCACCATTACCATCACATTTAACAACACATACCAAAAAAAAAAAAAAGAAAAAAAAAAAACAACAAACTAACAAACTCTCCCCAGCGAATCTCGCAACCCGCGACGAGCCCCCGAAGAAACAGGCCCATTCGGCAAGCGCCGCAACGCACGATACGAACAAGCCCGCTCGCGCACGCGAACCGGAACGCCCGCGACGAAGCGCGAGAACCCAAACGTGGCGGAATTCGGCCGTCTATTCGCACAACAACAAGAAGACGAGAAAGCGCGGAGCAACACGCTGCCGAAGTCCTCGTCGTCGTCGAACCTCGACGCGGTCCGCAAGCAACAGGCCACGGAGAAGGTGGCGACGGAATGCATCCTGTACGGCTACAAGAACAAAGACTCGGAGTGGAAGGTGCTCGACAAGTACGAGCGCATCTCGAAGGGCGTGATCTGTGAGGATTATCCGCGGACGGACCCGCTCGCGCTGGGCGGGGGACAATCGCAGCTGCTCAGCGGTGGGGATGTGGTCATCCATGCGAATCTGTCGGCGGATGCGAACCGCAAGTCGAAGCGCTATGCCGGCGGGTTTCATTGGATCAAGGTTACGTTTGATTCGACCACCGCCGCAGATCGCGCCTGCTTTTACTCCCCACAGGATATCGATGGCCATGTCGTCTTTTGTGAGCTGTATCATGGCCAGGGCCCCGCGGAGGATGTGCCCATCCTGCACGGCTCCGCTGAGGCCGCGCGCTTGCGCGCAAAGGCCTCCAGGACCTTGACTACCTCCCATTCGACCAATTTCTTGCAATCCCAGGATAAGGACCGGCATACGTTGCCGCGGTCGTTCGCGATGAATAACCTCGCGACCGTCGCCGATGTCGATGAGGGCGCCACCCCGGAGTCGACCCTCACCGCCAGCTCCGCTACCATGGCTGCTGCTGCGAGTGCCTCCGGCGTCGACCAACCCGGTGGTGGTGGTGGTGTCGTGCAGCAGCGCAATGTGAGCAATAGCAGCAGTAGCACCCAGCCCAGGCCCGAATCCGAGTTCATGACGCATATCCCGACGGTGCGGCGGACGAAATTGCGCCCCATGACAGAAGCCCTGCCCCCCCAGCCGACGGTCACGGAGCGGGTGCTGCGCTCGATCCCCATCCTCAGCTGGTTCACGGGCGATATTGTGGGCGATGGGCCGCAGCTTCGTGAGGACGGGGCCTTTGACTACGACAAGTCCAACACGTATTGGCGGTTCTGGTACATGGTGGATATGATCATTGGGACTGATATCTGCGGGCTGAAGGAGGAGTCATGACATTAGGGGGTTTTCTTTTTCTTTTTTGTCTCCAGTCTTTTCCTGACAATGTCTGTATATTGAGGTTGTTGTCGTTGCTGTTACTGTTGCTACTGTCGGCATTTACGAGTGATTGCGTCGCTGCTTTTATCAGCTTTGCTGTTTTCATTGCATATTGTGGCCGGCGCTGGGGATTCTTTGATTATAATTGCATACGGATCGGATTTTAGTTTGGTAGTTCTGAGATGGGTGTTTGTAGAGCGGTTGGCTTGATTGAGTAGTAGAGCAGCAGCGTGCATTCGAGAAGCGGAATGCCGCTCGATGGCACATACGTCCAATCCCATTCCAACCAGCCCGTACGTATCCAGCCAGACTCATCAGATTCCTCAACCTCTCTGAAAGTTAGACAGACCCCTATCTGCCCTCAACCCCCTCCCCTCCTTCTTTCAACCAATATTAACGTCAACCTCTGCCCAGCCTCAACTCCACCCCACTGCAAACACGAACCAAAACGGAAAAAAAAAAGAAGAACCCTCAGGATACCGATCGAATCAATAATATTTAATTCATGTCTTCAATTCTCTCTCAACCCCTAAAACCAAGATAGGTAGGCCAGATATCACATTCCACAATCACAATCACAAAGGGCTCAAGAAAACAAAAAAACACCATTTTTGCATCTGTAGCCTTTTTGTTTTTTTCATTTCTCCTTTCTCATCCACACACACACACGCACACACGCACACACACACAAAGATTTAGAAGAAAAAAAAAAGGGGGGGGGTTTTTTTTCAACACGCTTACTCGACGTTGCTCTCGAAGTTCTCGCCCTCGACGAGGTCGGGGATGTCATCCTCATCGTCGTCCTTCTTGCCCTCGGCGCCGGCCTGGTTCTTCTGCATGTTCTGGTAGCTCTCGGCGAGCTTGCGGAGGGAGGCGAGGCTGTCGGGGCCAAGCTGGTTCAGGATGCCGGGGACCAGCTCGGTGAGTTCCTTCTCCTCGCCGTTGCCGTACAGGGCGAAGGTGTTGGAGGGGACGGAGGCGTGGACTATATTTTTTTTTCGATTTATCGTTGTTAGTGGGTTGTTTGGTTGTTGAGGGTGGGGATGGGGATGGGGATGATGATGTGGATGGGGGGAGGGATTGATTAAGTGAATAATAAGGGAAGGAGGGCGCATGGAGACATACCCTTGGGAGCACCAAAGTGGATGACGTTTCCGTCCTCCTTGAACATGTTGACCTCCTCGATGGCCTGGATGGGCTGGACGTTCATCTTCTTCAGGGTGGCCTGAAGCTTCTTGTCGTCGGCGCCCGAGGACTTGTGGACCTTCTTGACCTTGCGGCGGGGAGTACCCTTGCCTCTGGGGGGAGGTTAGCAATTTGCTTTGTTTGTCGATGGTGAGGGAGAATCATATTGTAGTGAAAGTGGTCGTGGTTGGGTTTGGTGGTTGTGGTGTTGGTGTTGATCATGGTGGTATGGTAGTGGTAGTGGTAGTGGTAGTGGAGGAAGATACGTACCCTGCAAGTTTAAAAACGAGGCGTTAGATATAGCTCTTCAAGTTCATGTCTTTTTTTAACTTTTCATAAAACCAAGTAATATGAAATGAAATGACAGCCATCATTTGCGGGGGAATGACAAAAAGGAAAGATGATGATGCAAAGGAAGAAAAATCCATATCCAAGCTCCTCCATAGCCATGACACGATCGCGATCAAAAATCCCCAGCCATGCACTTAGCTAGCTAGCTGGATTGTTGAGCTAGCTGGCTGGCTTTTTTTTTTTTATTCTCCTCCCCCATGTCATGACGGGCTGCCACATTCCACGAACGAAAATTTGAAAAAAAAAGAGAGGATTCAAAAAACATACCAATCCGCACGCTAGCCTGCATCCGAGCCAACTTTGCCTGATCCATTGTGACGGGAATTGAGTGGTCGATTCGAACCTGAGAGGAGAAAAAAAAAGCGGACGTCAGATCTGTGGAACTTTTGCACACTCTCGGTAAGGATGGGAGAGTCGTTGGTGGTGAGGGGGGGGGGGGGGGGGGATGTGGGATCGGGCGGGTAGTATCACCACAACTCTGGGAGAGGAGGGGGGAGAGGGGGGAGCGAAAAAAGTCGCAGAGGACCGAGGACGGTGGTGATAGTGACGGCGGAGTGATGCGGGTATACTGACCGAGATGATGATGATGGGGTGGGTGGTGAGGGGGAGTGAGGAGGAGGTAAACGTAGCGTAGTGGTTGGAAGTGGGAGGATGGATGAGATGAAGTTCGATGATGCGCCGGCGGGTTTGTGTGGGGAGCAGCGCAGCGCCGACTCGCCCAATCCCAACCAACGCTCGCTAATATTCGTGATTCCATGCGACTACGCGACGGGGATCCCTGTCCGGAGTCTCTACGCAACTACGCTACGGGCTACATCTTCTGGATGTCCTGTTTGGTCCTCTACTGGCATTGCCATGGCCGTGCTGGGCTGGTGGTTGTGGGCGAAAGGCCCAAACGAAGGGACGCCCAGGGAGGCTCCTCGGCTAAACCCTAACGATCGCCCGCTGCTGACTGAGGGACTACTGACTGGCCTCGCGATCGATCGGCTGGCCAGACGGTCGGCCAGAACAAGTCCAGAAGCTCTGCTCTCCAGTGAAATAATAGGAAGATGACTACTATTCACTCGAAGTCACAAAATATGCTACATTCGTCTCATACAAGTCATCTCCTGCCACTGACGGCACTCGCCAGGCTCACCACCGGCACTCCGGCATTCTATGCCTATTCCGGTAATCTGGAATCCTACCCGAACTCCGCCATCCGGACGCTCTCGGCGCAGAACAGAGATGTCTATACGATGTGTCGGCTGAATCTGTAGGCCTCGCCATGTGGAACGACTAATGAATATCCGAATGAACCTGCTCACGCCGTACCCCACGTAAACCCCGACCAGAAGACGACGGAAGAAAAGAAAGGAAAATCAAGATTTCTCAGCAATCTGTTGCTCAGTCCACTCCCAAAGCCGCTTGGCCATACCGGCATTCTTGGCCAACGGATTATCGGCAGCATGCACTCCAATGGGAACATAGTAAGCGCCGTTGGTCAGAAGCCCCCGGTTCACTCCCGCCGCCCACAGCTGGTTCATTGCCCCGGTGCGGATGCTGCGACTGAACTGCATGATGACTCCGGTGCTGTATTTGCTCATGGTGCTCATATTGGAGGTATAGTTCCACAAGTCACTCACCACGGAGCCGGGATGGACCGAGACAGAAAGGATCTCCGGGTGCCGGCGCGCCAGCTCGGACGCAAAGAGGATATTCGCCGCCTTGGAGGCGCTGTACCGCGTGAACGTGCGATTCGCCAAGAGGGCTGAAGTAGACGTCATGGCCTCGAAGGAAGGCGCGCCAATGTGTGCGACTGAAGACAATGTCACGACTCGGACATCCGACGCAGGGCTCGAGGCGACGGTCTTCTGCAGCGTAGGCAGCAGCAGTTTCGTGAGCAGGAAATGCCCGATATGGTTTGTTCCGAACTGTATCTCGAAGCCCTCCTCTGTCACGGCGGCCGGGGTGTTCATGATGCCCGCATTGAGAATCAAGATATCGAGGCGATCAGAGTCCGCGGTGAACTTCTCAGCAGCAGCACGGATGGACTGGAACGACGATAGGTCCAGGGGGATGTGCCTGAGATCAACGGACGGAAACTGCTCCCGGATCGAGGTGATGGCATCCTGGGCCTTCGTTGCGCTCCGTGCGGCCAGATAGATCCGGGCTGGATTGTGTCGGGCGAGTTGAAGGATCGTTTCCTTCCCGAGACCGGTGTTGCCTGCGCATCACCAAAAGGTGAGTTAGCCTCTTTGCTTCCATGAACCGGTCGAAAGTTTGATTACCCCCGGTGACCAAGATTACCTTCCCCGACAGATCCTCGATGTCGCGCTCCGGCTTGAAGGAATAGCCGAGCAGGCCAAAGGTGAGTTCATTGACGGTGGGACCGAGACTGGAATAGAATTCCGTCGGGCGTAGAAGGGCTTTGAGGAGCATCGTGAGCGTTGCCAGTCCGTAAAAAGTCGTCAGGAGAGCGCAGTACCCCTGAGGGCTTGCGTGGCGGGAGGCGTTTTCAAGTTCAAGTAGCCCAGGGCCAGGCCTCGGGACAGGGACGCGGGCGGAGACCGGAGATCAGGATAAACTCCGTGTCGTGCACCATTTTGGCATGTCGTGGGTGCTCGGTGACACCGTGGATGATTTTCATATCGAAGAATGGGCCGGGGAGGGGCCAGGGGAAGGAATAAGTCCCGAGAACAGCAGCAGAAGTGAATGGCAGGATGTAGTGAGTTATAGTAAGAGCGAGCTGGTTAGTCGCCGACCGCGGGGGATCCCGTGCCTTGGCCCCTCGATCCTTCACAGGCGGTTAACTAGATAGTAGCAGAACAAATCACACCACATCTCAATCAGAGGACTACTGATCCGGGAGTCGCCAAAATGCGCTTTCTCTGTCTGCATGGCGCTGGGACAAGCGCAGAGGTTCGTCTCCCGTCTTCAAGTATGGTCCTCCAGCCACAAAGCAAGCTGACAGCCAACAGATCTTCGAGATCCAAACCGGTAAATGAACCACTCCCGGTGATCGCTGGTCACTGGTCGGGCGCGCTTTGGAACAACACCAAACCACAAATAATGATTATATTCTAACCAGATGGCTAGGCGGAATCACCTATGATCTCTCCAAGAAAGGCCACACTTTCAAATACGTCAATGGGTACATGGAAGATGCAGTCGAGCCCGGTACACCCATCTCCCCCCTCCGACCGGGCGAAATGTATAGCTAATGCCAATTCCAGAGCTGAAGGACATCTTCGAAGGCCCCTTCTACAGCCACTATCCCCGTGACCAGGCCCCGCGCGAGAAGCTCGCCCCCGCAATTAAGCATGTCCAGCAGATCATTGAGAAAGACGGCCCCTTTGACGCTGTCATGGGATTCTCCCAGGGCGCCGCGCTGGCATGTGCGTTGATAGTACAGCATGCGCAGACGCACCAGGAGCCCCTGTTTAAGCTGGCGGTGTTTATCTGTGGCGCGGCACCCTTTGACAGCACCGGGAGTGCGCACATGTCTGCTCCGGCAGGCGAGTATCCCGTCCAGATCCCCACCACGCACATCGTGGGCAAGCAGGATCCGGTATATCCCCAAAGCATGCGGCTGTTTCGCTTGTGTGAGCCTGGGAAGGTGCAATTCTACGATCATGGGTCGAAGCATATGGTGCCGTTTGATATGAAGAACACGGAAGCGATGGTGGCTGCGATCGAGGCGTCTGTCCAGCGGGCTGGGGGTGGAGAGCAGTAAATATTTTAGCCCGTGTTGCTACTGTTGCTACGGATGATGATCACATGATTTTAATGGGTTCCGTCAAGCTTGTACTGTACATCTTGATCTAGACGTCTCGCAGAAACAGAATATTGTATGTTCAATCTTGTTTTCTCGGTGCATCGCGTCTATCCCTCGGGCTGAATCTGGACAGCAGAACGGCAATTACTAACACGACAAAACCTACGAGAATGCTATGTGTGATGGGGCTCCCCGTGGGCCACCCCGTCTTCACAGTGTGGCCATCAGCAAGTCATAAGCCAGCGGAAGTCTGGCCCTCCTCCGGAGGGATAGCCTTGCTCAGGAACTTCTCCAGGTCTTCGATCTCCGCCGGATCGGCAGAGTGGCCAAGATCACTAACCCACTAATAAGCGAACCGTACCAACGAGAAGGGGAACGGACAGAAACTCACGGGTACGAGTTGAACTTGAGGTCCTCCAGCCCCATCTCCCTCAGCAACTTGGCCGACATCGTGCCGAAATCGTACTTCACCACGTCATCATCCTCACCGTGGCCCATGAAAACCGGCGTCTTCTTGTTGGGCCAATCCTCGGGGAGGTAGTTTTTGATCCGATCACTCAGCAACAGGTAGCAAGAGAGACCGAACACACCGCCCAGCTTCTCCGGGTGCGTGACACCCGCAAACAGAGACATCGCTCCACCCTGCGAGAACCCGCCCAGGACAATCCGCGAGGGCTTGATGCCTTGCTCGACCTGCTCCTTGATAAGGGTGTTGAAGTATTCGCGGGAGCGAAGGATACCGGGCTCATCCTGAGTGCGGACGGATTCTTCGAAGTCCAACTGCGCAAATGTCAGTCCTGATACTCCAGGATCCGGTCAGCGGCGCCACTCACATCACGACCAAGCTTGGCCAGGTCGTACCATCCCGGCATGGTCATGCCGAAGTTCTAACCCTGGTATCAGCTCGGTCCATCCACGCCGTGTTTCGATAATCGTCGCATACCACGGTGATGGGGATCATAGGGGCGTTCGGGAAAATGAAGGCCACTTCGTCGAACATGCCCCGACGGCGCCAGTTCTGGGCGAGAGCCATCCTGTTGTCGGACCAGTTGATCAGCATCCGTCTCGATAATCGTCGTCGTTGTTCACGGGGAGCGAAAAGAAACCCGTACGTACCATCCAGCACCGCTATATCGAGAAAGCGTTAGCCACTGTACTGTAAACACCTCAGTAACTATACAAGAACCACCAACCTGTCGCCCAGACCGTGGGCCATAATCACCGTGGCGGTGTGCTTCTTGAGCGCCGGAACAACATAGGGGGCGCGGGGAGGCATTTTGATTCCTTTCTATCGACGAATCTAGATTGAAAAGCGATAGAAATGGAGATCAGACCCGGGGGGAATGCAAGAAAGATGGACGGGGACGAGGGACCACCGCCTTTGTCCCCGCCATTCTGCCGCAGATGCACTGACCGCCTCCGCGATGGCCTAACATTTCCGTCGTGCCGCAATGCCGCCATCCACCGCGCCGCAATTCCGCACTCGATGGAGCCCAGTCCATGAAGCTCTCCAATGGCATCAACAAACTCATTGTCTATTACGCAAGGCTATGTGCCAGCTATATACACTATTCAATCAACTCGTCCAGATACGATTCGACGACCCTCCCTCATTAGTCATTGAGCAGCTCCGTGCAGCTCCCTCACCAGCGTGTCAACAACCGCGTTCATTAGCTCCTGCTCAGCAACGCCCTTCTGCCATGTAATCCCCAGGCTTAGGCAGCCATCTCCACCGCTGAGGGAAGACACCACAAGGGCTGCCCCTGAGACATTGGGACTCTGGGAGAACATCACCCGCCCGATCAGCGGCCGCGAGGGATCGGTCTGGTCGGGCTTTAAGACCCCAATATTCGACACCTCAAAGCTGTCACCTCGGTCTTTACCTATCTTATTCTTCAGCAAGTCAATGAAGTTGCCCACATACTTGAGCAGGCCCACCCCCGTGTTTTTGCCCTCGCGACTCAGCACCCGTTCGACCGTCGCGCGAGACCGCCGTGCTTCGTCCCATGGGAAGGTTGCAGGGTCTCTGGTGACCTGCTTGCGACCATACGAATCTCCATATTCCACAACCCAAACTCCCATCGACTGATCCGTGATCTGTCCCTTTAGCCACCTCCGAGAAGAAATGGCACCCGTCAGTTGCACCTTGGTACACTGGTCCGGTAAATGGGCGAAGAGCGCGCGCGCAATGGCCGTCTGCAAGGCCCCGGTGATAGTGGTGTTTTGCTGGCGGCATTTGTTCCTCAAGGCCGAAGAAACAGCCGCTGGGATGACGACTTGGCGTAGGTGCGTGTTAAGTGGTAGAAACATCTTCGCGCCCGTCCAGAGCCCCGGGTCGCGCGGGGACCACACCTTGAGTTTGAAAAAAACATTGGCGAGGAACGGAAAAGACAAAGGTAGTGGGTGGATTGCCTCCAGGTTGGGCAAGAGGGGTGTTTTTGGTGATGGGATGATTTGCTTGGCCTCGCCGGGCGTCAAGGACACAGCAGCATGCAATGCCTCTAGGAACGTCTCATGGAAGGCTTTCCCGGACATCCCATCCCCAGTAGCGTGGTGAAACACATACGCCGCCGTGAAGCGCCGCTCATTCGCATCCTCTGTGAAGATGAAAAGCCTCCAGTACGGTAATGGAGCCGTGAACCCCGTGCTGTGCTGTGTTTGCAGCAATTCACATAACTCTACATCGGGCTCATCTCCATCGGGGAAATTGCGCGTGCGCTGTCGGAAGGAGACCGGGTCGCTCAGATCGATCTCCGGGAGACGCACCCACCAGGTATCGACGGTATCTTCGCCCACCGGGATGGCAGATAGGATGGGATGCTGGCCGATCAAGGTCTCGCATGCCTTGTATACATAATCCTTCAAGGGCAGAGTGAAGGTATCCGGAAGCTTGTACGTTGCCGACACCGCCACATTGAAGTAAAGCCCGAGCGGATGGCGTGCAGTGGAGTATTTTTCCAGCGGCCCTGGCGGGTGTAAGTGTCAGTCTTCGGCTTCGGCATTTCCCCTGAAACTTACCGGCCGGGCGTAACCTCTCCAACTTGTCCATGTGTGGAATGATTTGGGAATGGGTATGTATATGCAAAGGAATTTTGCACAATTTTCGACGCGACCAGCGAAAGACCCCTAAAAAACAGGAGGGTGGTGACAAAGCACAATATGAAAGTTGCGTATTGTTGTTCGTGCAATTGCCGACTGGTCAAAGCAGCCGACGGGATGCACCGCCACTTTATACATTGCCTGATTCGGCCCTTGCCTGGTTCGGTCCCTGCCTGGCTCAACAATTTCCTAATCGGGTGAAGTTTGCGACTGTCTTCCTAATAATCTCTCACCATTGTGCTGAGAACAAACGCATATATAGCAGGGATAGAGACATTCTTTTCGGTGAAGAGCTCCAGTGCCTGAGGCTGTGCAATGACGTCTCAGAGAATGGCCATGACCGAGTATCTCATATCGGTACGGAGTACAGCTTGTCTGACTTTGCCCTATCTTTTCCTGTTCGCTATCTTGCTATATTTACCTAATTTATCTTCGCTTTATCCTTGCCTCGTTTAGAGGTTACATAGAGTCTGCAGTTCCTGCAATGTCGTAAAATCAGACGTCATCGTACCACTTTACTACCCATTCTCTAGATTGTCTGATCCGACAGAACCTCAGCCCTACCAGGACAACGCGATCCGGAGTGGAGCCGAGGCCGGATTCGATGGTCTATGTCTAACTTCTAAATGCAAATTGAACCTGTCAGAATACTACAACAACTGCAGACCATGATTGGAGAATATATAGGAACTTAATAGCCCACCACTCTTCCAGCTATAGATTTGACCTCTAGCCTATACAATAACGACTTTCTAATTAACCACTTGATCTATAAGGTTGGCCACATTATATATACACTTACCAAACTTCAATGCTCCAAACACCCCGAACACTTCTCTCTCGCATCCTCCGGCCAAAGCCTATCAAACCACTCCTGTCGACGTATCTCGAATTCGCGGGGTTGAAACCCACCTCCAGCAACCTTTCGCGCCTCTTCCAAGCTCTCCCACACCCTCCCCCCCTGCCCCTGCTGCATCTCTCCATCAGCGTCGACCCTCCACCCGCACTGCAGATAAACCTCTCTTAGACTTCTCTCCTTTCGATACCCTTCCAGCGATCTCTCCAAATAGAGCCTATACCGGCCATCCGCCGCACCTCTCGGGACCAATTCCTCTTCATCCCTCTGGACGATAACATTACCATGTAGAGGGAGAGTCTTCAGGGACAGGAAATCCCGAACCCAGACATAGAGAGGATTCTGCCACGAGGTCATCGGGTAGGCGGGTGTTTTCCGCCAGTCTAACCCGTTGCATATTTTCCATTCTCGTATTGTTTCTGTCCCATCCATCATCTGTTAGATTTGGATTTCTTCCTTGCCACACACACACACACACAGAGAGAGAGAGAGAGAGAGAGAGAGACCAGAGATAATAGCGACAGGTAATACTAACGTTCATCAATATCATAAACCAACACCACCCCATAAACCTGACCCCGTGTCAGAACCAGGACATTACTCCCAGCCCACGTATCATCCCGTCCCTGGAACGTCGGGTCACGGGCATATTCCCACTCGTCGGCTAGATCGGCATCACGCTGCTCGGAGTTACTGAGTGGTTGGACCGCGCCACCCAGCCGGGTCAGGTAGCATAGGGGCTGGGTGTCGGGGTTCAGTTTCACATCTTCATCGACGATGTAGGGGATCTGGTAGGCGAGGTCGATGGCCGAGGGACCGAACCCGTTGCGTCTGGCGGCGGCGGCGGCGTTGATTAGGTTAGTGGGGTGGCGGCCTGTTTCGGGCGATGGCTGGATTAGCCATGCTGGCGGGATGTAGCGGAGGTCTACTAGGAGGGTGTAGAATGTGGCTAGGGCGGTGATTAGTGGTTTGTGGATGTCTGGGTTGGTGGTGACTGTAGTGGGATCCATGATGACGGTAGACAAATACCTGTTGTTGTGATACGGTTGGTTGTCGGCGAGAAAACCCCGTTGCGGAATTAACTTTAGCTCTCTGGCTTTGCCCGCTAACTATCTACTAATCTAGGTAGTAGGTACTTACCTATCTTCTTTCTAGTTAACCATCCAATCACCTTTACCAATCCAACAATCCTATGGCCTTGTTTCCTTGCCGCAAACTCCCGTTGTCATCTGATCACAGATATCTGTGTTTCATTGACACCTAATGTTATACAGAAAACACACATTGAATGTCATGACTCATTATTATCCGTCAGAAGTTGCCCCAGAAATCAACAGCAAACACGCCTACCCCATTTAACAAGCGGTAACTCTGCACCCCCACCATCCAGACAAAAGCGCCCCTTACAAAATAGCAATCCCACCCACAACCGCCGCCCCCAGCATTCCCCACGCGGCAGTCTCCAACGCAACCGCCCCGCCCGTCGAAGTAGGCGCCTTGGAACTACTCGAGCTACTCGAGCTCTTCGAGGCACTCGAAGACGACGACGAGGACGAGCTACCCTGCGCCTGCCCATCAGCCGTCGACTCATTCGCGTTCCGCTGCGCCGCGGCCCCCGAGAACGCCACCGCCGAGACACCGCTATTATTCTTGCAGGAGGAGGGTTCGCTGTATTGCGCGGTCGAGGAGAACTGGATATCGGCGCACTGGACCAGGTCAGCAATCAGCATTCAACATGCACATGCACATGCACATGCACATGCACACTCTCTGTCCACTCCACAATCATCAAGATTCTGTCTGGTAAAAGGATTGCAACGTACGGCATACAACCCCCCCGTCGGATCCCCGTCACTCTGCACCTGCACGGTGGCATTCATCCCATCGGTGATATCCCTCCCGAGGATGGATTTATTGAAGACCACGTGCGGAAGACAGAACGCGCCGAGTCCCTGTACTTCAAAGGTCTTCTGTAGTACGATGTTGTAGTTGCTTCCTGGGTCGGTGCCCAGCGCGAGAAGCACTTCCAACGCCGTTTGGCTGTGTCCGAGGGATAGGGCTACCGGGAAGGATCCCGCCGAGATGGATACCTGCGTGCGGTTGCTGGATGATGTGCCTCCTCCGCAGGGAAAATTCACCATCTGCTCTTCGCTGCCGCCTTGGCTGGGGGGGTATTTGAGTTGGAAGTGCGCGGCGGCGAGGGGCGCGAGGGCCGCGAGGGAGAGGAGGATGGGGAGTTTCATTTTGGTGGTGGAGGGATGGGGTGAGGAGAGAGGGGAAGAGTGGATTGGAATGGAAGATTGCTGGAGAGAGGTGACACAGGGGGTTGGTGGTGGGTTTATATGTTGTTGTTGTTGTTGTTGTTGTTGGTGTGGTTATGAGAGGGTTTGTATGGTGGGAGATGAAGGTACAGGAGGGAGGGTGGATACTACGCATGCAGAAGGGTCTGGGTTCAAGGGACCCGGTAGTCTGCTAGTGCTAGTCGTAGAGTAGTAGTACCAAAGTACAGCTGAGAGAGACCCTGCATAGCTGTAGATGCTCAACGGCCAATCCCGGCCGGGGAGAGAAATGTGCTCATTTCTTCTCAGGCTGTCAACGCCGAGGCCATTCCGCGGGACGAGCCCGCCATGTGGGGGATTGCCAAGCTGGGCCAAGCCTGGTCTATTAATGAGTAGCATGTAGATATCAGATAGAGTGTGCAAAGGCTGGTGATTATTATTATTGTTTCGAAGTCCCACCGAGTGAGGTGAAAGCAAGAGGAGAGAAAGTGGAGAGTGAGAAGGTCTAGCCATCCAAGATGATTCGATCGCGCTGGATGCACAACAGCCGGAGTCATTTCAGCTACAGGGAGTTGCAACCCAGGGTCAATTCAGGTTTTCGGGTCTTACAAGACTCAAATAGAGGCGGGCGACAGATGTGGAGCGTTGAAAGAAGCAGTCTCTGCTGATAGATATGTGGGTTGCCTGATTCCAGGATGATAGTCCCCGAGGTGCCTGACAAGTCAAGTATCAAATAAGACTTTGGTCCAAGCTGGTGCCTGTTCATGTGCAGCTTAGCTGTGGGGTGGGGTTGAGCTTATAGGCCACTTACTACTATTCCATAGAGACTATAGGCATATGCCACTTTCCAAAGAGTAACTTGATGATAGTAGATAAAGAACTCTTGCATGGCCATTTTTGTAATTAAAATCAATATTTGGCAGATATTCTCCCTTTGTGCCAGGCAGACAAAGCAGAGACTGCTCGGAGTCGGAGAGTCGGCCAGTGCGGGGTTGTCGCCCTCGCCCCCTCCGCATACAACAACAAAGCTCCATCCATCATCCATCCTCTCCTCTCATCCTTTAGTCCTACCCATCCATACCCTGCCATCATACCTTGAAATTAGGCAGCCTCTTAGCTCTTCACCCGCCCGATCCAGTAATCGAGCCGCAGCCATGGTTCTACTCGACTTGGTACAAAGAGTCTACTGCGCCTTTAACCCGCCGACTCCGGTCAAGAAGAATGACGCCATCCGGATCGGACTGCTCGGAGCCTCCAACATCGCGTAAGTAGGATGCGTTGGTTTCAAACGGAATCCGATCCCATTCTGAACACTGAGCCATCATAGACCGTTTTCCGTGATCAATGCTGCCAAGTCACACTCGGAGGTCATTGTGGTCGCGGTGGCTGCCCGAGACCGCGAGCGAGCGCGCCAGTACGCGGAGAAACACGACATCCCCATCGTGCATGATTCCTACCAGGGTGAGTGAGCAAACTACTACGCAGGCGTACAGATTCAGCCAGATGTGACATGCTGACGACAACTTCAGCCCTGATCGATGACCCCTCGGTCAATGCAGTCTACATCGCCCTGCCCAACTCCCTCCACTACGAATGGTCTCTGCGCTCCCTCAAAGCCGGAAAGCATGTACTACTCGAGAAACCCTCCTGCTCCAACGCCGAGGAGGCCCGGAAACTGTTCAATCACCCCCTGGTGACTGCTCCCAATGCCCCTGTTATCCTGGAGGCGTTTCACTACCAGTTCCATCCAGCCTGGCAGACCTTCCTGTCCCAGGTCCACCAGTCTCCATACGGCGGGGCTGTAAAGCACGTGTCTTCTTCATTCTACCTCCCCAAGAGCTACCTCACTCTGGATGACATCCGCTTCAAGTACGGAATGGCAGGCGGCTGTCTGATGGACCTGGGCACGTATCCTCTATCCTGTGTCCGGCAGGTCCTGGGCAGGGAAGTGCGTCTCCATCCCGTCACAGCTCAGCACAAGCCTCTGCCACCCGCCGCGGATGGATCTGCCCGAGAGCCCCAGATTGACGCGGGTGTCTCAGCTACGTACCGGACGGACAAGGGCCAGACGGCGCAAATCGACGGCGATCTGCTCCGGGGAGGCGGCTGGTCGCTTTCGCCCCTGTCGTGGGCCAAAGGTCTGGGCTTGGAGTGGCCCGTGACGCACGCAACCCTCGAGGAGGCCCTGGTTGATTCGCAGGACGATGGGGCGCAGCACTTCGTCCAACGCAACGTGACACTGTGGAACCAGATGCTTCCGTGGTTCTATCACCGGATTGATGTCTGTGACACGCACGTCCTTCGTCGACAAGGCCGGGATGTGAAAACGTGGAAGGAGACCAAGTACCTCAAGGCTTACAATTGGCCTGCTGGTGATGAGCGTGCTAATGTGTATCGCGACTGGTGGACGACTTACCGCTGCCAATTGGAGGAGTTTGTGAACCGCATCAAAGTTCGTAAGGGCTCCGGGGTGTGGGTTGATGGCAATGAAAGTATTGCGCAGATGGAGGCGATCGATGCGACTTATGCCCAGCTGGGATTGAAGAGTCGGCCGACCACCGCCGTCGAGATTTAACCACGATGCAGGGCCATGGTTGGGAGGGGCGACTTTGATCCTGGCGTCTAGAGCTTATCGATAACAATTCATTGTGACTGTTACATGCGTATCTGATCTGGTCAACTCGCAGATAACGTTGCGTATGATTGGTGCAGTATATCATTATACAACGTATACCTTGTACAGCGTGCTCTGCCTCATGAAGTATGGAGGGAGGAAGACTCTCTGATAAGTAAATCACGTAAAAAAAAACAACTACTAAAGTCTCCAGTCCCAGACACAGCAGGTTGAGTGCAGTGCAGAGTCACAGAAAGAACAAGAGACGAGCCACTCACACGAAACATGGCGCTGAACCGGCTCCATAACCAAGGCTGTTATGTTGACAACATGATTCCTGAGGCCTAGACTCGATTCGACGCAGCGTATCTTTGGCCCATCCCGGTTAGCCTGAGGAACAACCCAACATGTTGGCCCTCCCGCACCAATCGGAGCGCCCATCGACAGCCATATGTGTACATCTATCTACCAATTAGTATCATGTTATTGCAGCCTTAGATCATCACGCCAGGTAGGTAGGTAGGTAGGTATGTTGGACAGCAGTACTTTATCTATGACTGTATGTATGCATGCATGCATGGATTTATCAATAATTCCCCTATCCGTCGCAGCGAATGAGCCTCCGCCAGCATTTTCATATGTGACAGAGTACACAGTACACAGCATCCACAGGATCTATTTACAAAAGCCCAATTATAACACAAAAGTCGCCCAATTGTCAAGGGTATGGTAGGGTAGGGTAGGGTATCTAAACTAAAAAACAAAAAAAAAAAAAGAGAATGAAAATGACAGGAAAGAGCAGTCCCAGCCAGCAGGGACGCAACACAACGCCAACCAACACCTAGCCAAAACAGCGCCTCAGAGGTCCGTAAAGATTGGAAAGCAAGGAAGAAGGAAGAAGGAAGACTAATGTCCATGCTCGTTCCACTGAATGAACCGCCCCACGGCCAACTCCCCCAGAAACGCCCCGGTCAGGACAGAGCAGAAATACCCCACGTTCATGGTCATGACGGCCAACATCCTGGTTACTTGTTAGCAACAGTCCACAGCTGGAAATCCCTAGTAACAGAACGGGAAATACATACAATAAATATGATACCCCTGTAATCACCAAAAAGATCAACGCACGAGGTAAATCCACACTAAACCGCCACGGCAGCGGGGCGTGTGTGACGGTCCGCACGACGCGGACCTTCTCCTCAACACCCTGCGCGGTCACCAAGCTGGCCACTTTGGCCTCCGGGTCCGTGTCGATGCGCCCGGCCTCGGGCGATTTGCCCGCCACCGCGACGTACCGACGGTTGAGGTGCGCGTCGAGCCAGTGTCGCTCCATTAGGGCTTTGAAGGCCACGAGCACCCGCGCGAGGATCGCTAGGATGATGAGGAAGACGCAGGTGCCGGCGTAGGAGCCGCTGGTTGTGGGGGTCCATTGTGTGGAGAAGAGGGGGGTGGTGTGGGTGTTTGTGAAGACCATGTTCATGGTCATGGAGGTGGACATTGAGGACATGGAGGTGGATGTGGAGGTCGCCATGGCCATGGATGTGCTGGAGGCGGAGGTAGCGGTTGTGCTCATGTCCATGTCGCTCATGCTGCTCATGTCCATGGTGGCGGTGGTGGGGTGGGTATCTCCTTTGTTGAGCTGGTGTGTTTAAGTGGACAGTTTCGGGTTGGGTTGTAGACGGGATGCGATCGATGTTATTTATGTATGCGACCGACCGATTCACCACGGGAATAGAATCAATGGACGAGGTAAAGATAGAACGCAGACGCAGCAAGACGCAAGGAGCCAAGGCGACATCAAAGCATGCGACACATGAACGCTTGACGGCTGTCATGACGGAACGACTGGATCTTTAAAGGACTCGGACGGAGCGCATCATCGACGCTGGCCCCGCCAAGCCGACGCTAGAGCACATTTTGGGCCGCGCTGGTTGGCCGCCGCCGCCCCTTGAGCACATTTCCCGCCCACTGGCCAATCAGCGCGCGCCCGGCTCCGAAAGCATCGCGCAGTTGGGGTGGAGTTGAGCACATTATTACTACGCCGCCGCGCCGGGGATGAAACCATCTGCTATACACTATGCATGATGCACCATGACTGTGAACGGCTTGCTTTTGGTCGGGGAGGGGATATACTTCCCTTCGCATTTTCCTCGAACAAACTGTTCCTGTCCAGTCCAGTCCAGACACCGTCATGATCTCCTAACACTCTCCAATTGATCTGCTGCAGTACAAACATCGCCTGTATACAACATGGATGGCATGTCCATGTCCGGCATGGGCGACATGTCCATGGGCGATGGCGTCCCGGGCCTCTTCTACCTCCAGAAAATGTACTGGGCCGTGGTAGGCAGTGCCATTGCTGCGGGGACGGTCGTCAACATCCTCAACCGGCTCCTTGCCCGCCAGAGGTAAGAGATAACCCATCTATACAGCTCCAATACTCACGCGGCCAGGCTACGGGACTCATCCTTGACCCCCTCCAAACCCAAATCGCTCTTCTTCAGCACATATGCCACTCTCACGGCAATAGTCCGCGAAGCCAGCTACGCAACCCTGCCTCCGGTATCCCTCCACGGCCGCACATATCACTTTGCTCCGCTGGGCCCCGTGGCCATCATCCTGGCGAACCTCGTCGTCGTGCTCGTCTTCTGCTTCTACAAGCTGGATTCCACCAACCAATGGAAATGGGAAGACGTGGGCTACCGCACCGGATTCATCACCATTGCGCAGCTGCCCCTGATCTTCCTGCTGGCGGGGAGACAGAACCTCATCGGTATCCTGGTGGGCATGAGCTATGAGCGCCTGAACTGGTTCCACCGCTGGACGGCCCGGACGCTGTGGCTCACCGCGACCATCCACATGGGCTTCTGGTTCCGCGACTGGGGGCGCTACAAGTATATCACGTACGAGCTGAGGACTTATACCCTGGCGACGCGGGGGTTCGCGGCATGGATCATCCTGACTTTCATCGTTATCACCTCCGCAGCACCCATCCGACGGTTGGGGTACGAGTTCTTTGTGCTGCAGCATCTCGTTACCTTCGTCGGGTTCATCGCAGCCGTGTGGCTCCATGCACCGGATGAAGTCAAGGTGTGGGTGTGGATTCCCATTGGATTTCTCGTCTTCGACCGGGTCGCGCGGTACCTGTGGGCGACGTACATCAATCTATCGATATTCCACCGCTCAAAGGGCACCACCGGCCTCTGGGCTAACCGTGCGACTTTCACGCCGCTGCCTGGAAACGCCACCCGGATCACTGTGGAGAATCCCAGACTACGATGGAAGGCCGGACAGCATATTTTTCTTACTTGCCATTCTATCGCGCCTCTGCAAAGCCACCCTTTCACTATCTCATCCCTCCCCGAAGACAACAAACTAGAATTGTACGTCCGGGCCGAAAAAGGCGGCACGCGACGCTTCTTCCGATACGCGTCGAAGCACCACGATATCCTCGGGTCCGGAGATAGAGATACACCCAGAAACCAGACGCGGACGGTCTTCATCGAAGGGCCCTACGGACGCATGAGACCCCTCGAGCAATTCGACAGCGTGATCCTCCTTGCTGGCGGGATGGGCGTAACCTTCACCATGCCCTGTCTGCGGGACATCGTTGCCAGATGGAGGACAGAGCAGACAGGACAGTCCACGCAGCTCGCGGCAACCAAGCGCATCCGGTTCGTTTGGGTCGTCAAGTCGCGCACTCAGCTCGGCTGGTTCGAGCGACAGCTGCAGTCCGCTCTGGCAGATATCGAACAATGCAAGCTCGCCAACCCGGATCTCGTCCGAGAGATCGAACTCAGCATCTACATCACCTGCGACGAGAAGCTGGAGCAACCAGCCCAGAGTAATCTCTGCGCTGTACCGCAGACAACCATACCAGATAGCCCGGAAGTCGACGAAAAGACCTCTGAGAAACCCACAGCCGAGGAAAAGGACTCCGTCTCGGTGGGTGGCTGCGGGGTGGATGGAACGTGCTGCTGCACGACGGCTATCGAGGATGAGGATGCCATCAGGGAAACGCAATGCACTTGCTCCGGCCATGCAGCGCCTGCAATTGTGTCAGAGTCAGATACCAAGTCCCTCCCTCAGCTCACTGTCCTGTCTGGTCGCCCGCACGCCCGCACAGTTATCCGCAAAGTCCTGGAGAAGGCGGAGGGCGAGAGCGCGGTGGTGGTTTGCGGGCCACGGGGTCTTTCGGATGATGTGCGGCGCAGCGTGGTGTATCTGAGTGATGAGCGGGCGGTACATAAGGGGACGGGAGCGCAGGGGGTATATCTGCATGATGAGCAGTTTGGGTGGTAGTAGTATCATGATTATGATTGATGGCTTGTGAATGATAGATTGTAACAATAATCTGGATGTGGATGATTTCTATGTCAGAGAACGGAGCTATATCCATGGACTACTAATAGGTGTCTGGACACCTTTTAAGCCGAATGGTCTTTTTGATCTGCCAACGTCTTTCCAGCTAGGAAGGTCACCTTTTCTATCTAAAAATAAATAAGTCTATCTCTAGTAATATCATTATCATTGTTTCTCTTGACGCACCACTGTCTCACATCCCAACTTATTAATATCACCCAATCCTCCCCCAACACACAATAAACTGACCCTCTACACTAAACAAGACACTAAGAATAAATCCTAACCAGGTATAATTAGTTAGATTGCAGTAATCTAGTCTGTAGCCGGGGTCCCAAAAAGGAAAAGCCAAGATGACTCAACCCAGCCCGAATGACGTAATCACCAACCACGACCAACCACCCGCAACCACCCACCCGGAGGACTGCAGCTACTATCCAGCAATCACTTGATCGAATTCATTCATCCAACATCACCACTATACCATACATACCCAAATAATCTCACTTTTGTTGAATTGAAGTTACTGTATCCTTATCCCGTTCTACGCATATAAATCGCCAGGATGGTCTTCCGCTTCGTACGTCCTCAATCCCAATCCCAATAGCAATCAATCCCAATGCTGGACTCCAAACCCCCCCCCATCCCCTCTCCATCCCCCAAACCACCCCTCACTAACAATAACAACAAACAAACAGGCCAAAACCCTCGACCCCATAACCCTCTTCCACACCCCCAGCCTACCAAGCAGCAAAACCGCGCACCGCACGCTGACCCACGCCCTGACACTATCCCAATCTGCCAACGCGCCGGCCTCCTCCCGCGGCGAATTCCAGCTCGAGGTGACCACCGCCCCGCCGACTACCGATCAGCTACGCAATATCCTCGACTATGTGACGGGTAACCCTGCCGGGGCGGGGACGTTGGACCGCGGCGCCAGATACAGTGTCGCGGAGGTGGTGAGGGGGCCAAGGATGTGGAGGATGCGGTGAAGAGGTTTAAGATTGATCCCGAAGGGAGCTTTATTCGGCCGATTGTAAGTTAATTTTCCTGAGAAAGGAGGGTATTTGGGCAGGGGTGGGATTTGCTAATGTGTTTTTTTTTTTTCTTCTGGTTGGGTAGACGGTCGATTGGACGAGTGGACAGGCTGTGGTGGGCGATAATGAGTCGGAGATCTTGAAGATGGTGCAGCAGATTAACCAGAACTAGAGACTGAGACTGTCTTTGGTGACTGGGTTGGGTTGGGGAGATGGGTACAGAATGGACAGAATAGTACTGATAGGACGGACTGTCATCATGGACTCAGATGGATCCAGATGGACTCTGGATGAATAGGATGACAACAGTCAGAAGATGGATGAACCTCACATACTCAGATGTCTATCGACTACAATACGATACCGGATCACAGCAATCGGGAACCATTAGCCAGTAGCAGACTACAACCTGTATCATACACCATACCCTCATGCATACCATTAAAATCATACTCGCTAACATCACGAGCCAGCTCGTGTGAAGAACCCAACCTAAAACATCGTCCCGAAAGACCCATCCGTCGCGATCGGCTTGCGCGGCGAGCCGCGGCCCACGTCCATCGCCGGTTTGCGGTGTCTGTATCGTCAGAATGACCACATATATAGGGGAGAAACGGATAGGGTAAACGGCTGACTTACCGAAATGTAAACCCTACGAACAGCCCCTTGCTCATCTTGTCATCCCGCTCCGCCATGTCCTCCAGCGCGCGCTGCTTATCATGCACCTCCTTGTACTTGGCCATGTCCGCCTCATTGGTGAAGTCGTCAAAGTAGCCCGCGTCCGTCTCCGAATCCAGCTCCGGCACGAACGGCGCCCGCTGCTCGCGCAGGTGCCCAAAGTCAACCTCGCTGAAATAGTCGTGCGCGTGGATCTCCTGGATGTTGCGGAACCGCCGCTCCTTCGACGCCACCAGCTTCGTGATCAGGTCCCACGTGCGCCGCGACAGGAAGTAGTTCGGGTCCTCGTACACCGGCTTGCGCAGCACTTTCTGCCAGTTCTTCAGGTTCTGCCACGTCTCGTCCACCGTCGCGCCCGCGAACGGCGGGTATCCGGCCAGCGCCTCGAACAGCATGCACCCCAGGCTCCAGTAGTCCACCGTGAAATCATACTCCTCGCCTTTGAGCACCTCCGGCGCCATGTAGTCAGGCGATCCCACGATAGACTTGGCGTAGTTCACCTGTCGCTCCCGCAGCGAGCGGTATCCCTGCCGACGCTCTGCCACCGTGCGCTGTTCCATGGGCCGACCGAAAGGCACGGGGGTTCTGCCAACTTCCTCCAGCTTCACTCGCATGGACTCGATCTTGCCCGGGTTCAACATGCCCGCCGCCAGGCCAAAGTCTGTCAGCTTCACGTGCCCGGTCGAGTCGATGAGGAAGTTCTCCGGCTTCAAGTCTCGATGGATGTAGCCCAGCGCGTGCAGCGCATCGATGCAGCTGAACATCTCCGCCACATAGAATCGCGCGTGACGGTTATGCAGGACTCCGGTGTTGTTCAGTAGCGTGCGGAAATCACCACCAGGCACGTATTCCATCGCCAGGTAGATCTGGTCATCGTCCTGGAACGCGTACAACAGCTTGACCAGCCACTCGCTCTTGGCGGCCGTCAGAATGTCGCGCTCGGTGAGGATATGGCGGATTTCGTCCAGTTTGAACAGCAGCTTCTTGCTCATGACCTTCAGTGCGCACACCTCCCGCGTGTCCTTTTTCTGCGCCAGATACACCTGTCCGTATCCGCCCTGGCCCACTTGTGTCAGGATCTGGAAATCGTGCTGGCGGAGCCGGGTGCGGCGCTTGCGAAGGTGGGCCCGTTCCCGCCCCAGATATTTCAGCAGCGCGGGCTCGTATTCCTCCATGGGAGTCGCAGGCGGTTCAGGGCAGGCAGCGCGGAATTGGGAATGGCGGGTCTGGCGATTGTGCACATAGCTCAGCAGGTCGAAATAATGGTCGAGGAAATCTGACGGTCAGCAACAGACAACAAAATCGCAAGATTGACACCTACAGAGTTGGGTCACGTTGACCAGACGCTTGACGCGGGGGCTCTGCAGCTTCTCCAGCTCCTCCGGCGTCAGCCCGCGCATGGGCACCTGGCGGCGCTGGATGCTCTCGAGATCTCGATCTCGTTGCTGGTATGGTTCGTGACGGGAGATGGCGGCTGCCGCGGGGTTCGGGCCCAGATCCTTGCCTAGTCGGGTCGAGTTGGGAGGGGTGTTTTCTTTGTTGGATTTGCGCGTGGGGCTGCCGGGGGGCTGCCGGATGACGCTTTCGTTGAAGTCTTCGCCATTCCGCGGCGGCGCGAACATGGGGTGGTTGTAGTGGTTGTAGGTGCTCTTGGTGGGCGAGGTGGGGTTCAGCTTCAATGCCTTCTCGAACACGTTGGGCAGGTCGATGGAGCCCGGCGGCATGCGATTCTTGCTGGGACTGCCCTGGGGGGTCTGCGTCGGACTGGTGAAGCCGCTCTCGGCGGGGGTTGACGGGCGGTCCAGGGACTCATTTCCGGTGCGCGTGTGGAGGAGGGGAGGGGGGTTGGGGAGACGGAAGCCCGACCGATCGGAGGAGTCGATGTTGAGCGCCATGGGGACTGGCTGCCTGGGGCAGAATGTAGAAGAAGCACTGGATTCACCGGATCACCGATTCACCGATTCACCGACAGATAGCTCGCTCAACTCGGCGCAATTCCACCCAGTGCCTGACGACGGTGAAGGGTCGGTCAGATCAGTGGGGGAAGGGAAGAGACTAGGAAAATAAAGCACGAGTTGAGGCGCGAGACGGGGCGAGGCAAATGCAAAACAGAGGGCAAAAGCAAAAACGAGGCGGAAAAAGCAACGAGAGTGAAGAGAGAGAGGGAGGGATAAATGGCTTTGTTCGGGCAGGAATGGAGAGACGCAAGGAAGGGCGACGGCAACCCGACGAGTCAGGGAGATTGCGCACGGTCGTTGCCCGATGGAATGAAGCTGGGGTGGGGGGGGGGAAGGAAAAGTACTGAGAGGGAGGAGGAGGAGGAGGCAAATAAAAGAAAGAGTCAAGAAGTGAAGTAGTAGTAGAGAGAGAGAGAGAGAAGGAGGAAGAGGAAGAGAGAGGAAGAGAGGGAAGGAAGTTGAGGTGGTACTGCGGCGCGAATACTCCGTGAAGTTCTTCCCGGAAGGGGCCAGGCAAAGGCGAGCCGCAACTGCGCCAGCCACACCTCATCTCCTCCCCCTCAACTCTCCTGCAACTCCTTCAACCACCAACGAGATGCCTCAGATCGTCTTCTCGCTGCCCCTCCCTCTCGTCCACCGTGCCCGTTGCTGCGGTAACTCCCTTGTTCCGATCCAATCTGCATCGCGGACCGGTTCCTGTCGCGAAAGCTGCCAGGATCAGCCCCCGAGTCAATCTCGTTCCTGGCACCCTCGAGGCCTGATGATTGGGAGATCGCGAGTCTCCTCAGCTGATGGAGTCTCTCGCCAATCCTCCAGACCACTCAGAGTCCCTGCACGTCATTTCCGCTAGGCGAGGGGTATCGAGAATCGCGAATCTAGTCGAGATCGACCGATCATGGGGCAGATCCGGAGTAGTTCTGTGGTGTTGACAAGGGCTGTACACAAATCAGGACTGCTAGTGAGGATCGGAGACTCTCGACGCTACTCTCCTGCTAACATGCAGCTATCCAGATCTCTCCGCGGGCTCCCGCATCTTTTTTTTTTTTACAGCCAGCACCCTTCACATTCTTCAGACTTGGTCATTGCAATTCAAATTCAAGATTGGACCCAAACTATCCGGCCGTCACTATCGATAACAGCTGCCTTGCTTTTGTTTACCTCCCGTAAACAACCAAGGAACGCCCAAGTCCGGTGGAGATCCCACCCTTGGACCATGGTTCATCCCGTCCACCACGCCCAAATATTGAAAAACGCGCGAATTCTCTCCGCCTCGGCCGGATAGCTTTCCCCCCCCCCCCCTCTTCTTCGGTGTTCACTTCTTCGGTCTCCATTGAAAAAAAAAATCCATTACATCATCACCAATGCCAATGCCACTGCCTGGATCCAGGCTGATCCAGGCTAGATCTACCCCTCCCATCCCCTCCAAACTGGGCTGTCTCAAGCAGCGCCCTTGGCCCGTTGTCCCGTCTACCACCGCCCCGTCAGCATCCTGCAAACAAAGGAATAAGATAAACTCACGTAAAATGCCAGCCCATACGACGGCGTCGTAAATGTCACCTTCGTCCCCTTCGGGAAATGAAACACGTCGCCCGGCGTCGCCGTCACCTTCTGGCCCGTCTCGTCGGAGATCTCGAACTTCCCTTCTAGGATGATCTTCATCTCGTCGTAGGTGTACTCGTACACCAGCGGGGTGCCTTTCTCGAGCCGGTAGAATCCGGCGGACATGGGCTTATCGGGGTTGTAGCTGTCACTGGGAGGTGGGGGGGCGGGCTGTTAGCTGTGCCGTCTATACTTTGCTGTGCTATGTATGCTATATGACACCTTGTGTACAGCATGGATGCATACAACATACACACAAAGAAAGTGTATAGTGCAGATACATAGGCAAGGTATGAACCAGGACGTAGAAAATAGAAAAAAAAGATAGAGAAAAGGAAAGTAAAAAGGAGGGAAGTATACCTCGAATCCACATCCCCCAAGAAGGCATTCTCATTCGCAATGAGCGGTGGCTCGAAGGTGGATTGCGCTTTGGCGTGGTACTTGAATGCGACGGCCATGGTGTAGTTAGTTAATGTCTCTGACTAACCGTCTGTGACTGTCTGAGCCTCTTCTGAATAGATATAGGTAATTGATATGATATGGTCGACCTCAAGTCTCTCAACTAATTGCGATAAAAACTGAATTGAACAATTGAACCCAACAGCCAGACGGGCATACCTGCCTTTATATCATCCACATCCGTCCTCCCCACATCGATAGAACAAGAATAGAAGATAGAAGGATTGATAGTTAGATAGCAGGCAAGTAGATCCTCGATCCTGTCCCCTCGTCTGACACAGGACCGTACCTGCCTATCTAGGTAGGTAGGTCAAGTAGAGCTGGTACTGGACCGAAGCTACAGTCCTGCGGAGAACCTGCCCTCTACACTACAGTCCACACAGTAGATAGACCCCGCGGATCCGATTTCTGTAGTGGGATATCTAGATAACCACCCCCCCCCTCACCCACTTACCTCCCTACCGACTTACCTAAGTAGGCATCTACCCAGCACGCAACATCTCCCACCCTCACCCTCACTCCGTTTCCGGAGATAGATCCACGATCTCCAAATGAGGGGTAGAGTGACTAGTTATCTCCTGGATAAGTCGGTAGGTAGGTAGACAGATAGGTAGTATCTAGTGAGGGGAGGCAGGATGGACATTCCTGTCCGTTGCCAGTATACATCCGGGCGTGGCAGCAGGCAGGCAGGCAGGCAGGATACTTTTCCCCGGATGGGTTAGCCGGTCCTGGGTGAGATGCGGGTCTATCAGCCCTTACTTACCTTACGGAGATCTACCCTACTTACTTATCAGACCAAACGGGGGGAATTCGAGTTCGGGTACATGGATGATGCTAGACATTCTATCCGTATTTCATCCCGTATTCCATATTCCTTATTCTTTATTCCACATGGGGTGTAGATATTCCGTCGAGATGGTATAGACAGTGGATGAGTTATCGATAACCGATTAGACAATCCATGGATGGATGGTTCTGTGATGTGCTGACTGCGAGAGCAACTACTGATCTGGGACATACTGTCTACTATCTACTAGATAGATACTGTAAACCGCTCCTCCGACCCCCTCCGACCCCCTCCGACCCTCCGGCCCTCTGACCCCGACCCTCCCCTCTGCCTCCCCGCCAGGGAATCTTCGCCTGTTTCTGCCTCTTATCGCCTCCATCGACACTAACACTACTAACATTAACACCACCACCAACATCAGCTCAGTCCTCGCCATGCAGTCCGAATCCGGTCCAGTCCAGTCCACCCAACCAGTCCATGCACGCCCGCCAACCTCATCCTGCAATATCCGAATCACCCCACCAGGCTAACCGCTAACCCTCGCCTGTTTCCGGATTCCCTGCCGGCTTTAAGACGGCGTCCTCGCCCACCACCCCTCCTCCTCGTAATCTGAAGCAACAACAAAACAAAAAAGAGAGAACCAAAAACCAAAAAAGAAAAAGCACCCTGTCCGGTCCGCTAGAACACCAGCCCAAGCAGCAAGAATCCGACCCCTCCACGCGCCAGAACACCCCCCAATGCAGATCTCGTTCACCAACTTCCCCGCGCAGAGACCCCTCAACTTCCAAGGCGGCACCACAGTCTTCCGGCTCTGAACTGCAGCTTCACGCTCTCCCGCGACTCGCTCACCTAGTAGACAGTTGTATCCGATCGAAGGAAGTACTTCACTGTCCACAGCGGCTCCGCCCATCCGACCGAAGTCGACCTCCTAAATATACAATACCCACGTTCCGCCTGTCCCATGCGCCATCCGCTTTGCTTGTAAACCCAGCAAGTTTCCCTAGCGACATACGAGCAGACGCGGCACGCACCGCTATAAGCATAAGCTACCAGACAAAACCCCGGGGCTACTCAGGCGATCGATCGAGTCGTCCCGTATAGAATGTGATTATTCGCTGCACTCAACGCGGAACGCCATGCTGATGCCAAAAGTCCAGATTGTAAGACACCCGGTCGAAAGAAGATCCCTCGCAACATTTTATCTGCACCCTCGCTCGCGTCCAGGTTCCGGAGCAATCCTTGCAGCCCTTGCAGCCCTCGCGACAATGGCGACCGTGTCCATGACGAGCGACTTGGAGCCATACCTGGCGTCCCTTCGGTCGTATCTAGCCCAGAACAAGCCGCCGGTACGGGCTGAGGATGACTCCGAAGAACGGACTGCCAAAGGCCACGACAATCCGGATGCCCCGCGAGACCAATCCCGCCTCGAAGGAAACCTTAGCGACCGTGTCGCCCTTACGCGCCCCGCGATGAAGAATCGCTCATGTCGGACTCGCTAGATATCTAGCCCAGGAACACTGTATGAATGAGCCGGCGTTCAAAAGTACGATTAAAATCAATGAAACAATTTGCAATGAACCATAAGCACAGAGATCGAGCCTACCTTCCCATCCCCATTCCTGCATCACGTTGATCCAGTGCAAGCTGCCGCGCACCGTCTTCTCAAACTCGATATTTTCCAGAGGTGCCATGGCGGAACTCCGTCGTGCGCCTCCGAGGGCTCCCTTGGAAGACACCCAGTCGTCTTGGTTGCTCCTTCTCCACGGCTCTTTGGCGTAGAAGCCATTTCCAACTCGTTCTCCTAGTCCAACGCTCGCGTAAGACAGTCTATCGTTCCCCAGCACTTCCGCGGTAACATTGGCGGCACGTCCTGAGGCCCCACGCAGCTGTCTTCGTTGTTTCTCGCCCTCAAATGCATCCCGGCGAGCCCACACCTCGCGAACCACTTCAATGCAGCGGTCTATTGAGCCCAGCATCAGGCGGGTCTGGATCGCTTCCCACCGGCCCAGCACCCAGCGCCGGTCCTCCTCTTGCTCCGTCTCGCATCCGGCCGCTAGTAGCGGAAACATTTGAATGATCAGAGTGCGAGAACTGGCCGGGACCGTGGCCAGCAGTATCAGGACACGTTTGGCCAGCTCGGATGCCGGCTCGGATGGCATCTCGGGGACGGCTTGGTGAAGGTACAGGAGTGTCGCCCAGCGGTAAGCATGTGCCGTTTGGATGCTATGCTGCACTTCCGAAGAGGGATCCTCAGGGGGCTCGAACAATTCGGGCGGCTGCCATTGTTCGACAAGCCTTTTCAGCTCGATGGCCTGTGAGATAAGAGAGATGGAATTTGATTCAGTCTTGCGAACCCGTTGGATCAAACGAGCCACTTGATTGATGAGCGGAAACAGCGTGGTCGCGCAGCCCATCAAAGGATCAATATCGTGCACGACATCCTGCGGAAGCTGCAAAAAGGGCAAGTCGACATCCGGAGTTTCGCTTTCTTCACGGGATGTCAGGCGGGCGATCACATCCATATACAGCCAGGTATTGTAAAGGAAACGAACCCGACTCAGGTCACCTCCACACATTCCGCTCTGCAGTCCAAATCCCACTACCTGTGAGACCAACGCCTTGGCTCCCCGCAGGTGCTGGATGCAGGTCTGAGTGTGCTGATCCCAGGTGTCGGCAAATGCGAGCGCCAGACTCGTGGCCAACGCTGCATCGGCCCGCATGCTCTGGATATCCTGCACCATGTGGACGATACTCTGGCGCATATGATCCACGCCATGAACCCTCAGGGCAGGAATCTCCTTGCTCGAGTGAAAAGCAGCGAGCGAAAAGACGGCGTGATACAAGGCTGGGGTTTCTTTGGCCAAGGGCCAGATCAAGGTCCGCCATGGATTCTCATGGACACCATCCTTGACGGATAATATTCCACATGTGACTCGGTCGAACTGCAAAACCAGCATCTCTGGGCTTGCGATGCCAAACACTGGCTCCTTTAACATATTGGGCAGGATGTTCGCGTCCGGGGAGGGCGGGGTCATGCCGATCTCCGCGAACCCGAAAAGCCCGGTTTCCTCGCTTCGATCGGACTTTCTCACGATCTCCTCGATATCCTCGTCGTCTCCCTCCATCAATGCTTCGAAGCTGAAGCTCCCCTGTCTGGGAGGATCACGTCTTGGGCTGTGTTTCGACGGGTGCTCGGCTCCTGGTAGTAGCTCTACGGGTAATGGTGCATCAGATAACCACGAGTGACCTTGAGATGAGACATCCGTCAGCGACGGCGGAAAGAAATCTTCATCGAAGCTCCCTGGAGTCAGATGGCCACCGAGTGCATCTGCAGGGATGAAGAGATCCTTATCGCTTAGTGAAAGTCGGTTTGGGTGCCTGGAGGAAGTAGGAATCGGCCGTGATGTGAAGTGCGAGGCGCCCATGAAGCCCTCTGAGCCTAACGATGGCAGACTGGAGGCGACATGCTGAGACTTGGGCCATTTTGGCCGACGCTCTGAAGTGGGAGACGTTGACATATCTGCGTTAGATTTTTCATCCGGGAGGAATGAGGTAGCTGCCAATGCACACGTCAGTTTCAGAAACAGTACTGCTTGCCATTAATGTGCACCTTTTTTGTTTTTCGGAGCGGTGGTTTTGCCACCAATATTGGTTTCTTCGAATGGACGCCATTTGAAGTCCTTCTTGTACCCCCCACAGTCCACATTTCGCTTCTTACATTGGAGGCAGGTGGGCTTGGACTCGTCACACTTCAGTCGTTTTGCCTTGCAAGTGATGCAGCCTGGAGAGTGAAAACAACAAGAACGTCAGCGCGCTGCGGATTACAGAACGTTCGCGCCCCTCTTCCCATCTTCCCTCGTGCTTCTCTTTTTTTCCATATATTTCCTTTCCCGGTCTCCTGCATGCTTTTTACGCTTATGAAAAAAAATTGATGATACCGTACCGTTACGGCTCTTGGACTGCTTGGGCTTGTTAGGATCCCTGGAGGCGCCAGGCTGGCCTGCAGTCGGCTTTTGAGGGGAGAGGGGCGGCTTGGAAAGCCCGCCGGAGGATGGGGGAGGGGGGTGGGTGTCTAGAATAGCAGACGGCGAGGGGATCTTGATGTCTTCCATGCCAAAAGAGGAAACTGGGAGGGCATGAACCGCGCCAGCATGCAAGTAGTCATAGAAATGATGAAGAGGCAGCAGGCGGGTAGTCCGGGGCAGGAAGGAGACCACGCCGTCAGGTGAAGGGTCAGAGACGGGAGGGAGGAGGGCGATCGGATAGTTTCCTTGGGGAGTTTTCCAACCAGATAAGACCCTGGATTCGTGTTCGATGGCAGGGACGCAGAGGAGATAGATAGGAGACGCTGGGCGAGAGATAGATAACTCAATGTCCCGAGACGGCCCCGGAGGGTGAGGAGAAAGCGCATCAGGGTGATAAGAGTCGCACTAGAGCAGCAGATTGCGGAGACAGCTGGTGCGTGTTGTGCGACGCGGATTCGTCGATCCGAGGCAGGAGCTCAGGCAAAAGCCGGGTCACCATTGGGGCCATGGCGATTGGAGCTAGAGCCGTCGTCGTCCCTTTCATGCAGTTGTCAAGTGGGCAATCAATGATAAGTTAGTACGTCTGTCATGGAGGGAGGGAGGGTGAGGGGAGGGACGAGGCAAACATTGGGCGGGCCCCTCCTTTGAGAGCCAGTGACAGGCGCAGGAAATGGAAAAAGAAAGCACATCCTGTTCTCCAGGAGTCCAGCGAGGTTCCCGGCGCGGAAGCATAATCATGCAAATGGAATGAGATTGAAATGAAACTGAAACAATGATAGGGTGGGTAACGCCACGGCCAGAGGCCGGTCGAGGACGACGGAGCGAAAGAAGCGAGAAGATCGGAGAGGTTCGACGACAGGAGGGAAATCCCCGCATTCCCATTCGACGTCACGGGTTGTGGTAAGTACAAAGTAAGGCACACCACGTCGCCGGCCTGTTCCTCCCACTTTCGTCTCTGCAATACTACTCCGACCTGTAGGTACAGTACAACCACCGACTCCCTTCTTCACGGTTGCCCGCTCCAAGGGGTCGCACAGAGAGCCCGGCACCGCCGAACTGCGATGCAATTGGCGTCGCAACCACCGCTGCAATGGAACGGCCACAACACACATGGCTAGGTCCAAGAGGGAATGTGGTCAGTCGACCCGGTGCTCTGCCAATCTGCTGGCGTTCTAGGCCTGCTGTACAGGGTCGTCGCCTGTACCGCAGGTTGGACAATACCTTCAGCTGTCGGATAGATCCACGAGTCACAATCCCAGCAGGTCCCCGGGATGACAGTCGGCCTCGTGTTTGTCCCAATGTCCGGCCTTCTCTTCCTCGCTTCGAACTGTAATAGTCGGCGACCGGATGCATCCCGGCGTTATGCGCGACTCCCCGTCGCACAAGAGTATCAGGTGCAACGCCTAAGCTTTCTCCAACCAACAATACGGACGGGCGGCTTACCCGCGCGGGTTCCTATCCAGTATCCAGTATCCACGACAGACATCTATAGCGGCATTCCTCAGAGCTACCTAATCCATGAGGTTGATACTCCGCACAAAGGAGACAGGATAGGCCTCGATGATGACGTATGGTTCCGCCTGGATTGGTTCCATTAAGGATAGATACTACGGAGTACTGTTGGTGTTGATGTCATTTTCAATGACTGGCCGACTTCGGCCTGAAACCGCGGGTATGCGGAGATAAGGCGACAAGGCAAGGTGAGGGGATGGCCCATCTTGCTCCGCACACTATCCATCCCTTCCAGTCAGAGCGCTAGTCGTATCTGGAGGACCATCATTTTGCTGCTGCTAATCATGTAGCAATGCCTAAAAATCAGGTACTTTAGGCCCATGCAGCGCACCAACAATAAGAAGGATACCCCCACCTCCAGTATCTCCACTTATGAGAACCATGGGATCATCAACACCCCTAACCGCGGTCGCTCACTTCACCCCTCCTTATACCAGCGCCCTTCCCGGACAAGAGGACCTTGAATCTCCTCCACACATCACATATCACAATGCCACCACTTCGGTCAAAGGCTTTCATCAACGTTGACCTTGGAGAAGGTTACGGGAACTTCAAATGCGGCCCCGATGAGGAGCTGATACCCCTCATTGACCAGGCCAATGTGGCCTGCGGCTTCCAGTGAGTACTACTGCTCATCTTCTACTTTGGTCAAACATCGAGCTCATCCAGCGATGATCCCAGTGCCGGTGACCCCCTTATAATGATGGAAACAATCGCCCTGTGCAAGAAACACGGGATCACCGTTGGCGCACACCCCGGACTTCCAGACGTACAAGGATTCGGGAGAAGGGAAATAAAGCTATCCCCCGAGGAACATACCGCAAACGTCATCTATCAAGTCGGTGCGCTCCAGGGGTTTCTGGCTCGGGAGGGCGTGCCGCTGCACCACGTAAAGCCGCACGGAGTCCTCTACGGTATGATGTGTCGGGACTTGGAAGTGGCCCGAGCTGTCATAAAGGGAGTCCCTCCAGGCGTACCGGTAATAGGGCTTGGAGGAACATTTATGGAGCAGGCTGCTAAAGAGCTCGGAGTGCCCTTCTGGGCGGAGTTGTTTGGAGATGTCAAGTACCGGGCCGATGGAAACCTGGTCATTGATCGGAAGAAGAAACCCTGGAAGATCGAGGACGTCAAAGCCCATGTCCGGCAACAGGTGGAAGAATCGTCCGCGACGTCTGTAGATGGCACGACCGTCGAGATGGCTGTGGGAAACTACCCTGTCACGATCTGTTGCCATTCTGACTCTCCGGGGTGCTTGGAGATTGTCAAAGCCACCCGGGAGGTGGTTGACGCCTTCAACAAGGCTCATGGGTTTGCCTAAGCAGTATATCCAAAATCATGATACAGGATGCCCATGAGAGCACATATTTTCCACGACTGGCAGAAGTACTATGCAGTTGGGAAGCCAATAGACCAATGGATAGCGGCATGGATCCTTATCGGAAACGTCAGATTACCGTCAGTCGCATCAACAGCAGAGTCCAATAGCGTAAGGATCTCCCGTGCGTGTCGATCATCCATGATAAAGCCGGGCTGTTAGTGTGTGATGGTGAGCTGATAAGCATCCCACCTGGTCGAAGGGTGGTGGTGGTGCACTGGTGCTGCGTCCCTTGCTTTTCGAGATATGGCCAGCCTTCCATCGACTCAAGTAGCGTGAAATCGCGGCCCTCTGCCGTTGAGATAAGATAGTCCGCCCCCCGTAAGAAAAAGAAGCTCAATTCCATATGGATTTCCCAACACCTGCGGGAGCTATCCCACGGCAGCTCCAACAACCAGAACAATATGTCAGAAACATTCCAAATCTCCCCGCCACTTAGTCAAGGCGTGGGATATGGTATCATTGTTGGCCTTGGAGCGACCTTTGCCATCGGCATGTCGGGCGTGTCGTGGTTTCTCGGCCGGTACATGAACGAGGTGCAGGACTCGGAGATGTTCATGACCGCCAGGCACTCCGTCAAGGTTGGCCTGACTGCCTCGGCGGTTGTTTCGTCGTGGACCATCGCCGCCACTTTGCTAACCTCCACCACCTACGGCTACTCCTACGGCGTCTCGGGACCTTACTGGGTACGTCAGTTGCCAGTCCCTCTACCCTCTACTTCCTGCCACTGATATCTACCAGTACGCAGCCGGAGCCTGTGTGCAGATTCTCCTCTTCTCAGTCGCAGCCATCGAGCTGAAACGCCGAGCTCCCAATGCGCAGACTTTCCTTCAGGTCGCAAAGGTCCGCTATGGCACCGCGGTCCACGTCATGTTTTCCCTCTACTCGCTCGTATACCAGCTGATCTCCGCCGTCAACCTCCTCGTCGGCGGCTCCACCGTGTTCTCCGTCATGACAGGCGTGGACCGCAATGCCTGCTGCTTCCTATTCCCCATCGGGGTGGTCATCTACACCCTCATGGGAGGCATCAAGGCCACCTTCGTCACTGACTGGGTACACACCATGATCATCTACGTGATCATGCTGATGTCTGTCTTCGTGGTCTACTCCACATCAGACCTGGTAGGGTCTTCTGACAGGATGTGGGAACTGCTTCGTGAAGCATCAGCCCTCCACCCGGTGTCGGGCAACGCTGAAGGATCGTACCTGACCATGAAAAGCCCAGGTAGATCACACCATCTTTCTCTGTACAAATAAGTCAACTAACAACCACAAAAAAGAGGGTGGGTACGTCGGTCTAGTCTTCGTCGGAGCTGGCTTCGCAGCTGCCGTTGATTCCCAACTCTTCCAGAAAGCCATCGCAGCCGATCCTCGCAGCACCTCCGCCGGCTACATCCTCGGAGGTCTCTCCTGGTTCACCATCCCCTTCGTTCTCGCATCAACATACGGCATTCTCGCCGCTGCAACAGAACAGCTCCCCCAATGGCCCACCTACCCGAACACAATGAATGCCTACGAAGTCTCCTCCGGCATGGCAATGCCCTACGCGGCATTAGCAGTAATGGGAAAAGGCGGCGTCGTGGCGATCATGCTGATGGTCTTCATGGCCGTGACCTCCGCAATGTACCCCTCCCATCCATCCCACATCCATCCCTCATCCAAGCCCCAACCCCACTAACCCATCCAGGTCCTCCGAAACCGTCGCCACCACCGCCCTCCTCACCTACAACGTCTACCAAGCCTACATCAACCCCACAGCGAGCGGCCGCCAACTCATTCACTTCTCCAACTGGGTCGTCCCGATATTTGCCATCGTCGCCGCCGGTGTGGCCGTCGGATTTAACCACGCCGGCTTCAGCGTCTCGTTCCTGATCACCGCCATCGGTATCTTCGTCGACTCCGCAATCGTCCCCATGGCATGCACAATCATGTGGCGGAAACAATCTAAGACCGCGGCGTTGATCGCGCCCCTCGCCTCCTCTGCGGCAGGCATCCTGGCTTGGATCCTCAAAGCCTACACCGAATACGGAACCATCACTATCACCACTCTCAGCGAGAACCCACCCCTCGTGGCCGGGAACATGATGTCGCTTTGTGGGCCACTGGTGCTTACTCCGCTGATTACGTTCCTCGGCCCGGAGGACTTTGATTGGGAGATTCTCAAGACGCAGATTAAAAGTGATCAGCCGGAATCGGAGGTTGATATCCAGCATGAACTCGAGAACGAGAAGATTCTTCTTACAGCGAGAAATCGCTCAATCGCGATGAGCGTCTTCTTGACTTTGGCGTTTCTTATCCTCTGGCCTATCCCGATGTATGCGTCGGAGTATGTGTTCTCAAAGGGCTTCTTCAAAGGTTGGGTTGTTGTCATCTTTCTTTGGGCTTTCTTTGCCGCGGGAACGATCACCCTGTTGCCTGTCTGGGAGGCGAGGGACTCGATCAGAGCGTTTGTTAGACTGCTAACCGGGAAAAGGGTGATTAACGGAGACGGTGCTCCATACGCTGGTGAGGATGGTGGCGATGATCTCGGGGATCGGGCCAATACTGAATCCGAGAAAGGATTCTCGATGAGAGTGAAAGGGGAGGGTGCCTAAATGAACATCCAGTATGAGGAATGGCGCCACGACTGTTTATTATATATATTTTTACCGTCCATCTCATATCTCATCCATCAACTAAGATACATGACGGAAATCTTAGTTACTTTTCATTTAGGCACAGTATACAAAATAATTCTCAATCAAAACACTTCCTTATATATATCTCTCAGCTACTACAGCCCTTCTCAACGTGTCTTTCACCTAGGTCCTAGTCGCATGAGGGTGCTAGTGTTTATAATTCTCCATGAAGGATATCATGAGAAAGGCTATCCAGAGATTATAAACAACCTCTCAGTCGACTCGTCACCCCCCCCTCCTCCTCCTCCTCCTCCTTTTCAAAACCCTCCACTGTTTTCACACCAAATCTCCTCCCCAAAACAACCAACTGCGCCACCACCAACGAACTCCGAAAATACACCGGATCCCCATCCCCATCCCCATTCCCATCCCCAAACGCCTTCACCAAATTCTCCCTCACCCTTGGCCAATCCAAAAACCCCAATCCCTGAACATTCCTCTCCGTCACCAACCGCTCAAGGATCCCATGCACCGCCCCACCCTTCCTATACCGCGTAGGCCCAATATAAGGCTGTTTCATCCGCTCATACACCTCGTCCGTAATAAACGGCCTCATCGCCTCACGCAGGATATACTTTTCGCGGAAGTTTCTCTTCACAGGGTCGTATTTTATCTTCAGGCTGGGAGGGATTGTGTTCACGTATTTGGTTAGATGGTGGTCCAGGAAGGGTGTTCGTGTCTCGATCTGATAGACCATGTCGATGTTGTCGCCTAGGTACCGCAGGATGTAGTTGGCTAGGACGGACTTGGTCCATTGGTATTGGGAGGAGTTTAGTGGGTGCCATTTTTGGGTTATGTTTGCGAGGACTTTGGAGCTGAAGCTTTCGGCGAAGGAGGTTTCTGGGGCGCTGGGGGTGGTGGTGGCATTGGAATTGGAATTGGAGTTGGGCTTGGGTTTGGGCTTGGGTTTGTATGTCCACTCCGCGAAGGGGATTTGGTATACCCATTCTATTCGGGGGAATATGGAGCTCTGGTTGAGCTTTTCGGCGGCGTTGGCGTCGGTGGATTTGATTACCGTACCGGCGACGCCCCGGGCGACCATCTCGTCGGCGGCTTTCCACATTTCTGTCGTTTGGGAGATGGCGGCGTCTGAGGCTGAGGTTGAGGCCCAGGAGTAATCTGGTTCGAGGAGGTAGCTCCATAGGAAATCCCCGTAGCCGGCGAAGTGCTCGTCGGAGCCTTCGCCGGTGAGAATCACTCGCTTTCCTGCTGCGTGGGCCGCCTCGGCGAGTGCTAGTCGCCCCATTCCGTTGACGTCGGGGATGGGTGTTTCGGTGTGCCAGACTGTGTCTTCGAGTCGGGAGGCGATGGTCTCTTCGTCTAGGTGGACGGGGCGGAAGTCTACACCGAGCCATTGTGCTGTACGTTGTGCGATGTCTGGCCCTTGTTAGATGCAATGCAACTGGGCTGTTAGTATGGGGGGGGGGGGGGGGGGGGGCTCGTACCTGACTCGTCGAAACCGCTGTCCTTGTCAAATTGGACCGTGAAGCAGCTTAATCGTGAAATATTCCCGCTCGAATCGTCTCCCAGGCTTTCTCCTTGCTGCATTATATGGGCGGTCATTCCTGCGATGGCGGACGAGTCTAGTCCTCCGCTCAGGAACACTCCCACGCCCACATCTGCTCGGAGTCGCAGCTGTACTGATTCCAGTAACAGCTCTCGCACTCTGGCTACTGTATCGGCTTCGGATTCGGGGTAAGCGTCATGCTGTGGCATGTTAGAACCAAGATCACTTTATATCTGGGCCACTCACTCACTTTGCAGGGATAGTCGAGATCCCAATATGTCCTGACTTCACCCTCATTAAACCCCCGACTAACGAGATACTGCCCAGGTCTAACCTAGACAAAAATAAGCTATACTCAAATTGTGACGCGAGACAATCAAAGAACCTACCCTGTACACACCCTTAAAAAACATCCCAGGCCCATACATCCACCCCTTTTCCTGAAGACTCACAACATCCCACTCCGGCCTCCACCCAAAAGGCAAGAAAGACTTCATCTCAGTCGCGACCAGCAATCGCCCATCTACGACTGTATAGTAAAGCGACTTAATCCCATACCGATCCCGGGCTGCGATGAACAGTTTCCGCTTTGCATCCCATAGCACCAGGGCGAATTCGCCCCGCAAATGCGACAGGAAAGACTCCCCGTAGCGCTGATATAGCGCGATGACGACTTCACAGTCACACTGGCTTTTGAACTTGTATTCCGTTGCCAATTCGGTCCGGATCCGCTCGTCGTCGTAGAGCTCGCCGTTTACGACGGCGTGGATGGTGTCGTCGGTGTTGTGAAATGGTTGGTTTCCTGCTGGGCTGAGGTCGATGATGGAGAGGCGGACGTGGCCGAGACCTTGAGGTTGAGGATGGTCATGTGTGAGCGGGGTCTCTTTCATGGGAAGGCAACGTCCTCCTGACTTACCCACGCGCCTGTCGCCGCTGAACCAGTGTCCTCGCGCGTCGGGACCTCGGTGTTTGATCAGATCCAGACTCTCTCCTACCTGCGATCTCAGATCTGGAGCTTCTTTGGAAGCATCTTCTGAACCTGGACAGTTGGGGCCCCCGCTGAGAGCAAGAAATGCTGTCAATCCGCACATTGCTACCTTGATGTATGGCTGGTTTAGCCTGTCTCGATGAAAACTCGGAGCCTGAGCGGCGATGAGACCATCTCTCTTATACCACTCGGAAAGCTGAAGGCTCGCCCAGTGGGTGGGCTGAGGCGAATGCAGATGGCAAGGAATAAGGTGATAATGAAACCTAGTGATTTCTTCAGGAGCATTCACCGGAATTTGACTCGATTGCAGCTGTCTCCACACGCCCACCCCGCCATCAGCTCAGGACGTCGTCGCACAACGGCGACATGTTGTCTAACCTCGGGCATTACGATGTCGGAGTGTTTACGTTGTCCCTTGCGGGGGATCCAGAAAAAGAAAAAGCGCAAGGACTATCTTGAGCTTCAGGCTTGTGCCAGGGACAATTCCAAGTTGACACATAAGTAGCTCATCTGATGGTTTATGTGATATTATCAACGAGGTAGGCAAAGTGGGAGCAGCACGGACTACTAAAGCTTTTGTGGCCCGCTTACTTCGGTCCTCGACGTCCGAGAACAGAATTGTAGTTGAGTATACACCCCGGACAGTGATGAGAGTGTTAGTTTGTCATTGTATCTGACTATTTAGTACGTTTAGAGCTCTATCAGACTATTGACAAGCTGCAGAGGATCAGTGGCCGAAGCAAACGAACCCTTCCCAACCCACTTAGCCGCGGACTAAAGCACCATATACCTTGTCTGGATTGATATGATCATCAATCTGTCACGCAGACTTTCGGCTAGGCTTGGAATACCCATATTCACAACAGACAAGGAATGAGTTGTGGTGGACTACTTCCTCCTACGACTCTGCAGAAGGCACGGCAGCTAGAGGGGTACAGATCTCGGATCGAAGCCTCTTTTGGGTGGAGAGATGATTCATCAGGAACTTTTGTCTACATCCATCAGCAAGGAAAAGGCCATCGTGAAGAATACGTACGTCTCAGGAAACATGAATGGAGAGCAAAAGCTGACGAGTGCCATTGCCGAGCTCCATCCAGTGGATTTCAAGCAGGGGGTTGAAGCGCTTGAATTTCAGCATAGCGGTGAGACATGACGCCAGACAAGTCACTATCCCAACCAGGTATTTGGTCGGAACCAAGCAGTCCCAGCTTGGATCTTCTGATTGAGCCATTTTCCACTGGTTCCAGGATGATCTCCCGGAAAGTGTATCGGAAGATCGCGGGATATGTTCAATAAAGTTGCGGTTCTCGATATCCCGATAGTTTAGGGTGTTTGCCTTTGCACATGGCCTATGGTATTGCTCCCTTGCGTCACAATCCGATACCCACCTGGCTAGCGTCCAAACATATCGTTGATCGAGTGTTAGTTGCAGATCCGATGTATCTCGGGGTTTCGCCCAACGCTATCCGACAGTAGTGTTCCAGCACTTGGGTATCATCAGCTAAATGCAACAGGGATGAATAGACCTAGCAATGGAAAGATAGCCGAGAACCTTGGATCATCAACAAGATTGGTTTCTTTGAGCGTATCGCGGGAGAAGCAGCTTTCGAGGTAAATGTGTCTGACGGTTCTGCTGCGCCTAGAACAGCCGTCTTAAGTTGATCGAGAAGACCAGAGCTATCATGGTCTATGTTCCCGGGAAAGAAGTCAAGGAATGCCCACATGAGAAGCAGAATAACTTTGGACGCGTATATGGTGGCTCCATCAACTGCAGGTGGCTAAAGCGGGCTGATCTGGAGGTCAGAGGCAATTCGTGTATCGCCATGAGGTTGTACAAGGCAAGAAATCTGAGAGCTCACTGAAGATATCCTGCAGAGCTCATCACGCTTCCAATTGTCATTTTGCCTTCTTGAGGTCTCAATCATCCTATTGCATTGCACATCCCTTCACAAGCAAATCAATTATTTACCTATAAACCTCTGACGCGGCTCAACGTTGGATCAGCCAATAGGACTGGAGATATGAGATATTCCGAGATCATTGCTTGCTGCCACTGCTAATATATTCTGCCCCTCGATATATCGGGTAATTACCTGTTCGTCAAATCTATAACGGAATACGGCTCTTCGATGCAGTCATATTCTGCCTGACGAATACCCACAACTATGGATCGTGCGCAAGGAGCTTGCATTTACCGGGCCTGCTCGCTTTGTTGGCTTCCTTTTATGCTCAGGTGATAATGAGCGGAATAGCGACGGATTCAATATCCTTCGTGTGGCTATTCGATATGTTTCCGCTGACTGGTAGACCCAGATGCCGGTCGACTCCTTGCAGGGGATTTCGGGATCCGGGATTGGTGAAGATAGAACTTCCGCTATTTGCTCCCCTTGGTTTGTTGAATGGGTGAGGTACCTGTCACAGGCCTCCCATTGAAAGGTATTAACGGAGAGGTTGCTAGTTTCTAGGGCTCCTTATTCATGGACTTCTCCGTTGGCTTTCCTCAAGGTCCTTATGCACGACATTCTTTCAACTATAATGACAGCTATGACGAGGTCTAACGTCCCCCATTTGCAGCAGCTTGGGCAGTTCCGTGTGTTCCATCCGCGTTGGCCCTACCTTGCAAAGATTTGGTCTGTGCCATGGCCCTGAGAAAAGTCTCTAAGCGCTTTTCAAAGACATTTGTCCAATCGTCCAAGCCTCCTGGCCAGTACTCGGGCTTTTCGATAAGAAGCCACCAGGGCGGGGCACAGGAGAACTCTGCCGGAGCGGCATAGGTAAACTCCCAGTCTAAGACTCCAACAATTTGGGAATCTTTCACAAGAACGTTGGCTGGACGGAAATCATCACACCACACGCAGAATGGCCGTTTTTTGAGTGCCGAAGTTGTAAGTTTATCACACCTAGCGAGTCTGCGGAAGAGCTGTCTAGCAACATACTTTCGCCGGCAATCATTCGCAGAGTCTACCGCATCATTTCTCTGATGAACCAGATGCTTGATATGGAGCTCAGCGAGGGCTTCAAAATACGACGCTGCCGAGTCAAATGTGGCGTTCTGGTTCGGGAGCTCGGATCGAGGCAGAGTCCCTACTCGGACAAGCTCGTTCATACCAGCTGATAAGGGACGGCGTGTCACCTCCCAAGTAAAGTCATCCACCTGGTTAAGAGAGCCTATTCGAGGCAGAGCTAGAGTGGAGAGCTGCAGCAAAACACCCGCCAGCTGTCCATAAAGCTCCTCAAGCTTTTCTTCGTCAATATGTGGATCCAAAATCGGAGCGTCTGCAAGCGCAAGACCCGGTGTATTGAGAGCATCAACCATATCCCCATCATGATCAATATACTCCATCAGAACGAACGGACCAAGCCTCGACGGCCCCTCTGCTCCCCAATGCAAGACAAATGGAACAGGAATCGACGTCCGGTCATGGATATACCGCATCACGGCGACCTCATTGCGAATCTTCTCTTCGGGAAACATCGAGACCCCGGGCTGCGAGAATCGGATCATGGAGGAGCTCTCATCTCTGTACTTCATCCGCACACAGATGTTGAAGAAGCCCTTGCTGAGTGCCCCGAATTCGGTCACTTCGTCGGGCTCATGGTGTCTCCAGACAAAGCGCCCGAGGGGTCTCAGTAACTCGGGGTCTAGAAATCGACGCAGCCAGTTCTCGGAGATTTCTTCGCCTTTTTCCCATGCTGTGTCGTCGAATTGCATGCGTTGGTGCATGGCTGGTCTGGGTTTGATGGATTCCGAAATATATTGATTGGATGTGACAGGGATCGTTATGGTTGAGGTGAGCGTATTTCCCGGTTGGTATAGACGAGTAACTAGGTAAGTAGGAAGGCAGGAGCAATCAATAGGGGTCACCAAAACACCAATGCCGAGAACCCTTTGTCCTTCCTTGTCCAATGCACAGTCACATCATTCAGGCAGAGACGTCGATCATACAAATCAAGGTGGCGTGTCACTTTTCCCCTCTCAGCCCGACGTTTTTTCTCCTATGAGACATAAATCAAATCGTGGTGGTTAGCTTCCTCCAGAAGATTGATTGTAGGCAACCCCCAGTTTAAGCGCCGGCGCCACCCTGATACGGTCACACCCAGCGCACGTACATAAGCGCCGATGAATTAATTCCCCAGGATCACAACCCCGGAGAAAAGGAGATTACCACCAGTATAGATACCAGTTTTGATGGTTACAGGCAGGTGCTATCCTCAGATTCATCTTTACCGTACTTCCAGCCGCCGCCCTCCCCGGTTTCCGTACACTATACCGAGAATACACAATACAGATCCAGACCGGGAGAACGGCCGGGAAGGGCAGGGCAGGGATGCGGTGGATATTATGACGTCGGATCGATCTGACGCGATCTTATCTTGGTTTTACTTGATGGTCGAGGGAAATGGGGGAAATGGGTACGGTACGGTGTATATATTCTGGTGAGGGTCAGGGGTGGATCGATTATTAAATCTTGGGACCAAGGCACAACTATTTATATCCAAATCGATTCCGCTCTAACATATTTGTAGAATATCTCGAATGATCGATCCTATATTCTACGGAAGAAACCTAACTCACAGTATTGTTGAAGGGAGGGATGTGGTATTTTTAGAAATAATACATAACCCGGTGGAGCGCGCATAAAATACAGGGTCCCGGTGCATAAGGCGGTATCAGGAAGCGTAAGGGAAATGCGTCAGTATAGAACCGAACTGGTCCTGTTTCTGTTCCTGTTACCTCGATGTAATTACTCCACCCCTGCCTGCTCATTCTCACCTGGCACTATATAAGCTGCCACTGCCATCCCATCCTGGCTGTTTCATCCCCAATCTAACCTCCAACCCCCATCTGTGATCTGCCGTCCGATTTAACTTCTCGCACTAAAATGGCCCATCCAACAACCACCACCCACCAACCAACACACTTCAAAAATCTCAAAAATCTCTGCGCTGGGAACGACCCCGGTTAAACCGCTGCACATCCAAAACCAAGGACAAGATACGCCAGCAATGGACCGTCTCCCCGCCGAGATCCTCCTCCTAATCGCCGACCAGTTCCTGTTCATCTTCTCCGCCCAAAGATGCCAGCTCCTGCAGGTGTGTCGGCGCTGGCGCTCGGTGCTCTTCCACGCCGTGTACGACCGGATCCTCGTTCGACAGCACCGACTCCCGTCCCTGATGCGAGCAATCGCCATCAACCCCTCCATCGGATCATCCATCAAACACCTCCGCATCATCCCGCACTATGTGCCCAAGGCCCAGCGCACGACCCACGAGGTCGCGTCCTTCGCCCCCCTCATACAACACATCAGCCAATCACCCGAAGAGGTCCTTGAATGGACGATTGCCCTAACCCAGGATGAAAACCATGCCTGGCTCGGCCTTCTGCTCGTCTCCCTGGAAAACCTCACCTCGCTATCCATGACCTGGTCTGGGCGACAGCCTTTCGTCCGGCGGATCGTCTCCCGCGCCGCCATGCGCGAGGGCCCCTTCGACACAGACCCCATACTACAGTATCTCGAGGGCTTCGATATCGATTACCTAGATCACAAGGACTACCACGTCCACCAGCAGTTCTTCCCTTTCTTTCACCTCCCATCCATGCGCTCCATCCGGCTAGAATGCGTCATCGAATCTACCCGGCTCCGCAACACCACCGCCCTCAGCCTTCCCCCAGCCGGAACCTCCCCCATCACCTCCCTAGATCTTCGCAACGGCAACAGCAACAAAGGCATGGCCGAATACATCACCGCGTGCGCCAACCTCCAGGAATTCAAATACCAGCACCGCAACCAAGCCATCTGGGCGGAGCAATACATCGGATTCCGGCCGCGGGCCTTCTACCACGCGCTCGTCACGCAGAAACACAGTCTGCGGGTCCTCCACCTCAACGACAGAGGCGAGCACGACAACGATGACTTTTCCGATGACGAAGACGACGCCGAGACCGATGACTTCCCCGGTAACTTCTTCGGCTCCCTGTCGGAGTTCACGCAGCTCTGGGATCTGCGCATCCCTGTCGTCAATCTGCTCAGCTTCCATCTGAGTCATGGGAAGAAAGTCACGACACTTAAGCAGATCCTTCCCCGCAGTCTGAAACGGCTGTATCTTGCTGATTTCAGGAACGAGCAGTGGGATCCGCTGTTGAGGAATCTGTTGGAGGTGGTTGCGCTACGTGAGATGTTTCCGTATCTAGAGCGGCTAGAGATTCAGACTACGGCTGGCAGGCTGATAGAGCAGAGGGGAGGGCCGCCGTTGACGGTTAAAGAGGCGTTCGAGCCGCTTGCTGCGGCGTGTGAGAAGGCGGGGATTCAGTGGAGTATTGCTCAGAGAAGGAGGTGAGCTGTATTCGATGGGTCCGTGCCTGTGGATAGGTGCGGTTAGTTATAGATGATTTATCATCATCTACTTGCATCCTCAACGGCGACGGTTTGATGACTATAGTCTCTAGAAATGGATCAAAGATAATAGATCAATTCAGCTTTGCTGATCTCTATACCCCGTACCCAGCTCTAGACCTCAGTAGATGCCTACCTACTTATATACACTCAGGCAGCAACCACATCCAGCATCTCTACCTAGTAGTACTTATGTACTATAGTTCCCTCCGCCCACCCACACAGCCAGTGAATCCAACACTGACCCTCACTTAACGAAATAAAACCCCCAGCCCCATTCCCAATCCATCCTCAGAACCCCCAACACAAAATAGATAAAGAAGTACTTTACCTCTGCTGATGACAAGCCTGCCTACCTACCTACCTACTAGAACAACCCCCCTCCCCCCAGTAACATGAAACAACTAACCTGCCGATCAACTAATATCACCCACCCACCCACCCACCATCGTTAACTACCTACCTACCTACCTACCTACCTACCGACCAACCGAGCTAACCCCCGCGCCCAACTCAAAAATAACTAACCCTCCTTCCAACATACATCCAACAAAAAAAATATATCCGAGAAATACGTGCTACTTATATAGCTGTCCACCCTACCAAAGCTAGAGCCAACTCGCTGGATAGATAGATAGATAGTAGTGGTGAGGCGGTAGTAATTTTACTGGTTGTTTCCATTTCCATTTCCATACTAGGTATATATACTATACTATACTATACTATAGTACTATACTATACTTCGTACGCTCTTATTGGTGGTTTGGTAATTATACTAGTAGTACCTTATACCTACCTACTAACTATACCACATCCATCCACCCACCCACCCACCCCGGGTATCTTGGATTCGGTTCAGTTAAGGGTACGTCGTACCTTTTGGCGTGGCCGAGGTTAGTTACACCTTCTGTGGGTTAACTACTCGTGTTTGGTAAGTAAGTAACTTAATAACCTAGTACAAACAGGTTAACTATGATAGTACTAAATATCAATGTTGGAATTTGGTTTACTTCATTCGTCCCACTGTTGAGGAGCAGGGTTTTGGGCATCGTTTATTACATTTTCACCATCGGTGGTTTACCAATGTCTAATGTTTCATCGAAATGATAGGATGGGAGAGATAAATCACGTAGGGAAGATTACGAGGTTAGATATAGATATATAACCAACCATCTGAACCAACCCACCGCCCTTAACTACTACCAGTAATTGTACTTACTAGTAGTATTTAGTCCACTACAACTACAACTACTACAACTACAGCGCAGAACCAAGCACATCAAAATCCATTCTGAAACAAGACAAGACAAGATACAGGCAGGGTTCGATGCACCTATTGCTGGAAGTGATTAAAGTCGACCGACCGCCGATCTCGACGAAGTCAACAAAACAACACAAGTAAAAAAAAAAAAAAAAAAGAAAAAAAAGTAAAAAGTAGTAGAGACTCATGACAATCTTGCTCCTAGAAAGAAAAAAAAAGACAAGGAAAAGAAACAAAATACCTTGTTACAAGTAAACAGCAGAAGAAAGAAAAAAGAAGAGTCGTAATAGTAGAACATTCGAAGGTGTTCAACAACCGAACGCATCAAGCGGACTCGTGACTGCGATATGCGATATGGGCAGGTTAGGTATCCATCCATCCATCCATCCGCCCAAGGTTGGTTTTTCTAAAAAAAAAAAGAAACCCCAAGGGCCTTCGACAAGAAATGATTGATAAATACACAAGCCGCACTTCGGGAGAGAAGAAGCTGAACCCAGTCAAAAGTTTGAAAGAAACAATCCAGACGCGATTTTCCCCCATGAAACAATTGCTACTCGCTCAATTAACGGACAAAACAGCTGCAATATCGTGGCAGATTAGTTGACGCGGAATGCATCGAAGATCACTAGAGGAGTTAGCCGGGATACATATACGATCGGAAAGAAAAGCCGTGGCTCACCTTCGTGGCCCCTGCGGCAGCCACTGCCAATCCACATCAGGGTGTTCAAAAACGCGTAACGTTCGTCTCCAGTCTCCATGTACAGGTTGATGCGATACTTGTAGGTGTTAGGATTGATGCCGTCTGCCATGCCGGAATCGTTGACCTTATCTAGAACATCCTTGGCGCCGGTCAACCAGCCGTTGGTCTTCACCACGATGTACGCGGGCGGGTCGTCGGCCGTCTGGAGCATGTAGCTGGCGCGGAGGCTTGTCGAAGATTCCTTGGTCACGACCTGCGAGTCCTGGCCTCCCGGCTATCCGCGGGGTTAGCATCCGACCGGCGAATTGTGTATGCAAGACAAAGAACTCACCAGAACAATGCCTTTACCCCATCTGCCCGCCCACTGGCCTCCGACAAACGTCACCCAGTCGCGCTGACCCCAAAGACTCTCGCCCACCGAAACCTTGGGGTTCATCTTGATGCTCATGCGGAAATCCAGCTCCAGGGTCGGCGCGGGGATCTGCAGCGAACGCGCCACGTCGCCTTCGGGGAAGGTGTGAAGAAGGTTGTTGGCGGGGATCGAATCTTTCATGACGCTGAGGTAGGTGGGGCACTCGAGCAGATGCTGGCGCTGACGGCTGGTGTTCTTCGCGCGAACCTGCTGGCAGTAGATGCATTGCACGGACAGACACTGATCATCATCGTCGTCGTCGGTCAGACACAGGGTTCCTTGGGCTTGGGGCAACGGGCAGGCAGGGTCCACTCTCACCTTGTCTTCTTCCTTTGCACGGAACTCCACAAATGCAGCATGGACGTCATCGAGGGGCGGCGCGGGAAGGCTCGAGGACGCGTTCTTGGGCTTTGCTTTGGGGGTCGCACGCGCCGCCTGCTGGGAGGCCGAGGCCGTGGAGGCAGTACCGGGCGGGCCTGAGGTGGGCAGGGAGGCGCGACCCTGCATGTTCTGCAGCGGGGTCTGCATCGGGGTGGCATGGGGGTTGACGCCGTTGGACATCATGGGCCCGTTGGGAGTCGTGAGGGCTCCGGCGCCAGGACCAGGGCCCGGCGCGGTGGCCGCGGTGCCGTTCGGGGTGGGCGTGTATCCATTGGCGGCGGTGATACCGTTCGCGGCGGACTGGCTGGACTGGGACGGGGGCTGGGGGTTGGCGTGACCGCGCAAGCCGGGGCACTCGAGGAGATGCTGCTTCTGACGCGAGGTGTTCTTTGCGCGGATCTGCTGGCAGTAGATACACTGGACGGACAGGCACTGGAACGAGGAGAAACGGTCATGTCAGTGACGGTGACGAAGACGGTGACGGTGACGGGCGTGTTTCTGTGTTGTGTTGTGTTGGGCGGCGCGGGCGAAATATTACGGCGAGGGAAATACAGAGTCACGCACCTTATCGTCTTCCTTGGCGCGGAACTCGACGAACGCCGCGTGAACTTCCTGGTCGACGGTCCGACCCATGTTCACGACGAAAGGGCTGAATAAATCGATGGTGGGTGGATTGCACGGGGGGAACCGACTAGAAAAGAGATGCGGAGGAGGCCTCCGAGAAGATGGGGGGATGAGGTGGGAGGAGAGGGGGGAGGGGGAGGGGAGGATTCGATGGGAGGGAGGATGAGGATGAGGACGAGACGAGGAGGAGACAGACAGGCAGTAAGTCGGGGAGCGCGCGAGTGAAAAGGGAAGAGAGAACGAGACGAGACGAGACGGAACCGAGACGGTGACGGTGGCGGTTAACTTACGCGAGCCCGTCAGGACGAGTTCTTACCAATCCGCGTAATTTCCGTCCCGAGGGGTCCAAAGTCAAATTCTGTCACGCGGTTGCCTACACTTTGCATTCACTTACTTCAAGTACGCAATTCATTGGAAATACTTCATGATTTCAAAAGCAATTTTATGTTTCCTCTTTTCAACTGACTTACCTACCAGTAGCAAAAAAAAAGAAAAGAAAAGAAAAGAAAAAGCCAATCCCATCATGAAAAGTATCCATACCCATACCCCCGTATGGAACGCTCGGCACATTTACGGTTTCGACATACCGCGTCTCACACCTTACTTAGTACCTAAGGTACTACTCTTACTTACCTAACCCAGTAAGGTAAGCAACAGCAAAAGAGGCAGTTCATTCAAGTATCGGACCCGCGCGGATATGTTATGTTACTATTTTACTACTAACTACCTGATGCCCTCGTATTTCGCATGACCACTCACCCCCGATGTACTACCATGTCTTTGGACCCTGAGTGAGTTTGACTTAAATGAGTCTGATTTGACCTCAGTAGTTAAACAAGTCTGATCGTCAGGAAATAACTCCCGTCTTGGTCTCAGTCAGTCAACCAGCCAGCCAGCCAGCCAACGGAGTAGTTATATACGCTGCGTCAGATCTGACCAGACCAGCCAAGCCAACGAACGGACGAACGAACGAGGTGCGAGGGCACAGCCACCACCATCACCACCATCATCATCATCACCACTACCACCACCACCCACACCACTTACCGCACCGCATCACCGTTGCGTGTTCCCGTGTCGTGTCTACTGTCAACTACCTACCTAGTAGTAATAGGTGGTTTTAAAGATCAGACCCCTGAGTAGTTCGCAGAGAACAAGCGGGTGTACCGGTAAGAAGGGAACGTGCGATGCAGCTAGTAGCTACTGCTCCATAGGCTAGCTAACTATCTAGCTATCTAGGTAGATAGCTCCCTCCATCCATCCCCGATCGGATCGGATCTGATTTGATCTGACATGTTAGATCCAGATGCCGCCGCCATCCACAAGATACTTACCTAGTACATGATCCGTAGATGGAATAGTGGTCAACAGAGTAGTAAATGTAATACTGCATACGTATGCGTATCCCGGTACGGATCTAACCCCTCCGTCGGCGCCGATGGTTTTACCACCCGGTGTATCTATCCATCTATCTATCTAATACCTAGTGCTGCCTACTAGTAAACTACAGTAGTAGACTAGTAACCACCGAACTGTTTGTTTTTCTTTCACCTGTTCACAGTTGTCTGGGGAAATGGCTGATGAGTGATGACTACCTTAGTAGTTGGGTTGTGTTAGTTCCGGGGTACTGGTTCCAGGGTCGGACCCACCAATTAGACTATCGCGTTATCTTTTGGGGGTTTCTTCCGGGGGGGAAGGGTGGGCTTTTTCTTGGGTCGTGAGGGGGTGAGTCTTTGTTCGGGTAGGAGGGGTTCGTCATCAAGGGTGTCGCTTGATGGAATGATGGTGGTGGTGGTTTTGGTATGCGGTTGGTTGCGTTGCGCCCAGGATAGGATCACAGACTAGGATTGTTGCGGGAGATGTCTCGCAGGTGACTGACTCGAGTTGGTTGGTATCCCCTGCAATGATGGAAACAACATGGATTGATTGATTGATCTTAAAATAGCTCCGTGACTCGTACAATGATGAGATGAATGAGTGCTGTTGGTGGTGTGGTGCACGGCACCCCGAAACCCAGCAGACTCTTACATACAGTGGAGATGAAAGAAACAAAGAAAGAACGTCGCGCACTGCGGGGATGGTCATTCCGATGGATAGACTGGCTATCATGACGAAGGAAACATGAGAAGCTCGCCCGAGGAGCATAAATGGGTACTCAATACATAGGATCGAAGATAATGGGAGATTAGTGCTGGATGTGACATTAGTTATCGGGGACCAGAGGAGCATCGAGAAGAATGAGCAAATGAAATTGAACGCAGTGCCAATGGGCCCTGCAGTAACATTTAAAACACCGACTCATAAAGTTGCGTTAAGAATCCGCTACAGACCTGGTATGCTGAGATGAATCTCCCCATACTGGTATCGGACTCCATACTCCTCACTGCTCAGATCTTCGTAGGGATCTTGATGCACGGAGAGAATTCCCCTGGTGGCGAGGGTGAGAACATGCATCAGGCCCTGAGTAGCCACAATACGAGATGTCTTCTGCGGTGGAAGAAGCCCAGTGAATGACGTTTCGTTTGGTTCAATCTCGCGGGGCGAGCCTGTTTCATTCTCACATTCGCCGTCTGCTTTGGTAGATACTGCCGCTAATTTTGTAGTCAGGAAGTCGAAGAAGTTTAAACTCTCCTGGTCCAGGCTTGAAGTTTGTGAATCGTCCAACTGGATAGTCCCTGGGTGAGTATCTGCCATTGGATTATCGTTGATAACTCTCTCGTTATCTGTCGCTACTTCAGTGTGTAAGTACTGGCTGAGATCGAAATCATCCAGATTCGTGTCATCGTCCTGGTTTCCCGGAATCGATAGTCTGTTGAGGCCGTCAATATCGAAAGGGTAGCCACGCGCGGCCAGTGGACTTGCGCTTGTGAGACGACTGCGTGGTCTTCGAAGCCCTGCATCTGGAAAACCATGGGATGAGAAGTCGCTGACGCTTCCCAGTCCTCGAAAGACGTTCGCAGCAGACGATCCCTGTCGAGAACTCTGGAGAGACGCTGTGATATTCCATGGCATTTGAATAGAGCTGTCGTCACGGAGAGCTGATGGGGCGTGACGGCCGATCTCAACGTCCTGCAGGCAGATGCTTAGTCTCCATGTCTAAGGTACATGTCGACATTTACGAACCTCATTCCACAATTCACCATCATGAGCCCGGCCAATCTGTTCCTCATCCTCCAGCCTCGGACGTACACATCGATCAAAGTCGGGATCTCCCTCTTCAATCGAGGCATGGACTCGTTTCTTCCCCCGGGTTTCGGGGTCAATATCGAGAGCATCCTTCAATTGCTCCCCCGAGAATAGCTCCAGCGGATGTGAGACACGGTATGATCCGACGCCGACACCAACCGAGCCAATACCCTGACCAAAGACCCAGAAGGCGGCGTTCTTCTTTGCCAGCGTGGGAAGTTTGTTTTTCAGCTTCTGCTTTGAAACAGCAGCCATATTTGCGATGTAATTATCATTCAGATGGGCGAGTTCCCTATTACGCAGGGCGATCTGGTCGTCGAAGTTTACGAGCTTGGGAACTCGTTTCTGGCGCATTGGCGCACCACTTGGTTCCACACTCACTTCATCTTCCCTAATCGGCTCAAAAACAGAAGCTCGGTTTGCAACGGGACTTGGGGCGCCAGTAGCCCGGTTGCTTTGCTCACCCCTGGCTAGGACTTCCAGTTCCTCGTCAAGGAAAATTGGCTGCAGCATTACAGAGTCAGCAAGCCTCGTCTGATTGCCAATCGAAAGGGCGTTACCTGATCTTCCATGAGAAGGTTATTGATCTCATCCATCTTCATCTCGTCCGCAAGCCTCCGTTCACTCGGAATAGCACTCATTCTGTACAGCCGCTCCTCGTCACGACGGTTCTCCGCAAGCTCTACTATATTGCCATCCTCATCAAATTCGAAGTCGGGCTGAAGAATCACGCCTCCCTCTTCATTCAGAGATAGACGCTCAATACCGCCGAAATCGAAATTCCTCCCAGTATATCTACTGACATTCGTGTCCGAGCTGAATCCACCCGCATCCCTCATGACGAGATCATGATCATCAGAATAAAGGTTCAGATTCAGACCGGTAGTCTGTGTCTGTGACAAAGCTGACTGGCTTAGATCAGGAGTCTTCGGCCACATGAGACCCGATTGTTGGCTGAGGTTTATCTCAAGCGATGCCTCCAGCTTTGAAAGGTCCAGGCCCATCCCAGGCAGGTTGTTCTCGGGGAGGAAGCTCGGATCATAAGGCAGGATGAGCTGTTCTGGCCTATGTTGAAGTTGAGCACTGAACAAAAAGCACTGAATTGTATCTGAACGAACCTCGCCCTTCCAGCCGACGGATCCAACCCCCCTCCCGGTATAGCCCTCAACATGGCTCTCATTTTATCATGCATTGCCTGGACGTCCGTAAGCGCGTACCCACACTGTTGGCTGTATACCCTCGACACTCCATATCTAAAGAAGCACGCCGTTGGTCAGCAAGAGGCCCTGGCATAACATCCATCCAAAGCCCCAACTCACAGGAGATTGCCCTGAAGTCTCAACGCCATCGGCGCCACCGGATCCATAATTACGCCACATGCTTTAGGGACATCCACGTCGAGGATTGTTCTTCTATTCAACTTCTTCGTGATCGACCTTGAGCCGAGGGTAGCAACCAGCCTACACAAGTTGTCAATGTCAGCGTCGGAGTCCCTCGTCCAGAAAGATTTCGCAAGAGATGCCCACCAGATCGTCGCAACGCCGTGCTCGGGAGATGTGAGTACTATGAAAAGACAAATCATTGGCCTTCAAAAGCTCTGATGCCGCTTGTGGCTAAGTGAGATCCATAATAACCATGGAGATCAGAATATGCTTACTCTCGTGACTATAGAACATCCTGAATCACCTTTCCACCAGAAGAACGCGCCTTGACGCGCCCCTCTGCCTAGTAATCACTTTTATAGTCCACCGGCAGGTATTCAACGCGAAGACGCGTACGAGTCAATTGTCCTACTCGGCTGTCAAGTCGCTGTGTAGTTGTAGACGCGAGTGCCCCGTCGAGGGCTATGGGAGGGTGAGTTCTCAGGGACGCGAATCAAGTTGACTAACGTCACTCACTTATCAGAGACAGTAACATCAGCGTTTATCTAATTGAGAATCCGACAAGGGGAAATGTGGAAGGCGGTGGTCCTACTTACCAGGTCTCTGCAGAGGAGCGTCGCGTTGGAAGTCGGGGTCGACGCAGGGTCAGGCGCGTAAAAGCGACTTGAATGGAGGAAGAACGTGAATAGACTGACTGGAGGATACAGCTGTGGATGGGTTGGTCTTATGATGGGGGGGGGGGGGGGGGGACAAGTGAAAGTGGAGTGAGTGAAGCTGGAAGGAGCCTCGACGTGAAGCTGGGACTCAGGCATCAAAGTATCAATGGCCTTCCACGCTGATGACTTATCAACAAAAAGCTGGAAGATATCCAGTAAATTCTGATTATCATAGAATCGGCCACTATTATTAGATTGTGCTGGATAGCCCAGAGCTGATTACATGGCTGATAGATTGGAAGCAAAAACAAGCGTGACAAGGCCAAGTGAAAAGAGTATTCAAAAGACTGCAATGAGCTTTTCCGTTCCCCCTTCTATATCGCACTGCACCAGCGCCGAGGAGACCAGACCCATACACACAAGTTGCTTTTCAGTGCCCATCGAGACAAGGAAAGAAGACACGACAGCCAGCGAGGCCAGAGGCTCTATTGAGAATAAACAAAGGGGAAAAAAGTTCGAAGGAAAAGAAATCAGGTTGACTATGGAAATTTGAAGCAGAAAATAGGGCTTCTACAAGAATCTCCAACCCATAGCAACCCAGAAGATGCACGCGGGGTATGAGACATGCGAGAAAGAACAAACCAGAAACTAAGGACGGACAATGTTTTCTCGATTCCAGAAAAAAATAAACAGATGCCCCGTATTCAAGGGGATTATATACCTACCCTCGGACCAAATCAATGTTACATGAGACGTATCTAAAAGACGCGAGATACCTATTCAAGGGGGATGCCCTGGTATTCGCCGTAGCCGAGGGCAAGGTTCATGTTCTCTGTCGCGATCACATTAGCTTCAACTCATTGGAATGACGGTGGGTAGGAGACTCACGTAGACACTGGGTGGCGGCTCCCTTCAGCAGGTTGTCGATGGTAGCGCACACAACGACACGCTTGCCGCTGGAGTGGACGGCAAAGCCACCGACCTCAACACCGTGGCGGCCGGCGATGTTCTTGACCGAAGGAGGCTCGCCAACGATCTTCACGAGCTTCTCGCCCGCGTAACGGTCCTGGTAGAGGTTGCGGATGTCGCGAGAGCTCATCTCCTCCTTCAGAGGAATGCTGATGGTGTGCTGTATCAGAGTTAGCGTGAGGTCCGTAAGCGCAGCTAGGGTTAAGAAGACTTACGTGAATACCCTGGAACCAGACAGCAACGTGGGGGGTGAAGGCAACGCTAGTTCCCAGCTGGGCGCTGATCTCTTTCTCGTGGATGTGGTCCGTCAAGCTGTAGGCGATGATGTTGTTGGTGAGGTTGTCCACGTCGTTCTTGGGGCTGGGCTTGGTGCCCGCTCCGGAGTATCCCGAGACACCGAAGACAGTGGGCTGTCCGCCAAGGTAGGGGACAAGAGGGGCAATTCCGATCTGGGCGGCCGTGGCGTAGCATCCGGGGTTGGCGATACGGGTGGCCTGGGCAATCTTGGAACGGCTGACCAGCTCGGGGAGACCGTAGGTCCACTTGCTGTCGAACCGGTAATCGGCACTCAGGTCGACGATCACGTTGCCCGTCTCGGAGCCCTGGTCGACGGCATCAACGAACGGCTTGCAAACACCGTTGGGCAGAGCCATGACCCAGCAGTCAACATCTCCGTTGGTGGACATGCGCTTAACATCTTCGGGGCTCAGGTTCTCGTAGATGATCTCACGCTTGTCGTAGCCCTGCAGCTCCTTGCCAGCCAGCTCGCGAGAAGAGACGTGGCGCAGGTCGAGGTGGGGGTGGGAGTTGATCAGGTTGATCAGGGCCTGGCCAGTGTAGCCACGGGCTCCGATCAGAGCAACCTTGGAGGGCTGGGTGTTGGAGCGGTTCTTCTCACCCAGGGGAGGGTTGGGGTTCGTCGTGGCGTAGGTCCTGACAGCCTGAACGGGGACCATGGGGCGTCCCGAACGAGCAGCCCGCAGAGCATTGCCCGTGGAGAAAGCGCGCTTCTGCTCAGCAGAAGCACCGCTCGCGCCGAATCCCTTACCGATGTTGGTGGCCGCTTGCGCGGCGCGGTGCAGCCTCGACTCGAGGTTGATATCTCCGAACATCTGGCGACCGTGCTGGTTGAACTCCTGGACCAGATGCTTAACCTCCTCACCACTCTCGATGCCGTACCAGAAGAGGACCTCTCCCTCGCGGCTGAGACTGCCATCAGCCTTGTCAAAGAACCAGGTCAGGTTCTCATCGTCCTCCTTGACAGTCCAGACCAGCTTGGGGAACTCCTTCTTGATAGAAGCAAAGACGTTGTCGGCGACGTTAGTCAACCATCCGGCCTTGGTGATGGTGAAAGTGGCCAGGTGGGCCAGGGAAGAGGTAGCATCCTTCGAGGGGGGCAGGACAACGGCCAACGCCTCCATGGGCTCGTCGTAGTAGACCTTGAAGTCGCGCTCCTTCAGACCCTCAACATAGCGGGCGACGGTGGCGCGGGCATCCAGTCCCTCGCGATCGCGGACCAGGACCTCCTTGAACTTCTCCAAGTCCTCGAACTCGGAGAGAGAGGTCTTGGTGTGGACCTTGTTGCCTCTGCGGATCAAAGTACCGGCTCCCGAGTCGGTAAAGAGCTCCTTCTGCAGGTCGGCAGGGTGGATGATGGCAACACTGGAGGTGCGGGGCAGGTCGCTGAGGAGGTCCTTCATCTCCTTGATCTTCAGACGAGTACCGTGGCGCACCCACCACTGGCTCATCAGGTGCTCGTACTCCTCGTCCAGGTTGATCGCGGAGATCTTCTCGCCCGTGTCACCGTTGAACAGGCCACCCTTCTCGGCGAGGTAGACGATCTTGAGCGGCTGGAGCGCACGCGCCAGCTCACCGGCCGCGACATCAGCGTTGACATTCAAAACCTGACCATCAGGAGTCTCAGCCATGGAGGTCAGGATGGGGAGGCAGCCCGCCTCGATGGCAGACTCAATGGGCTTCTTGTTGACGCCGTTGATCTTGCCAACCAGGTTGTACTTGTCCTTGTCCAAGTAATCGGCGGTGAAGACGCCCGCGTTGAGGGGGCGCGCCCGAACGCCCATGCGCTCCAGCTCCTCGGTCAGCTTGAGATTCTCCTCCATGAACAGCTTCCTGGCGAGAGCCAGGGTCTTTCCATCGGTCACGCGGATTCCGTCCTCGAATTGTGGCTCGACACCGGCGTCCTCCAGCATGCGATTGAGCTGGGGACCGGCACCGTGGACGACGATGGGGTAGAGACCGACATGGTTCAGGAAGGCAAGAGCGGAGGAGAGGGTGTGGAGGTGCTCGGTAATGATGGCACCGCCGACCTTGATGACTGCGAACTGCTGGGACGAGACGGAGGTGAAGTGGGAGAGGTACTGCTGGACCTCGCGCTTCGAGCCAATGTTACTCAGCAACTGGACGACGGTGGACCGGGTGGAGGAGAGCTGGGGGTCCGAGGCACGGGAGTAGGAGCGACTCTGCAGGAGGGGGACCGCCGACGCCTTGAGGGAGTGGCGAGCAGAGGGAGAGGCGAGTCTGGCAGAGGCAACGGCCTGCTGTGCGGAGAACGCGCGGAGGGGCTTGCTGGTGGAAGCTCTCCGCACGGCGGTGCGAAGGGAGAACATGGTGCCAGCCAGCATGCGGCAGCTTCGGAGGCTAATCGGACAAAAGGTCTTGGGGGGAGGGCGAGAAGAAGAGAGCGTCAGTGATGAGGGTGGAAGGATTGGGGGGGGGAATGGGAGGGGGAAAATGAGAGAGTGACGGAGGAGGAGGAGGAAGGAAAAAAGGACTCGGATGAGGTTGAGGTTGTGCGGAGGAGAGAGAGCGGGTTCACCAGGGAATTTGCCGCAGTCCCAAAGAGTTTGATCGCCCAGATTGATTATCGGCCAGTAGTCGGAGAGGGGGGGAGGTTATTACTCACTAGCTCCGGCCCAATGACTGGTCGCTGTGGTGTCTTGCGCGGTTTTCGGGCTGCTTCCCGCGGGACTTGCACAGTACAGTACAGTAGTACAGTTGTAGTAGTAGTAAGTCGTCGTCGCTGTTCTCGTCCCTCTCGTTTCCGGCTTGGGGTCTGATCTGATCTTATATCCTGGAAATTGTCTCTATTTTAGGCCCCGTCGCAAGGGAACCCAATCTCCGCTGTCACGGTACCTGAGGGAATTCGATCAGCCACTGAGATAAATTGCGCAGAACCACGCTGCCAACGGCCTCCAACTGTCCAGCACCCGTCACATCGCATCTATCCATCCGGTCAGCCTGGGCCTTGGCTGCGACTTTCGGAGCCGGGTATCAAACGCTCGCACGACGTGACTCACCACATCAGAGCACATTATTCAGGCCGCGGACCCATTTAACGACTCGCATCTCGGCTGTCGCGCGACCCTCTCTTTACTCTTTACTCTTTACCATCTGCCCTCTGCCAGTGTCTTTGCCTCAACTCCCCATTCTGGGCCTCTAGCCCATCCCATCCCATCCCATCTCTCCTCGCTTCCCTTTTCGTCTACACAACGTAATAGAAAACAGTGGATCATCTCGGGCCAATTACCCTGTCTCAGACTCTCAGTCCAAAAAAAAAAAAAAAAAAAAAAAAACTTCTTTCGGGCGTTATCTGATCTCGCTAAAATCCCCCTTGCCCCCCTCCCTTCTGGAGTTTGAACGAATGAAAACCGGTCGTCTCGCTGGAGTCGGTGCTCCGAGTGTCAAAACCCCATCTGATTCTGGGCAGATGGAGCCCTTCCGTTATCTGATCCTTTTTTTTACCTAACACGCCCCCCCTGCGTTCCCTGCTTTGATATTAAAGAGGTCCACTTCTCATCACCGCCTGTCGCGTTTCCGCTTCCGCATTGCGTAGGCCGTGCTGGGTACGGTACTATGTGCATAGTACCTAGCATTATGAACCGACGGTGGACCGGGTCCTCATCCGGCCCAGCCATCTGGAATGGGAAGTAGATACTTCTAGAACACTACTACACGGAACATACACGGAAGCCAGTGGCATGGCACTGCATGACATTGAAGAGGAGTCCATTAACGGCTAAAGAAAGACACAAGGAGACACATAAGAGATGACATAGGAAAAACCAAACACACAAACAGCTCGGATACTGGAACACGAGGAAGCATCGGAGTATCATTTACATCTTCACCGTCGATGGAATCATGTGGCATAGCCTCAAACCCCAGATCGGCTTATCGCGTCAGTGGCGTAGAGAGACAACAAGACTTTATTCGTGAGAACGAGTAGCTGTTGACGCCCGGGGGGTAAAAAAGCAAGAGGTATTAATAGCTGGAAACAAAAAGCTTCATCGGTCTCAACACACGTAAACCAGGGCCAGGCGAAAGCAGAACGTCATCCATTCCCAGGCCAATCATGACTGTCGCGGCATTCGTAGCTTAATGCCTGGTGGTGACGACTGCAAAGAACGGTTAGCGCATGCGGAAACAAGTGCCGAGTGGCCCCAGGCCCGGGGGAGGGGGGAGGGGGGAGGTGCGCAGATCTATCTTACCAGTAGGAACGATAATCACAATCAGCAGAATAATGATACAGACGATCAAGCACACGCGCATCTTCATGTCCTTCCACCACATTTGCTTCCGCACACGGTTGGCACCGCGGCGGAAACCCTGGGCTGATGTGGCCAGATTGTCGGTCTTGTCCTGGAGGGAGTCTAGGCGTTCACCACGTTCGGAGACCTTGAAGATATTCGAGCGCATCGTGTCGACGGTTTCCTGGATTTTCTAGAAGAGGAGTAAGAGGAGATGTTAGCCCATGTTTTGCGATCAGCCCTGGTGGTGATGAGCTCATCTCGTCCGGAGACCAGCTCGTTTTTCACGCCCGGGGGAATATGCCCCACTAAAGCACCAAAGAACATGATGTGGGTGGGATCCATCGCAGGGGTGCGATGAAGTGGGCAGAGAGGCGAATCGGCCACTTACTTTGTCGATTTCCCTTGTCCTGGGGTCGCCATTCTGCGCGGCACTGGCGCTGGCCGTCCCGTTGGACGCGGAGGGGATGTAGGGGTCGTACGGCTGCTCCGACATGGTGGTAATGCGCGATCGACTTGATGGGTTCAAGCGTTGGATTGAAGGACCTGGTAAGTGACCAGACTACCTAGGTGCAACGGATGGACTCTGCTGCCTGGTCCTTTCGTAGGGGATGAGGCGGAAGGTCGCAAAAATGAACTGAGCGGCTGGGGGTTCCGTAAGACTGAAGTAGCGGAAAGAAGACGTTCGTAACGCGGGCTGGGAGGTGGCGGGAGGATGAGATGTAGAAAGGGAGGAGGATGAGATGAGGCGTTGGAGGGAAGCTGACAAGGTGAGGTGAATCGCCGCCCGCCGTCTGGAGATTACAGGCGTTTCGGGTCGGTCGGGGCGGAAGCACGTGACCCGCAGTCAATGGTCGACGGGCACTGGGGAAAGACAGCCCGCGCAGGCAGCTGTTTTTGTGATCACAAGCCCAGTCAGGCCCGCGGCTATTTATTCCAACAAAGAGACACTGAGGGCGTAGGCGATGGTCAAGGAAGGTTATATTACGGGGTCCGGAGTATATGGCTCTGGGCTGGGCCAGAGAGAGAAGAAACCCCAGCCGCCAGCCTTCATTGAATAGAAATGAATAGAAATAGAATGATCTACAACGGCCAATCGAGCCCATGTATGTATGTATGTACCCGGTGCCGCACTCTGTAGGCGGGCTGTACTTTGTACAGTGACAGTACATAGTAGTTACATACATACATACATACATAATGTGTAGTCCTCGCCTTTCCTCCGAGGCAGGGTACAAAAAATAGCAGCACCAGCTGTCCTATTAGGCATCATGCATCGTCACCGATGAATTGGCTGCCCGAATCCTGCGTTGCTCAAGAAACACGAACGAGTGGCGGTGCAGCGGGCATGGCTGGGCTTCACGTGGGGACCCAGTCTCGATGGCTGAGATCTCCAGACACTCCGGCACTCCGGTCCCTCGCAGCCCCCGGGATCCGCCCCCAGTAAGGGTTTCCTTAGTAACCCACCCCCCGATGTGGTAGCTGGTCAGCTAACCACCCACTACACAGTGGTGTGGCATGCTTCGACAGCCTTCTGAATAATCTACAGCATCTGATCTCGGATCGACGTCATCACTGTTGAAGCTGTTCAGTGCAGGTCCGTTACCTCGATAATATGTATATCTTCTTGGCCCCTTACAATATTTCCGTCCTCTTCCAGATGCCCCAGACATGTAAGCCCTTAAACAACACGGATAAGCGCTAGCTCCTTCAACAATCTCGTCTTATTCAGCCTCACATACAGAGCGCCCAGAGGATTGGGGGGCCCAAATATTACTAGTAGCTCCTCAGCCAATCCCACCATGTGACATCTACGGTGGCATGCATGGATGCGGGGTGCGACGACTCGAAAATGGGTTAAATACCTGGCTGGCCCCCTACCCTATTTCCAACCCAGCAATTCCATTTCCCCATTTTTCCAAATTATCTTGCATCTTTGACAAAATGACCCTCCTTGCCCTAGCAAACGAGTTGCTTCTGTTGATCGCCGAAACCCTTGAGTCGGAGAAAGATATCAACGCTGTGGTCCAGACAAACCATCGTCTCTATGCCCTCCTCAATCCTTACCTGTATCAGCATAATCGACGTCACTCGGGGAGCTCGGCGCTGAGATGGGCAGCTACTGCGGGGCAGGTTAGCACGGTTAGAAGGATTCTGGAGCAGAAATATGAAATCGAGGTAATACAAGAATCTCAAGCTTTGCTCTGCTATGCTGCTGCGTAGTAACGTTTCTTCTGGATAGGATGGAATCAAAGTCCACGCCGTGATATATAATAGAGAGCCCACTCTTTCGACAGCAACAGAGCATGGTACTAACGATGTTACGGTCATGAAAACCGCCATGGTTTAGCCAGACGACCACAACCAGTGACAAGTGGCTTCGACAACACACAAGACGACTACCGCTTGGAGTTAATGACAAGAAAGACAATACCCGCTCTTTACCGCTATAACTAGCAGTCGAGAAGTGCCAAGGTGCAGCTGGACTGCGAACATCTGATGATCGTCGCGAATTTGGTGGATTCGATCAATCAGCCTATTGAGAATCTCAATTGAGTCTGAAACCCTCAGAACATCAATAACCAAAGATTGCTGTTTGAAGTAGCGAGGTCTGGAAGGACAGAAATGGTGACGGTTGCGCAGCGTGACAAGGTGAATTTGGACTGTGTCACCCCTAGCTTGGGCTGGAACAAAGGGGGATGTGCAGCGTCTTCTCACTGTACACGACATGAATCAAGGCTTGGATGAGGGTGGATTTGCATATCTTTTTTGAAGGCTGATAAGCATGATGAAAACAAAAAAGTGAAGCTACTGGAAACCATCACCGCATCCCAGCTGGGTCTTTGGCGATGTTGCAACAGAGAAGGGGCTGATACGGATAATATCAAAGCTATTATGGGTCGCTATTAATAGTCAGCTATTCTGACCACATTGTTCCACATCTGTCTCATACATTAAATCAGTACTGCAATTCACTCAATGTCAAACTATGTGAATCCATCACCGCACACATTGTGGTGTCTGGACATCCCATAAGTCAAGTGGGTTTGTTTGACACCCAGACAATATATGTCGCTCTCTCCGGCGTACATCCTCGAGCTTGTCTCTGCAGATCCGGATCCATTTCGCGACAGGATTGCCATATCGTACAAGCGTAGATTTCTCATTCAGAGTCATGGATATATAATACAATAGATAAAAGTCCCCGAAACTCCATATAATCCAGGAACGGATAATTTCCACACGCGATGCTTTTGGATGCCCCGACGCAACATGGGTACAAGAACAGGATCAAGAAGAGAAAGTAGAGTCTTCCTCATGGAGTTCTCAATCAGCAGGTATCGAGCAACCGAGCAGAGCCTCGACGGCTCCATCCCAATGAAAGCCGATAATCCCGTTCACCAACATCGACATCTTCCGCGCAGCTTATTTCTCACCCAACAGCTCCTTCCTCATCTCCTCCCGTTGTACCTTCGCATCGTCCTTGGCCTGGGCCTGCTGGGTCTGAACCGCCAGTAGCTTCTGCTCCTCCTGTTCCTTGGCGGCATACCAGACTACACGACGACAAACGAACGACATTAGCCTCGGCCATTGTCAACATAACAAGATTCACAAGCACAGATCACATACTGGACTTATCAGACTTGGACCATTGCTTCATGCGGGTCACATATTCATCGAACTCCCGAGCCCTCCGATCGCCCTCCTCGAGACTCCGTTTCTGCAGATCGGGGTTGTAGCGCTTGAACAATTCCTCGTCCGTGGGACGGATATACTCGACGAAAGCCGGGCCGCCGACACAGATGATGATGGCGCTGCTGTCGGTTAGAAAGGTGTCCATCCGAGACACGCGAAAGAGGGTGGGTGGTGGGGGGGGGGAGTCGGTCGCCTTACCTCCCCAGCATCTTCACCCAGGTTCCTGCGCGAGCCATGATGCGATGCGATGCGGATCTCCGGGAGTTCCGTGCGGATTGGATGGTCGGGATAGAGAAGAAGACGATGATGATGTCAGAGGAGGAGAGGAGCGTCCTGAAATGGCGATACCGAGGTAATCAGTAGGGGGTCTTCGTTGAATCCACACGGTGGCTGCTGGGCTGCGTCGGTTCGTCAATAATCGGACGGACATCCATCATCAACATTATCGCGCACGGGATTCGGCAGAGGGCCGATATGTGGCGCAGCCAGCATTGGAGGCTAGTGCAGGTGGCGCAGGCCCTTGGCCGTTATGCCGTCGGCCAATGAAGGAATGGGTCGAGCCGGGATCCGTGGATGGCTTCCTGTTGCTGCCAGACCCAAGAGAAAAAAGTTCTCTTCTTGCTCCACTCGCATTGCTGCTAGATCAACACTACCGTGAATAGCGTCGGGAGGGGGACTCTTCGGAGCAATCACGAATACGATTTTCTAGGTAGAAGGGTTCCTGTGACGTCTGAATGTCTGAGACATCGGTTCGCTTCGTTCCCCATCTGTATACTAGTATCTAATTATATTCACCTTGAACCAGGAGGACTCGGAAGCATTGCTCCATTGGTGAGGATGGAGCGGCTATCTGTCTACCTCAAGTTCTCAACACTACTTACCTAAGTACAGGCTCATGTCATGCAGTCGTCCCATGCCGTGGATCTCTCACAGTAGCTACCAGCTGATCGTCATCTTAGCCCGGAGAACTCCATCAGCCGATTGCTACTAGTAGGAAAAATCTGTTTTTGCTTGTTTTCGCGAGCGGAAAAATGATGCATCTTCACGTTGATTAGCCCCTACCGAGGACTCCGTCCTCCATCCTCCATACTTCCCATCCCTTTCTGCCGGGCCGCGCTCATCTCAACAGCCGGCTGGGACGCAAGGGCGCCCTCCCCGCTCCACGTTGGTATCTGTAGATGCGACATGACCGATACGCCGATGAGGCAGGCAGGGGTACGTAGGCACTATAGCGAGAGGATCCCGGAGCGCTTGGACAGGGAACTTATCTCCATACAAAAGCGATAGATAGAGAGATAAATCACAGAGCTAGTCGGGGCTTCGGTGCTCCGTCGAGTTAGACTACCCCATAAGGCTCGATTAGTGACTGACTCGCCCATCCGTCAGACTCGGTGGACGAATGGACGCCTCACCAGGCCAATAGGAGGCCCGCCACCCCTGCGTTTCAAGCGGAGATTGCGCCGGCAGACAGTACTTACTAGCAAAGGAAGTAAGTACATCAGTCAGTCAGACTTGTGTACACGACAGACACAACAATTCTCCCTCTCCCCCTGATGATCATTATCATGATCGCATATCACCTTGCGGTAGATAGTCTCATGTGGATGGGCCGGTATGCGCCCTCACCCTGCATCTGCGGAGTCGCATTATTGTCTCGCCAGGGAAGGGGGGGGGGCTGTTGGTTGAGCACTTGAGACTGGAAATTGGAACGTCATTTTTCCGCGGGTCCCTTAGTTAGCGCCGTGCCAAGCGGGGGTCATCACCAAGGGTTTCCTGAAGTTCTCCGTCACATCGTCGGGGGTTCGAAAAAGGGTTAGTTGCGCGTGTGTGGAAGTGTGGTAGCGGTGGGAATGCTTTCAGGTCGGCGACAAAAGTGAATACTTCAACTCCCATGGAACCATGAGGGTGTCTTGGACGGAGGATGCGATCCGTCTGTGCCGGCGACAAAGGAGTGGGACGGGGATGGATGGGACAGGACTAACCATCTAACTCAGACGGTCTGGGGTGGGTCAGTCAAGAAGTAGGAACCGTTCCAAAGAAGTGTCAGTCCGACGCAGAGACGAGAGATGCGCATCCCGAGTGGGTTCTTCTTGCGAGATGGGTCAGACAGAGAGAGGTAGTAGAGAAAGCAAGAGAAAGAAATAAGAGAGATCCTTTCTTCCTGTTTGTTTGTCCTATTCCTTCATTCATTAATTGAATTATTTCCATTGTTGACTTCCTCTCTCTCCTTCTCCTCCAACTACAAGCATTATTCCCGGTGGCTTTTCCCCTCCTTTTAGTCGCCGCATCCACTTCGACTGCTTCGGCGCCCCTTCAGGTACCCAAACCAACCCGCCTTAATCTACATTCTCAGTCCACTGGCGCTTCTCCCACTTCACTTCCACAACCAACTCCACCTCCACCCTCCACCCTCCACCTCGCCCTCCCTTTCACTCCCACCTTTTCCTTCCCCCTCCTCCCCCCAATCGTTGGCCATTTTTCTTCCTCGGGGTCACACGCTCTTTATCCAAGATCCAAAGAAAGCCCGTCCCTCTTTCTTGCTGTCTCGATTGGCCTCTCGTCCAGTCCAGTCCAATCTGGTCCCGCATTCCCTCATTCCCTCATTCTTTGCGGGGAAACGTGATCTCTCGTGTTCTGGGTGAGTGAAGTTGGCTGCCCGCGCGCAGCCGCCGTGCGATCGCGCCCTCGGCGCCGATGACCTGTCCGCTGACAATCCGCGCTGTCCTCTCACAGATAGGAGAATCTCCCTCGCGCGCGCATGTCTTTCATTTTGGTCTGATGGCTGCATATTTCGACCGGAACCGCTGAACCTAGGCCCTGCTATCGCCCGCTCACACACTCCTACTTAGCTTCCAGTAAGCCACGCGCCTCTAGTCGGGTCGCACCCTGGCCTTTCTTATTTCTCTGCCCACACCTGTGACTGACTCCCTATTGGCGAGTAACTAGTGAGGTTGCGAGCATCGTCTCCTACTCCATCCCTCGTTGTCGCCCTCCAACCAGACAAAGAATCCGCTTTCGCTTGTTGAAAACCCATCCTTGTTGCCTCTCTAGAATACTTGTGCGATCATGGCATACCCTCCGCATCCGAACCAGAGGGTCCCTCCGATGCGAAACTATGGCCCTCGCCCCCCTCCTGGCCGAGGTGGGCCGCCCCGGCCTCCTCCACAAGGTGGAGGCTATGATCTTGGCTATGACGACTATCGTGGATATGGAGGCGGTGCTCCGGGTCCTGCTGGGTATGGACCTCCCGGTAATAGAGCGGTCCCGAGATCGCAGGGTCCCCCGCGAGGCGCGCCCCGGCCTCCACGAGGTGGTCAAGGCCCTCCGATAAATGATCGAGGGTATGCGCCTCGCGGACGCCCTCCACCCCCGGGATACGATCCTCGCCGTGGTAATGGGGACAGACCTCCGCCACCAAGGCAGGATCGCATGAGGCCTCGTGAGTATAAGTGGATCCGCTTCTTTGATGAGAGATGTTGACTTTGAACTAGCTGCACGTGCGCCGCAAACCCCCGACCCTATGTCGTGGGACAATCCCTTCCCATCGTTTCCCGCAAAGGAGCCCCGCGGACCCAGAAGGATCGAAGATAGCATGGCTGCAATGGATCTCGGCGGTGCCCCGATGTCCCCTACAGTAGTCCCGGAACGCCCGCATACCTCGCACGGTCGACGACAACAACAACCTCGGCCTGTGTCGCCCGGTCGTGCTCGAGGCAACTCCTCCGCGAGTCGAATGAGGTCGGCCAGTACAGGCCGTCCTGCTCCGGACCCATCCGATCGCCCCAACAAGCAGTACACAGATCCTAATGGACCTCCGCCGATACCTCATATTAACCGAGCCGCTACGATGCCTGTTCCTTCAGCATTACCGCCTGCGCCCAAGCCGCTGTACCCGGGGCAATCGACCTATCAAGACCCTGCATCCCCTCCGCGACACGGTGCGCAGGAAACTTTTGACACGGGGGCATGGGTGGACAGCTATTACAACTCGAAGCACGCCGGTGACAATGACATGCCGAACTTTGATGCTATGCCCGACTCTGCCCATGGGGGCATTGATGAAAGCCTACCCGGCTTAGAACAGCCAAGACCCAGAGCAGCACCCGTTGAATCACCGCCGTCGTCTCGAGGAGGGTACACTGCGTTTAGTCCCCATTCGCCGGATGAGGTCCATTATGGCCACTCCCCCCCTACTATGGGACCGGCTGGCGCGACAAACCAGTTCGCAGATGCCGGATTTCACTTCGACCTACCCAGCGAGGCGCCAATGGCTCACTCCGGCTATCCCCAGCAAGGCTACCCCCAGGACTACCAGCAAGACTACCACCACGATAGTGCGGGCTATGCATACAACCCCGAACCTTATGAGGTCCCTTACGAAGACCCGTACGCCCAAGAACAAGGGAATTGGGGATCTACCACGCAGGCATATTCCGACACTCGCGGTGGTTATGCCGCTCGAGAGAACTCCGTTCGGAGCAATGGAGCGCCTCGTCCATACAGGGCCAATCCCCCTGCGCCTGCACATGAGCCTGTTCAACCTATGAACCCACCAGATGTCCCAGACCCCCAACTGAGCCCGGACGCACTTCCGCACCACCCTGTTCCATTTCGTCCGGGTCATGATCAAGCAAGCAAGCCTGCACCCGTACGGCAATACAACAGTTCCACCACTTCGGCATCGCCCCCAGCCGCGCCGCAGGCCTCTCTTGCCGAATCCGCCCCATCCGGGCCCGTCACTCAGCAGGAGCTTCAACGCCTTCAACAGCTTGTCAAAAGCAAACCATCCGACCAGAAGACGCATCTTCTCTTCGCGCAGAAGTTGATCGAAGCCGCCACTGTCTTGGTTGATGGCAGCAGAATGGACCCGAAGGCGAAGGCCAAAGCCCGGGAGAAGTATGTCATGGATGGTTATAAAATCATCAAAAAGTTGGCGTCCAATGGCTTTGCGGCTGCGCAATTCTATCTTGCAGACTGCTACGGCCAGGGACTCATGGGCCTTCAAGTGGACCCTAAAGAGGCTTTCAATCTGTACTATGCCGCTGCCAAACAGGGACATGCGCAATCTGCCTATCGGGTCGCTGTCTGCTGCGAGATCGGACAAGAAGAAGGTGGCGGTACCAAACGCGACCCTTTCAAGGCGGTGGAGTGGTACAAACGCTCTGCGGCGCTGGGTGACCCGCCAGCAATGTACAAGATGGGAATGATTATGCTCAAGGGGCTTCTCGGCCAACAAAAGAACCCGCGTGAGGGTGTCGCATGGTTGAAGCGCGCTGCGGACCGTGCTGATGCCGAAAACCCACACGCGCTTCATGAACTCGCTCTCATGTATGCGAACGGCAACGACGTCGTCGCTGGCGATGAGGCCTATGCTAGTCAGCTATTTCACCAGGCCGCCGAACTCGGGTACAAGTTCTCGCAATTCCGTCTGGGCTCTGCCTACGAGTATGGGTTGATGGGATGCCCTGTCGACCCCCGACAGAGTATCATCTGGTACACCCATGCTGCGTCGCAGGGTGAACACCAAAGTGAACTCGCGCTCAGTGGATGGTACCTGACCGGTGCGGACGGTATCCTGCAGCAGAGCGACACGGAGGCATACCTTTGGGCGCGGAAAGCCGCAAGCGCCGGCCTCGCCAAGGCAGAATACGCGATGGGCTATTTCACGGAGGTTGGTATTGGCATTGCGGCCAATCTGGACGATGCGAAGCGATGGTATTGGCGGGCAGCTGGTGAGTTCCAACCACATCCACACTTCACCCTTCTTCGATCCTTGCGATAACCGCTAACTTCGAACTCACTTACAGCCCAACAATTCCCCAAAGCTCGCGAGCGTCTCGAGGAACTCAAACAGGGCGGCGCCCGGATGCAGAAGACGCGACTTTCCCGGTCTGCTGTCAACCAGCAGAAGCAGAACGACGGCGACTGCATCCTGATGTGAATCCAGACGATCCTTGCTTTCCATTCGCCATGAAGTCTCGGGTAATGAATTTTCTTAATGATTCCGGTTTTACCATTCTAATACTTCGAATTGACCCCGTCGGCCGATGCGATGTGTTTCATCGCCATCGCGCTGACTGCTTATACCCCCACCGAACGAGCTGGAGCCGGCTTATGATGCATGCATTAGTGATTTTGAAAAGCCATTTTGGGTTTGGGATTTGCTCCGGTCTGGATTGTAAAGTGCATTGCATCTCATCTTGATTTGAATGCGTTTGATCTGATTCGATTTCAATTCCCCTCGATGCTATTTGCAGTTGAAAGTCATGATGTGTTTTCCTGTCCCCCTTTCCGTCCGTTGCTTACATTAGAGACGGGATGAGCCAGCTACTATCTATCTATTTCATAATATTATAATCACGATATTCTCGCCGATCCTGCATAAGCAAAATCTAAGAACCAGAAAGCCAGAACCTAACCTACACGCTCCACCCCCTTGTACGACAAGAGTATATCCTGACAAAGACCACGGCATCCGCGCGGCTCAATTCCGCACTTCCGACACGCGGATCGCTCTCTTCCCGATCGGATCAGTCGGTGATTACCATATCCCCATCCACAATTTCCAACCATCCTCTGTCTCCTGACGTGTAGATCAAATCGAATTACTTATACTCCCTCTTACTCTAGTCCTGTCCCTGCATGATCAAATCCTTCTGGCGCCTTCCATCCATCCATCCATTCGTGCATCTTCTCCCCCTCCCCTCCCTCTTTCATAAACTCCAACCCTTCCCGCCGCTCGGATATCCGGACTTATCTACTATACGTATTATATATTTATTCCCGACCAAACAGAAGACTATTTCTCTATTCTATTTATGTCTCAACCTGCACCGGATCACATCAATACCACCACTCCTCCGACCAAGAAATCGTTCTCTTCGCTTGCGCTCATCTCGCTAGTTACGGTATTTGTCGCCATCGCGATTGCGCTTTTCGTAGGTGTTGGGAGTGATAATCAGAATACCGCCAATCTGTTCGGTTTCAGACGTTTGTTCGGTTCGTTGGGAGGGAAGGCATCTGGGTCTACTTCTGCTTCTGCCTCTGCGTCAAGGTCACTTGCTTCTACGGGAATTCCCGATCCGCTGAAGAAATCCGGAACAGCAGGGTTCCAGGACGGGAGTATGGCCAAGACGCCGGTTTATTTTTTGAGTCATGGGGGGGTGAGTTTCCCTTTGTTTTCTTTCCTTTTTATTCTTTTTTTTGGGGGGGGGGAGGTTTGGGGGTTTGGCGAGGGGTGTGCTGAGGGTGGCTAACGGTTCTCATTCTCAGCCGAATATCATGTACGACCATGAACACCCGGCGTATCACAAGCTGGGCGAGATCGGGAGGGAGATCACCACCAAGGTGAAGCCGCGCGCGGTGGTAGTTTTCTCGGCGCATTGGCAGGCGGGCAGGGATACTGTCGAGGTGAACACGGCGGAGATTACGGATTTGATCTATGAGTATGTTTGGTGGTGCCCTGTTTGCGGGTGGTTATAGAGTGGGCGTTTGAGCTGACTGGTCTAGTTTCTACGGGTTCCCCAACCATTACTACGAGGAGAAGTATCCTAATGTTGGGAGTCGCGAGGTGGCGGATAAGGTGCTTGGTGCGTTGAAGGAAGCCGGGATCAAGGCGGAGGGCGTCAAGAGGGGCTTGGATCATGGGGTGTGGGCTAGTTTTAAGTGTGGTAGGTTTTGTTCAGCCGATGGAGTGGTTCGGAAGCGATGCTGATTGCTTGCTAGCGTTTGAACCCGAGAAGAACCCGCTGAATGTTCCGGTGGTGCAGGTGTCTCTGTTCAAGAACGAGGACCCGATCCAGCATTACCGGCTCGGACAGGCGGTGGCGAGGCTCCGCGAGGAGAACATCCTGATCATCGTTTCTGGCATGGCGGTCCATAACTTGCGCGATATGCAGTTTACCTGGGGCGATCCGCGGCCGTTGCCGTACACCGTCAGCTTCGACGAGGCGCTGAAGGACGCCGTGACGACGGCGCCGGCGGAGAGAGAAAAGGCCATGGCGGAGCTGCTCAAGCGCGGGGATGCCCGGCAGGCGCACCCGTTTTTTGACCACCTGCTCCCGATTCACGTCGGCGCCGGGGCTGCGGGCGAGGATGTCGGACGGAGGCTGTGGACCTTGAAAGAGGGGAGCATGAGCTGGGCGCAGTATAGGTTCGGCGAGGTCGCCAATACGAGTTCTTTGTAAATTGAGAAGCGAGCAATAAGATCGGGAATGGATTGTTTTTGGGTTATGACGGCGAACGAGTCTTCAATTCATCTATAGATACAGTGCAACATATACGGACGCGGGGCGAGGTCGCTATTGAGACGCCTTCACCAATTGGGTAATCTTCTCTTCGATCTGCTGGTCCGTCAAGCCTAGATAGTAGAGAGTCCATCGGTCAGCCCGGAGTTCTTGCTTGTTGTCGTCGTTGGGTCAAAAATCTTACCGGCCAGAGCCTCCTGCTTCTCGAGTCCGAAACCTGCGCCGTGTTAGCCATTCCTGCTGATCCGCGTCGTCGCTTGGAGTGGGTGGTGATTGAGTCGTACCGTATCTGGCGTAGACCCTAGGAACAGTACCAGCTGCCTCGCGCATCAGGATCGGGGTGTAAGGGTTGTGCTTCTTCATGGTCGGGTATGCGCGGTTCAGGAACGAGCTGCGGCCGGTCAACAATCTCTCCCTCGCAGGTTTCCGATCACAACTGGATACACTCACCGGGTGGCAGCGCTCTCCTGAGAGGTCTGGCAGAAAAGGAAGCGTAGCTCCTTGAGGCCCTTGGTGAAGGCGTACTTGGACGACATTGTGAGGGGGGGGGGGTTCGTGACACGCGGGAGGACCGGAATTCGCAACAGAAGTCGAACAAGAAAACAAGCGCCGAGGAGACAGGCCGTGGGTATCAATTGGGGGGGTATGGCGAGGCCGGGCGCGACAATGGGAGCTTGAAGGCGAAGAGGGGGAGATGTCGAGACGACTTGGATTCGGGCTGGAGGTTCAGAGCGTGCAGACCAATCGGGGCAAGCGTGATGGTCACCGACCGCCTGCTTACCTCATCCGAGCCAGAGCCGCAACAACCGCGACGGAGAGACTCAGCGGCCGACCTCGGGGCTTCCGAACGCTTCATCCGTTCTGCTTTCCAGTCTTCAACTTCTCCCATCCATCTGAGGTTTCTCCCGCCTTGTCGCCCGTGCCCCGTCCTTGCGAGCGATTTCACCCCCTCCCCCCCCCCCTCTCCACTCCGACCGTCGACTGGACTCGTTTGTCCTGACTCTCCGCTCTCCCCGACTTCCCGCCGTCCTTTTCCTTGATTCCCCCGTCGCGCCCCCATCCGCGTCATCTAATCCACCATGTCGTCGTCCCGTATCGGTCTTCGCTTCTTCCAAAACTCCAGAGCGGCTTTCCGCAATGCTACTGGCCCTTTCCGTCGGCCTGGTGCCCAGGGCTTCCGCTTCCAGAGCTCCGATGCCGCCTCCGCCGAGCAACAGAGCACCTTCCAGCGTCTATGGAACAGCCCGATCGGTGTGAAGACGGTGCATTTCTGGTGAGTCTGCCGGACGGTCTACATGACAGATATCCTTGGATGGACTTGGCTAATGTGGATGATTGATAGGGCCCCCGTTATGAAGGTACGAATTCTCACACCTCCTTGCTGATGCCCGCCCTGTTCAAATTTCCACCCAAACACAAACCAACACTGTTGCCGTCTTGTACGCCCTACTGACCCCAACAGTGGGCTCTGGTCATCGCCGGTATCTCTGACCTTGGTCGCCCCGCCGAGAAGCTCTCCCTCACCCAGAACGGAGCTCTGACCGCCACCGGTATCATCTGGACTCGCTGGTGCATGATCATCACCCCCAAGAACTACCTGTACGTATCCTGGTGCGGACCGGACAACACGGAACGAGACACTGACTAACTCTGCCCAGCCTCGCTGCCGTTAACTTCTTCCTCGGATGTGTCGGTGTCGTCCAGGTCACCCGTATCTTCAACTACCGTCGCAGCCTGAAGGACTCGCCGGTTGAGACTGTGAAGGAGCTGGAGACCGAGGTTGTCGACCAGGCCAAGGCCGTCGCCTCCGAGGCTGAGGCCGCGGTCAAGAAGTCCAACTAGACGGTGTACACGGTGATGTCCGCGGCAATAGATCGTCTTCATACAACCCGAACGCAGTGATAGAGCAGAGTAGGATTGAAATTGGGGTTGGAGGCCGCTCTGTTTGACTTTATTATATATGTACATATTCCACTTAAATCGCATCGACATTTCCCATGGTGCCAAGTAGATGGACTTGCAGGGGCAGTGGCTATAGTTTTGGTTCGTCTCCATCGGAGAAGTGTTGCTAGTGTTGCTACGACCGAGGAGAGGAAGAGTTAATTAATCAATGGACTGCAGCGGGCTCCGGCGGTGCTGCTGGCCTCAGCCACTCACCCACTTCCATGCGGTCAGCCCCCGCCGTGACAACTTGTCCTTCTCCCCTCCCCCTCATCTTCAGGATCAGACAATAGCCGGGCCTTGTCTGCCGTCTACACGCCCATCATGAAGTAATGCTGCAGAAGATAGTTTGGCGTCGATTCTGCTAAACTCCTCCCACCGGCATTTTTCCCCCAATCGGACAATCCTCGCCCGAAGTAAGGCCTCCTATCAGCTCATCCCCCGAAGCATCCCCCTCTTTCTGCAGCAGCTATCTAATGATACCCCAGTACCCCTGTTGATGACGGCCTCAAGCCACAAGCTTAGCTCAGGCCCACTCTCTCCACACGTCCTCCTCTTGGCTGATTCCGCCGTCCGTTTCCCCGGATCATGACGACGCCAGGGGATCCCCGCATGCGTCGTCTTTTTTTTTTTATCTTCTGTCCCTGCAATGCATATAAAGACTGCCGGGGGGGGGGCGATCGTTTCAGCTCTAGACTGCTCACCCCCAGTCTTGCTTTGATCTGTCCTCTCTCTCCCAATCCCGGACAATGAAGTTCACGCACGTCCTCACGCAAGCCCTCGGACTTCTCTCCTTGGGAGGGGCAGTGGAGGGGTTCTCTCGTTCGAGAAACGATGCCTGTGGCCCATTGAAGCCCTATCGCTCGCTGCCCACCAGCAAATCAAGAGACAAAACCTGCCATGTGCGCAGCCATGGAAACGGGACTGACGATTCGTCGTATATCCTGTCTGCGTTGAACCAGTGCAACCATGGTGGAAAGGTCGTCTTCGACGCTGATAAGGAGTATATTATCGGGACGGCGTTGAATCTGACGTTCTTGCAGAACATTGATCTGGGTGCGTGCTTCCTCCCCTCCCCGCCCCCAATTGGGATTGTCTCACATCCCGCAGAAAGTGGCTTTGTATTTCATCACAGACTAGAGGGGCCTGCCTCACAGAGACAGAACTAGTACTGACAATGCATGGCGGGCAGAAATCCTCGGAAAGATCCTCTTCACCAACGACACCGACTACTGGCAGGCGAACGCCTTCAAGCAGGGCTTCCAGAACGCGACGACTTTCTTCCAGCTCGGAGGTGAGGACGTGAACATGTACGGTGGCGGTACCCTGGACGGCAACGGCCAGGTCTGGTATGATCTGTATGCGGAGGACGATCTCATTCTGCGCCCGGTCTTGATCGGCGTGATTGGGTTGAAGGGTGGCACGATCGGGCCGCTGAAGCTGCGCTACTCGCCACAGTATTATCACTTCGTCGCAAACTCGTCGGATGTGCTGTTCGACGGGATTGATATCTCGGGGTATAGCAAGAGTGATAACGAGGCGAAGAATACCGATGGCTGGTTTGTGCTATTCTAGCTATATAGCTACTTGCTCTTGTCGCTGATGATGATGATGATTTGACAGGGATACCTACCGGTCGACGAATATCGTGATCCAGAACTCCGTGATCAACAACGGCGATGGTACGCCCTCCCCGTTCTACCACCGTAAATTCATTCTAACGATAATCCAGACTGCGTCTCCTTCAAGCCCAACAGCACCGAAATCCTCGTCCAAAACCTCCATTGCAACGGCTCCCACGGTATCTCCGTCGGCTCTCTCGGCCAATACGAAGGCGAAGTCGACATCGTCGAGAACGTCTACGTCTACAACATCTCCATGTTCAATGCATCTGTACGTCTGCCAATCTGCTCTATGGCCTCCCCACTACCGCCCACTAACATAACCAGGACATGGCCCGCATCAAGGTCTGGCCCGGCGGCCCCTCCGCCCTCGAACCCGACCTCCAAGGCGGCGGCGGCTCCGGCAGCGTGAAAAACGTCACGTACGATACCGCGTTCATCGACAACGTGGAATGGGCTATCGAGATCACCCAGTGCTACGGGCAGGATAACATTACCCTGTGTAATGAGAATCCGGTTCGTCAATTTCCCTCCTTCCCTCCTTCCTTCCCCCCCTCCTTTGCTTCAATTCTTCAACATTTCAATCCGCCAATGCTTCATGATCAAATAACTAACATAATGAATGAATGAATGAATGAGCAGAGCAACCTCACCATCTCAGACATCTACATCAAGAATTTCCGAGGAACGACCTCCACCACGGAAGATCCGTTCGTCGGGACGATCGTTTGTTCGAGTCCGGATGTAAGTCTCTTCACTCACTCACTCACCCACTCACTCACGATGTGTGTGGACATTGAGATGAGATGCATCGCAGCTAACAATAAAATGATAGACCTGCTCGAATATCAACGTCTCCAACATCAACGTCACCAGCCCGATTGGCACGAACGAGTTCGTTTGCGATAATGTAATTAACTAACCCCCCCGCTTCCCCCTTCCCTTCCCTCCTCCCACACCCCATACACTCTCATTCAAAAGGTCAGGTTAGAATGTTAACTTACTATCTGTACAGGTCGATGAAACTCTTCTCAAGGTTAATTGTACCGCGACAAGTCAGTGATGTGACCTGCGACCTGCGACCAGACCCGGTTATGTGTGGTGGGTATACGCCAGCTGGAACAGGAAAAATGGTAATCGTGGACGAGATAGAACATCGACGAAGTGGAGGTGTGCGCGTGAGGACGGGAAGAGATCTTGTATATATTAGTACGGTATTCATTATCTTCCGGTCGAGGTCTGAAGGGGAATGGAATGAACATACTCATGTTTGTGTGGATGTTTGTCCTGGGGCGGAGATGAGTTGTTGTAGAGGGAGGGAGGGGGGGGGGGGGGTGAGATGTATGATAGGGTAGATTCCAAGTACTAGGTACTACTTACAGTACCTCTGGCTCTGGATTGATGTAGATGCCGCAGAAGAGTGAGTTGGTAAGACCGCGGACCAGTAACATGGTAGGGTAAGTAGTGTAGGTACTAAGATGAATTCAGCACACGAGACTCGTTCCCGACCCATTCTAGTGTTGAACCCGACGATATACACCCGACGATATACATACACATATACACACACATACACGAAACACATGCCCCATGCGTAAATACATCATCTTCCTCATCATATCATAACATACAAATACACATAACCCGGGGAGGGTCTGGTTGTACATTAGTAGACGCCCACGCCCACGCCCACGCCCACGCCCACGCCCACGCGCGGTTGACAGTCCACAGCCACATATGGTACCCAGAGGCCAACATGAATGCCAAAACCATCCAATCCCACGATAGTCAATCACTGTCATCCTCGAGGAGAATTTTCAATTTCTTGACCTTATCCTCGCACTTGACTTCCGTCTGCATGATCACGTCCAGACCGTGCTTCTTGGTGATGAGCAACTGCGACACCAGCCAGAAGTTGTATCCGTTTTTGAAGAAGCCCATGCTCGTCCATTCGCTGCGGGGGATGCTGTTTCGGAGGGTGGTCCAGTGACTGAGCCATCGGGACAGCGCAACTTTGATGGCCTCCATCATCATGTCATTGGGGATGTCGGATTCGGAGTTTTCCGCGGAATTAAAGAACCGTTTGGGGCGGAAGGCTGGGTTGACACTAGTGATTGGGGCGAGGAGGGTCATGTGCGAGTTGATGAAGGTGTAGAGGACTGGACGTGTTGGTTAGTGTGTTATTTGGGCAGGAGGGAGGCAAGGCAGGGCAGGTCGTACGGTGGATGAGGGTGAACATGTCCAGTACGGTTAAGCTGTCCATACTGGAAGATGAAGTTGATTCTGGGGTCAAGGGCCCCTCTTCCTTCTGATCTTCCTTCTGGTCGGTCTCAAACAGCTTTTGGAACGCATCCGATATGGTCATTTGACGCGAGGGCTGGAAATGGAGGTCCGTGTATGGATGCCGCAGACCGAAGATTGACTCGGCGCAGGGAAAGTCAAATTCAGCTTCCATGTGGGAGAGACGACAGGGATAGTTTTGGAAGAACGAGAAGGCGCAGTCCAAGAGGAGAATGATGTTTATCGTACTATGGGGGTCAGCTGGTCACATGAGGCTGGAGGAAGGGTCATACCGAATCCGACATTCAGTCTGGATCCACTGGTACTCGGGGATTTGTCGGGCTTTTTCAGGATCGGAAACATGACGAGACTTGTGAAGGCCCAACCGACGGGCGACCTGTCCAGTTAGCGAGGATTCCCCGTCGTTGGTCGCTGATTTACCTTGATGACTTCGCTAAACCGGTTCTCCATTGCTCGGTTGCGTGACGGACGGCTCCCCGACCAATACTGGACAATCACGATAATAAACCCTGCTTGGAAATTTTGGAAAAGCTCCCATTCATTGCTTATGATGTCAAAATGGCCAAACCCGGAGAACATCGATGCCACCTCGATATCGGCAGAATAGGCCTCGCTGGAAAAGATGAAAAGTTCCACAAAGTCCAGCAGCTGCTTTGCCGCGTGGGTCTCCTGCGGATCGGGGGAGTACATGGCACCCATGAACGCAATCGCGGCAAGCAGGGGCAGAGGCACCGCGTTCAGGTCCATCGAGGCCAGGTGGACCATGGCACAACTTGGCTGCCAGTACCTACAATACATCAACACGAACTTCCGGATCACCTCGGGAGTGAGGAGGAGGTCAAGATGCGCCGTCAATTGCTCTTTTACCTGGGGGCCGAGGGGAATCAAGGAGATGCGTGTCCAAATCGCATCGTATAGAGCGGCCGCAAATGGCTCCGACTCATACGTCTGCCGCTCAGCGAATGGGAACAGTTCAGGAACTGGGGGAACGACCATCGTCATATTGGGTGCTTCCCCATACGAAGAGTCGACTACCCTGATCGTGTCTCGGAAGGGGCCATTGAAGAGGTCGAGGAAATGTTCTTGGAAAAAGCCCCCAGCGGCTGGGTCTGATTCGAGACACGCCGATGCATAATCTACCTGGTCGTCCCCCATTGGGTACTGCAGTATCGAGCGTCCAGCTTCCTCTAGACCCTTTTTGCTCTGATAATTGAAGCTGCGAAAGCGATCCCTGCGCGGGGGCAGCAGAAATTCTTCCGTGAACGTATCTGTACCGCCGTTGAGGAGGAACTTGATCGACCCCCGGTCCGATGACTCGCAGCTCTCGCGCTTCGCCGAGGTCAAACCCGAGTCCAGCTCGAGACTGCTGCTGACACTCGTGTGTTCGTTATTACACGGCATGTTCCTCTTCTGACAAGAACTGCAAGGGGACATTCCGTCGCAGCGTAGTTTCATGGACGTGCACTGATAGAACGGTCAGAAAGTGGGTTCGTGTTCGATGGGCCAGAACACTTGCTGATTGGCAGGCATGTCGCCTCCTTCCTCTTTGCCCCGTTTCAGGGATCTTCTGGTCCCCGCGCTTGGCGCAAGTTGAGTAGTGGTCGCGGAGATTATCACTGGAGGGAGCGAACGATAAGCACCAGGATTGAAGGGCATGGGGCAGGGACCACGCACCAACGTGCGAAAGACTCATTGCAGAAGCTGCAGGTGTATGGCTTGAGACCAGAGTCTGACGGGGAGTTCCCAAATTAGCACGAGCTGCCGGAGGGCCACGCAAGCGGGCGGCCAAGACGCATGGGTAACGTTGAACGTACGGCGGAGGTCGTGACGCTTGAGATGGTCAATGCGGGTGAAACTCCGCTGACAGACATGACAGTTCCAACGCTTGCTCGGGACGGCCGGCTTCATGGTAGTCAGGGACAGTGCGCATCGGGGAGAAGCTGAAGGATGTGTGGTATGGGACCGGGGGAGGGGGGGATTGGGGGAATGGGGGAATGGGGGAATGGGGGGGGAATGGGGGAGATTGGAGGGGCGATCGGATGAGTGGATGCAGGGAAGAATGCGGGGAAGAGATAATCAGGAGGGATGGACGGAAGGGACAGGATGATGGGATGATTCCCAGCCAAATAGGAACGAGAGGAAGAAGCAGAAGGAGCAGAAGAGGAAGATGATCGGGGATGGGTTCATTCGTGTTGACAGCTCCCCTCGGATGTGGAGAAGGCGACCGACCCATACTTACTTAGTACGGAGTACTTTGTAAGGTACTGTCACATCCATGCAGTAGTTACGGTGGCTGCTTACCTAAGTGGTAAATCCCCCTCCCCCCCATGTCCGGCTCGTTCCGTACCGTACAGTTTGCCTGACGTGCAGGTATGCGTGCCTTGCAGCAGCCCCTCATTAGTAAGTACCTTGTGATGAGTCTGGTCCAGAGTGATCCCTGCTGTCAGCCGGGGTAGTTTCCTCATTCAGTTTCGGTTTCCAATACACAGTAAGAATCCGCATGATCGACTGTGATTGTGGCGGAGGCTCATGTTAGCCCGTGTAAGAAAGATACTCTAGTCTACTAGGTAAGGTACAGGTAAGTATGATCTCTGTATCCGGACACGCCGTTATTTACAAGCCACCGCACGCCCCTCACCAGGCCAGCCGTGGGACTGGCAAACTGTCTACAACGCCGTCCTCCCCGGCAAGCACCGCCGGCCGTTAACGTACCGCCATTCTGCAGGCCAGACTGAATTTCAGTTCGGCGTGCCTTGGGATCCTCCACATCTCGGCCTCATTTCGGCGTCCGCCACGGCCGGGGGAAAGTCAATCTGGTCGTCATCCAGGTAGTTGACGTTGATCCTCTGGTTCTTCTCGTTGGTCGTCCAACCATCCCCAAGCCAGCCGTTCGCATTCCCCCCCACATACTCGTACGTGAAGTCCTCCCACCGCGGGTGCGACAACACCTCGAGCGAATGAAGCGACGACCCTGCCACCGGTTAGTATCCGAGCCTCCTCCCTTCCCGTCGAAGGAGAACCGCGACCTACCAGGCCAGACGGCGATCACCCGTCCCTTTTCCTTGCCGCCCTTGTACCAGCTCCGGCATTTCTCCCCGTACACCGTGCGCGAGAAATACTGGTCGCAGTGACGCGTGAACCGTTCGACGGCCTCCTTCCGGACCATCATCGACCGAATGTTGTCCCGCTGCATCTTCTGCACACACTTCGTGAAGTAGTCGATCGCCTTCTCCGCCAGGAGCAACAGGTTGCCCTCCCCGAGGGACGAGTTGGGCCCGAAGCAGATGAAGTAGTTCGGGAACCCATCGACTGCCACCGAAAGGTAGTTCTCGGGCGTCGTCTTCCACCGCTCTGCTAAGGACAGTCCGTTGCGTCCGACCATGGGGAATCGCGGGGCGAAGGTGGTGTCAAACCCGGTGGCACAGACCAAAACATCCGTGGGGTGATGCGTGCCGTCAGCCGTGATGATGCCGTCCGCGTCGATGCGAACGATCTCGCTCGTGATGACGTCGACCTTCTCGTCTGTGAGAGCTTCGAGATACCCCGGCCCGGGTGTGAGACGGCGACAGATGGGCGGGAACGACGGAATAAGGTCGTCGATGAGTTCTGGCTTCTTCGACAGCCGTCGCTTCATGTTCTGCAAGAAGAACTCTTTGGCGCCCAGCTGCTCGGGGGTGCCGAGCAACGTTCCACCGTGAATCGACTGCAGTGCAAGCTCGACGCCTGCTTGTGTGAGCGGAAGGATTGCGACAGAAATATGGGACACACCTTTTCGGAATTCTTGATAGGTACTGTGGTCGTTCTTGAACGTCTCCAACTCCTCCGGGGTAAATGAGACTGCCGTGCTGTCAGCTGCATGATTGAGTGCCGGAGGCGTGCTTACAGTTGTCCAGTTCAGCTCCCCGTTTCGCAGCCTCCTCCGAAGCAAAGCCCGGGGCAATCCAGGTTCGACTCCGGACATAGTGGTCGATGTGTGGCACCTTGGGTAGCATCCCTGGCAGAATCTGGATCCCGCTCGATCCGTTGCCGATCACCGCAACTCGCTTGCCCTGTGGAAATTAGCCGCGTTCATCGCGTCATTGAAGAACGTACGCTGTAGTCGAACTTCTCGTCCCACCTGGCGCTGTGCATCAGCTTTCCCTTGAAGTCGTGAAGACCCTTAATGTCAGGCCATTGCCAGGCATTCAAGAAGCCCGTTGCGGAGATCAATACATCGCAATGGTCTTGGTACACGGCATCGCTGTCAAGGTCTTTGATCTGTGGCGACATCAGCCTCCTATTTTTCATCTCGTGAACGCTCCTACCTGCAGCTTCCACTGGCTGTCATTCTCATGCCACAGCGCTTCGCTGACCTGCCGCTTGAACTTGATATACTTCTCGCAGCCGTACTTGTCCACCACCCGCCGCCAGTAATGATGGATTTCCGACGCTGAAGCATAGAACGTGGACCACTGCTTGTTCGGCTCGAATGTGGCCTGGTACGTGTGGGCCGGAATGTCTAATAGACTTGTCAGACAAGGCACGGCGGCAGCCGGAGGGACACCTGCCACATGCGCAGCCCGGGTACTTATTTTCCAGCCATGTGCCGCCGATGTCCTCATTCTTCTCGTACACACACAGGTCCAGATTGGGGACCCGCTGTCTGAAGCGGATGGACGAGATGATGCCAGAAATGCCTGACCCGATGATGATTATCCTTAGCGGCCGGGCTTCATCGACGGCGCGTTCCGCCAAAATCCAGGGATCGACCGGTGGCTGGGGGGGCGCGGCCCCAATGAATTGCGCAAAGCGATGCATGCTGAGTCTTGGAGGGAGCGGTGGGTAAAACCTGGGTCGGGGACCAGTGCGGGAAGTCAGCACGTTATATGCACGGCGCTGATACCGCACCGTCTCCTCCCCGTACATATCATGCCGGGAGGGTCAGCTGTTGAGGTACAAAATATGCGCCAACTTCGCCAGACGCTATTCGGCTCCCCTAGAGCCGTTGTAGTGGATTTGGGGGTCCGCGCGTCCACGCTCGGCGAGCGGGCTAGAATTCAATTTAGCATGGTTACCTTGTCGAGCATAAAACCCGCCATTTGCCAATGGAACTTCAATGCCAACATGAACGTGTTGGTGGCTTTCGTACCCAACTCAAACAATCCTGTCATCGGTCTCGACGCATTGAGGCAAACAAATAAATGGGACGGTGGACGACCGGGGTCAGGAAACGAGTGGATAGAGGCTCTCGTGCAAGGAGCTATCGCACGCCACTGATAACAAATTCCTCCAATTGAAGGGCTGGGTCGGTCTCAGATCCTGCCGGCCTATTATCCGTACCGGAGGCTTACCGGTGGGGCGATGTAGTAATAGTTGCGCTGATATAGATGGTAGGGACAAGGATGTTGCAGATGTCAGGACAGTTGGAGTCGAGGGTTATATATACATTCCACAGCCCGGTTGGACATGTATCTTGGCAGCTGACAGCTCCGAGGTTCGACCCGGGGCTAGAAAAGGGGGGGCGTTCCACGGAGAAAGGAAGGATGCTGGAAGAAGACGAAACTCAATCGATCAGGAACCGGTAACAGATTGTCATTATCAATATGCTTTTTCGTGATCCCCGTTCCGGGATTACGCGACCAGGCGTCACCCTGCTAACCATCCAGCTAACTGCAAGGTACTGATCACCATTCGATGGCCAATCCTGCAGGTGGTGCACCGGATCTCCGATGTAGTAGATAAGTTGGTAATACCATCAATACCAAGACTACCATCGATAAAGACCAACAGTATGTGGGTGTGGGTATGCCTGTTCCCTGTCTATGACTCCATTGAACCATTACTGCCAACTTACTTTATATGACTTATGCCCTGCCAAGAGTCATAGTAAGCACCTTGTGCTCCCCTTAAGCCACCACTAATCCTACTGTAGCCCAGCCACCTCCCCCGACAGACTAAGTACACACCAGCCAGTCAAAGTGGAGAATATCAAAGTCTCAATCAGACTCGGAACTCAACCAAAAAAAAACCCGCCCTGTCGGTCGATCAGTCGAGGCCATGACTGTCCGAGGAGACGCTCAATTGTTCTGCTCGGATATGTGAAGCCCCAGATGCTCATTGGGCCCGGGGGAGTTGGTTTGGGGAGGGAGTGGCGGGTGTGAGGTCATGGGGCTGCCGTTCCGGGGAACCTCCCCACCTTCTTTCGTTTTCAAGATGGGGGGATTCCAGGTTTTTTTTTAAGTCTGGAGATGAGGATGGGTCAGGTGTCCAGGGGGACTGACTTACCCAGGAATTTGGGAGAGGGTGGGGACTGGTGAAGCTAATCGCGACAGGCCGGCCAAGGAATGAATGTCTCCATGATGGACTCCTGCAACCTGGCGTGGAAGCTGGCGTACGCCATCCATGGCCTCACCCCCGACTCCACAACCCCCTGCAAGCCCGATGTCGTGCTGGACACCTACCACACAGAGCGCCACACCATCGCGCAGCAGCTGATTGAATTCGACCGCGCCTTCTCCTCCATGTTCTCGGGCCGGATAGGCTCCGCAGAGGATGGCGTTGGGCTGACCCACGAGCAATTCCTGGAGGTGTTTAGCACGGGCAATGGGTTCACGAGTGGGTGTCGGATCGAGTATCCCGACAATCTGACGGTGCAGAAGACGCTGAACGGCGTGAAGAACCCGGTAGAGGGGACTGACTTCCTGACTGGTGTTCTCCGTCCGGGGCGACGGCTACTGGACGTCCAGTATAAACGACACGCCGATGGCAACCGACGCAACTTGCACGATGGTAAGTATGTTCGATACCTGACCAACAGACACAGGCTAACTGGAGCAGACTTCTTGTCCGCAGGCCGGTTCCGCATCCTCTGTCTCACGTCGTCCGATCTCCTCGACCCCAAGGGGGTATCTGCGCGGACCCTGCGCACGCTAGGATCGTTTATACTCCTCCGGTTCCCTGCGGTGATCGAGCAGGTGGTGATCCACCCGCGCCTAGCGAGGAGCTTCACCTGGCGCGACACGCCGGCAGAGCTGAAGAAGCACTCGGAGATGCGGTTCTACAGCGGCTACGAAGTGGATGACGTGTATGGAATCTACGGTGTGGACGTCGCGCAGGGAGCGTTGGCGGTGGTGCGGCCAGACGGATATGTGGGCACGGTGGCCGCGCTGGACGAGGTGACCCGAGTCGAGGCCTACCTGGAGGGGTGTTTACGAACCGTCCAGACCGTATCTTGATGCAGTCGATAGATCTTGCACGGCTATAGATTTGTACGACAACCCATGGTCAGCTGGCATTGGCTGGTCTCCGTCGTATCTGACGGTGTAGCTTCGATTGGACCCGTCAGATTCTCAACCAGTCCGGGGGGGGGGGGATATACCTCGATAGGCTGTTAGATCCTGAAGATAGAGAGAGCTAGTATGCTCAGCATGACCCTGCAGATGTATTCCTTATCTAGGTCTAATCTGGTCGATATCCGTGCGTCCGGAAAAGAATCCACGAGTCGCGGCGGGTGATGCCGATCAGGCACGGGTGCATTACTGCTGCATAACTGTGGCGACTGGCCCAGACAATGTCCCGGGGTCCCTTATGCAGCCCGGCTCCCGCCCACCCCCTGATTGGCCGATAAGCCCTGCACGTGACCGCGTGCCGACAGCCGAGTCCGTCTTCTTCTCCTCCTCCGTACGCCGTTAGCATCGCTTTGCATCCTTCTGCTCTCAACGATTCCCACATCCTGCCAATCACGCCCTCCCCAATGCGCCTCGCTGGTCCCCTTGCCCCTTCCGGCCGTCACCCTCGGGCCAGGCCGCCTCCCAGGCGAAACCTCGATGCTCGTGGATCCATCAGCAGGCCAATGACCGTCTCGCCTGCTGCAAATTCTGGGCCGCCCCACTGTCGGTGTTAACGGGGATTGCGCCGTTGGGTCCATGGCTGTCACTCACCATAATATAACCCCCGCGGGCCCCTGCTGGACCCAAGGTCGGTGGGTGCGTTTTGTGTTTATCTGCCTTTCGCCTGCTGCCTCCGTCTCTGGTTATGGCGCATACCCATCCCGAGTCGAGATCTAGGTCCACGTCGCTGTCTAGCTCGGACGACTCCTCGTCGGGCCGTCTGGAACCCTCTCGGTCCAGACAGAGTGCCGTGCCCGTCTCTCGTGTGCACTCCGGCAGACATCTCGACGATCAGTCGGTGTATCATAGTGATGGGGAGGATGATTCCGAGGAGTCTGACGAAAAGGGCGAGCCGGTGCTGGATGTCCTCAATGGCGTCGTGACCGAGCGAGACCGCGATCTGGAGGCCGGCGCTGCGTCGGGGCTGGAAAAGTCGCGGACTGCCCGGTCGGATAGGTCGCGGGCGGATCCTAAGTTGGTATGTTGGTTCTTTGAACAGGGAGGGTACTTTGTGCGACAAGGCTGACCGGTTAGGTGACATGGAATGGTCCCGATGATCCCGAAAACCCTAAGAACTGGTCGATGAAGAAGAAGTGGGCGGCCGTGGTGACGGTCTCCAGCTTTACCTTCATCTCGCCGGTGTCGTCGTCGATGGTTGCGCCGGCCTTGAGTGCCATCTCCGCTGACTTCCACATCACCGACGAGGTCATCTCGCAGTTGACGCTGTCTGTCTTCGTCTTGGCGTATGCGGTGGGCCCGCTGATCCTGGGCCCGCTGTCGGAGATCTACGGCCGGGTGATCGTGCTGCAGCTCGCTAACCTGATCTATCTGGTGTTTAATATTGGATGTGGTGTCTCGCAGACCAAGGTGCAGATGATTGTCTGTCGGTTCTTCTCGGGGCTCGGTGGGAGTGCCCCCTTGGCGGTATGTTCCTATCCCCCACTGCCATCGGTTTTCTCATCTAACGTCTCAGATCGGCGGCGGTGTCCTCTCGGACTGCTTCAAGCCGGAGCAGCGCGGTAAAAGCGTCGCCATCTACAGTCTCGCGCCTCTACTCGGTCCAGCAGTCGGACCCATCGCGGGCGGGTTCATCGCCGAAAACACAACCTGGCGCTGGGTCTTCTACGCGACGTCCATCGCGGACGGCCTCATCCAACTCGCCGGCCTCTTCTTCCTGCGCGAAACCTACGCCCCCGTCATCCTCAAGAAACGCGCCAGACGCCTCCGGGCCGAGACCCAGGATCCGGCATACCAGACCGAATTCGAGCGCCAGAACAAAACGTTCGGCGAGGTCATGCGGGGGGCACTGATCCGCCCCTTCCGCCTCCTCGCCACACAGCCCATCGTGCAGTGCCTAGCCGCCTACATGGCCTTCATCTACGGCACGATGTACCTCGTCCTATCGACGTTCCCCGCCCTCTGGACCAGCCCAGACTACTACAACGAATCCACCGGCATCGGCGGCCTGAACTACATCTCCCTCGGGCTGGGCTTCTGGCTGGGCTCACAGATCTGCGCCCCGCTCAACGACCGCATCTACCGCCGCCTGAAGGCGCAGAACAACGGCGTCGGCCGACCCGAGTTCCGTGTCCCGCTGCTCTTTATCGGCGCCGGCCTCATCCCCGCCGGCCTGATCATCTACGGCTGGACCGCCCAGACCCGCTGCCACTGGATCGCGCCCAACATCGGCGCCTGCATCTTCGCCACCGGCACCATCGTCATGTTCCAGTGTCTGCAGACGTATATCGTCGACTCGTATACACGGTTCGCGGCGAGTGCGTTGGCCGCAGTTGCTTGTATGCGCTCGCTCGCAGGGTTCGGGTTCCCGCTCTTCGCCCCGTATATGTACGCGGCGTTGCATTACGGGTGGGGGAATAGCCTGCTTGCGTTCATTGCGATCGGGTTTGGGATTCCTGCCCCGATACTTCTGTGGAGGTGGGGCGAGAGGTTGAGGAAGATGAGCACGTATGCGGCGGGTTGATGATTTGTCTGGGGGTGTAGATGCGAATGTTTATATTTGTATAATCTAATGGCTAGGCTAGGCGGTGAATAGAGAAGCGTTGTCTTTTAGAAGTAGCAGTTGAGACCATTCGTCTCCCCTCAGGATAGACAGATTCTGTCATGACACTTGGAGTTGTAGCTTTTATATATTCACACAGCCAATCTGCAAGATATTATATTATATATTATTATACACCCCCCGGACTTGACCCCAAGTCAGCAGCCGGAACTTTGAAGTAGAACCCACCATGAACCATGTCCCCGATGTCTCACCTCCCATGTCTATGAACACCAGCCACTGTTTATTTAGCACAGTTTTCGTCTTCTGTCCCAGGAACATCCACCACACCTTGGCAGCGTGTCGAGGCGTCCCCCCCCCCAACGGCCCACACCAGCTCGGGCCTGGCCGGCTATTCATGAGATTCGATTACCGGGTCCGATCTGCTGCAGCTAAGGATTCTGGATGAAAACCTAAAAGGACATGCCCCTTGTTTAGACTGAGACTGTGCGGATCGGAAAGAGATACTGTGCTGTGATGTTATCAATCGACGTCCAGTAAACAATCAGTTCCCCCAAATCCAGGGTGTGCGTACTGCAACGCTCCAGGCCCGCGGGCTGGAGACACAGGCCGTCGATGACCTGCGTCGCAAGCGGGGGGCTCCTGCAGACTCGTAAGACCTTCGCCTCCTCCCCCCCCCCCCACACCACATTGGCAAGTCGAAAAAAAAAATGGTAATAGGCGGACTGGTTTCACTTGATCTTTCCCTCACCTTTTCCCAGTTTTACTCTGTTCGGGAATCCCTTGATTCTTGTCATTCACTACTCTTTGGGATTGCGATCTGTATGAACCCTACATGTTTTGCAACATTTCCAAAAACATGTGTTGAAAGAGGTTGTGGCGTAAGAGTAGGAATAGAAATAGGCTGGAGCGATCAGTGGGCATTGGCATTTCAACATGCGGCAGAAAGAAATACTTATAGTAGATTGAGACTCGCATGCAGGCGCAGGGCAACCAACTAGCAAGTGGAGACACCATTGGAGAGTGTCGGACAGCGACGGTGACGTTGGGGATACCCTATATCTTCGGGTAGGGTAGCAGGTAGCTACTATACCACCCCGCGCCTGGCCGTCCAGGTGTTGGATCGTGACCATACTATATATATAGTTCTTTTAATTCTCTTATGCTCAATTAGGCTTGTCAAAATACCGAGCCCGAGCGGCTGGGGGAGGATCAGCGAGCCCAGGGCTTATTAAGAGTTAAGACCAGTAACCAGTTCCTGCCCGCCTGCAAGTTCTGTGACTAAAATATAACTTACAGTCCCATAATAAAATAATATCTTTTTTATAATAATAAATAAAAAAACATACAGAAAAAGATAATTATAAAAAATTAGATTATCTTAAAAATACTTGCAGAAAGAGTAGCAGACTATTCATAGAAATTAATTATATTTATATTATAAAAATAATAATTACTTATCGCGATAATAAGAGCAGGAGAGACCAGTATAATAATAATAATAATAGTAATAATAATAATAATAACAGCAACAGTGGCAGTGAGTCGTGACAGCGGCGGCAGCGGCAGTGACAGCGCGAGCAGGTAATATCTGTTCTTAATTAGTCGCGAAGCTCAGCAAGAGATTCTTAAATATTACTTACCGCAGAGACCCGGGGAATCAAAGTAAGAGAAGAAAAAGAGAAGAAGAAAGACAGATCAGCCGCGAAGGCGGTGATTTTCTTAAGAAAAAGAAGAGAGACAGCGGGGCGGTGCAAGGGAGTAAAACAGCGCGATACTAAAGCAGTCAGCCGCGAAGATCTAAACCAGACTGGATATCTTAAAATCGCGAAGAGATCAAGTCAGATCTGATAATTCAAGACCGCAAGAAGCCCAAAAGCCTTAAGACCCAGAATATCTTGCGAAGACTCTTAAGTAAAGCACTTACTGATGATAGTGGGGGGGGGGGAGGAGCGAGCCGCAAAAGAGTTTCTATTTTTTATTATCTAATATATAGTTATATATATTTAATCTGCTTGCTTTTGCTAGCTGTATTAGAGCTTTTGACATAATATTTGTTTAGATAAGAGACTGAGAACAGAGTATGTTTTTTTCTTGAATCTGTTTCTTAATGTAGATAAACAGTTCTTTCCAGTTATTCTTTGTTAGAGTTGTACTCATTCGGGTCTCACGATTTAGTCGCCTGATACCGGATGTCTTTTTTATAATTAAATAGTGGTAAAAAAGTATGAACAGCCAGGCCCAAGGCCGGCAGCAACGACCAAAAAAAAAAAAGAGAAAACAACCGTGGACACCCAGTCAACCCCCGAGGGGGCGACATCAACCAGAACGAGACTGCTGATTGTGGCCGGAGGCATAGACTTAAGAAGAATATCCTTTTCAGTGAGCCTGATCAGTCACAGGAGAAAGAGAGTGCAGACCAGTATTACTTCAGCTGTATCAAGAGTATAAGGCCAATCACCGCGACCGTGATGTGAGAATGCGCCGATCCGACGCGGTAGATGCAACAACGTCGCAGAGAATTCAAAAATCTGCTTAATGACGCGATTGAAGTGCTTCGTGATAGCGAGAAGAAGGGATCGTTGAGATATCGCTAAATAACTCTAAAACAACGAGCCCCGGAGCGGCCAACCGCCAACATATATTGGGCTTGATAAGCCGTTCACAATCGGCAGTGCTCTGATGGAACTGTGTCTGATGCGTATTGCCTCGATAATCTGCGGCTTTCAAGGTAGAAAAGGAAAATGTATATATTCTCCAATTGCGTGGACAGAAACTCGCGGCTCCGTAGATCATCAAACGCCAGCGATCTATCACTGATTCATTCTTCGGTGTTTGCCCAAGACCGTGGACCGTGCGGTAGGCTTAGCATCATCTATCACCGTTGCCTCTACAAGGAAACGATGAAGCAAGTAGGCTGGTTGATTCATTCAAACTAGCTGCGGAAGCGGCGGCCTGCTAGAGGTGCCGGCAGGGTGAGGGGACACAGGACTTATGGCGCCATATTGCGCAATTTGATCCAACATCGCCATTTGGAAACTCGAGTCATGTTGAATAGTGCGTTGAAAACGATACTAGTGTCTTCTAGACGCTGAGTTCGCGGTAGGTATTTTCTTCCGTGCTTCTGCTGGTATGAAGCCTACAGCGCTGATTTGATAATCGACCTGTTACCGGTGCTCACATGGCTGCTATGCCATGCTTTTGAAACATCAGGGACAAGGATCAGGTATGCATCGGTTTTTTTGAATGCGACAGGATAAGATATCCCGAGACGAGCCGATGGAGGATCCATGTAATAAAACGAGCACCATGTATCATTGATATAGAGAGGGGATGTCGAATATGATATATAAAAAGTGCTTCCTTGGGACAATGTATATATGAATATAATTTAAAGATTGTTGGACACTCAGCTCTGAGAGAGCCCGCAGAGTGTGGCGAGGATAAGAAAGGAAGGAGGAAGAGGAGAGAGAAGGAGGGGGAGAGGGCAGCTTTAAATATTCGCCATCCTGGACTCTGGAGATGAATGGAAGATTTCACCGGTGAGTGGCTAGGCAAAGAATGAAGAACAATCACTGTCAGTACAAGATTTAATGCAAGTGAAGATGACTGACTGGCATGAATCCTTGGGCAAAGCAGCCAGAAAACAGGTGACAATAGCGCAAATATATACCAATTGATAAATGTAGCGTGACTATATACAGCTAGTGAATGGGCCTCAGAGCTCCGACACAAAATACTGCGGTCGAAACTGACCTCTGAGTACGAGAGAAGAAGAGAAACAGCAAATAAAGATCAGAAATAGAGCAAAAGGACATAGTATACATCCCCCTCAGTTCCAGGTACACACTCTCCTACTCACAAATATGAAAGCCCTCCAACCCCTGCCAGGACTGCTCCCGATTGACATCAGCCTCCCGGGTCACCTCTTCGTGAATCATCAGACCACAGTAGACAGCCGCGCCGCCGTCATTGGCATAGACCACGCGGATAGGAGTCTTCGCCTGATCCTTCGTCAGGACGGTATTATCCAGCTGCGAATGGCCCACCCAGAAAACCGGATATTCCAACAAGTCAATGTTGGTTTTCTTGCACGTTGCCACGGACCAGTCCAGGCCCTGGAAGTTGCGGTACGCGTGCGGGTAGCCGGTCCGGCCCTGCGTGGAGATGCCCGCCTTTTTCATTTCCTCTTTCGCCGTTTCGACGCTGACCTTCCATGATTTGTTTTTCTTGGTGGAGGTGTCTTTGCCGGTGCAGGTGATGGTTTCCTGGGCGAGGGATGGGGGTTAGCATGTAGTGTTTTGGTTCGAGGGCTTGGGACTCACGGCCGCGATGGGGCTTGCGAGGAGGACGAGAGGGAGGATGAAGTCGAAGAAGCGCATCTTGGTGGTAGATAGAGAAGGATGTTTTTTAAACAATGTGAAAACTGGCTTGAGGGATGCTGTGGAAGTGATTACTGTTCGATGGTTCTTTCGAGCTCATGGCAGACGGCTTTTTATATTCCATCGCGTCTGGTGTCGGGCTTGCTTCGGCGATGCTCCTTGCGAGAGAATTGTCCAGATATTTTGGCCCGTCAGAATCACACCTCGTAGCATGTCTTACTGTCAGCAGAATGCTGTAGATGTGGCTTCCTGGCGCGAGTGGAGCCAGTCAAGGTAGAGATTATTTCCCATGCTGGGAATGACAATGGTCTATCGGTGTATTTGGCCCCTCAATCCCTGTCTTCACATTTGGTTAGTGTTCGACACTGTGAACTGGATGGGCAGGATAGGTCCCAGAATGTCACGCTTTGAGGGAACTGGGGCGGGGCTAAACTCCATCAAAACAATCAACCGGGGAGGCGCTGATTTCAAGGAACATGGGGGCGAAGGATGGATTTTGCATTTTTCCACGTTTCTAGCATAGGGAGAGGCATCCAGCTACAAGGCAACAGGGCTTCCTGCGAAGGAACCAGACTCTTGACCGGGCGTGTAAGCACTAAGACACTCAGACCGCCTGATTGTATCCGAGAATCTCTATATCGAAAACGTTTTGGTTGCTGGCATGTTCCAAACCTGATCATTTAGGGGCCAGAGAAAGTAGGTCAGCAACAGAAAGGTCGGGATGTTCCGGTGATGCCCAAATTTGATATTGTCTGAGTGAATGTAAGTTATCTGGCCTTCCCCGTTCGATTATGACCTTTGCGCCTTGGACTGTTTTTAAAAGAATGCCCTCTTCCTATAGTTTGACCTATTCTGATGGTGGGATTGTTAAATGGCCCCACTCGCCTAAATACTGACCAGACTCCAGGATCGGTGTGTTGAGGCTGCATCTGGACAGAAACCAACAGAGACAAGAGAGTTGATGGGGCCAAAGGACCGCCCCATCCGAACCATCCGAGCCGGAGGGCGGGAGTGGAAGCCTCCCAGCCTGGCCTCGCAACGGTCCGGCACGGAAGTCAATCTCGATCTGGCCCCCACCATCCTTGGCTGGTTAAAAGATCCTCCGTTTTGTTGATCTCCCCTCCTCTCTCCTTTTCTTTCTTCCTCCATCATCTCTCCATCCCATCCATATCCCTCATTCCACCCCTCCCATCATGTCCACCCCCCCAGTCCCCCCAGACTACTCCGAAGACTACGCCACACAGCCCTTCCCCCTCCGACTCTTCTCCGAATACGACGACGAGAACGACCTCTGGATCAAGCAGAAACTCGAATCCCTCGTGAAATGCGATGTCTCTCCCACCCAAACCGCCCTCGATTTCGACGCCACCATCACACAGCTTGTCCTCCAAAAGCACGAGAACGTGATGAAACGCGCCCTCCTCGCCCCCGAACAACGAGCCCAAGGAGGTGAAGAAAAGACGAACCCCTTCACCACCCTTCCCCGTCCGAGATACTACATCGAGACCCTCCTCCAGTCCATTGCGCTTCTCGCGCCATCCTTCCCGCCGCACCACGCGGGTCAAGATGCCATCATCGATTTTCTCAAGGCGCTTCAAGCCCTTCCCCGCCATGAGCTATATAGCGGTTCTCCGCCGGAAGATCCGAATGAAAAATACCCTACGATGACCCTTTGGGCCCTCGAAACGCCGGAGGGGAACTGGGAGGGCTTCGCGGGGTATTTCCGTCATGAGATAATTTGTATGTGATTACCTACCTACCTACCCACTCACCTAACTACTTACTCACTCACCCACTCACTCACTCACCATACCTCTTCCTTTGACATCCTCTAATATGGTTACTAGCATGCCACCCCCCCTACCGCTGGCGCAACTTCAACTCCACCATGGCGCGTCTCACCGCATCCGGCTTCGCGGATTGTACGCTCTGGAGCGCCCTGCGCGATATCCTGCCGGGGAGTGGTGAGTACCCGGATCTGCAGCGGAGGCCGGTCGACGGACCGATCAAGATGGGGAATGATATCAATGCGGCGGCGCAGTGGGTTGTCTGGCCGGAGGAGTGTAGATATGTGTATGAACGGTGTCGGAGGGGAGAGGGGAAGAACCTTTGGTGTATGGAGAATTGGAGGGAGTGGAAGAGTCAGTTTGCTTTTGTGGCTGGGGATGGGCGGTTTGAGGGCAAGTTTCGGGATGTTGCGGGGCGGGCGGCGAGGCAGATGGTGGAGTGTGAGAGTGAGGGGGGAGAATCGGTTGATGGTTAATTAGAGGAAAGAGTGTGGAATAGTCATTAGTATTGTAGTGGCGATGTTCTGGGTGGCAAGGACTGTGTCTCTGGTCGTAGTCATCCGTGTCACGATATGCAGTATTCTTAGGTGATTACTATACTCTTCCATGGTGATGCAGTGATCTACATAAAATTCCCATCGACACCCATCCCACTATACCTCATACAATTCCCACTTCTGCATCAGATACCCTCAGGAGTCAAGACCGCATAATCACCATCGTTGGATCGCCTGCTCCGTCATACCATACCAGGAATCCACTCCCAAACACTGTGTGGAGCGCCCAGTGGCAGTGCGGTTATATATTTAGAGTGTGGCTGAGTTGCCCAGACCGACTGGTCACACCGCAGTGAAGAAGAGCTCCAGAGTTCAGGAATTGGCTCTAGATACTCTCCCACATCTTCCCTCGTAATTCCCCAAGACCCAAACATGGTTCACTAGTACTATGGTAGATGATACATGGTCATCTGGCCTCATCCCTGCGCGGATCTCCATCCCCATTTCCATCCCCTGGAGGGGTACGGAATAAGTGTAACTACACTAGGGCTGACCCGGATTGCTTCAACACCAGCACTGGTACTATCACTGGAATTGGTATTAGTATTAGGATCAATATGAAAATAAATATTCATATTGATAGAACTGCGATCTATCTACAATATCATCTCTCCCACGAAAGAGCTTCTTCCACTGTTGCCTGCTCCTATGATTCCCCTTCCCAATCCCAAACAATAGGCCGCCGCCCCGCCCCACTGCGGCCCAGCTCCACCCACTATGTCACCTTGCAGGAGGCCAGAAGCGATTCGATACAGGGTCCATCCATCCAGGAGGCGTCTCCGTGAATGCGTAGGGCAGCAATGCCGATGATCCAGGTATATAACCCCCTCCCTCTCCCCCTTCCTTCCCCAGCCTGACGATCAAGATCCAGCCCCTCCTCCTCCTCCTCTTCCTCCACATTTCCTACTTTCTTACGGATACCTCAACCCAACTTACATACCCCACCACACACATAAGCACCAAAGAGAACAGCAAAAATGTCCTTCCACGAGTCCTGCCAGAACATTCACCTCATCCATGAGAACGGTGCCACTTTGCTGCACTGCGAGGTCCGTCGTCGCAATAACGAGTACGTGGCTCGTACGATCCGTCTGGATAGACATATTGGGAATACGGATGGTATGGTCTTTCCCTTCCCTTCCCTTCCCTTCCCTTCCACTCTTTTCACCTCTCCTCTCCTCTCCTCCCCTGTCCCGTCTGCATCCCACCCTATCTATCTATCTATCAACATCCATCCCCTCAAACACCCGATCCCAGGGAAAAAACCCCCCACTAACCGAACCCTTTGTTGATTGTCCAGGCTGGTTCCTCTGGGGCGGCTCCAACTTCACCGAAACGGCACGCGACATCCAGCTCGTGCCCACCGAGCGCGGCCCGAAATTGACGGCCTTCCTGCGCACCAGGGACGGTTCCCACCGTGAGTTGCAGGGTCTGTATCTCGCGGATAAGATTGCGAATGAGAATGGGGAGTTGGTATTTTTGGTATGTTTTTGTTTTGTTTCTGGTTCTGGTTCGGGGGGGGGGGGGGAACGGGTGCTGACTGTGCTGGGGATGGGATAGGGACCTTGAATTCGGTTGTAAAATCGGACTCTGACTTTGGGAGGATGGTGGGAGAGAATAGACCTGGAACTGGGCGGGCTTGATGGGGATACTTGGAATTGGAATTGGAACTGCGTATTAGCGACGTTTGTACGGAGTAAGTGGGGGAGAGCTGCTAGTAGAGGGGTTAGATTTGATTGGGCATGCAGGCTGCAAATAGTACCTACTTACCTCGTATGGTGAAATGCATGGAGTCAATATATATGATTTGTTCAATGGGTGATTTTCGGTTGGGTTGTGGGATGAGATGAGTTGGCAGACTGCCGTCCGGCAGTACGTATCGATAGGTAGGTAGGTAGTGTAGAAGAGTCATGATAGGACGGATGCATATGACCTGTCATTTCTCACTCTTTCTTGCGTGGCCTTCTGTGGGCACTGGAGTCAGTCCGGATCGAGACCTGTCTGATGGAATGGACTGCTGGTGGGGTGGTTATAGGGGGATCGTGTCAAACTGGAACTGGAGGGGAAGAATCGGTGCTTGGTCGGTCCCATGCTGGTAAATGTACATTCCTGAGCTGAGCAAAGCTTGGCTTTCTCCCCACATTATTGGACTGCCATGTGGGATTACCCCGCAGGAGGGAGAATGCTGTCGGGACTCCCGAGAAGCTTTCGTCCACGGGGTTGGAGTGAGCGAGTGCTGAATATCATCGACGCTGTAGCATTGCATTCGATGGAGTATACGAGCATATGCTGATGTTGGTGGTTATCGAAGCTGTGCAGTCGGTCTAGTTACCACATGACCCTCTGCAATAGTCTGGGTTAATATGGGAATGATGACTTTTGTTTTGTTTTGGTTCTAGTCGATAGGATAGGTAAGCTCTACCTCTCTCAGCCCATGATACGACTCACACGACCACCCAAACTCTCCAATCGCCGGCCGAGAGACATACCAAGCAATCTTCCGAGCAGCACCAGTGCTACTGACCACACGTAACACGAGACTGCCATGGCCGAGGTCTGTCTCCAAACCTTGTGTCGCCACTGCGCGCCACGACGAAGATAGACGGCACACGCAAGAGCCCAGCTCAACCAATCCAGCTCAATTACTTACAGAGTAGTTGAGCGCAGCTAACGAGGGGGGGAGGAAGTGCTCACCGGCAACCTCCCCACCATCGCCGTTGACTGGAGTGCCACATGGGAAGCCCTAAGCCAACACCACACGGATGTGCCACTGCCAAACACCCCCGGTGCAAGGGTCATGCCCAGGCCCCGACATCGAGGGGCTCGTATCCCCCGCCCATGCCTTGGGTGGTTGGCTAAAGCTGACTTGTGCGACGGCGGGCCGCCAAGTCCCTTGGCAAGTTGGCATCGGCTGAAAGGCAGCAGAGTTTTCGGTCTTCGCCTACAGTCAGTCAGGTCCAGTTCCTGGGAGCCAGAGCTGCTGGTCAGGAGGAGAGAAGAAGATTTCAGGAGACCCGTGTTCAGGGCCCAGTTGGATGGCAGAAAGGTCGGCCAGCTCCGACGCGCATCCGAGGCTCGAACTTGGAACTTCTGGGGGCCGCCAACAAAGAATCCAACCTCCCCCGTGCCGGCGGAGGTTCGGGTCGGACCACCAGCTCGATCAGGACGGCGATGCAGGGTCTCCCGACCAACACGGGCTGGCACAGTTGCAGTGGCGGCTGGGCGTCTTGCTGGCAGCAGGTGCGCGATGTAATTAGCCGCGAGGAGGCACCCCGGTCGATGTTACATTGGCTGCCGGCATCCCTGGAGGACGCAGTGTTGCAAAGGAATAGGGGTGCTCAGTTCTGGACTGGACTGGACTGGACAGTTGGACGCGTGAGAGTGAATCCATCCCCGAATGTGGCCCGATTCAGGGTCCAGGGCAGCGCTGCCTCGTGATCGCCAACCGGGGGAGAGGAGGCTAAGCCGATACGGTTAGTGCGTGCCCTAGGCGGTGGGGCCATTGTCGCGACAGGGCACGTGGTAGGCTCAATTTTCCGACCCCGGTGTGGCCCTGGCGAATCAGGCGTGCCCGTCCTGCACTAGGCCCAGCAGGGCCTGAGGCCGACCCGAGCATCTGGATGGCCCGTCAACCAGTCAACCACATGGGCTGGGCTCTACTAGACTACTACTTGTACAGAGTCGAGACATCTAGACGACGCACTGGCAGGTCGGGGGTCGTACCGTCCCTCCGCTGCTGCACGCCGTGATTGGCCCGGCGGGCTGGGGGGATTCACCCAGAGATGGCCGTCCCAAAGAGGGCGGATTCTGTTTGTCATGCGGCCCCAACCCGGAGCAAATGTTGGGGAACCCCATGGGCCATTCATTCAGACACAACGGGCAGTCGCCAGTCGCCAGCATGATGCAACTTCGCTGCCCCGGCCTTATAAAGCCTCCCTCACCCCCGGTCCCCATCTCCGATTCCCTGCTCCTGTTCTCTTCCCCACCACTCGTCTCTCACTCCTGTCTTCTCCCCCACACATTCTCTCAGGTGTGAACCTCCTCCTGCTGCCTTTTCTTTTTCTGTTACAAACTCTCCCCTATTATTCTTGTCAATCCGTCCTCCGTCCTCATGGCTGAAGGCACGGTCGACGTCCTGCGCGTCGAGGCGCCGGTCACCATCAAGACCTACTTGATGTGTGCCTTTGCCGCCTTCGGTGGTATCTTCTTCGGCTTCGACTCCGGATACATCAGTGGAGTGTTGGGCATGCGGTACTTCATCGAGACGTTTGAGGGCCTGGTAAGTCGCCCCGCATACGCTGCCACTCGGGGCTAACCGGCATAGGATTACAACACCACCCCCACCGATGACTTCGTCGTCCCCTCCTGGAAGAAGTCCCTGATCACCTCCATCCTGTCGGCCGGCACATTCTTTGGGGCTCTCATTGCGGGTGACTTGGCCGACTGGATTGGTCGACGCATAACCATCATCCTGGGCTGCGCCATTTTCATCATCGGAGTCGTCCTGCAGGTTGCATCGTCGTCCGTCGGTCTCCTGGTTGCCGGTCGTCTGATTGCAGGCTTTGGGGTGGGCTTTGTCTCGGCCATCATCATCTTGTACATGTCGGAGATTGCTCCCCGCAAGGTCCGTGGTGCTATTGTCTCGGGATACCAGTTCTGCATCACTATCGGGCTGATGCTGGCCTCCTGCGTCGACTATGCCACCGAGAACCGTCTCGACTCGGGATCTTACCGTATCCCCATTGGTATTCAGATTGCTTGGGCCCTGATCCTGGGTGGTGGTCTGCTCTTTCTTCCGGAGTCTCCCCGTTTCTACGTCAAGAAGGGCCGGCTCGACAAGGCGGCGGAGGTTCTCGCGCGTGTCCGCGACCAGCCCCTGGACTCAGACTACATCAGAGACGAGCTTGCTGAGATTGTTGCCAACCATGAATACGAGGTGCAGGCCATGCCTGGAGGTGGCTACTTCAACAGCTGGATCAACTGCTTCCGTGGAAGTCTCTTCAATTCCAACAGCAACCTTCGTCGTACGATCCTGGGAACTTCCCTGCAGATGATGCAACAGTAAGACACCCCCAGTCTTTTAGTATCGCGTTTAAATACTGACTTCATCAGGTGGACCGGTGTCAACTTTGTGTTCTACTTTGGCACGACGTTCTTCCAATCGGTATGTCACGTGTGCCAATAGCAAACCCTATCCTCACTAACCATCACCAGCTCGGAACCATCAGCAATCCTTTCCTCATCAGCATGATCACAACCATTGTCAATGTCTGCTCGACTCCTGTTTCCTTTTACACCATTGAACGCTTCGGACGTCGCACACTGCTTCTCTGGGGTGCCCTCGGCATGGTTGTCTGCCAGTTCATCGTCGCGATCGTTGGAACGACGGATGGCAGCAACAAGAGTGCAGTGAGCGCCGAGATCTCGTTCATTTGCATCTATATCTTCTTCTTCGCCTCTACCTGGGGACCCGGGGCCTGGGTTGTTATTGGAGAGATATTCCCTCTTCCAATTCGATCCAGGGGAGTCGCTCTGTCGACCGCCTCGAACTGGCTGTGGAACTGCGTAAGTTTGTCTTCTGACTTGGGACGGGGTAGACGATTGACAACTGGCTGACCAAACAGATCATCGCCGTTATCACGCCCTACATGGTGGACAAGGACAAGGGCGACCTCAAGGCCAAGGTCTTCTTCATCTGGGGCTCCCTCTGTGCCTGTGCCTATGTGTACACCTACTTTCTGATCCCGGAGACCAAGGGACTCACCCTCGAGCAAGTCGACAAGATGATGGAGGAGACCACCCCGCGTACCTCCGCCGGATGGCGTCCTCACGGCACTTTCTCCGCGGAGATGGGTCTCACTGGGAAGGACGTTGCGGAGAAGGCCATTGCCGTGCACCACGAGGTCTGAGCGTGTGTTCGATCGCTGTGCCCCGTACTACCCTGTACTGTGGTATCTGATAACTGTGTTATCTTTTTTTTTATTCTATGCTGTGACGCTTCCGCGATGTGAAACGATACGATAGCTAATTAATGATCATGACAATGTACCACTTATTTTGTCGAGCTTGTCTCGGTGTCATGTCGCATGTCCGTAAATGTTTAAGAAATTTAGTTACCCCTTACTCGTAGCCACCACTCGTAGAGCAAATTGTCCTGTACGACAGAGGACAGATGGGCCCCATGCCAGGAGAGCCCTGTCCAGGTTTAATCTCCGAGCGTTGCACGGAGACGGGTACAAGCATCTCCAGCCCTCCAGCCGCACGAAGCACAAGCACAGTTTCCATTTCGTGTCACCCCCTGGAATCAAAAATAGACCACGGCTGGTCAGTCAAACGGGGGTCAAGTTGGATTGTAAACCGGGCCAACAAACCCCTTGCCTCACTCACCCCGCTCTAGCAGCGCACCTATAGAGACAACTAATCGCAAATCATTATGATGGGGTGGAGAGCGGGGTGTCATGATATCCTAAATTCAGATATGCAGGGAATGAATAAAAAAGGCTTTTCTGGGGGATACGAAGGTTCTATTCTCTCTAACACGGAGACAGCAATATCTCGAAACCTCGACTAGGAGAATCAAGCAATCAGGAAACGCCCAACAACAGAAACAGACACAGAAGCCGGAGAGGAATGTGTTTGGAGGATTCTTGTTCTTATTCTTGTTCTCGTGCTCACGTTCACGTTCACGAGACGCTTGAACAGGGCGTTGGATTCTTGGCGGGTGGGGATGTGGGGGGTTGTGTTGGTCGAGGTGGAGGTGGACATGGTTGGTGAGGTTGTGTGGTGGTGGTTTGTACTTTGTAGAGGTGAGATAGTATGAGATGAGATGGTGGTTGTAGGGCTTAGCCTGTTGTTGTTGTGGAGGAGCTTGGTGTGTTTGGTGGAGTTGGATGAAAAGACGATGGTAGATGGGAGATGGGAGATGGGAGATGGGAGATGAGAGGAGATAGATAGGTGAGACTGGTGATGGAGGTAAAGATCTTGGTTCCAGGTTGAAATTTTCATCCTCGTGACTCGCGTTGGGGGTGATTTTATGTCACAATGATGCTTTTCGGAATTATCTCCTGCTCCTGTTATGCATCACATCACATCAATATTACATCTTCATCGGGGAAGGTGAGCGGTTTGGCTTGATTGGAGGGAGAGGATATATATTATATACCCCCTTGGACATCACTCCCCAAAAACACCCAGATCGTGCTTTCCAGAGACAGAGAGAGAGCCAGGAAAGCGATCTATCTAGTGGGTGGCTTGCCAGTGCAACCAGTACCAGTACTCTACTCTTAACCACAGAGCAGGAGATATTACTTGGATTCATTCATTGCATTCAATTCTCATTTTAATTTTAATTGCACAAAGCTACTTATACTATACCATACCATGACTCCTTACGTTATACACATCAGACTTGTATCTAAACAGATCATCATCATCCACACCCTGCCATCCCCCCGTCAATCAAATGTAGATCCCCGTTGACATATCCCCCTGCTTTGCTAGCTAGATATAGAATCGCGCCGGCAATCTCGTCGCTTCTCCCGGCGCGACACAGCGGGATGAATCCGCGCTCGAATGTCCCTTCTACGGTGATGTCTCCTGTCGGGGGGCTACCGCAGAGGTTACTCGGGAATACTGTTATCAAGTCATCAGCCATGCTCGGGTCACGACGGGGAAATGTAGGGAGAGGAGTGGGGGAGGCTTAGGGCAAAGGAGGAGTCTCACAGCCCGGCGAGATGGTGTTTGCCCTTATCCCCTGAGGAATCAACAGGGTCATCATCTGACGCATCAGATGCACGACCGCGGCTTTACTCATCCCGTACGCACACCCACCCGTCGTGCAGCGGTTATGCGCCGCGACACTGCTAACCGCGATGACCTGGCTCTTCTGCACCATGTTGCCCATCCGATTCCCCGCGTCCAACAGCGAGACAAACGCCGCAATCGTATAGAAGACCCCCGCCGTGTTGACGCGGAAGGTATCGAGGAATTCCTCCGCGGGGGTGTTCATCAGGAACGATTCGAGGTCTGCCGGGGTGGCGTTTTCTTTCAGGGTTCGGCCGACCTGTACGGCGCCGGTGGTGGCGCCGGTGAGACTTTCTGGCGCAGTGAGATACACCATCCCCGCATTGGCGATCAGGAGGTTAACGTAGCCGGTTTCCCTCCCGATTTTCTCGGCGACGCTGGCGAGAGAGGCTTTGCTGCCCACGTCGGCGATTAGCGGGGTGATTACCCCGGGGCAGAGGTCTGCGGTGCTTTCGAGGGGCTCTCTACGGCGCCCGAGGATGTATACCTTTTTGGCGCCGTTTGTGGCGAGCGCGACGGCCATGGTTTTTCCTAGCCCTGGAGCGGGTTAGTAGCTTGGGTGTGGTAGAGGGGGTGAGGGTGTACCTGAGCTGCCGCCGGTAATTACGGCCACAAGGCCACGAACATTGAAGAGGTCGCTGATATCGTATGGCATGATGCTGCCTTTGGGGTGTTGGGGGGGGGGTGGTGGAACCGATGGAGGGTGGTGGGGAGACAGACATGGCTGGACTTTAAGACGGCACTGACGTATCAGTTGCGCGGAGGACATACCAGCAGGGACGGAGCAGGATATTGGAGAGTTCTATTTGGGCTTGGTATGGCATCATACCAAAAACCTGGACTCGCTAGGGTTTGGGCTCACCGCGCGATGCCAAGACCAAAGGCTTATGGGAGCCGATAGCTCTAGTTCTTTGAATACAGCAGGACCCCGGGCCTTGACCAAGGAAGTGCTAAAGCAAGAGGATCGGGCCAGCTGTGGCTCGGAGCCGGGGCTGAGTAACACGCTTGATGACTGAAGAAGCTTCCATTGAAATGCGACGTATTCTGGGTTTCTCACATCCCGTCGAGGCAATGGAATGGCCACCACAGGATGGTGGAATGAGATGTAGATATGACGATCTGGAGAGAAAGCGAAGAAGTAAATCAGAGAGATCCCAGGTCGTAACACGCTTCCCTGCAAACAACCTGCCTATAGGTAGCAGCTAGAAGTCATGATGCGAGAGTGGTTAGGTTCACGATGGAACTTAGGAACGCCTCGTTTGAGTTCGGGTGTACCCACCTAACAACCTATCCATCTCCACCAACCCACCCCCGTATTTTCCACAATTCGATTCCCCACCACATCCAGCAAAAACAAAAGCAAAAAATGACAAGAGTGGGATTCGAACCCACGCCATCAAACGATGACCAGGAAACTCGGAGAGTTGTCTGTCAAGGTAAACCTTAACCTGGCGCCTTAGACCGCTCGGCCATCTTGCCGTTGATGGCAGTTCCTCAACATGATTGATTTATAGTCCAATGGTCAATGGCCTAAGAATCCGATGAAGATCCAGAGACCTGTGTGTAGTGAGTCTGAAACTTATTTTGTTATCTATACGACTAAACATGACTTGATTAGCATCTCACAATGAACGGAACTAATCGTTCAATGGATGAACGAAGGAAGCGGACTGACGTTGCCATAGTAGAGTATTGCGGTACTATTAAGCGGGATAATATATATAGTCAACCCTCACAAGACACATCGTTTTCTCTCGCTGGCTCCCAGATTGGCCCGTTCTTGATTACAGAACTCTTTCAAAGGACCTCCGAATCATCAAGTGATCGAAAACAAAAAAAGTGTGGGATGCCAGCGTTTGGGTTAGGCACCTTGGCTACGACTTCCTGGCCATCGTCCATAGACATGAGGAAGGCTTTGCTGAACATACCGTCAGGGTGCTTTCTAATGGAAATACATTGAGAGGCCTCGACAGAATTTGCTGCAACAGTTGCGAGTTTGTTCATATCGAATCTGACCTCTCGCTTGCGGAGATTCTCCGCTTCATCCACAACAAAGCGGCCACGAGTAAATTGAAAGAAGTCATTGTTAGAATTCCAGTCCAATCCTGGTGATTAATAACCGGAAGAGCTACTGTTAGTATTAGAGTGATTGCAGGGTGGCGTCGAAGATTTCGAGATCAAGCGACAGTGTTGCCTCGAGCTTGGCTCTATACTTTGGACGTAGCGCCAAAGACGAGAGGGTGGGAGTTGGCGCATGGCTACCTCGGGAACAGGAATAGAGCGCGATTCGAGTGTCGAGAGAGCTAGTGAGTAGTAAGGAGATCACTGAATACCCCTGGATTCCATATGCACCACCTGATTTGATCAATTCGATGGATTTGATGGCATGCTGGTTGTTTGAATGTTGTTGTTGTTGCTGTTGTAGGAGAGGACGACGACCGGCGATCAACCGCGGCACGCTATTCCCAAACCAGCTAGGCCCCATCACATGGTTCACCCGCCACGAAGAGAAGGCGGTCCGGTTCTGCCCATCACATGCCGCATCTGACGTTTGGTGCATTCCCGTCTGCTCCCTTCCTCCTGCATCTCCACCACCACCTCCTCAGGACTCAGTCCACCTCACATCGCCATGCCAGACTCGCCACCGAGGCGGCGGCGCTCGCGCTCGCGCTCCCCGCGACGCCAACCGCCCAAGGGCCCGGGCGGCTTCCGGTGGAAAGAAAAGCGCCCCCCCAGAGACGATGACGGCAACGACAACGACCGCTCGCTCGGTCGCGGATACCGCGCTCGCTCCCCACGTCGGCCCTACGATCGTGACCGCGACCAAGATCGCGACCAAGATCGAAGACCGCGATCGGATTACGGTGCCGACAGACCCAGAGACAGAGACAGCGACAAATACGGAGATGACAGACCCAGAGACGGTGACCGATACAGAGATCGCAACCGCGACCGTGACCGTGACCGTGACCACGATCGGAACTACGACCGCCACACATCCTCCTCATCCAGCAAGCCGAAGAAAGAAGACGGCGGCAAGAGCGACAAGAAGGAAAAGAAGAAGAAGCTCAAACCTGCGAGCACGGAGGAGATGATGATTGTCACGGTCAACGATCGACTCGGGAGCAAGGCGACCGTGCCCTGTCTTCCGTCCGACACGGTCGGGGATCTGAAGGTTCTGGTTGCGGCGCAGATCGGACGCGCTCCTCGTGAGATTCTCCTCAAGAGGCAGGGGGAGAGGCCATTCAAGGATTTCATCACCCTGGGCGACTATAGTATTCAGAATGGTGTGCAGCTCGACCTGGAGATCGGTACTGGTGATTAAAGCTGGGTGGATGGGTTAAACCATGGGGGATTGGGATGGAGAATTGGGAACCGACTATTTCAGACGATTTCAAGGGTGTCAAGGCTGGATCATGGGTATCAGCATCACATAAAGCAAAATAATATCGGGCCTCCCTACGAGTCGGCCTTGTGTTTCTTTTTTCATGAACGCTTCTTTACTTTCACGGAACCTTGCTCCTCATGGGGTCACTACTGAGCTGTTCATGTCGGCAGTTGACTTTTAGACGCGCGCCTACATAAACTTGCCGACTGCGTCGTGCTGACTTGTGCCACTGCTTAACAGTTCCAAATTTATGTTCAAAAAACACGACTTTATAATTACAGCCTTTCATCGTCCAAAGCATCAGACTCAATGACTAACGCGCGACAAGCTCAGATATATCATTCTCAACCGCACAAACAGAAAGCAACCCAATCTAGAATAGCAAAGCAACCAAGAACAACCCCACCAGCCACTGCAGCGAAACCAAGGCCCTCGCGCCCGCGGAAGTCGACGTCGAGTCCGACCCAGAAGAAGTAGTAGACGAGGACGACGATGAAGAGGAGGTACCCGACGAGCTGCTCGACCCCGAAGACGAGGACGACGACTTGGACGCGGAATCATTCACGATCGTAAACGTCGACGAATACTTGACGCTGCTGGGATCCTTGGTATCGACAATCGCAAACAGATAATCATCCCCGGACGCGATACTGGTCGAGAGAACAAACGCCACGTCTCCGGAGTTAGCGATGTCGGTCGTGATCGTAGAGACGTTCTTCAGGTCCGACGTGTCGGTTCCCTCCATGAGGTAGATGCTGACGCTGGTGACGTTGCTGTCGACCTTCCAGGTCACGATGGCCGTCTCGCCCGTCTCGATCTCCTCGCCTTCCGTCGGGTAGTAGGTCGTCGAGTTGGAGGAGGCCGAGATGGTGAACGCGTCCGACTTGTACTCGGTGTCCGAGTCCGCCGGCTGCAGCACCACGATGTAGTCGGTTCCTGCGCTGATGCTGGACGGCGGCGACCAGGAGATGGACCCCGAGTTGGAGATCTTCGATGCGATCGTGTAGAGGTCCGTCGAGTTATCGGTCGTTTCGAGGTAGAAGGACACTTTGCTGGAGCTGGATTCGGTCGTGTTCCATTCGATGACCGTCGCGGTGTCGAGCGACACGACGGCGCCCTGCGTCGGCTCGACGATGGAGTAGGCGGGCGTCGCGGCCTTCGCGACGCAGGCGAAGGCGCTGAAGGAGAGGGCGCTCAGGAGCGAGGTGGAGAGCATCTTGTTTATCGTGTAGTTTATCGTGGTAGGGTGGGTGGTCAGTAGTAGGAGCGAGTGATCGACAGGAACGAACGACTGGGATAACTAATGGGATAAATAAACGAGTGAATGTGACTGACGACGACCGACGACCTGACGATCTGGGGAAAGGAATGGGTTCGGGCCTCCTTAAAGGGCTTAAAAAGACGCAGGCTTCATTCCATCCCTGCTGTTGGCTGTTGGCTGCCCCTCGGCAATAGTATTATCCAGGGAGGCTTTTGGCACCTGGCATGCACCCTATCATCTCCGGGGCTTATTTATAGCCAGCAATGCCCCTACCCCTGGTATTAGGCAGCAATCTACGATTTATCGAGTCAATCGCATCTACTCCGATCCAAGGAAGCACCGAATCCCTAGCGTGGTGGTGGTCCCGGCGTAACATGATCGTGAAGAAAGGTTCAGGTGGCCGGCCTGCTATATAATTATCCAGTCCCGCCGCCACGGCCTTGCAAAGTCAGATCGGCCCACCCCTCGGCGGTAATGTCCCATTGAACTTGCAGACTATGTGGTCTAGGGTGTGTCACCATTAGAGATCATGTTATCTAGGACGTCTATTTCCAAAAAGCAGAGGCTTGTCTCATTTCTTGTTCGATCCCCAAACCCCATCGAAGAAAATCACCATAATGGTCAAGTCGTCGCGATACCGTCGGCTCAGCGGGGGGGACAGCGTGAGCATGGCGCGCACCATTTGGCCTTCATGAAGCTTTCCCCCCAGCGCATTCCGCAGCAGATGAGTAGCGGCGTTCCCGTCCTCGAGCACAAACCTATCGTCCGGATGAACGGGACTCGAGCCACTGTGCTGGGGCTTCTTCTGACCGGTGGGATCACCCCCGACCACCGTCGATTTCACCGAAGAGATGTATCTCTTCCACCCATCCTTGCTACCGCGAGACCCGATACCCCTCTGCTCATCCACCCACCGACCTACCAAACCCACGACCTCCTCGTTACTGAGTAGCTCCCACAGCCCATCAGACGCCATGACAACGAAGTCGCCCTTCTCCGGCTGAATCTGCACACTAGTCACGAGGGGCTCCGCGGTCAGATACGGCGGCGTCGCATTAGGCGCCAGCTGTCTCCCGAGCTTGCCATCGTTCAAGAAGCACGCCCGGATCTTGTCTTGCATGGCGTCCGTCCACTTGTAGTAGAGGTCTCCAAAGGACCGGGTGGGCTCGAGACTGCCCAGCAGCCGGTTGTTCTTAAGCACGTCCTTTTCGCCTGGGTGCTCGGCGCGGATCCTCGCCTCCTCGTCCGGGTTCAATCCGTACTGGTCCAGGGTTAGCACGGTTGCGGCCCATGAGCCCGGTTCGCGTCGACGACCGAGCACCGCCCGAGAGTCCCCGGCTAAGGCGACATAGAACATGCGAGACCGGCTATCGTATATCGATAGAAGGGCGGACGAGCCGGTGAAGGCTTCTTGGAGGAGTTGAGTCGCTGGGAAGGACAGGGGATCCGATGTGATGCTTGAAGATTCTGGCGCGTGCTGGAGAAGGGCCTCCTGGCGTTCCCAGATGAGATGGTCGTCGACGGCGAGGAATCCGCTTTTCAACGCCTGGGCTATTCTCTCGAACGGGGGGAGAGAATCCGTTGCATAGGCCTTCCCCAGCTCGAGGGCTACCGAGTTGACCAGGGAGCGTGAGAGAGCTGTCGACATGGCAGTGCCGCTGCGACGACGCCGCATTAGTATCATCCACCAGACTCTGTATCTCCGACTCACATGTGACCGTCATAGATACCCCAGAACCCGAGGTTACGACCGTCGGGCATCTCCACAATGGCTTCCGAGTACGCATCCTCCATGACGGAGTTACTCGGTAAACTCGTCCGGTCGTAGTGTCCTATGCCGAGACCCGACATCTGACGAGTCACCTCGTTCGCCCGCAGCCGTGTGTCGACTTGCTCCTGCGAGAACGGGGGCGGTTGGAGAGCGAGCCTGGGGTCCGGGAGAGATTCCAATTTCTCAATGGGCACATCCTGGTCCCCTCGAGTGGTGGTGTGCGACCGGGTGAAATGGGAGTATAGCACGTAAGATATCGTTCCCACGGTGAGGCCTAGTCCGCCGAGAACGAAGTTGGATGGGCGCGATGACACCTTCGCTGCCGTGAGACTTCCCATGCTGGTGTATGTGCGGGACATCTTGCGAGACAGGACTGCGCGCGGGGCCTTCGGCATATGGGGATGTGGCCGAGAGGCGAGGTTGGAGGCGTCTCCAGGACATGGTCAAGGGGGAGGACAAGCTGGTGGTGGTGGTGAGGCGTCGGTGATAAGGACTGGGAAAAAGCAACGGGGAAATGGAATGCTGGTGGTGTTTCCGCCTCAGGTTCGTCGCCGATCTGCAGGATCTGACAGGTTCATCCATTGCTGGAGGCGTGGCTGGCCCGGTTGGCCACGCAGGAAGCAGGGGGGGGGGGGGGATTTAGCACTATGCTGGACCGGTTGGCAGGTGGGCAGGTGGGCATCTTAGCGCCGCAGGAACACGCTAACTGGTTGGCGTGTGGTAAGTGGCAGATAGAGACAGACCAGCCTCTCTGTCTATCCAGATGATGCCCAACAGCAGTGTGATGTGAGGAGAGGGTGCTGCTGTTCAGTACTGTCCAGTACTGTTCAGTACTGGAAGAGCCGGGAGTTGTGCAGATCCACTTGTGCAGCGTGACTCAGCAGGCACAGGGTCAGGTGATGATGCATCGGGATTCCGCGATTCCGGGGGTCCGGCTTGCCGTTCTTGCCGTTCTTGCCGTTTGTCCTCCCCGATCGCTTCGAAGCCGACAGGTCCAGAGTATCTATCTTAGTAGTCCCCCCTGTTGCCCAGCCAAGGGGCGCTTAATATACTCCGCATCTGACATGCCACGTGATCCGCTGAGGCCCATCGCCGGCCATCCTCACCTGGCCGCTCGGCGCCCCGAGGAGGAGGATGATGACCGCAGTGGCGATGATGTCACCGGGCAGCCCAGTCCAAAACGCCAGAGACGCGGCAGATACGTGTCCAAGGCCTGGTACGTCGCCCCAATGGCGGATATTTCCCGCGCATGCTGACCACCACGGGCGCTTGCTTGTAGTATCCAGTGTCGCTACCGAAAGGTCAAGGTAAGAAGGCCTCCCGCGGCGTGGGCGTTCGATTATTGATTTGGTGCGCTAGTGCGACGGGCGTCTCCCCTGTGGGCCATGTGCCCTGAGTGGGCGCGACTGCACCGAGAACCCCGTCGATATGCGGCGTCGACGGCCTTCTCACGATGACAGGCCGGCGAGGCATGATCCGAGGCCGACCGTGGTCGAGGCCAATGACACGGTGAAAGAGCCTGGGTTCGTTGCCGCGCCGCATCCCCACATTTGCTATGGGCTGCTGACCAAAAATCAGATCTCGAACCGAGAGTATGGTCGATCGAATCGATGGGAAGCTGGATCTCATCCTGTCTATCGTGTCCCGTCGACGTGTTGAGCGCGAAACCATTGAAGCCCAAACGGATCTCCATGAGGACCAACATACGATCGTCCGCGCCTGGTCTCCCCCCAAAGACCAGCCACTGGATCAGGCTGCGGTGGTCCCCTTTTCCGGGGAAACGTCCATTCGCCATAATCTGGACCAGGTTGAAGGTCGTCTTGAGGAGAAGATGCAGGAACATCCCGGCGCAGCGAGTAGAGTGCCGCAATCCCAGATATCCACACCTGCATTGACCCCATCGCCACGTCCTGAAGGTGGAAGGAAGACACGAGGAGCGGTCGAAATCACGGATACCCTTCAGCGGTACGGCATTACGCTAGACAGGCCGCAGGCAGAGAGGGCTCTGAACGTGTTCTGCAACGAGATCCATATCATGTACCCTTTCATGCACCTGCCAACCCTGTGGGGTGACTATTCGAGTATATGGGGTGGCAGCTTTGGATTACCGCCAGACTCTGATGTCTCCGGCCAAAGCAGATATCGAAACACTTTGGCCCAGATCCTATTGTGCATGGCTGTTGGGAGATGTACCGAGTCAGCGCGAGAGGAGCACCGTGAGGGAAGATACTCTGCTGGCTGGAGTCTTTACCGGGCTGCTTCGGACTTGCTTGGCGACGTGCTTGACTGTTTTGGAAACCATTCAGATCCAATCCAGATTTTGCAGACTCTGAATCTGATGGTATACAACGTCCCTGTTCATGGTGGTCATTTTGAATTTCCAGCTAATTCTTATGCCATGCAGATCATATACCTCTTCCGCTTAGACCTTTCTGGGAAGGCGGAGAAGCTCCTGGCTCTCGCCATTTCTCATGCGCATCAGATTGGACTCCATCGATCTAAGGTCGTGGAGAGGATGGCGCCGTACGATAGTGAGGTATCTCGTCGCATTTGGTGGTGTCTCTACGTAATGGATCGACGGTTGGCGATCGAGACGGGTCGGCCGTTCGTCATCCAAGACATCAACGTCGACACTCCTCTCCCTGAAAATGTCGATGATGAGTGGCTTTCCAGGAGCCGGAAGGACCCAAGGCTCAAGAAAAGTGTGCCTCCGCAAGGCGAAACGAAGGATGCCCCTACCACGGCAATCCCCTATTTGAGAGCAATGGTCATCTATTCCAAAGTTCTCGGGAAAGTGTGGGAAGGGATGTATGGCGCTGCAAGCTCGAGCTCTTCGAACTATACTCTCCGTGAGCACCTCGAAAGTATGCTTTCTCGGGCGCAGACGGATGTACAGCATGAATTCGCACACCCTTATCACGGGCAGCGTCGGCAAATGGCCCAAACGCCTTGGTGGCTGGCTAAATTACAGATGCTAATGCGGATTGTAAGGCATACCGCATGATATTTTACTATACAGCGTGGCTGATACTTGTCTAGCGGTGGCTATCCCTTCGCCTTATGATTCGCAAGCCCATGCTGCAGGCTTCATTCTCCCAGTCTGCTTCGGCACTCGACACGTTCGACAATGACGTCACCTGCATGCAGATTTCAAAAGGCATCATTGAAGAGTTTGCTCAAATCTCCCCGGAGATGGCCGTCTATACCTTCCCCTTCATTCACTATTTGATTAGCGCCGTCATCATCTCCCTTGGGCTAATTGTTAGGGAGTCATCGTTGAGATCTACGTATGGCAGACCGATAATCTATGCGGTTCGATTACTGGAGTCATACTGCCACAAAACATGGGTCTCCGGGAAGTTGATACGCATTGTTTCGAGACTGAAGGAAATGACTGCCTACCTCACGAATGATAACGCTTCAATGGGATCAGAGCCTTCCGTCCCTCGGCCATCGTCCCAAGTCCCTATGGACAGCGACAATGATCGTGCTCGAGAAATCCATCGCATCAGGAGTAATTATCCTTCAATGCCTGCCTCAAACCTACCTCCCACTGCTGGGATCCCCGGCCCACAAATGAAGGAGAACCAGTCTGGCGTGGACCATCCAACCAGCATTTACATGGGTAGACCAGGCCACAGTACCGGTTATACTCCGACCACAGCGCCCGAATACTTTGCTCCCTCCGCTGGCACTGCGCATGCTTTACCCTACCCCAGTGTGACAAATCTCACCACGCTTGACTTTGATTTCGAGGCGGATGTCACACCCACCGTCGGCTTCACTGGGCTACCTTTCCAGGGTTCTTCAATGATGCAGCCCCCGCCCAATCAAGCGACCACACTTCCGGGTGCCACACAAAACATAATGCCAGAAGCCATTGCGACCAGTGGGCCACAAGCGCAACAATTTGCCGTCGCCGATTCCGGGGCAGGGGGGGTTGGGGGAATGGAGTGGCTAGAAACCCTGTTCGGCAATTACCTCGATCCGAATTTCATTATTCGTCAGAGCCAGTGACTTTCATTGCCATCGAGCCTAATATCGTTATGGCCATCGTTTCCTGTTACATTGCTTTCCTTGATTCAAGCCCGCCATCTGGATCATCTTGCGATCGACTCCGTGGATCTGAAACAATACAGCTCGGCTAATTTCCCCATGTCAAGGCCGCATGAGAGGGAATAACACCCGCATTCTCAAACGACCGATACGTTTCAATCCAGGTCTCCAAGGTCTTGTCGTGCCGGTTCCAGCCAAACTTCCTCGCCTTGTTGATCGACGATATTGTCAACCAGGACTTACCGGTCGCCCAGTTGAAGAAGCCCCACGTCCCCCAGTCAAAAGTCTCGACTTTGCCTCCATACTTCTGGACAACGGCCTCCCACACCCCACGCTTGTCCTTGGCCCATTCAATCATATCGATCTCATTGCTCAGTGTTTTAGCCTGCCCGGCGGCTTTCTTAAACGTGGGCTCGGGAGCCTGCAAGTCCGCTCGTCAGTAGGACAACAACCTCGAGACGCGGACAACTCACGTCTACGCCAAAATACTCCGCCACGTCTTGCCACAAGTACTTCCACACAAAGACATCTCCATTGACATGGTTGAACGCTTCGTCTCGACAGTGGTCCTGCGACGAAGCCCACACGGTGAGATCGGCCAGACTTGGCGAGTAGGAGTTGTCGTCGATCGAGTTCCAGAAATACTCATTTCCCGGGAAGTTTGCCGGCTCATTGAGTTCCCGGCAGATCAGCATGTAGATGGCGATTGTCAATGCCTCGGACATACCGTTCGCTATATGCATCGGCATCGATTAGCGGGGAACTTTTCGATGCGCTTCATATGCACTCACCATGAGGCGCAAACCCATTGATGGCATTCGGGCGAATCACGTTATATGACCAGGAGTTCCGCCGTTTCTGAACCTCCCGCAGGTAATCCTCTTGGGCGTAATAGAAGTTGTATCCCTGATCGTCATAACGCGGGAAATTCTCTTCCAAAGGCACTTTGACTGGTCCGAGATGGACTCCATAGTACTGCAGCGCAACCTCTCAGCGTCTCACCTCTACACCTTATAGTGAATGACAACTCACCTTCCCACCCGTCTGCAAACTCACCCGCTGCAACGCGGGACATACGGCATCCACCGTGTCCAAGAAGTTCCTGAACAGCGGCACGTTCCGATCCCGGAGGATTTTGAAATCATTATAATGCACATAGGACGTGAAGAACGCGTGCGTTACAGCCGCACAGATCTTGGTCAATCGCACAACGATCTTCTCGACTGGATTCAGGAAATCCACCGCCACGAACTCAACCCGGGGGTCAATCCACGGCGTCGGAGGCGGTCTTCGCGACGAGACGATGATCTTAGACCTGATATCAAAAAAGTTATTCCAAATCCCTATGACCAAAAGGTACTTATATTCATGTCATGACTGTACCATTCTTCCTTGGGCTGCCGAATCAGATGTTCGACGATAGCATACCCACTGACGCCATTGGCGCCCGTCACGAAAGCGACTTTCGATTGTTGCAAGCCCATGATATGATCCGATATCTGTCCTATCGCCGTTTGTGTAATTGTTCCTGTTCCTACTCAGAGGATGATACCTTCCTTTTTATATATATAGCCCCTCGGACCTTCCCGACCTCTCCCATAGGTTTTAGGTTCAAGGTTCGAGTCTGAGCCCCCTTCCACCGTCACTTCCGAGTTAGAAAGACTAATAAGATATGATATGATATTATACGTCGATCGTTTCCCTCTTCCGGTCGACCAGGACTGTCGTCTGCATGCCAGATCGCCGCCCGGGGAAGTCACGGCGTCTGGAATTGAAACACGCAGCGAGTAAGAGTGGAAGTACCAGCAGCACGGAAGTACCGGTGACAGTCTCAGGATTCAAATTTCTGCCTCGAACCAGGTAACTGCATGCATGGATGGATTATCTAACGGGGGCGGGATGAGATCATCCATCCTCAGCTGGCTCTGATCCAGCCCTTTCTTCTTCACCTTCAACCATGGTTCCGTCCGATTGATCTCGCGCAGTATTTCGATCGATCGATTAGGATTATCTATTTCCCCCCCGACAGCTCCGCAAACCGTGACTGAACCCGGATAACGCCCTTGTTCCCTCCCACTTCCACTCCTACTTCAAAACCACAATCCAACCCCAAGTAGATAGATCATCACCACCAACACCCACGATACGTCCAGGTCCACACCGCGGAGGCCAACGCACCTGCTGCATCCATCCAACCGAACCCAACCGACCGAATAATGGGTCCCAGTTGGTCTCGGCAGTGGAGCCGAAAGTTCGCGGAATCCTTCCTTCCGGACGACGAACCTCCGGGTGGAATTCCGTGGTGATTCCGTTTTTTGCGGGATGCACGGGGGAGGGGAGGGGAGGGATAATTGTTTATTGTGTGTTGTAGTGTTATACCTATCTTGGTGTGTCCTACGGAGTAGGACTGGTTGATGTGATGACTGTGGCTTATAGCCGGGAAGTCAACTGAAGATTGTAGGTATTGGATGGAATGGGTGCTGGAACTGACGAAGCCTAGGCTGAGATGGGTGGCTGGGAATGGAGTCCATGAAGTATCGCTTGCCGGTTCATTGAGGAGGGTCAACTTGTCCTTCCCTCGTCCGATTCTACCCCAGGATTACTGCTATACGATCCATACCTGATTGCACCACTCTTACACGTCTTTCAAGATCCTCCTCGTCAAAATGGGCCTGGCTAACACTAACGAGTACTCAATTCCCTTCGGTATCGGCCAGTTTGTCTTTGTTCCAATGGTAGACTTCAACAGCATCGTACCTTCCGTCTCTTAGATGTTGTCAAGAACAGGTAGGTCGAGTACGATCCTTCCCTGGGTGGCAATCACCCAAGCCAGGGTTTTCTCGGTGTTTACCATGTCCTCTCCCTTCTCTTCGTCCTGTTCCCCGTCTTTCGCGCCCCCTCTTTCTTCGTCCTTCTCGTTATCGTTCTCATAGGGTTCGTTCTCATAGTACTCTCATTATTATTCTCATCATTGTTTTCTACCTCCCCTGTTCTCGCAACCATGGAGGATCCACGTGCTCTAGAAATCAATATATCTTCCCTTATAGCAATCAGCACAGCTGCCCTACTGCGCAGAGTTTTACCCTGGCCCCTATACAAGATCCCTCCACTGAGCACTTTCCTTGCAATTGAAGAGGCCCGCACTGAGAGGTATCAGGAGAAATTAGCAAGGATTTGGTTGAGACAGACTGACGAGCGACCTGGCTATCGAGTTGGGTTGATTGCTCCTCGCGACATTGAATACCAGGCAGCCATTCGCATTTTCGAGCCAGATCCACCCCCTGCCACTTGCTGGCCGCGATATGGGGGCCTTGCCCGGTTTATGGTCGGGTATGTTGGGCGATGCAAAGTTATCATGGCTGGCTTGAGCGCCGGCCAGCCATGCGACAGTTCCACTGTGCGGGTATTGGCACACACGCTGAAGCAGAATTACGGCGTGCAACATGCCTTGCTGGTCGGGACGGGAGTAGGGCTTCCCGACCCCACCCCGCAACAGTATTATTCTGGGATTCGCGTGGGAGATGTGCTTGTGGGGTACAGACATGCAGGGGGCCAGGGTCCCATCGTTGCGTATCGACATGCGAACCAGAGGTTGACGGGCTATATACACGATGGCGTGCCTGTCACTCTCGAAACAGACCCCACGATGGTGCGCGCTATGCAGTGGGTCCATGAGGAATGGCGACGGGGACAGAGGGCGGCGTTCAACGAGAAGCTCCAGTCTATACGAGAGAATGAGCCTTCTCTTGACTGGCAGGAAACAACGCCGCCAGACACCTTGCTGGCTACAGAGGGGGACGATTCCAGCGCGATTGAGCGACCGGAGCGGACTGCCGAAAACCAAACCCGCATCTGGTACGGGGCCATTGCATCGGGAGATGCCGTAGTCAATGCCACTCGCGTGCGGGACCGAATCCGGACGAGGGATGGGGTGATCGGGGTGGAATGTGGAGCCATCGGCGCCGTCCACAACCTGCGCGCCGGCGTCATTCGAGGCGTCGCGGGTTACGGCGACAACCGCGACACTCGCGCCTGGCAGGGCATCGCCGCCTCGGCCGCCGCGGCCTACGCAGCGCTCATCATCCAACACCTCTTTCACATCCACGATCCCGCGCCACCAGCCTATATAGATATCTTCTGAACGGACTGTGGGGTAGCGTCGCTTCAGAATGGTAATCCATAGGTGTTATTTGATTCCGAGACAGGCTATGCTGTAAGGAGATGGCGACCCAAAGGATCCGAGCATCTATATCCGTAAAGTACGAACGACAAGGTCCCGGTCGAAAACGAGAAAAACACCCCGACAGTCGTCATTCCATCCGTCATCAACTTCATCTACATACATTATATCATCTCAATAGTCCTCCTCATACTGCTCCTCCCCGCCATAGTAGTCGTCATATCCCTCCTCCATCCCCTGATCCTCCTCCGGGGCTCCATGCCCGTCATCCCACCCCGACGGCGACATCTCCATCCGCCGAGGAGCCCGCCTCGACGGGGTCACCGTGGCACTTGTTGGAGGCTGATACCTCCGGGGCGGGGGTCCCTGCCTGCCTCCCCTCCAGCCCGGAGGCGCCGCATGGTCTGCCCGACTCGGGGGCTGAGGCTGTCCCCTGCCCGGACCAGGCCCCCGTCTTAGGGCAGGGGCAGGGGGAATGGGCCTCGCCCTTCCCCCTCTCGCCGCCTGCGTCCACTCCCTGGGATTCCGTGGCGGGCGATACCGCGGCCGTGGCGGCGTACTCTGATAATCGAAGTCATCGGCCCGGATATGTTCGATGCGAGCCGCATCAACGTCGGTTCCCCCCGTAGCCTCCTGCATGTAGGTCTCGAACCGCTCGATCGCCTCCGCCACCATATCAAACTGCCACCAGTCCAGCACCGGCCCGGTCGCCACATCCACCGTCTCGGCCTCCTCCTCCTCCTCCTGCTGCTGCTGCTGCCCCGGTCCCTGGCTCGAGGGCGTCTCGTCCTCGCCCCACTCATCCAACGCGGTCTTGCGCATGTCATATCGTGCCAGCGACGACGCAATCTGGAACGCGTTGCGGATCTGCCGGCCGTTCCAGCGCGAGTCCGGTACGTGGTCGAAGTACCAGGCCGCGTAGTGCAGGATGCTCTTCTCGTCGACGGTCAGCAGGGGCTCTTGGAATTCCTCCTCGTCTTTGAGTTGTTCCTGCTTCGAGGTTTCCATGGCCTTCAGCTTGTCGATGTTGACCTGGAAGATGGCCAGCGTCTGTTTCTTCTTCAGCGTCTCGTAGTACAGGCTGACGTGGATGCGCGACTTGAACGCCTCGTCGAGGGTTCCGACTCGGTTCGTGGTGAGGAAGAGGATCCCGCTGTAGTATTCCAGGACGCGGAGGAAGACTGTACCAGCGGTCGGTCTGTTAGTTTGCTCCATACTCTGAGACGCAATCTGATACTCAAGAGGATGAGGATGTAACTGCACGTACCGGACACCAGCGCATTTCGCTTCAAATCCGTCGTCTCTCTCCTCGACAGGAAGATATCCGCTTCGTCCAACAACAAGACACAATTCCAAAGGTGCGCCAGGCGGAAGATATTATTCAGGGCCTCCTCGACCTCCTTGGGGGAATACCCCAGATCGCCACAGGTGATCACAAACAGCGGCTTCTTGTTCGCCTGGGCCACAGCCTCGGCCGTGGCCGTCTTGCCCACCCCGGGGGCCCCGTGCAGCAGGATGACCAGCCCGGAGCCCTTGCCTGTGATGAGATCCTGGCTCAGCCCGACCAGGGGCCGCTTCTTCTGCAAGTCCTGCTTCTTGAAATGCGCCTGCACCAGCGCCTTGACCATCCGCTTGTGGTTCGGGTTGATCTTCAGGTCGCGGAAGGCGTTCGCCTGCGCCGTCACCCCCTGCAGCGACCAGATGTCCACCATCACGAACTTCCGCTCCCGCAGCACGTACGCGATCATTCGTCGAGGCAGCAGCATCAGATCCTCGTCGGCGAGCCGGCTGATCTTGTCCGATTTACTCTCCGGCAGGAACGGGTCCGTCTTCAGCAACTCGTTGATCTGGCGGAAGACCACGCAGTCGCCGCGCACGGTGATCTCCTCGACCTCCCCCAGCAACATCACCCGTCGCTGGTCCGTCCAGTGGCGGATATGGATGTCGTCTTCGCCGAACTTCCACTCGTCGTCCTCGTCCGCCGTGGTGTAGAATTCCGGCTTACAGGACGGATACCGCTGGAACCCCTCGACCAGGTCGACAATGACATCGCTCTCGATGTGCTCCGGGGTCTTGAAGTCGGCCTCCACCTCTCCGGTGGGCGTGCTGGTGATGGTCCACCCCTTGTAGAGCAGATGGCGCTCGTTGATGATGGACTGGAATTTGTTCCCCTGCTCGATCAGATGCGAGCGGATCGACTCGGCGTCTTTGGCGTACCGCATCGGGTAGATCTCCAGCGAGGTGATGTCCTTCTCGCCCTCGAAGAACTTGATCTTGAAGATGTGCTTCACGGCCCCGTACGTGTTGCCGTCGTAGTCGACGTGGTAGCAGTGCGCGTTGAACGTGCTGTATTCGTTGCCCATGTCGTCCGGGGTGTGGTCCTTGATGATCGTGTCGCCGATGAAGTACAGCCGCCAGGCCGTCTGATGCATCGGGGTGGACGAGGAGGTCGAGGACGGGGAGTTGGACGAGGAGAAAGGGTTCGAGGTGCTCGTGGATTGGGACTCGTCCGAGTCGGACACGCAGTAAAGCGTCTCGCCTTCGCGGAAGAGCATCCACAGGTCGCTGAAGAGCACTTTGCGCACCGCTGTGGTGTTGAATCGCTCGTACAGCGGAATGAGCTCCTTCTCGACAAACCCCACGTAGCATCGCAGATGTCGCAGCGCAGTGACGCTATTCAGATCCGGGCCGGTGATGTCGATCTTGGGCTCGCCGATATCACTTCTCTCATCATCATCATCATCCTCCTCCTCATCATCCTCCTCGTCACCCTCCCCATAATTCTCTGTCTCGCCATCCTTCTTCATCCCCCCTTCCCCAACCGACTCCCGCCTCTCCGCCTCCGCCCACCGATCCTCCAGAATTCGCAAGGACTCCTTCATGCGGTCGTGGAAATAAACCATCGTATGAAACGGCCGAAAGAACGTCCGCGGCCGCGTCACGTCCCACCCATTCGACCCCGTCACATTCTGCAAGTGACTGATAATCGGCTGCGACTGGATGCGCACCCGCTGGATCCACGTGTCGTTGAGCTCGGCGCTGCCACCACCACCACCACCACTCCCCCCCGCCGCATGGGTCCTTCGTCGACGCCCTCGTCTGCGACGCGACTGCTCGGCAGACACCTTGCCTCGGGTGCTGGGGCCGACACGCAGCACTTCGATGATCGATCGGCCGTCCTCGCTCCCGTGCCGGTTCTTGAACTGGTCGAAGTCCATCATCTTGTATTCCACGATCGGGGGCAGTTTTTGGATGCGCGACCAGTCGTCTTCCGAGTCGGAGGCGTCGGCGTCGGCGTCAGCATCGGCGTCGCCTTTGGCTGTTTCGGCGTCGGACTCGGGGGTGGTGGTGGTGGTGTTGGTGTCGTTGTCGTGGAGGGGGGAGGGCGCGTTTAGGGCTGAGGATGCGTCGTCGAGGGTGGAGGTGTCGGCGTCAGTGAGGGTTGTCGGGGAGATGGATCCGGGGTCGCCGTCGCCGCCGACATCACCGTTGGCGTTGATGTTGGTGGTATGGGTAGGGGTAAGGGTAGGGGCAGGCTCGGGAGGGCCATGATTCTCGGTGTTTCTTTCTGGATGGACCGGATCTGGCTCGGTGTGAAGCCTTTCGACCGGGCTGGTCGGGGTGGCCACCATCTTGGCCATACCATACCCATGTCAATCATAATTCCCAGGGGGAGGGAGAACGAGAGCTGTTGCATGTACTCACCGTCGACATGATGATGGATAACAATGATGAATGAAGGGAGTTAATAACTAGAGATTTATTAGAATGCTGACACTGCGTAGCCTCGCATACAAATATCCAAGTCTCCCGCCAGAACCGGCTGCGACACAGCAAAGAAACACCCACACCAAAAGCAAACCCCAGCGCCATGTCGGGTCGGAGGAGACCTGCTGCTTTTAAGCCCAACCCAGCCCAGCCCGCGCATTAGCGTGGCCCCCAAAAGACAGACAGACCCCTTTTTTTCTTTTTCGGACGGGATGAGTCTCCTTCACTCTCTCTCTCTTTCTCTCCCCGCTTCGTGTCAGCTGCAGACCACCACCGCAACTTCAGGAGGGGATTCGTGGCAACCTGCATCCCCGACCAGCCAGTCACGGCCTGCATCGGGCTCCCCTGGCCCAATGAGCCATGGCCACTGCTGCGATTGACCTTCGGCTTGGCATGAGAGGGGAGAACGAGAGACGAGAGGAGAGGGGAGAAGGAAGAGGGCAACCGCAAGGCTGCGACATGCAACATGACATGCAACATGCCCATCCATCCCTTCCCTTCCCATCCCCATTTCTCGCTGCAACACGGCTGGAGCGGCGCTGACGGGTGTCACGGACTGGTCCAGTCGGTCCCAGACCCACCCCTTCAAGGGTTCGTCGGTGGGGCGCCAATCCTGCGGGATGCAGCGCTTCGTGTTCTATAACTAATCTCTCTTACCCCTCGTTGCCCTGCCCTGCCCTGGCCCTGGTCGTCTGGTCTGCTGCACTGCTGCGTTCCCTGCATGCGCATGGGGGCTGCTCCCGATACGGGCGTCACCCCGCTGTGCTGTCTGTCTGTCTGTCTGTCTCACTCTCTGACTGTCTTGCGTCTTGCTCTCTTACACATACATTTACACTTACACTTACACTTAGCCTTGGTCTGCGCGCGTGTATGCCGTGACTCTGACAGTAGCTTTACTTTCCCTCCCTGCTACTGTTCCGCTTGGCACTTTTTCATTTCTATCAAGTTCGATCGAGTATCTATCTAATCTCGCAATGGACACCGTCCAAGTCGCCCGCACGGCACGCTTCGTCCACGAAGAAGCCGCCCGAGTACACCAGGGCCTGGGCGGCTGGTCGCAGTTCAGCGATCAGCGGGCGAGGTTCGAGAATCCAAAGCCGTATACGTGGGTCTCCCTCTCCCTCTCCCTCTTCCTGTTCTGGCTCCCGGCTTGGTCGGTGTCGGTGTCGGTGTTCGTTCCCGTCATAACAGAACCAGAACCCTCGAAAGTATTCTTCGGGCGTATGTCCCCTCCACCCTCAACATCGATACCACAAATTACACCTGGGATGCCCTGTTCGATCGACTCAGCGCGGCGGAGACGGAGTGGCAGGCCACCGGGCAGAGCGCGACGCAGTTATTCGCCAAGGCCTGGTTGAAGGTCGGCGAGAATCGCGAGGTTATTGATCCGTGGATTAGTTTGATTCCGGATAGCTATGGGTTGGCGGTGGTCAAGAGCGGGGTGGCGATTATATTGAAGGTTAGTTGAGTCGGTGGGTGAAGTGGGCTGGAGAAAGTGGGTAGGGTAGGGCTGGCTAACGCAGGGCATGTAGTTGGCGGCCAAGTCGGCGGAGAAGAGACAGCGGATCTTCAAGACCTTCGAGAGCATCCGGACGACGATCATGGAGGCGAGCTATAAGAAGCGGACCTTCCAGACGGATCCCGAGGTGAGCCAGGCCGCGAAGGAGCTGTATTTCGCGGTGGTTGATGCGGTGGAGGGACTGTTGTGCTCGTTGCCAGTGAAACGGCACGGGATGAGGGAGGTCGATGGCAACGCGACAGAACAGAAGCAGAAAGATACGAAAGGCTTTCTAGCCAAGCTGAGGGTCGTGCGACGTCCGGGTACGGATCAGACGGAGGATCCGGAGAAGATCATGCAGCAGGTGCAGAACAGCGCCCGCAAGTTCCAGCTGACGGTCGATCGGTGTCGGGATGAGAAGATCGAGACCATCGACAAGGTGTCCCGCGACACCCGTGTCCAGGTCAGTGTCCTCCGGCAGGGCCAGAAGCAGACGGAGATCAATACGCGGGAAATCATCACCGATGTCCACCAGGTCAGAGACGGGATGGAGGGGGTCATCAGCGGGGTGGGAGCCGTCCAGGGCACGGTCACCCGCACGGAAAGTGTCGTGCAGGGGGTGTATATCGGGGTCGAAGAGGTCAAGGCGGAGCTGCACGAGCAGGGCAGACGGGACTGCGAGATCATGCAGCTGATCCAGAGGGAGGAGGAGAAGCGGAGGCAGTTTGCTGAGACCCAGCTGGCGCTGATGGACGACAGTCTCGAGGCCAAGAACCAGATGCTGGAGTTTCTGATGGAGGATCGCAAGAGTATATACGCTGCCTGCCTCACTCGTCCGACCAGCAACACTCCTGCTAACAGCCCACAGAGAAAGAAACTCTCATCGAGCGCCTCCAGCAACGACTTCGCGACGCCGAGCTCGCAAACCCTCCATCCAACCGCAGCTCCGCGGCCGTTGTCTCCCTCAGCCACTTGTTCGCCATCCTCGCGCAGCCCATCTCCCCCTCCAACCCTAACCCCAACCCCAATCCCAACCCCAACTACGAGTCCGCCCTGCAACACCCCAACAACGACCTCGAAATCGTCCTCAGCAAGAGAGGCTCCTTCGACGTGCGCGCCCAAGGCCAAGCACAATCCGTGCTGCAGAACGGTCGATTCATGGAATGGATGAACCGCGAGCACCCCGACCTCCTCGTCGTGGACGCCAACCTGCGCGCCTGCGCGCTCGACAGCATCACCGCCATCTCGCTCTTCAGCGCGACCTTCATCCTCAGCATGGCCCGCGTCCAGCCCCAAGAGGTCGTCACGCATTTCTTCTGCGGCTTGCACACCGGCAGCGCGCGAAAGGATCCCTGGACGGGTCCCAACGGACTCGTCCGCTCGGTGATCGTCCAGCTCCTGATGGCCCTGCACCAGCGCGACACCCTCAGCATCAACTTCATCGACTCGCGGAGCTACCTCAAACGGATCGAGGACCAGGACCTCTTCACCCTCTGCGACATGCTCCATCGTCTCGTCTGCCAGTTCCCCCCCGATACAACGGTATACTGCATCATCGACGGGGTCTCATCCTTCGACAAAGATCTCCATGGCAGTTTCCGCCAGATGGCGATTGTTGTCGACTGGCTGCAGTATATTGTTGAGGACGATGCGCTCAGATCTAGGTTCAAGGTGCTGATGACGATCCCGGAGCAGAGTACGAGGCGCTTTCGGCAGGGGGTCGATACAGACCAGCGTATCATTCTCAGCTCGAGTCTCTTGTCGCCGCAGATAATTTCTTCGAGGTCGGTCGAGGCGGGCATTTCGAGGCCGTCGACTCCGGAGGTGTCCCACGCGGGGTCCCCGTCCCTGTCGCCGTCACTGGAGTCTTCGGGGTCTATGGGCGGGGGGGTGGAGAGGGACAGAGAGTGGGAGGATGAGGGGTATGATGAGGGGTATAATGAGTGGTAGCGATATGGTGTGGAGCGTAATGTTGAATGTGTGCTACATATCTTTATAATTAGCGCTGGTTGATAGGATTTTATCAGGTTCTTTATCTATCAGATATCCGGTGAGGAGAAGATTAAGCTCGCCAAATCTCGCTAGAGTACCTTTTTGGGCCGGAAGACCCTGTCGGTATCTAAGATGACACGGTGAAGGAGTCCTCAAGCCTACTTAGATGTCATGGTGGTTCTGTATTTGATAGTATTGATGCATCCTATCTCCATTGGTTTTGTGCTGCTGCGGAATCTTGGTGTTAAAAGCATTGAGAGTCACTGTACCACTACCAACTATGCATTATGTACTTGACAGCCCCTCGGTATTGCTTTCCCTCCAGCCAGCAGGATTATGGCACAAATGAATCCAATAACACACAGATATATACTGACAGGCCAGATATGTAGAGACTTGAAATGTTGAATTCACTACAAAGTACGCGTGAGGATGCCTTCCCAATCAGGCAACCAGCTGCATCACGTGGCCGCATTCCAGGATTCTGCCGGGCCGGTTCCACATGCGGCAGGCGGAGGCGGCCCGCCACGCTGCAGCCTCGTGGCCTGACTCCTGAGAGCCTGAGTCTTCGTCCGGGGCTTGGCGGGGCGGCTAGTGTGGCTTGGCCCCTTGGCGGGCGTTCGTCAATCCCGCTGACTAACCCGCCTCACCAGCCCTCGTCCTGCAGGCTGCATCATCCTGCATCCAACATCATCATCCCAGCCATATAACGACCCCCAGCTGAACCGCATCTCCAGTCGCAATAATCAGCCCATGACGCTGCTATCCGCAACGTCAACCCCTCCCAGTGTGGCTGGTGCGATGATTTTCGTGCTATTCGCGCCTGCGCCTCCCAGGGCGCGCACTAGCAGCCCTGTGCTGGCTGCGAGTGGGTCGAAGTACGTATGCCTTCCAGTTCCACGATTCCATCCACTTCGGTGGCAACCCTGCCCCCCCCAATCCATCCATCCATCCATCCACCCATCCATCCACCGCCAGTTCGAGAATGTCTTGGAAGAACGCCTTCTGTTTCGTCTATGCGTTCAGCGATGTCATGCCGACGTGGACTGTTCATCGCAGCAACGGGCCTGACCCTGACTCCTCAGGATACGTACACAGTAGAGTACTATTCCCGATGATCCCTCCACATACACGCCGGAATTATGGTATGCGTCGTCGGACGATTGCTCGGCGTTAAGCACTAGCGTCGCATCCCTCCGTCATAGCCCAGATTAGCTCTTCGATCGGCCCCATCGCCGCGACAGGCAACATCGTTAATGGGATATGAATACGAAGGTTATGGGGTATGGCGTCAATACACTGTCCGGATTGAGATTGGACCCGACCCCTCAACTAGATAGCTTGCAAGCTCTCGCCATCGGATTCCCACCGTAGTCAGTGGTGACTACACAATATGCTAATCCGCACTGCCTTCAGACCCTATCGTACCCCCACAGGGCCAGGCTGAGCCACACCCCTCCCCTCCAGTGGCGGGACTGGGAGTATAAGATCCCCCACGACCTCCCCTCCTCGAGACCGTTCTTCAACTCAAGCTACAAACCTCTCTCTCTCTCTCCCTACCTACCTCCAATCTACCACAACTACCACTATCACCATGGGTCTCTTCCACCACCACCACGAACATGAACACGGCCCTGGCGGTCCTGGCGGTCCCGGCGGCCCTGGTCCTCACGGCGGTCCCCACGGCGGTCCTGGCGGTCCTGGAGGTCCTGGTGGCCCTGGTGGCCCCGGTGGCCCTCACGGCGGCCCTGGTGGTCCCCCCGGCGGTCCCGGCGGCCCTGGCCCTCAACACGGCGGCCCCGGCGGTCCTGGTGGCCCTCACGGCGGCCCTCACGGTGGTCCCCACGGTGGTCCCCACGGCGGTCCTGGGGGCCCTGGCGGCCCCGGTGGTCCCGGCCGCTGGTAGAGTCCTGACTCCTGACGGACTACGCTTAGGTATGTTATACTCTTTTTACTGAGTACTCCCATTTACATTTATGATGAGCACAGCTAATTGGTTGCCCCAGTTCCGCGGATGAATATAACCTGCATGCGAAACCATGGGACGAAGCAAAAGTGAAAGTGACGTAAAGTGACAGAACTTTCAGCTTGATGAAGCGTTGGATATGAAATCTTTTTGTATATATTATATACCATATACCATATAACATTTACTGTGGCAGTGACTATGATCTACTGAGTCCTGGTGATATATCATGACTGTGCTGAACTTCTGATGTAGTTTGGGGAGGCTGGGATGGCTGCTGGAGTGCTGGGAGATCGGGGTTGAGGGGGAGAGACGGGGTATATGGGTGAGAAACAACCGTGGCGTTTATGCTGCCAACGGAAGAGTCAAAAGATGATGTACAAAAGATGACCTCTTCCCAGACAAGATCATCGGCTGAAAGCAGAGTCAATTCTCAGCCTTGAGAACACCTGCTTCATCAACATTGATTCCCCTGTCGATGAAGCTCTGAACACTGAGTAGCATAACCCAACTCACTTGAGGTATCTCAGGATACCAGACCCCATTTCTGCCTTAATACCAAGGCCTCAAACCCGATTAATAACTCGTCACATGACATTCCACAGTGGTAAACATGGCTAATCAGAGCCCGACACACGGCCCGCCGTACCGGATTTCAACCACCAGAGACATTGCGACGCTCTACCATGGAGCCCGGGGAATCCATGCCCTAACCAACTGGTGAGTACGAGCAACGAGCCTGCTCAGTGAATATTCAGGAGTGAAACCGCTGACCTTGGACCAGTCGCATGGGCCGACTTGACCGGGGGCATGAGATACTGCGCAGAGTGCGCACCGAACCCCTCATCTTCTTTCCTTAATTGTCCTTCGGATTGTTTTGATCCGGGTTGAGACCGGTTCCTCTTAGGAGGCAGGCAGGTATCTAGCAGAAATCAGCCACAGGACCTCCCTAGCTGCCGTGAAGGCTCTCGATACGGAACACACATCTTGCGTCCAGACTCCAGGGCGTCTGCTCTGACAGCCAGCCGCGAAGGCGCTAGAAGCCACGCTCCACTGAATCCAAGCAAGGATACAGACGGGACCATGTTGCAGAAAGCCTCTGCCATCCATCGAAGAATAACCATATAGACCTGCATGTCGCTGTCTCTCGTCGCCCATGAACAACACCCTTGCAATTGCCCGTCCTCCACCCCCTCTTTCCGGGATGAGCAGAGCCATGCTGACCAAACTGCCCATCGAGCTGCTCATAATGATTGCGGAGGAGGTGCCAACCTACGCTGCCCTGAATGCACTCGCGCAGACCAATCGCGTATTTTACTCCATTGTCAATCCAATCTTGTATCGAGCGCATGTCCGAAATCAACACCCAGGGCCTAGCTATGCGCTGAATTGGGCTGTAGAGGAAGGCCGACTAGACACCATTCGGAAACTGATGGTTGCGGGGGAGAAGATTCCCTGTCCAAGCATTAATGATGAGTCGGACTCGGACTCAGACTCAGACTCAGACTCAGACTCAGACTCAGACTCAGACCCAGACTCAGACTCAGACTCAGATGACGACGATAAAGATTATGAATTTCACCATGTGATCATCTACGCAATCATGGCAGGCCGCACCGAGCTTGTAGAATTTTTCCTTTCCCAGGGCGTCCCCCTCGAGATAACAAGCAGGGACAACGAATCGCTCCTCGGCGTCGCAATCTTAAGCCAGCAAATCTCCATGGCGGAAAGGCTATTACAACTGGGCGCGAATCCCTGGGCTTACAAGAAGTACCGCATATCCGCTCTCGCCCGGGCGGGGATATGCCAGGACCCTGGAATGCTCCCGCTCCTGCTGCGATACGGTGCGCAACGCCCGGATGTCGATCCCATGCAGAAGACAAAGGCGTTGACCTACGCACTGACGTTGATGTCTTCCTCTAGCCAGAAGGTACATCAAATGCGCGCGCGTCTGCTGCTCGCCGCGGGGGCGGACCCGAACCTGCTGAACCCCTGTATAGACGATGTGAAGACGCCACTGATTGAGGCCGCCGGGAATAAGAATTGCGCCATGGTAAGGGTTCTCATCCAGGCGGGCGGGGATCCCAATCTTCTCAACGATGACCAAGAGGGCCCCCTGTCCGCAGCTGCCGACAGGTGGGCTCTTCGCTGGCTGCCATGTGGTAAGTATGGCGAGCTAGACTACAGGATTTATACACTGGAGGAGGAAGCAAGGGAAAGGACTAGGATAGAAATGGAGGAGATGGAGACGACCCTTGTTCTTTTGGAGCTTGGCGCTGATGTTGTTCGCGCTGGGGGGAATATGGCCCTGCGTCATGCGATGCAGAGCGGCAATTTGGAGTTGTTTCTGTTATTGTATGCAATGGGCGCTCGGATTCCGGGGTTGGATCAGACTGCGATTATCGGTCGTGATGAAACGGATGGTAGTCCGATGTGGGAGGAGTGAGGTGCGTCTGTGTACAGGCTGAAATGCCAGTGTCAGAAGGATCTGAACGTGGTCTTCTATACTTGATAGAGCGTTCTTTCAGGACAAGGATATCAGTAATCCCCCGGCCAGTCTATGACAATCAGGATCGAATGAAAAATACTTCGAATTATACAACAATAATCGACAACAGGGAGGCCCAGAACGGGAGCCGCCATCCGCGTTAGTCGTTAGTAAAGATCTCTTGTACGACCCCATCTACCCGATCGTGTACATTGCATCGGCATGGTGTAACATCACTCTTATATAGTCTCCCGCCGCCAAAAACAACTTCTACGGCTTCATTCCACGCCCAAACAACGCATAGGCAACCGGAAAACGATATGAAAGTAAGCAAAAATACATACAACAGAAGGGATTCGCTGGTGGTCACCCACCCAACTACTAACCTCCCGGCGTGTGGCTTAAGTACGGCTGAGCGGACGGGAAGCCCTGTTCTCCACACCCTATGGTCGTATGTGCTAGACTTGTCGGAGATAAAGCTTATGTAGAGTGAAAATCGGATGTAGGCTGCTCTTCTCTCCTCTTCTTTAGGTTGGAGCCATGCAGATAGACCACGATCCGCCACTTCGCAAGCCACGTGAATCTGAAACTGGACCGGGACATCTCGGATTCAATAACTATGAGGGAAGGCCCACACGGAAGAGTTCCCCTTGCAGACACAATGTAGCGAACAATCGTCCGGTGATGACGATGGATGATAGGTTAGGGTTGCGGAAGAAAGTCACTACATACTCCATAGACGCTCTATATTTGGAGAATGGACGTTTGCGACATTCACAAGTATGTGAGTCGATAAAGGGCGAGGCAACGGATGATTACAGACAGTAAGAGGTAACGGAGAGCCCCTAGCCAGGTAAGATGCCCATCTTTCCGGCATATCAGAATAAGCACTAAACTGACAACATGCGGGGTCCATGAAACAGGCAGAAAACAAGTTGGATGGGAGATAAGAACCCCATCAACACTCAACACACACTTCTTGGTGAACAAACAAGTCACTCTTCCCCCAATCCCCACTATCCAGCCTCGCACATTGCTCCCCTCCCCCCCCCGCCTCCCACAAATCAACTTCTCTTTCTCAGTTATCATATCAGGTTGAGAAAAGACACAATGGCCGAGTGGAACATTCTAACCGCGACAGCCACGCAGCTGACTCGCCTCCTGCAGCAAGGCCACACCACCAGCGTGGCCATCGTGCAAGCCTACCTGGCGCAGATCGACCAGCACAACCGTACCGGCCTGCAGCTGCACGCCCTAATCTCCCTCAACCCGGCGATCGCCCTCGCGCAAGCCGCAGACCGCGACCGCGAACGCTCCCAAGGCCGAATCCGAAGCCCCCTCCACGGGATCCCGATCATCGTCAAAGACGCGGTCATCACCTCGCGATCCCTGGGCCTCCCCACCACGGCCGGCGCCGTCGCCTTCCGCGACACCTACGGGCGCGAAAACGCAGCCATCATCTCCCGTCTCCTGGACCAGGGGCTCATCATCCTCGGAAAGTCCAGCATGACGGAGTTCTGCGGACTGAAAGCCACATGCATGACGGCGGGCTGGTCCGCGATCAACGGACTGACCCAGTCGCCGTTCATCGCGGGCGGATTCCGTGAAGATGATCTGTTCATCGGGCGCTCGGGGCCCGGGGGCTCGTCGTCGGGTTCGGCCGTGGGGGTCGCCGCGGGATTCGCCCCGTTGGCGCTGGGCACGGAGACCTCCGGGTCGGTTTGTATGCCTGCGAATCGCGCGGGACTGTATTCTGTTACCCTGACGCAGGGGTCTGTGGATCTCAATGGGGTGTTTGCGTTGAGTAGGGATTTTGATAAGCTGGGGGTGATGGGCAAGTGTCCCCAGGATTTGGGGGTCTTGGTGGAGGTTATTCGTGGTGGACGGATGAAGGGATCTGTCGGCGGGGGGTGGAGCGATGTCTCGGTGGGGTTTGTTGATCCATTGGTGTGGGATGCGTTTGGGTTTCAGAAGACGGCTGATCCCGTTGTCGAAAAGCAGATTGTAAGTGCTGTGTCTGTGCCGAGTTGAAATGATCGAACTATTTTCTTGGGATCGTCTGCTGAAATCTGATAGCTTGATGGATATGCCTGGGCCCGAGAGCAGATCGCTCGTCTGGGAGGTAGGGCTGTCTATCCCGTGGATCTCCCGACCATGGAGAGCCTTCAGTTTGATGGTCAGAGTGTGAATTATTCGGTCGCCTGTAAGTGCGGTACCTTTTACCGTTGGCCCTCACTTCATACGTCTTGACGACGGACATATAGTCTATGAGTTCCCGAAACTGTTTGAGTGGTTCTGCTCTCTACTGGAGAACCCTAGGGTACGATCGGTGCCGGAATTGATCGAGTTCAACGCGCATCATGCTTCGACTGCACTGCCGCCACGTGAGTAGATACTGGAGACTGTCGCCCCCTTGCTGCCAAATCCCGATTGACACCGTCCAGCACACACCGATCAAGACGACCTTCAGAAAACACTAGAATCCAACTTGGATGAAGAGACTGCGGCAGCGGCAAAAGCCCATGCACGTCGCCTTGCCGGACCAGAGGGCATCGATGCGACGCTGCAGCAACACGGGATCGATGTTATTGTGGGACCGGGCGACTGTGCCATCTGTGCGGTTGCTGCTCTGGCCGGATACCCCACAGGCATGGTTCCTCTCGGGCGTCTGGAGGGGCCCGGTGGACTAGGACAACCGCAGGGATTGATGTTGGTTGGCCCCAAGGGGGGTGAAGGCAAACTACTCGAGTTTATGCGTTTGTGGGAGGATGTTGTGGGTGACTGGAGGGTTCCACCTTTGCTTGGTTGAGAGGGGATTGGGCTGGTCGGATGTAAGTCTTCTCTGATGACATGGCTCATCATGATTATTGTGGGGATGTATAGACTCAGGTCTAGTAAATAGATTATCTAGTAGTACAGCTATCTGTTATTTTTGACTGAGTATGTTCATGTTAAGCTCGAAGTATTGAAACAAAAGAAAGGCAGTGCACCATCTATACAAGTTCCCAGTAGGGCACTGGCTTGGGGCTTTTTGCACCCTTATACAGTCAAAACAAAGACGCAAGTCAAGTCAACTTGCTGGATTGCGTAGATACCCTGATGTATATCACCCATCACCTCTCTCCACGACACCGTCAGACCAGACATGTAAGAATGCTAGCTTTGAACCATTAAGCCAGGGCCTTTCCATCTGTCGACGTCGCTTCCGGGTGGAGTTTAAACCCCCCAATGCATCCGCGCTGAAAGAGCCCGTCGGGATCATACTCCCCCGCAACCCTTCGCAGGAGCCGCAGGTTCTCCTCACCATACCCTTCCAACGGCCGCTGCCATTTCTCACAATAGTTCAAGAAGCGATACGGATGGCCGGTACCCTTGGCATTCGCGACCGCGTCGATCTTCTCAATGATTCCGCGCGTCACCGAGCCGACATAGGCGTCATCCTGCGACGAAGCCCAAGTAAAAGACAGACTGACGATGATCAGAGGCGTGTCCGTACTCTCATGAATACCCAGCATATTAGGATCGCCCTTGGCCGTCCACGACGGCAGCAGCGGCTGCATGACCAGGTTGAAGTACACGCCCTTCATCCTGCGCATGGCGCCCATCGCCTCGTCGAAAACCTCCCGGACGGCCAGCATGGTCGCCAGATCGTTGTGGATGGTCGTCGTCCCGAATGAGTTCCGCTGGCCGATGAAACCCGTGTGGAGCATCTCCTTGATGGCCGAGGAGGCTGTCCGCACGCAGGGCGTGCTCCCGAACCGCCACAGACGCGAAAACCCCGACTGCTGCCAGAAGACAGGCCATTTCTTGGGCTGCTCGGGCGGTTTCGTGTACGTTAGATGTTGGGCTATCACGCGCAAGCGGAGGGACTGCACGTATGTGTAGCAGGTGATGGCGCCGGCGGCGAAGAGGTCGACCTGGCCGGCATTGCGGTGCGGATCGACGCGTTGGACGCTGTCGTGCAGAGCGCGCAACGCCTTGGTGATCTCGAAGCCTGGGGCCCAGATAAAGCCCGCCCATAGAGGCGTGCAGGGGAAGCAGCGCATGGTGAATCGAGTGACGATTCCGAAGTTGTTCGCGCCGCCTTTCAGGGCCCGCCAGAGGTCGGGATGCGAGGTCGCTGTGGCGGTGACGATCTCTCCAGAGGCTAGCACCACGTCGTAGGAGAAGACATTGGAACAGGCTAGGCCGTACTGCGGTGTGTAGAAGGAGATGCCCCCTAAATTACATCAGCGAGGTGAACGGGTTTGGCTTCAGGTAGTATAGTGTCAAAGCCTCGTACCTCCCAAGGTAAACCCGGCCACGCCGACCACGTTGCTTCGACCCCCGACTACCCCCAGACCCATTGGGTCCAAGACGTCCAAGACATCGATCCAGCGACATCCGGCCCCAATGGTGACGCTCTCCCGGTCCTCCGCGACAGTCACCTCGCGCAGGTGGGTGAGGTCAATCAGCACGCCGCCGTGGGCACTGGCACTGCTCGCCACGGGAGACTGGCCTCCGCCGCGCACGGCGAAGAGCACATCCTCGGTCTCGCTGCAGCTGCGGGATTGTTGCTGTTGCTGTTGTTGTCGATGGTCGTATTCCTCCTTGATGATGTGGACGGCCGTGGCGACCTCGTCCGCGGTGCGCGGTTGCACAATGGCAGCTTGCACGACGTCGCGCGCCTGGCCGGAGAAGTAGGCGTTGATCGATTCGCGGAACTGCTCACCGTCGCGATGGAGCAGCAGCACCCTCTGCGGCAGGGCGGCCTCGAGTTTCTGGCTCAGCGGATGGGGCACCGGGGGAGGACTATCGTTGGCAGCCGTCACGGGCGGATTTGAGGATGAGAGAGGATTGCGGAAATGGCGTATCCACCAGACTCCCAGGATGAGGGCGGTTGCGATCCCCACGGAGGAAAGCAGAGAGGCCATGGTGATGGTGATGGGGTTGGTGAGTTGGGCAGGCCAGCCCTAACTGCCCCGGGCGAGGGGCGACATCCCCCCCTTTAAATTCCGGAGAAAGCGTTTCCACGATCTGATGGAGCCACCCCTGGAAATATGGGCTAGATCCTTTTTAAACGAACTGACCGATCATGAGGCTGAGAAGCAAGATGCGGGACCCACAGGGTAAGCAATATACCGCAGTGGACAGGTGGCTGTGTTGGGTCCGGGATGCAGGCTACCAGCTTAGCACAACAACAGGCTTTACCTTTACTAAATGAAGCCTAATGAGCACAGATGGGCATTGATCAGACATCTAATCATCCCCTCCCGGAATATCTTCACGATATAGATCAATTTAAAATTCCAAGCCCAGGATAGAGAATATCGACATAAATATTGGACATAGATACTGTTCACCTGTCCGCGCGACCTCTCCACTCCACAACCCGAACAATCCAATCCCGCACCAGAGCCTCAAAAACCCCCGTCTCATCAACCGGAAGCCCATGCGTCCCACGATCCAGAACCACATAGGTAGATCGCGGATAAAGCTCCAGCAAGCGAAGGCTATCTCGATAGCCCACACTCTCATCCTGCCTCCCACACACAATAAGCGTCGGGGCCAAGAAGAACTGCGCACCTCCATCGTCCAACACCGAAGACGACAACCGATATCGATCCGGATCTGCCCGAATCGGATCCAACACCGTACTGTCTGCTGCGTTCATCGCCGGAAGGTAAACATCCTTATATTTTGCCTTCAAAGTATCAATATACCCGGGCGTTTGCACGAGTACATTCCCAAGAAGTATCCTATCTTCAGCTGATAACTTCGACATGAGCTGATCATCTGCAACCAACGGCTTGAACAGGTCACGATCACGCATGATATTCATTGGCTCGATCAGCGGTACGCGCAATAAGAGCCCGTCGACCTGCGAGATATATTTCTGTGCTATCGCGCGGGCTAGGTATCCGCCACATGATGAGCCGATAATTAAGAATCGCGACGTCCCGAGACGGGAATCAACGAATTGCACCAGGCGATGGTATATCTCGTCCAGATCGTGGACGTTATCCGCAGGCGTGGTGCCCATGCCCGGAAGGTCCACGTAGATCCGGCGGAGGTCTGGTGTTTTAGTGAATATCGGCTCGAAGTCTACCTCCTCGACTTTTCCTGCCATTTCCCATCCGTGGATGATTAGGACGGGGAGGCCTTCGCCGATTTCATGGGCGGAGAGAAGGGAGGCCATGTTTTCGGGGGGTTGATGGTTGGATGAATATGTAAGGAGCAGGGATTGGAATAATTAATTACGGGGGATATATTTTTGGATCGAAGTCCCGCCATCGAAGTGCTGACAAAGCGGTGGTATCTTCTAATCCTAATAGAGTATAATCTGCTCTACAAGCGAGATTGGCGGGGGTGATATGTTAGTGCTTTTTGCGCGACTTAGTACGAGGTAGATAGATCGAGAGACACACTGTTGCGTACGATAATCCGCTAAGGCACTATAAAGCATATCCGGCACACATCCAAGACTCCAACCCCAACACCTCTAATTACAACCTACTCAACACCATCTCCTGATAATCAATTGTATGCAACCCCCCCCTCCCAACCTTCAGCCTATCCAAATTGATCTCAGGCTTCATCACATCCCTCACCCCCGACTTCACCCTCCTCTGGCCCCCCAGCAACGCCCCCAAATTCCGCATCGTGCTATACACCACCCCCTGAAACTTCGCATCCTCATACACCTTATTATCCTTCGGCCCGTCATAATTATACTGAATATCGGACCCCTTCGACTTCAAACCCGCGCCTTTCCAATTGCCCATAATCGACGGATAGGACGAAATGCACCTCAGATACCTGGTACTGCAGAGCCGGCCTAGCATGACGTCGAAAATGACGCTTTCGCCCGCCGGCATGCTCTCGTCGGAGGGGGAGACCGATACCGCGGCGAGGATCTTCTGCGCGGCGTGGAAGGACACCGCGTACGCGTTGGAGCATACGGCCATGCCCGAGCTGCAGATGAGTCGGTTGTGTTTGATGCTGTCGACTAGTTCGTGGATGGCCGGCCCGACGAAGTACTGGGGTCGGCTGTACCCTGGGATCGAGGTCGGGTCTTTGTTGATGATGTAGAATGGGTCGTTGGGTTGGCATTTCATGCCGCAGTGCCCGAGCCAGAGGATGTCCCATTCCTCGCCGTAGGGGGAGTCTTGAAGGGTGGGTTTGAGGCTGTTGCTGATGTCGCTGCTGCTTTGCACGGCGCGCGCGCCTAGGGCGAATTCGTGCAGTTGGTTCTTGAGCGTTACGTCCCAGTCGACGTCGTCTTCGAGGATTAGGGCGCTGGATGTTCGGTCTGAGATGATTCTGGGTGGTTGTTAGGTTGGGATGGGGGTGGGTTTGTGGGTGGAAGGGAAAACTTACTTCTGGATGGCGTTGATGTGGGCGCGCCAGCTGCCGATTTCCCCATCGAGCATTCGTGGTCGTCCTTCTTCGTCGAAGCGCTGGGGGAAGGGGGTTAGCTTCATGGAATTGGAGAGGAGAGAGGGAACGCACAGGTGGGTAGGCCTTCGGACTCATATCGTCCGAGGAGACGCCGTCGATCCAGTCCACGCGGAACTGCGTGACTGAGGAGCCTAGGACCATGGCATCGCGCTTATCTGTCCTGCTGGGGAGGTTGATGCAGAATACTTTCTCGAACTGTGGCTACCGTTAGCATGAACACTGGGTTTTATGCGATGGTGGAAACTCACGCCGAGGGTTTCATTGCCGATCGCCTTTAGACTGAGGTCGTTTGATAGTTGAGCACCATATCGGGTCTCCGGGAGGAAAAGCAGGGTACACCACAGCACAGTAAGCACTGCTGATGTGAGCCCCGCGTAGAGGAACTGTCTGTGTCGAGTGCGCAGGAATGCCAGGACAGCCTCAGATGAGAGCCTGGACTCGTGTATATCGAGGACGGTCATGGTGGAGATCGGACGTTTCAACTCGAGAGGGTGAAAGAAGACACAACCGGAAGAGAAGGCGCAGACCACCTCGTGTGGGATCTTGGATGGCAACCTGCCATGGCTGGGGGGATGCAATGCCATGCATGCGGGGAGAACCACCGCCGGCGGCTAATCGGGCCTCATCATTCGCTGCCCCCGACTAGGGCCCCGGTCACACTAGGCGTTGGTCACGGCGTCGGATGCACACTCATCACGTTGTGCGGCGTAGTCAAGCACTCAAGTGGGCTTGTTCTCTCCATGCCGGTCGCATGTCGTGGGTTTGATTGCTGGGCTGCTGCGCGGGGTTCTTTAGTCTTTACCCGAAGAATGCTGTTTCTCCGATGATCCTGGGGTTTCGGGTTCGAGGTTACTGCGTTCCTTAGGCATGGGTGGATATGATATATGCTTTAAAGAACATAGTTTGAAAGTGAAACTTTCTCGAAAGACAGAAGTCGGAAATGTGGCATTTTCTGGGTAGGTGTGGCTGGACTTCAGATTGGCCAACTGGTGATGAAAGCGAGGTTACCTGGGGGGGGGTGCCCCATGGAGGTATAATATTTATTCCGGACCAACTATCAAGACCAGTAGGTGAATGGGTAATTTAATACAGCAGAAATGATCATATGTTGAAGAATCCCCCGCTTCCCTTTTTAAACAGGCAACCACTGTGAATGAACATCAGATTTGTTGGAGGTGGGGAAACAAAACGAAGCTTAATAATGAAGAAACACAACATATGTGGCGGAAGTAGTGTATAGTATCTCTCTCCACGGTGGATGCCAAAGCTCCACCGATAGAAGGAAGGCCTCAGGTAAAGATTCAATATTATCAGTGCCACAGGAAACCGCCATGCTGACAGTAACTCTGATGGCCTCTCTTGCTCGGAGCAGCTCGTGGCAGCGATTTGGAAAGAATCCCTCTCTCTATCTAGTCCTAGCTCTTGAGTTCCTTCAGTACAAGCAGCATCAAGATGATTTCCAACCCAAAGGAATGTCTCTTGACAGATTAGAATATTAACATGACGGGCGGAATACTTACATGCATGGCGTCCGTTGCTGAGAGCCGCGGACGACTCGAGAAGGCTTTTCAATTACCAGAAATACAATTTTGAGAGACCCCGTGAATAATCCTCGAAGAAGACCAACGGAATATCGCTCGGGGAGGGATTTTTGAAGTGTATTCCCAAGCGTCTTGTGCATTGAAAGAGAAGGAGGTTAAACCTCATTTTACAGTTTACTCCGGGTCGCTACTTACCTTACCACCCTGTAATCAGATATCCAGCGTACCTATACCATACAAGGTAGTTTATTTGATAGTTTTACATAAATGAACATACAAAAGTGTACAGAAATCAATCCGACACGAAACAGACTTGCGAGAAAAAAAGTAAGGAAAGAATGAAAGGAAAAAAGAAAAACAGAAAGAAAAGGCAATGAAGAAGACAGCTCAAGTACACTTAACAAAACGCTTATCTCCCTGATTACTGGCCAGCACCTCTTCATGGATCATAACACCGCAGAAGATGAGCTCATCGTCGTCCCCCTCCATATACACCACTCGCATCGGGGTCTTAGGGTTGTAACCAACCGCGTTCTTCTTCTTGTCCTTTGTCCACGCCTTCGTCGTGGAGGATGTCCAGTAGATCGGGTACTCCTTCAGTTTACTTTCCTCACTCCTCGGCTGCGCGTCGCATTCGGCGACCTCCCAGTCGATTCCGTCTATGTTCTGGAACGTATGGGGGTAGCCGCTCTTGCCTTTGGTGTAGCCCGCGGCCTTGGCTTGTGCCTCGGCGGTTGTCTCTTGGACGGTGAACCTGTTTCCGCTCTCGTTGGTTGTTGGGGTGCAGGTTAGGAGCTGTGGGGTTGATGTCTGGGTCAGTCCACAGTTGAGGGAAAGGGGAAATTGGGGGGAGGGTATAGGGTCACTCACCACGCGCTTTGCAAGGTGGTTGATGACGTCGATGTCATTGGTACCAACGGCCTCCTTGTCTTCCCTCTTCTTCTTGGTGAACCCGGCTGGGGATGACCCGAGAGCGTTTCCAAATGTCTCTCTTTCGGTGAACTTGCTGCCGATGTCTCGGGTTTGGGTGTCAAGTACTTCGGCTGCGAAGACCGGGGAGACGGCAATGGCGAGGGCGAGGATTGTCTTGAGCTGCATCTTGATTGACTGATTGATTCAAGAAACGAATGAATGATGCTCGATTTAACAATTGAACGACTGACTGAATGAAATATGAGGTTAATGAACGAATGACTCTATGAGCTTGGCTGTGTCGGAAATAATCTGAAATGCAGAGGTTTTACACCCGGCTTTATAGCTTTTGATACCTCCCATGTTGATCAATCTAGACGAGTCGCTATACTGCGGGTACCATGCGATGGGGCCCTATACTCTATTCTTGAAATCGAGACAATGTAACTGAGACGCAAAATATCAGCACTACACAGCACTGTCGCCAATAAGATATGTATTTCCTCTGTTGGGTATGATCGAAAAAAGCCCGGAAGAGGGGAAACACTTGATGACAGGGGCCTCATATTGCTTAACCCACGGGCCAAACCCGTGCCTATCCCCATTGTTCTGCCATTCCATTGGGGAGGCTTCCCACCGTTCTGCCACATGCGGATCCGATCCTGGCAGGCCAAGGCTGGGGGCGATGCTTGGAATGCTTGACTCTCTGGACTCTGTAGGGCTTGCGGAGTTGTTCGGTAGGGCCGATGCGATGCGTATAGGCGCGTATCCATCGTTGGGGGCGGTTTCGCCGCCGTAGCCCACACTCATGGGGACGATCTACAAACAACAAAGAGGATCTGGCGGATGATCTCGGTCCTGAGTTTGACCTGCTGCCATTGGCCCTGTCATCATAAGTTTGGACCCCAGGCAGGGGTCGGGTGCGGCGCGGCAGCATCCGGAGTCCCCGTTTGACAGAAGGGGCGGGAATTAGTGCTTATCCGCCCTTCCTCTGCCTCTTTTCCCCATTCACTCTCCTCCCTCTTTCTAGGAGCCACCATCCTCACAGCAAAACACAACACAGCACAACCAGAACACCAAAATGACAGAAGAAGTAGTATTCGACACCCCCCTCTCTCTGAACCTCTACGAGGATTTCGACGACGACGAAGACCTATGGTACAAAGGGATATTAGTGTCGCTGGTCACCGGAGACGTAACACCAACCCAAGCGGCCATCGACATCGACACATACATCACCCAGCTCGCAAACCAGCGCTATGAAGCCTACCAAGAGTACCAAGAGCTGCACCCCGGCCAAACGCCGACCGACGAGGAAGAAAGAGATCGAGTTTCGGGACCGAACCCCAGAGGAGACGTCGAGATGCTGATCCAGTGGGCTGCCAGACTGTGTTCGGCGTTTCCTCCCAGCCATGCCGGCCAAGAACGTATTATCTCCTTTCTGGAAGCATTGAGAGATCTGCCGAGACATAAGGTCCTGAATGTGGTGTTCCCGCGGGAGGAGGGAGATGGGATGTATACGGCGATGGAATTGTGGCCGCTGCGGGGGAGATGGTTGTCGCTGCAGCAGGAGTTTCGGTACATAGAAGATGGTATGGTTGAAAAAAGAAGCTTTGCCTTTGTGTGGAGTGCCCATGCACTGGATAGACCACCACGTTTATCAGAACAATGCTGATTGAATTTGTTAGAAGTCATATACCGCACATATCGTGCAAAGCAGCCGCCCCCGAGCGAGCCAGACCTGCGTTGGCGCAACTTCCAGTCTGCAATTGCGCGCATCACTGCCTTGGATCTGATCAACTGCGACTTTATGTGTTCGCTGGGGTTGATCATACCGTCTCATTCCTGGTATCCCGATTTGGAGGATGGCAATGCGGAGGGATTCAACTGGGTAGCGGGGCAGGTCATTGCTGCTGTACAGTGGCTTTTAAGGCCTGAGGTGGGGCGGTATGTTTACCAGCAGTGTAGAAATGCCGACACGGTAGCCAGTGATGATAGGAGAGTAATTTGGAGCTTGGAGAAATGGGGGCAGTGGAAGGAGCAGCTTGCGCGTGTGGGGGAAGAGCAGAGGTTCGGGGTACATGCTCGAGAGCTTGCCAAGTTGGCCTGTCAACGGATGGCTCTTTATGAAAGGGGTGATGCAGTAGAATTATGAAATTGGTAGGAGAATGGTATTCGGACTACGAGCAAGGTGGCTTGGGGATGTGTCTGTTTCAATACCACCATGTTCCGACTCGCATGGGCGTATTGCTGCTGGGTGTATAAGTTGTTGGAAGGATTAAAAAGGCTCTGCAGATAAAGGCGCTAGGTAGTAGGTTGTCTGTGTATTGAATTATATATTACCATCATACAACATTAACAGTAGCTGACTGTTGAGAAGGAATTGCTTCTGGTGTTGGCCCCTAGGAATTATTTTGGTCAACCCCTCAGTCAATATCCGGAACTGTATGAAGTGACATAGACCTAATTTTAGTATAATAATAGGGCATTTTGGCTGTGTGTCTCACAGCTTGCTATAATGATTGTATGAATTGCCGCATATCGCGCCTCCAGATATAATGGTGATCTGCAATTATTGATGTAAGTTTGCTTTCAAGCAAACAATTACGGCCAATCAGAAGTCACTTTCCCCGCATTTTGCAGAGCATTTTATCCTCGAGGCGCTTCGTTTAATCTGCCATGATAACCTTTTGCCATGTATACCCTGGCAATAAGTGGGTCGCAGATGGAAGGAGGGGATGGATAGCTAGTTGGCTGGGACTAAGACACACTCCAAACTTTTTAGACTTGCCCATGTAAACAACCGGTTTTACTATATGTAAACTTTTGCTGGTTGATATTGATGGCTAGAAAGTCACATGCTATGGGTGGACTGAAATTTAACAAATTGCCCCCCTGAGTAGAAGTTGTACTTCTAGGTACCTGCCGACAGGGTTAAATACTACTCCTTCCTATCCATGTCTGGTACCTTCCTGCTTTACAACCCACACTGTCACACGTCTGTATACAACATATATTAATATGGGGCCTCTGTATTAAAATACCAGTATTATACTAGTATATATCAAGACTTCCCGATGGGGGTATCGACATGAATAGGAGAGAATATATACAGTGAACAGCATGTTGCAAACATTATCACGGCAATAAATTTATAGAGCGGGTTGGCAAGCTTAGGGTTGGCCCTTCGCTTAAAACACCTATCTGCCAATCACCGTCCACCTCGTGAATGCCCAATATGATCCTTCCTGGGTCTCCCGGGCCACCTGTGGCATAAGTCGTCCTAGCTCCAGACCTACCGAGGTGTTCTGCGATTTCTGCCATCTTGAACCCGATACTCTGGCGTCTCTTTATGTAGCGCCTCCTGGGGCCTTTCCCATGCCAGGGTATCGAGAGGAGGCACGGGACCCTTCACCATTGCAGGACGACGAACTGCTAGTACAGGTGAAAGCTTTTGGTCTGACATTCCGCGACCATCTCATAGTGTCAGGCCAGATCGATCAGCTCGATCTAGGCATCGAATGTGATGGGGTGGCTCAAAAGGCGGGTGCAAAGCCGGGATTCCAACCGGGAGACAGGGTATGTCTTATTGGTACGCAGTTGGCACGTACACAGGTGCGTGTGAAAGCCAGCAATGCCGTCTCGATCCCCACGGATATGACCTTCACGGAGGGCGCTGCACTGCCCACTTCCCTTTGGGTAGCCTACCACGCTATGTATCAGGTAGCAAGAGTCGAAGAAAGAGAAACTGTGTTGATCCACCAGGCGTCCAGCAGCGTTGGTCAGATGATGATCCAGCTGGCGATCAATCGAGGTGCACGTGTTCTGGCGACTGCAAGCACAACCTCGAAGAGAGAGTTTATCCGCAATAAGTTCGGCATTCCATCGAACTACATATTGGCGATTGATGAACCTTTGTTCCGCAGGAAATTATATGAGTTGACTGATGGACAAGGCGTGGATGTAGTGATCGGTTCCCTGGCTAGTCCCAGTTATTTCGACTTCTCTGAGTGTCTTTCACATTGCGGTCGCATCGTCGATATCAGCCTGGAAGTGCCACGAGGCTCAGCCAACGCCATTCCTCGCAAGCAGGTTAAAAGCATGTCTCACACTTCCTTCAACGTGTCAGACATTCTCCAGAGGAAGCCGGATTTCGTTCATCGGTGCTTTAAGAAAGCGGTCAAATGCTACCTCGAAGAAAATATCAAGCCGCCGCAGCCTCTAAGGACATTCCAAGCCGGGGATGTTGAGGAGGCATTCCGAAGTTTTCGGGACCCGGAGAGGGCCGGAAAGCGCGTCGTCGAATTGACAGAAGGGACGGCCTTTGACGTATGTTCCCCTGATTATCCCCCGCCGCGTGGAAACTGTGCTAATGGTTTTCAGGTGGACTGTGTGACTAAGCCTCTTTACACCTTTCCGGCCAACGCCTCCTATATCATTGCAGGGGGGCTTGGGGGGCTCGGTCGAAGCTTTGCGCGATGGATGGCAAGCAGAGGGGCGCGCTATCCGATCCTTCTGTCCCGCTCAGGCGTCAAGACATCCGCATCTCAGGAGCTCGTGGATGATTGGGAAGCACAAGTTGTATGCGTTGCGACGCCCAAGGTGGATATCAGTGATCTCGCACGCTTAAAGGAGACGATTGACAATCTCACGAAAACGATGCCCCCGATACGAGGATGCATTCAAGCGATGGTGGCTCTGCGGGTAAGTTAACACTTAACACACCATGTCACAGCCAGCAGTACAAGTTCGAAGATGACTGGGTCGTGGAATCTCCACCGGGCCCTTCCGGAAGATCTGGACTTCTTCGTACTCCTGGCCTCGCTCAACGGGATCTTCGGAAGTCGAGCACAGGCCAACTATGCAGCCGGAAACACCTTCAAGGATGCGCTTGCTCACTACCGGCTGGCTCGCGGACAAAAGGCCGTCTCCATCGACCTTGGTCTAATGGTGGCTGAAGGTGTCGTTGCGGAGAGCGAGTTCCTGTTGGCCTCGATGCGTCGAATTGGACATCTCATGGAAATCGCACAGGAAGAGCTGATTGCCCTGATCGATTACTACTGTAATCCTAATTTACCGTTGCTCTCGGTTGACGATGCACAGGTTCTCGTTGGAATTGAAATGCCCTGTGCAGTGATGGCAAAGGGGATAGACCTGCACCATTCAATTCGGAGGCCGATCTTCAGTCATTTGTTTCGAATGGGGACACCCGGATCTTCGGGCGATCCAAACCGGACTAACGCCGTGGATATGGATCTTCCTGCCACATTGAAGGCGGCGCCCTCGCAGGATGAGGCGGCTACCCTTGTCAGCGAGTGGGCCTCTGCAAAGGTCGGCCAAGTTTTGGGGCTGCCAGCATCCGATATTGAACCAAGTAAGCCAATCCACACTTATGGGATTGATTCACTGGTCGCTGTTGATTTGAAGAACTGGTTTGAGAGGGAGATCGGTGCAAGTCTCACGGTTTTTGATCTGATGGGAAATGCCCCATTGCGGCAGCTGAGTGCACTGGCGGCACTAAATAGTCGGTATCGCGGGTAGACCCCGCGAGATGAACTGAAATGTACTCCGATATTTTCTCTGCTCTCCATCACCTTATGGCCTGATAGCTTCCGCAGAAGTTCAGTAACCAATTTCCATCATGCGGACAGTTGTCCGAGCTTTCCGCGTGTGGAGTTGCGGTGAGACATGCGCCCTAATCGCATCATGGATGATGACGTTGGCGCATGTGTGCATACGAGAAGCATGCTTCCACATCACTGTACTCTATACAACAGCAAGTTTGTTCCGTGGCCTTGAACATTACAACCATCGCCGTACCGATCACGACAAACGCAGGTACCTGACTAACTCCTTGGTAAAATGGGCATTATTGTGCTCAGTACAAACGAGACCTATGAACGTGGACAATGAACGATGGAGTACTGTGCTCCGCAGTCCCCGGGATTTGCTTTTTGTGCCGTTTCGGCCATGTCCCACCAGTGCAAGTCCAGACCAGGCACGGAGATCGACAGCATCTTGGGGCGGGTGATTTTCGGCACGGAGGTGGATCCGTAAGCACCACGAGGCCTTCTCGAATTCTTCCCGGCCCGTTGTCGGGTCCGGCGCAGAAAAAAACCTTATCTGCAGCCATCAAAGCCACCCGAGTGCGACCCCTGGAGGCTGAGGCACTTAGAGTTGGAGGAAAGCTTCTCTCCAGGAATCAGCAAGCAAGTGCGCCGTAGTGTGCGGTACAGGATTAGGTATTTGTGTGGCAAGGAGGAGAGCAGCAACGCGTTCCAGCCTCGGCTCACTGGGTTGCCCGACCCTGACGGGCTCTTCGTACGCGGGTTTGCCTCGGAAAATTTCCTCCTGAAAGGTGGACCGGGTGGATCAGGAATGCCGTAAACTGAAACTAACCCCGTTGACGGCAAACGTTCCCTGGGTTGCCCTCCAGGCCCCGTCAACAGTCTCTTCAACAGATTCGCCCGGTTTCCACCAGCATAACATTAATAATGCTAAAATTTCGATGCTGCCGTGAGCCGTTTCGGCTGCCTCGGCATCACTAAGCATGATTAATCAATGGCAGAAAGAACTGGGTCTTTATATAAGGTGCGGTTATCCCACTTCGATCTGGGTCCGTCCATCTTTTCTTTTTGAATACTCATCATATTTTCAACTCCGTTCAAAATGAGCAGCATTACATACGATGTGTTCCGTGGCTCTGCCGAGGGTCGGATTGTCCAGGGCCAGACGACGCAGACCCTTGGGCACAATGAAGTCTTCATTGAGACCACCCACTCCGGTCTCTGCGGTACCGACGAGCACTATCTCAAGGCTGGCCAGGTGCTCGGCCACGAAGGTGTCGGAATTGTGAAGTCCCTCGGACCCGGTGTCACCGCCGTCAAGGTTGGAGATCGCGTGGGATTCGGGTACACCCACAGCATCTGCACTGCTTGCAACAACTGTGCTACTGGTACTACTCCACCCCATTGACGTCCTCTTGCAATGCAGCCAAACCGAACAGTCTAATGCGTTCGCAGGTTGGGACCAGTACTGTGAGAACCAGAAGCAGTACGGATTCCACGACTTGGATAACGGCTCCTTCAGCTATGGCGCCGTCTGGGACGCCAACTGCGTCTACCCCATCCCAGAGGGTTATGATTCCGCCAACGCCGCCCCTCTCATGTGCGCCGGTGCGACGGTCTGGACCGTCCTGACCGAGTATGGCCTCCGCTCGACGGATCGCGTGGCGATCATGGGCATCGGTGGTCTTGGCCACGTTGCCATCAAGCTGGCTGCCGCGATGGGATGCCATGTTGTCGTTTTGTCCAGCTCTGAGTCCAAGCGCCAGGAGGCCATGGACTTCGGAGCCTCCGAGTTCCACGTCTTCCGGTCCGGAGGTCCCGCCCCTGAGGGTTTCAAGCCGGTCAAGCACCTGCTGCTTTGTGGAAGCGCCGGTGTCGACTATCCCTCGTGAGTCCTCCCTGTGCCTTGTGTCATGCCTGCGGTGTAAAGGGCGACCTATAGCTAACGCGCATGTCAGTCTCCTGCCCCTGATGGCCACCCACGGAACCATCTACCCCCTGACGGTGGCTTTTGAGCCTGCTCGCGTGCCCATGCTGAGCCTCGTGTGGAGGGGCGTCAGCATCCAGGGTTCTCTGGTCGCTTCCCGTCAGAGCATCCGCAGTCTTCTCGAGTTCGCGGCCCGCAAGAACATCACCCCCACGATCATGAAGTTCCCCCTCAACGCGGCGGGCATCGAGGAGGCCATGCAGACGCTCCGGGAAGGCAAGATGAGATACCGCGGAGTGTTGGTGAAGGAGTAAAGGATGATTCAAGATACCAGATCGATAGCAATAATAATGACGATGATGAGATGACGCCGATGATCAGACCAGCTTGTGTGGTGGCCCACTCGCACTAGACCAACCTGGGCCTAGTAGCCTTGCCCCACGTAAACGCCCCGCCCCGATCGGGTTAGCCCCCCGGACTCTCCCCGAGCTGCCCCGGCAAACAGCGCAAACACGCCAAGTGTCACGTGGTACTGACCATTCGCCTTGTTACAGTGCCTCAGGCTGCGAGTTTCCAGATTCATACCCTCGTAATGGGAACATGTTGCAAATGTGACTATTCCAAGAGATCTATGACCTTGAAACAACCAGTACTTGCTAGATTGTAGGGCCGATATATGTCTATCTTAGACATGTGTGTGAAAGATCTGGCACCGAACATCATGGTACTAACGTGGAATGTTACCTCCGGACAACAAGGACAAATAATTGAAAGCAACCAGGATTATATGTATCTGACTAGATCGGCCATTCTCCTATGCCAGGAAAATACCTTTGCCCGGTGCGGTTCTAACAGCTCAAAAAGACCACTCGGACAAAAAGGTGTCCAGACACCCAAGTAGGTGGGGTTGTGACATGTTGTGACTGGCTGGATTTGGGGGCCAGACAGGGTTGTGGTTATGCAACTAGGCCAGCCTTGCTTCTCCACGCACCATGCAGTTCTTTGTTCTCCAGTGCTGGCTAGGTTCAAAGGGGTCACTACAGCAGCTTGCTAAGCCTCTATCATCCAATCTGGTTCTGTTCTGTCCAATCCCAGTAAATTATACTTAACTGCCCACTTCTTCCAACTGCGCCACATTGGAGAGCCAGTAGATAATCGCCCCGGTTGATAAACCCACCGACAACCCCCCAAAATCACCTGGCAGGCTTGAGAGTTTCCAACCTCGCCATCATCTTTACCCTCCATTTGTGTGCTCTCGAAAAAATCGCCTCCCGAAACTACAATCACCATGGCATCATCCAAGCCCGTGATTCTCCTGATCCCCGGGGCCTGGCACTGTCCCGCCTCGTACCAAGGACTAGTGGGTCTTCTCCAGTCCTCTGGACACGAAGTCCATGTGCACGATCTGCCCTCGATGAACGGCTCTCGGCCACCAACGGCAGACCTCGAGACTGACACGGCTGAATTTCGCGAACACACCAAGCGTCTTGCCGAAGCCGGCCGGTCTGTTGTCGTCATCGTCCATTCTTATAGTGGCCAAGTCGCGAGCAATGCCCTTCATGGTCTTGGATTCGACCAACTTGCTGGAAAGGGGGGGGTTGTCCGTATCATTTCTCTGTGCGCCTTCACGGTTCGTGAAGGCGTCAGCATGATCGACGTGGTGGAGCGATTTGGCCATGGAAACCTCATGCCGCTGGCATTTGATTTCGCGGACGATAAAACCGTTCTCAGCCAGAGCCCAAAGGCTCTCCTCGTCACCCCAGCCCCGAACATCGATGATGCGGAGGTGGAGAAACACATCTCCTCCTTTTCCCGGTGGAACGGCAACTGCATGTATCAGCCACTCACTACCACGCGTGTGGCCTGGAGGGACATTCCGGTCACCTATGTCTACGCCACTGGGGACATGACGGTTCCGTTCGAATACCAGAGGTGGATGGTGGAGACCATGCGGGGCGAGGGCGCGGAGGTTGAGACTTTCGAACTGGAATCGGGACATTCGCCTGCTTTCACAAACACTCGGGAGGTGGTGGAGATTATTAACACGGTCATGGCGCGGTATTAGTAAAACTGTGCAAGACTGTCAATGAGGATACCTCGCCTGCGTGTGTTTCTTTTCCATATAGATAGAGGGACTGAGGGTTGGTACACTGGGGGTTGAAATTGAGATATTTGCCAGAGAGTCCAGACTGCAAGGAGAAGTGAAATATGATAAACCTTTTCAACGTTTTTTTTTTTTTTTTTGGTCCGCGTTTCTTGGAAGATGGTTGATTTGAAGCCATTGGGGTCAGTAGACGGCTGACTCGATCATAGCAAGACAGGCAAGAATACTCCTCCGCAGAATCCGGCGAGGAGTGGTGAAAGGGCATGGCGGGCAGCCTCATCCGGACGCCGGCGCGTCACCGGGACGATGGCGTGATTAGCGCGTACTGACCTGTCACTCCCCAGCCTCCAGCCTCCTCCCTCCCCCTCATTCCCTCCCAGCCTTCCACTCCCCCCCCCCACACCAACCATACGTTCTCATCCATCATATCATCCATCATCAACACCTCGATCTCAATGCCCGAGGAGGACGTCCACCGGCCGCTCCTGGCCGAGACCCGGAGCACGGACTCCGCGTCGGAATCCAGCTCCACCCCAGATGGGCGCTTCACCCGGAATCTCGGCGCCATCGAGGCCTTCGCCATCGTCATCAGCATTGTGATCGGGAGCGGCATCTTCACCTCACCCGGCTCGATCGACACGAATGTGCCCTCGCCGGGAGTCGCGTTGCTGGTGTGGCTGGTGGGCGGCATTCTGGCCTGGACGGGCGCCAGCACCATGGTCGAGCTGGGCACGGCCATCCCAGGCGAAGGTGGGTTTACTCGACTCATTCATTCACCGTGCCTGTTGCGTACTGACCATCTCCCGTAGGAGGCGTGCAGCCCTATCTCCGGTACATCTTCGGCGATGTGTTTGGCTTCCTCGCCGCCTGGACCTGGATCATCGCCGTCATGCCCGCCACGCTGGCCATCCTGAGCATTGTCTTCGTCGAGAGCCTCTTCTCCGCGGCAGGCGTGACCGATCAGGCAGGGAGTATCTCCCACAAACTGCTGTCCGTTCTGGTGCTGCTGGCGATCGGGCTGGCCAACTCCATCAGCACGAAGGCCAGCACCCGCCTCAACGGCTTCTCCGTCACCACCAAGTTCCTCGCCATTGCGGGCATTGTCCTCGCGGGCCTGGTGGTGGTGATCCTGCAGGTGTCGGGGATCAACCGCCATGCTGGGCCAAAGGACTGGTTGAACCATCCGTGGTTTGGGCCCAGGAACACCTGGACTCCCGATGGGACGGAGGTCGACTGGAACTCTATCCGGGGGTGGGAGTCGCTCGGGTACTACTCGGCCGCCCTCTACGGTGCCCTCTGGGCCTATTCGGGCTGGGATAAGGTACGTCCATCGGATAGATGCGTGTTCAGGGTCCGCGTGCTAAGATGCGAACGTGTTGGCAGGCGATCTACATCAGCGCCGAACTGTCCTCCCCTGCCCGACAGCTTCCGCTGGCCATCAACACCGCCGTCCCCATCATCATTATCTGTTTCCTCGCCGCCAATGCAGCGTACTATGTCCTTCTCCCGTGGAAGATCGTTTCGATGACCGACAGCGTCGCTGTGGTGAGTATTCTGACCCCCCCCCCCCCCCCCCCCTTCTGTTATAATCTCCCCTAACGACATCCCAGACTGCCATCACTCACCTCCTCGGCCCAGCCTGCGGAGTACTCGCAGCCATACTGATCTGCCTCGTCGTGGCCGGCTCCCTGCTGGGTAACTCTTTCGTCGCCGGTCGCATGATTGTCGCTGCGTCCAAGATGGACTGGTTCCCCCGGTTCCTAGGCGTGCTCGGCTACCTGGGGATGCCTCCTGACCCGGAGCCCCCCACCCCTACGACGCCACGGTCGGATGCGCCCATCAACGCGACCATCCTGGCGACCTTGCTTCCCATCCCCTATCTCCTGTTCGGAAACTTCCGCGCCCTTCTCACCTTCAACGGTCTGGGCGAATATTCCTTCTTCTTCCTGACGGTCCTGGGCGCCATCATCCTTCGGTTCCGGCAGCCGGAGCTGCGTCGGCCGTACAAGCCGTTTATTGGCATCCCGGCCACGTTTGCCCTCGTGAGTGGGTTTGTGGTCGTGAGAGGAGCCGTCTTTGCGCCGCTGCAGGCCGTGGTTCTCGTCTCGCTGTGGGTGGTCGGGGTAGGGTTTTATTACCTTCGGAGGAAGTGGGCGGAGAGACGTGGATAGAGATCGGGAACTGGGGGCATCGATTTACTTCTTGCACGCTGGGAGTATCCCCAGAGCGTTGGAGGTTGGTATCATCCAATTAAACCAGAATCAGATGTCAGTTCACTCCTTTTATCCTTTAGAAATCATTCACCCGTACAGCTTGCTACTACGTACGAATCGGTGACAGACGCTCAAAACCAGCCAGCTGAACAACTCATCAGCTTCAATCCCCCTATAGAAATTACCTCCGTCTCACATACACCAACGCAGGAATCCTTGGAACTGAAACCGTAATTAATAGCGATTGCACATCAGCATACCCCACTGAACGTCAGAGGCCAAGAACCGCCCGTTAGTCCCACAGTTTAGGGCCACCTCTGTCTACCTGTTTTGACGCGCAAGAACAACGCAAGATTTAATGTCCCACCGAAAGTATCAACTCAGGTAGGTTTTCCGAAGGGCGGATGGAAAAATGCCCTGTCGATAATGGTGCGGGATGGTTTTAAGCGCCTGGGTGGATCGTCCTCCCTGCAGGTGCAGGCCACATCACGACGATGCTACACTCGGAGAAAGGTAAGTGTGGGGTGTAAGCGCCTATTCCAGACCCCACACTGACCAAATAACCTAGTTACTGGCCACTGGTGAAACGGTTTCTATGTTCATGAATGCTACTCGGTGTGGATGATTAGTCTCCGCCATCAGTATGCGACGAGGATACTTTTGGAGGTCACATGTGTATCCTTGTTTATTTTCGCTGTCTATTTGGCTGACCCGTTATTGCGGATATCCGGAGTTGGTTTTCTTTCCTCATGTCGAGCGTGCTTTTCGCCCAGTAGTAAAAAGAATTAAGTAAACGTATGACAGAAACTTAAGGACTATTAAAACGAATATTCCTACTTCTCGGGTTAAACTATGATCAACCGTTACACTCTACAAAGACTTTGGCAGGCTCTGTTGGCCCAATCATACGTTATGTTTGCAATATTTAGTGGTGGTTCTGATGAAATAAACTCAATTTGAGACAGTCAACAGCACAAACATGTGGCTAGACATATGATAGTAAAGTATGAAATATGGAATGACGAAACCAGCTACGGAATCAAAATCCTTGACGGGCTGTGGCTACTCTCCGCAGATCAAGGATACACTCGTCTATCCGACTCAGATTCTGAGGTCTTCAATTGGAGGCATCTCAGGATGGGTGCTCTCATCTTCTTCCTCATTTTCTTCCTCATCATCCTCACTTTCTTCTACATAGTACTCCTCGTCTTCATCATCACTAATCTTCTCATCCTCGTTCATCTCCCACCCAGGTAGGTCGAGGCTAGACTCAAGAAAGGAGACCCAATTGTTCGCCGCCTCATCGATGAAGGCGCGGCCCTCTTCCGGGAAGGACTCCACGCGGAGATCCTTCTCCACCCAGCCCGTCGGCACGACCTTGACCACCGCATAAGAGATCACAATCCCCTCTCCATGGAAGACGCCGGTGTGGGGAAACCTCGCAAACTTATCGCCCTTGCACTCGTTCAAGGGGATCCGGGACACGCGACGTTTACCGTAAGACCAGGCACTATGAACGAAATCAACGTCGACAGTCTGGACGAATTTGACGCCGGTAATCAAGTAAACAGGCTTGGAGAAGGTACTGTCTAGTTTCATTGCTTCGCGGACTTTGGCCTGGTCCTTGAGCTGGTCGGCCAACTCGTTCCCAGACGGATACTTGTGAAAGCAGTTTGAGACGATGCCCTTGACGACGATCGTCGAGTTCAGGTAGGTGAACACCTCTTCGAGCTTTCCCTTGAAGAGTCGATTCAGCTGGCCACTGAGACTGATGTTGTGTGTGACTTGGTGTCCGCACCTACTCTCCTCCTGGGTTGACTCGACAGAAGGGGGCAGGTCGCTCAAATCGAGGCTGCACAGAACGTTATCGGGGTTGAATGGGTCCGCGATGATATTTCCCACGGCAATGGATGAACCTGGCTTGTAGTTGAGGGACGGCGCCCACAGCCATCCATCGTTGAAAGACTTGTTTTGAGGCATTCTTTTGGTATTATCAAAGATGATTTTTGGGCTGAGGATATTAGGGTTCACTGTAGGTGCTGTGATAAGTGATAGTCAACTTGCAAGTTGAAGCAAAATGGAACGGGTAGGTGAAGCATTATATATAGCAGGTTGTGGGATAAAAAAAAAGGATATCGATGGAACGCCCCAGGCAAGAATAATAATCATATCTTGGATATATAGGAAGTAACCGTCAATTAGGTCAATAGAAAGCAACAAATATAGCAGGCTGTGATGTAGAAAAGGAAGATGCCGATGGAAAAGTCCCGACCTTGGACAACGACCATGTCCCGTAAACATAGGAAGTAACTGTCAATAAATAAAAGACTTCATACCATGTTGTCCCTGGGTATGTTTGTCGGAAGGCCACTGCGGCAGAAAGAGACCCACTCGCCTGGCCTCGGGACCGTACCTGTCCTGACAGATGCCTACGAAATGTTCCCTGTGATAATCGCTATATCCCGGAAACAAAGTAAGTAGCTGTCGATCAGAATAAGGGCTTCATGCTATGCTGTCCGCTGGGTATGTCTACAGTTGGAGACTTTGGATTTTCATGGGATAATGCAGCGCACGTCGTTGAATTATAAAAATAATTCCAAAATTAATAATTCCATTTCTTACCTCTTCCAATATATTTTTAATTTTACTTTTGAGAATTAATCAGCATATACACTCTTGGCAGTATTGAAACAATTCAGAACCAGAAAAGAATTTAATAGTAGAGAGGGAAAAAGTACGAGTATATATGATAAGCTTTTTACACTGGAGTGTGACTGCCCTGCTATATTTCACTCTTTTCTTGAGATCTAATTTGAAGACAACCTAATACGGCCTCCAGTGCTATAGAGGTCTTTCCTATAGCCCGCGTGGCTAATAGGTTAACCCCCGCTTGAAAGACATGTCGAAAGACTTGTTATCAGAAGTTCCGCTGTCCGAGGACCTCTTGTCGGCAGGGCTTTTTTCAGAAGACTTGTTATCAGACGACTTGTAGTCAGAAGACTTCTTGTCGGAAGATTTGTTGCTGTTGTCGGAAGACTCGTAGTCAGGCATGTTACCTAGTAGTATAGGTGAGGAACCCTGATGCTGAGGAGTATCATGGTATGCTTTAGATGGTGTGCTGAGCAATAGTAGATTTGCAGGTGGGAATGAGACAGGTCAGGTCAGCAGCATATATAGCGGGCTGTACTGTAGAAGTGAAAAATTCCGACGAGAAAGACCTGGCCGGAGACAATGGCCATGTCACACAGACATGGGAAGGAACCCTCCATCAGTACTCCGTACAAAGAAGTTTATAATGGACAAGAGGATCGGTACGAACACCCCAGGCCGCGTTGGAATAGAGGAGGGCTTCGAGAGAGACCGCCGAGGAAGTAGCATTTCGATGGATGTGCACGTTAATAGGCATGATTATGCTACACAACAACCAATTGAAGGTTGAATCATGACAGTGGTCAGAGAAAACTGGTAAGGCTTGAGGAAATCCGTGATTTCACAAGTAAGATCGATGAGTATCTGGTCGCTCGGCATGGGCGAGGAGGATGGAACAAAGAAGCCGGCCGGGATTGAATGAAATTGAATGAAAGGCTTCGGGATCTTCCGAGCCAAGGGCATTTGAGGAACATCATCTCAATATTTATTAGAATTTTATTTGGAGATAAACCAGTGAGGGCTACGCCCGGCCAGGATGTAAGGCCCCATTCCCTCGTCCGCCGAGAACGGAGAACCCCCCCGCTGCTTCGTGAGCAGGTCTACTCTCTTTCGCGTTTCCGGGAGTGATATTTGCCCTCGGTCGCAGCAGAACTCCCGCTGAATTAGCCTGTCAGAGTTTCTTCGCCGCAACGAAAAGATGAGCACGGGCGCGAAATCGAAGCCAAGGAAGAATCGAAGCTTGGCAGTTGGCCCATTCGAGACCCGATGAAGCCGCCACGCCACGCAAGATGCCCGCCTTTGATACCTAGACCCATCTTATTCGTCGTGAACAGTTAATCCAGCTGCCCAAGCTTGCCTCGCATCCCATCTGTTGGGGATCCAGCTACTTTTCACTCAATTCGTACGAGTCGTTGGAAATTTCTTATGCCTTCAGTCGCTCGAAGAGAGCCTTCGCCGTGTCAGTTCCCCCCCGGAAATCCCCGAGTGATATTTTTTCGATCCACCTCAGTACGTTGGAAAAGTATAGGTATGGTCTCAGCTTCGGCCGACCAGGCCCAATAATGGGTGTCGAAAGATCCATGCGCCTTCAGACGCTTTTAGCCACTCGTAGGCCATCGTTCAGTTCTGGATTTCCAGCTCGTCAGCCGTTTAACGGGAGATTTCTTTTTGAGTATCATACCAAATTTTCTTTTTTTTAAAAAAAAGTAGAGATCCACTTGGGGAGAGATTGTTGGCATCGGGCAGCCATCTCTTTGCGGACCTGCGTGGATGTGTGGCCATCCATATATGCCATCGCCCGGTCTTCCCGGGCGGAAAGTCCTCCCTTTTCCGCTGCGGCCCTCCATCAGAGATACTGAAGCGAATCGCCAGATGAGAAGATCAAATGCACGAGGGTTCTGGCAAGTCTCTGCGATTGAAATGGTGGACAAATGGAATGTATTGGGGACTTGAAAATGGAGTTGGGATGGTTCTGGCATGTATCTGCGAGTGAGACGGAGGATTTCTGCAAGTCATATCACATTGTGTGTCGTATGTAGCAATGACGCTAACCAGTTACCACTTCAGAAAGGCACCACGCAAGATCTTCGTGACAATCCGACTTTCCTATCCATGATATCGCAGTGTGTTATATGACGCGGGCCTGATATGTCTTTCTATAACCCTTGCATCCGAATTTCTGTCATTTCCGCCATCGAAGTCCCACGTCTGGGTGAATTTTGATGATCGAGCAAAAGGCGCAAGAGTTCCCCGAGACTTCAGCCCGGATGATTCTGCAAATGCAATCTAGGGATTGGTCGTTTCTACTGCAGCCTCTAGTAGCGAATCTGTTTCCAGGCTCTCTCGCTGCATTTAGCTTCTGTGTCAATCTTCCTGCTTCCTGTAATTTACGAATCATCCCCTCCCACGCTTGAATTCCGTCGAGTGGCTTTTTATCTAGTAGTCTGCTGCCGTGGAAAGCTCCCCGTGCAGGGTACAGGTTATAGACAAGGGTTTCTATCAGCGTGCCCAATCTTTTTCACAGCCGTATTTATCGGAATCCGTAACCTGTCTGTTGTTGTGGACTGTAGATTAAAACGTGTACCTGGTACTTGACCTTGGTCCGATGATGCATGTAGGGGAAGTAACTTTGGAGTTCCCGTGGACTTGTTGGGACAAACTCTAGATAGAATGTCGGGATTATTTCATTGGCGAGGTGTTAAATGCAGGTCCATGGCGGAACGGAAAGTTTTGACTTGAGATCTGCTGCCACCGATTAAACGTTGAGCTGCGATCCTTTCAATGGAAGACAAGACGGATTGGGGCCTCGGCATGATTGTTTTGTGATCAATTTCTATCGCGCCCCGCGATTAATAAACACACTAAACAGACTAAACCGCCTGGGTTGGCCTCGGGCTGCCCTTTTTGGTCCAATTATGGAGCGCATTTCGCGCCAGTTCGAGCATCCCCAGGATGAGGAAGATCGAGATTCACATTTACAGATGTAATGGTTGGTTAAAGAGACCTTCTCTTAAAAAACAGCCACATTCACATTGTTTCATACATTGTATTACGCAAAGCATCTGCTGTTGTCACCAGTTGGCCTCTTGCATTTTGTTGAATAATCCTTCGCCGCTGGCGATATGTTCAATACTTCCACATCCTGACAGGGGGGAGCAGTTGGGATCCCAACATCGAACATGAATCGCAATTTGATACTCCAACCACCACTGAAAATCACTTGTCGGGCCAGCCCAACCGTGCTCTTACCTGCAGATCCTTGTTGAACAGACATACTAGTCGTCTGCTCCCTCAGATCTATTCACTCAACCCTTCGCGATGACCAGGTCAGCCTTGCATTGGGAGATCGCCTATCTCTATCTCCCAACTATTCGACCATTCTTGAACTACCATGCCTCAGATACAACGTGATTAGTATCCAACCATCCACTCTTGACATATATCCGACCACCCTCCTCCCTCCGACATCTCCTAACGCATCTCAACAACACCCATCCCATCAGAGCAAGTCGCAATGCCTACACAGTCCCCTTCCCCTTCCCCATCCCCGGGGGATGGCTCGAGGAAAGAGAAAGTTCACATCGCAGACACCCCCATAACGCTCCAAAACTGGCAGAAGCACGTCAACTGGCTGAACGTGACGATGATTGTCCTCATCCCTCTGTACGGCTGCATCCAAGCCTTCTGGGTTCCTCTACAACTCAAGACCGCCATCTGGGCCATTGCCTACTACTTCTTCACCGGACTCGGCATCACCGCAGGTCCGTTCTCTCCAACCCTCCCTCCACCACAATCCTAACCCCCAGCACAGGTTACCACCGACTCTGGTCCCACTGCTCCTACACAGCCAGCCTCCCCCTACGCATCTGGCTCGCCCTAGCCGGCGGCGGTGCCGTCCAAGGCTCCGCACGCTGGTGGGCGCGCCACCACCGCGCACACCACCGCTACACCGACACAGCGCGGGACCCTTACGCAGTCAACAAGGGACTCTTCTACTCGCACTTCGGCTGGATGATCCTCAAGCAGAATCCCAAACGCTTCGGGCGGACCGACATCTCGGACCTCAACGACGACCCGGTCGTGGTCTGGCAGCACCGGCACTTCCTCAAGATCGTGGTCATGATGGGGATGGTCTTCCCGATGCTCGTCGCCGGGCTCTGGAACGACTGGTGGGGCGGGTTCATCTACGCGGGGATTCTGCGGATCTTCGTCGTGCAGCAGGCGACATTCTGCGTGAACTCGCTGGCGCATTGGCTGGGTGAGCAGCCGTTCGATGATCGGAACTCGCCGCGGGATCATGTTCTCACGGCGTTGGTGACCCTCGGCGAGGGGTATCATAATTTCCATCACGAGTTTCCGTCGGATTATCGCAACGCGATCGAGTGGTATCAGTATGATCCGACGAAGTGGTCGATTTGGCTGTGGAAGCAGATGGGGCTGGCGTGCGATCTGAAGGAGTTTCGCGCGAATGAGATTGAGAAGGGGCGCGTGCAGCAGTTGCAGAAAAAGGTCGATGAGAAGAGGGCGAGGCTGGATTGGGGCACGCCGCTGAGGGAGTTGCCGGTCTTGGAGTGGGACGAGTATGTGGAGCAGGCGAGGACGAGGGCCTTGGTCGTGGTCGCGGGCGTCGTCCATGATGTTTCCGACTTCATCCAGGATCATCCTGGGGGCAGACGCATGATCCAGGCCGGGGTGGGAAAGGATGCGACCGCCATGTTCAATGGGGGCGTGTACTATCATTCTAATGCCGCGCATAACTTGCTCTCCATGATGCGGGCCGGGGTGATTCGGGGAGGCAGCGAGGTGGAGGTGTGGAAGAGACAGCAGAAGGAACGATGGAAAGGTTACTACTGAAGTTAGCATTCAGGGTCTAGATGAGAGTTCTGAAAAATTAGAGTTAGGTTTAGCCTTTCCATGGAGGGAGATCACAACCACATCCCATCCAGAGAAGCATATGCATTGAAAATCAAGGACGATCTTCCCAGCCCTACACAACAAAGCCAAACCCTCGGATGGCCGGAAGAGCTCCAAGCACGGACGAAGACGATCTCCAGACGATAACAGCATCATGACGCAATGGAAGCAAACGGCGCCCCGACCTTGCCCCCAACCCTGGTTGATTGATCCCGTTTGGTCTGAATGGCCTCGTGGAACCCGTCGATCCCAACGGGGCTGTTTCGAATTCTAATCACAATTCAAAGAAGCCACTCGTGTCCTAATAATAGTCGCACCAAAGTCTTGTATCCACCGCTTGACTTCACCCCGACCAGCTGTGGAACGGGAATTGCCAGATCCGGCTTCTCTGGCTCGACTCCACTCACCCGGTAATGCAGTGACATCATGTCCACTCCCACTGTCACTGCTACCAGGCCGAGGGATATAAAGCCGCACAGCGAGGAGACCTCGCTGGAATCCAAAGCCCATCGCAGACCACTTTCGAACAGCACAACCTACCTACCTACTTTACATAATCCACCCACCCAAGCGTTCACCATGGGATACGACTTCACTGTCTACAGAGGGTCCAAGGGCGGGACCATCACCGAAAGCAAGACCCACCGCGATGCGCTGAAGCGCGACGAAGTGCTCGTGTCCGTCACCCACTCCGGCGTCTGCTACACGGACGTGCACTACCAACACGCCGACATGGCGCTCGGCCACGAAGGTGCGGGCGTCGTCGAGCAGACCGGCCCAGACGTCCAGGACCTGAAGAAGGGCGACCGCGTCGGCTGGGGCTACGAACACGACTGCTGCGGCCGATGCTCCAATTGCCTGACGGGCTGGGAGACGATGTGTCCGGAACGGAAGCTCTATGGACTTGCGGATTTCGACCAGGGCTCGTTCGCGTCGCACGCGGTCTGGCGCGAGGCGTTCCTGTTCAAGATCCCCGAGGGAATCAGCAATGAGGACTCCGCCCCGCTGATGTGCGGTGGCTCGACGGTGTTCAATGCACTGCATGTGGCGGGGGTGAAGCCGACGGACCGCGTGGGGATCGTTGGGATCGGAGGGCTTGGACATCTGGCGATCCAATTTGCGGCGAAGATGGGATGTCACGTCGTGGTATTCTCGGGGACGGATAGCAAGAAAGAGGAGGCGATGCAGCTGGGCGCCAGGGAGTTCTATGCCACCAAGGGGGTGAAGGAGCTCAAGATCGGAAAACCTCTCAACAGCCTGATTGTCAGTACGAGCAGCCAGCCGGATTGGCCTCTCTACGTCCCTGTCCTGGCCCCCGGGGCTGTTATCTCGCCGCTGTCGGTCGCCAACGAGGATTTCAAGTTCCCGTATATGACCCTTGTGACGAGTGGGCTGCGCGTCCAGGGCTCGATTGTTGCGGCTAGACAGGTTCATCGCGATATGTTGGATTTTGCCGCCTTGCATGGAATCAAGCCGATTAAGATGAAGTATCCGCTGACCCTTGATGGTGTCAAGGAGGCATTGAAGACGCTGGAGGAGGGGAAGATGAGATACCGGGGTGTTCTGGTGGCGCAATAGGGGTGTTGTGAGCTGCGGCGTTTCTGGGAGGTGGTTTTATTAGCGTTGGGGGTTGCACATATTGACTAGGATAATATTACGAATGGCAATGTAATGTATCGTCTTAGCAAATGCCTCCGAAGGGCGGAAGTATTCATTAATATATGGCAGCTATCATGTCAACATTGGCTGTTTCCAGAGTTTGAGATTAGTGCCACTTGTATAGCGGCGAACCTGGGGACATTAGCACTGATGCAACCAGAATTCTCAGACGATGGAGTAAAGCATAGATTAGAGACAACTCACGCAGTGGCCGTCGCGAATATCTCGACCCGTCGAGCCCTAACCATCAGCCCCAACGCCAACGCGAAGACAACATTATACACCATGATCATAACCATCCGGATGGCCGTATCTTTGATATAGTACAGAACAATCATCGACGACGCAGGTAGGACCGCAGCAAAGACAATGCTGACTATATAGGTGAAAGACTTGATCTTCCGATCATCGTACCGCCAGGCCCCCATTTCGATGTCGCGTCGCTCCTGTTCCGTTGTCAGTGGTACGGTACGTGATGGGGCATGGGGGGGGAACGGGAGCGCTACCGGGCGATTGTGGCCCCAGCGTTTATGGAACCACGGGATGACTCGGTTGAATATCCACCGCGTCATGTTGTCGATCCCTTCGTGACGGCTGAAAAGTGCAATCAGATCGCTTTCGTTATGGGGATCGTACAAGTTCAGCTCCGTTACTGATTCGAAAAACATGTCCCCGCCTTCTGGCCGGTCGAGCCAGTCTCGTAGCACTGCGAGGTCGCATTTATCGGGGGTGCTGAAGCTCATGAGGTCTCGGGTCTTGCTTAGGGCAGTGGCTGGTTTGTTAGTTGGTACGTTCACTCTGCGTGGAATGGATGATTGGCAACCGGTGCTCGTCCTGGTGCGGAACTGGAGAGTGTCGTCGACTCACTGTATTTCTCGATCAAATCACGCAGCTCTTGGAATTTTAGCCATTGAGTCGGGTGTTCCTCCTGCGCCCGCTTCACGGACTCTTTCAGATCAAGTACCGAGAGCGGGTAATTGAGCTTATTTTCGTCATTGGAGTCCTTGTCGTCCTGGATGATGAAGTCGAGATCATTCTCGAGAATAGCTATCTCCGCCTGGTAGTAGAGAAGACTCTTGATGTTGAGCTTGGTAAAGCGTCGAAAGAAAGATAGCCCCGGGTCAGCGGCGATAAATGTAGCCAATTTGTCGTAACCTTCTAATCGGCGGAGATTTTCTGTTGCCATCGTGTTACTTTGTACACGTATAACTGGGAGGTATGCTGGTCGAGATATTTCCTGTTGGCGATCTATTTATACTGTAATGAATAGTATCAACGCTGCTGAAAACTATTCGCTTTGGTTGGACGGCATGTTGGAGGCTCTGGCCGGGTGGTGGCTGTACACTGTACCCCTCCATTTGAAGTTGTTGTTCAGCGTTGCTTCCCTGTTGCAGGGAGCGTCAGGCAGACAGATGATTTGCTTACCAGGTAGTATCTCGGCTATGCTGAAGCCCGGGTCAGTAGATTCGACAGGGATCCGAGGCTCTGCGTCTACCACGAGGACAGACCTTGCAATCGGTCGATCGAGGTCATGTTGTCCGTTATATGCCCCGAGCCTACTCGGATGACGCAACGGCTGTATACCCGGGCAATGATGGAATTCTGGCCCTCTGGAAAATATGGTGGTCGGCAACTGTCACAGCCTTTTCAGTCCAAATTCTTTGGTCAGTCTGGGCCTTGTTCGGTGACAAGTCTAGAGCGCATGCATACCGGTGCACAAGCAAAGAAGGATCAAGTTTCCTTGTTCCCCGCATGTGCTACTTGGACAGCTGTCACTGGATGACAATAGTGTTAATTGGCCAAGAGACCAGCCAAACAGCTATCCAGTTGCGTAGGGCAGCAGTGCAGCTGATATGCTGTTTTAAGCCAAACAGCGCATCCTGCTGCTCTGGAGAGCACCAGATCTTATTCTATCAGATGTAGGAGTGCCATGCCTATCTTGGTATCTGGACACATGTCTAGTCAAGTGGTTTTGTTCCAGCACATTCACTGGATGGACCCACATCAACCTTCACTGGCCACCTTCACTACCCAGTTCTTCCAGTCCAATGTTTTTGCTCCCCCCATATTTCAATCACAGTCATTGATTGCATTGTCTCATTTTGCTTTGAAAGTTGCGGACACAATCCACCCAAAAAAAAAAAAAAAAAAAAAAAAAAAAAAAAGTATCAAACACCCGCCCGTATCTCTTTGTATTGTCATTGCTGCAATCGCGCCGCGATCCCCGGATCCACGCGGTGAAGTTCCAGTTCACGAACCGACCTCTTCCCCAAGAGCACGTCAAAACTGTCCCATCGAACAACATAAAATTCCGTGCAGTAGGCCTTCCCATGGCCGTAGATCGACCATGTTGCCTGGACCTTCCCGAGCGGTTTGACATCCGAGCGACCCAGAACGGTGATTGCGAACCCATAGTACGGCTGCATTCGGACGTTCATTCGTTTGTAGACTTCGTCGTCCATGACATTGACCTCTGTCTCGAAGTCAACCAACATACGCCGACGCATGAGACTGTTGTTTGACTTGATGAGGACGATGTCGTAGATGAAATCGCATTGAGCAAACTGCTGGTGGCTATCGGGGTGGTGCAGATTGTTCTTTGTTCGGAACATGGAATGGATCGAGTCGGTCGGTTTCTCGCGATCTTCCAAGTGGTGGAAGCCATTGCTGGGCTTTCGCACCACTCTCAGCCGCCCGGCTTGTTTATCCTGAGGGCTACCTTTGGTCACTGAACGACGTGCACCGGGACTCGGATTGTCCGGAGGACTCGGTTGTCCCTGTGAAGTATGACAATCCTCAGGCGGTGATAGAGACGCCTGTTGTCGGGCATCTGGCGCGGAACGCAATATGAGAGCAAAAAGGTTGTCCTTGGTGTCCTTCCAAGATTGTGAGAGTCGTGGCATCTTCCTCGCGAGAGTCAGCCCACTCGCCACCCGCATCCGGGAAAGAAGACGGGAGGCAAAGAAAACACCTGTTATTTACATGCTTGTTTAGATCGTTGTCTGGGAACTGCCTGTGGCTCGCAACTTTGTCGACCTTTTTGCCATGCTTCGCTTTGCCACTGATCTGTGGTGCTCTCGGTCCTGGGATTGTCGGTCAATGGCGGTGATATCTTCGAGATAGGGCGGGGTACTCACTCGAATTTCCCCAGTGCATTGTCGATCTGTCATGTGTGGGCTTTGCATTCACTGGAAGCCCTGTCTGTGTTTCCCGGGCACGGAATGGTTATCAATCGAAGTGAAGCGCGGGGAAGGCTGGCTGGAAGGCCAGCCTTCCAGCCCCCCGAGGCAAGCCTGATGGGCGGCTCGCGGGGGTGTTGCTCTTATCGGCGGCTGACCCTACATCACAGCCAGGGATTTTGCCCGCGGCAAATTTAATTGGGGCCCCCTCCTTGCGCATTCACGGAGCATCCGGCGCCTTCTTAGCGCTCACACTACTTTAGCCTGGATGAGATCATTGAAATCATTGACTTGGCTGAGTCCACCGGTGTAAGATTTTATTAGTCTGCCTTGTTCGCTGCCCAGCATGTTGGCTGTTGTCCCCCACGAGTGCCTGAGGAGATCAGATGCCCCGGATGCCAAGGGCTGTCGACTTTCCCACGCGAGTTGTTAGTACCCGACTGCCGCTGTCCGTGACAGCTGATGATCCTTCCATGCCTCCTTCGCTGGACGGGCGAGTCTCCCCACTGCTCAAAGAAACTCCGAAAGACGCTGCCTAGTGAGGGCTCAGACGCTTGTGCTCTTCTTGCTGGCTTTTCGCTCGCTTCCAATCATCTTCTTTGACTCGTGATCTGCCTTGGCATGCGCACCGACTCAAACCAGCTCTGCTGCTTACTGGCGGTGAAAGCCGCTGACTGTGCTGTCCTCGTCCGTTTGAGTGGGGGTTGAATCGAATCGCGTGGCAACCTTGCATCGAGTCACATCACATGGGCTGTCTGTAAGCTAATCCATCTACAGGGTGAGGGATTTATGCCGGATGCAGGCCTTCCTGTCGTCAACTCAGAATTGCACGTCATACGGATTCATAACAAACAAGACTGCTCCGTACAAAGCAAACTAGCCCACCCCTCCCCTCCCCAGATCCATTGTGGATATCTATCAGGTTCTAGAATGATAATATAAGAAAGGTCTGATTCTATAATACTGCTGTGCAGGCAGCTGGGCTATATAGATATAAAATCAGATATAAATAAGATATATCTAAAGTTATATATAAGATTATATATAGACTGATCCAGATAATTATCAGGAGTTAAGGGCTAAATCTTGTTCCGTTATCATGCCAAGGGCAAGCCCTCGTTCCAATCAATAATATCCTTGGTCCAATACACCCTCGATCAGCAGCGCATCGCTACCTATCTGGCGATCTATCTTCTCTGTGCAGCCAGTTGCCTCTCCCGATCGCGTCTCTCTTTCTCCTTCTGCGCCAACCTAGCCTGCTTCTCCCTCCTCTCCTGCTCCAGCTTCGCCTTGTCATCTGCCCGCAATCAGCCCTGCGATCTTCCCTCCCAGATCAAACCCACCGACATCGACTGACCTTTACTCTGCTTCGAAAGCTGTGTCACCGCGACCGGCAGATCGCCATCCTCCCTCACATACCCCACCACGCAATCCCCGCCCAGAATCGCATGGCATCCGGACTGCAGCCCCACGCTCTCATCCGTGGCGATATGGAAGGTATGTTTCGTACTTTTTCCCTGGCCCTTCCTCCATACCCTGAGATGCACTACATCGCGCACTGCGTACGGCGTGCCGTCCGAGGAATCGTAGAATGTTGTGGACTCGCCGCTTTCTACGCTCAAGATGCCTTGCAGGGCGTGGAACCCTATCCGCGTGAGAATGTTGACCTGCAACTCTCGAGCGACCCTCGCTGTCATGTTGATGGTTATTTCGCCTGGTCCGAGGCAGCAGATCTCGAGGGTTTGGGGTCCGGTCTGCTCGGTTCGTCTGCTGTAAGCACTGCACGGTCTCACTGCAAGTAGTGACGTGAGGGACCTCGCACTGGGTAGTTGTATGTATGTACGTACCATTGCTGGAATCCGTCCTGTTTGTTTGCCCCAACGGGAACACCCCGGGTTCAACGATCGGGGGATGGCATCGTTTGGAGAAAATCCGCCGTGTTCATATAGACTAGACATACAGAGCACCAGTAGACATAACCCAGGGTCCTAAAGAGCCGCATCTCCCCCCCCCCCCCCTCCCCCCCCTTCTCTTATGAGAATATGCGACTGCAGCACATCTAGCAATCCATCCATCCCCCTCCCTCCTTTCTTCGTCAGCTGCGCGAGGCTACGGCCACCCATCCACCCTTGACTACTACACCACCGACGCAGCACCTACCACTACGGAGTATAGGAACTGCATCCGCAGCTACAAATTAGCAAATTGTGCAGGTCGGGCATACATGACAGGGTATAGGGGAGGGAAACGGGCCAGTGGCACAACCCTGCTAGATAGCAAGACTGCATGGAAGGGTGGTTGGACGGGCGGAAACCGCGGGGAGGGATGAGAGCCAGCACCCACACACACACACGCGCGCGCGCGCGGACATGAGTGAGATAGCGTTGAATTAAGTCAGACTGAGACTGGAGGAAGAAATCGCTAATCAGGAAACATCCTGGCTTGAGCTGTCCCAACCAACCCAGCAAATAAAAAATCCTCCGAGAGCGTCCAGTCCCCTCGACCTGCCTACAGCACAGCACAGTAGATAGCCAACGCACTGGGAGGTGTCTGAGTCTCCATAGGGATGGGATATGATATGTACGACGTTGGAGGGGGCGTCTGAGTCTCCATAGGGATGGGATATGACATGTACGACGTCGGGGGAGGGGTCTGTTGGGGCCATTGACCAACGAGCATCGGCGGCTGGCTGTGCTTCATTGCTGGGCAGAACCAGCCCGACATCGCTGTGTAATTCATGCATGCATGCATCTCCGACATTCGGTTTAGGAGACTCGTATCATTTGTAAGGAGTATAAATAGACTTTTGTATTTCCGCGCGGACGGTCGGCCCCATGGCGTAGTTATATACATGCCATGTCGCATTCATCCACATTCACAAAGACATGGCCAGATCCAACATGAGGATGAATGGTACCATGATCACGACGGGCCCGGATTCATCGTACTCAGGTCCCTCACCACAGCGTGCCTTGCCTCAAGCCCGGGCCCCGGTTGCAGAATCCTCCAACGGTTGATATCCTCGTTCCCGAGGATAGCATCAAAACGCGGCATATCCAGGACGACGAAATCCGATACATAGGTCCTCTTGCCGCCCGCAAAATGCCACGCTACGTTTTTGACGATCCCCTTGGGCTTCATGCGAATCGGCTCGCCCTCCCCACACTGCAGGGGGATGATCTTGTCCGTGTACGGGTGCAGCTCCAGTCTCAACTCGCGCCAGGCCTCTACGCAGAGTAGATTGGTGGCCGATTGTGTGTCCAGCGCCATTCGAAAGCTTTCTTTGCTGGCGTCCTCGCGGATCATGTAGACTGACCATTTGTATGATCCGTTTGAGGGAATGAGGGTAAGGTTTGCTTGTGAGGAGCTTCTGACTGTTGAGGTTTGGGAGCGTCGGTCGTCGTTGTCGAGGGGAAGGGGAGGGGAGGATTGCTCGGGCTGTCGGAAGGGAGTTTTCTGGTCGGTTCCACTGCCACTGACTACCGGGCTGTTTGGACTGAAGATCGCTAAGGATGCGGTGCCGCTGCGTGAGGATGAGGAGAGAGGGTCGGTATCGTGGGAGGTATCGAGGTTACCTGTGTCGGGGGCGTCGATGAGGTCGGGATATGGGTCTGTCCCATGGCGTTGTTCTTGATGCTCATTGTGTCTGTGGTGCGCGTCATCCTGGCAGCGATTGCCGTCTGGGGGTTTAGGGTCCCCGGTTTGAAGAAATTGGTTAACCGGACCAACAGTGTTCTGTCCCCGCCCCTTATTCCTTTCGTGTCGTCGTCGCCGTCGAAAGATCCGTCGTGGTACGAGAAACGATAACTTCCGCTTGATGGCACGTCTCCATCGCCCAGCTCGGGAGGGCTTGTCGGCCTCCCCGGGGCTGTCTGTGACGCAACTGATGGTCAGTGGGGAGGAGAGTTGTGGTTATTGTTGATACTAACCAGTGCCCTGTCCAGCCCGGGGGGCGGAACCCTGCATCTCGAAAGGGAAGCGATGATCGGAGCGTGGTATCCTAGGCTCTGATCGACCTCGATACTGATCCTCATTGGCCTCGATGACCGAAGACGTACAAACCAGAACAGAAGAGCCCGGGACAGCAGGCAGCAGGGATACTTTGAACAGGGTTAGGGACCAGGATACCAGTTTCGATAGTACTGCCAGACGCAGGAGCACATGGAGATTGCAGGGACGGTCGTCACCAGGGTCGGGGATGTGTTGAAGAGAGGTTCGCTGGCACCGTCCTCCGCGGTAGATAATATGCTCAAACCTCCCAGCTGGGCGGTCGCCAGAGGTTAGGTAATCGCTTGTTGGATGGTCGGGGGGGGTTAAGGATTGGGTAGAAGAGCAACGCTGATTCCCAGTGCCGTCCAATTGTAGCTTGTTGACGATGCTCTGGGGATCAGGTCGGCGGGCGTTCTTCATTTATCAATGTAACGTGATGGCACCGCTTCATGCTCCCACAATCACCTGTCTGGACTGTTGACGTCTTTGTGCTTTGTTCTTTGTCTCTGGGTTGGGCCAGCCTATCTGCAGTCCGGATGACTGATAGACGCGGCAGGGGAAATCTTCATTCCGCCTGTCGCTCAAACCCTCCCTGATTTACTGGCTTTGCAGGGCCGTACATTTCCGGTGTGCTTTAGTCCTCTGCCCCTGGCTAGCTTCCCTCCATGTACAGATGCACCATTCTGAGGATCCATTCAAGGCCGATTACGTTTGCAGCGCAGTTGATGTAGGTACATTAGCAGCCGAGTCACCCTGATCAGATTGGCACTGCCACAGTCACAAGTGCCTCAGAGTATACTCCATGGTAGAAAGACAGTCGTCCATTTTCCCCCTCCGGGCTCGAATCCTGCCTCAGAACGATCTAATTAGGATTAATGTGGATGGGACAGCACCGGACATTGTCCATTGTGTTTTCCATGTTGATTGTCCGCATCGTTGCTTTTTCGACCCCTTCCAACCTTCTCTCAGAGTTTCCCCCAATCCCAAACCTCGCCAGTAACGCCGACGCCTCGCATGCTGTTGCCACGAGCCGAAATCGCAAACCCGTCCAACTGCCCCCAGAGCCGCCCGAGGTCGGTTACATATTCATCTTCTAGAAGCCTGGCTTCCTTTCCGGAGGACACACCTAACACGAGGTTGCAAGGTCGCACCGTCGCTATCGTGTTGCCTCACTTCTTTCTTATTCACGATAGCCGCACCAGGCGAGACTTTCACAGCAACCACCAACCCCCCATTTACCATCTCGTCCGACCAATACAATATCTCCAGACCCAGTGACTGACCCCATGAGCTGACACATCACCCCAGGACGACAGGACGACTGCACGAGACCTCGCCCGCCCAATGGGGAGACACCAATAATAGCCCGGACTATAGTAATCCCCTCTTCCAGGGCAAAAGGTTTAGAAGGTGCGGACTTCCGTTGGTCGCGCGCGGCCCGGCGGTCGGGGACTGAGCTCCGGTACAAAGTATAGTAGACACTGAGTCTAGACATGCTGGAGTACCATGGTTCGGCTATTAGTGGCATTATTGTTATCATTATTATTATTATGATCGTACAATCCTTTGTGCAGCTGCATGTCATTTCTTTTCCTTCTGGTCCGACGGTCTTTCAGCTGGGTGGGGTGGAACAAAGGATCGGATCTGGACTAAATACTGCTAGTGAGGGAGGACTGACTCGTGGGAAATTGGAGTGTGCGTCCGGCGATGTTCGCTCTTAACACGGGTGTTATATGTAAGACATCGATAAGGTCAGATGGAGATGGAGATTATGATTACTACAGCGATTGAACTAAGTAAGGGGTCGAACAGTGCACGTCAGAACGTTATCACGGCCGTTTAATTTAGATATTAATCTACCACGTTCTACTAGATCAGTAGGTTCTGTCGGTGTCAGGTCGAGACGAAATTAGGTCCGTCCCTGACTCCCTAGACACTCCCTACCTACCGGTACTATACTTCACTAGTCGCAAGTCTAGACAGGGTGGGATGGAGGTTATAGGTTTGTTACTTGGATGAGTTCATCATGCGTGTCTTCTATCGTGAGTGAGCCATAATATACAGAGAAACAGAGCTATTCACATCCCTAAATCACCATGGTGTTGCCAAAAAAAAAAACAGAAAATAGAAAAGATATATCCGACTGATCGCAGTCCCAATGAATCAAACCAGGATAATAATGATGATGATCACGACTCCTCACTCCTCCGATGATCCGTAACCACCCACGTCCTGGTCTCCCGAATAATCCCCGCCTGACTGGACTGACTATCGTGATCGTCGTCGGACAGCCTCGCCGCCGACACGGTGGTGAGATTGCCTTCCCCCGCACCCATGCCCATCAACTCGTGCTCGCCGCTGCGGGTGAACTTGGCCGTCTCGCCGGCGTTGTGATGGTTATTGCCCGACCGGGTGGTCGACCACTTGGTGTGGGTGGTGGAGCGGTAGTCGACGCCCTGGATGCGCAGCCCGTTGGACTTGAGCATTTTCAGGAACGGTTTCAGTTGCGCCCAGCAGGCCGACACGATGCTCGTGCACTGGATCACTTCGATGGTGATGGTTACCCCGCAGGTGGCCCAGGAGGGGTCGGTGGTGCGGATGTTCTGCGAGACAAGAACCAGTTCGATGATGCTGGCGAGGATGACCCTGTTGTGTGTGGGTTAGTTGGGTTGGTTGGATGGGTAAGGAAGTAGGGTTGCTGTAGGAGGTGCAGGTCTGGGGTATGGGATGGACGTACGAGACCCGGGAGAGAAAGATACTCGCGAACACGAGCTTGCGTCTCCGGGATGTTTGGATCCGCGAGATCAGGTACAGTGCCTGGAGGGTGATCATAACGTCGGTCGTGATGTTGGTCGCGCCAGTGAAGTAGTGCCATGCTTCCTATTTTGCCCATTAGTTTGGCTGGAAGAAGGGAGAGAGTGGTGGGAAGGGCTGAGGAGTCACTTACCAGGTCCATGCACTTTCCGGTGTAGTAGTTCCACGGCTGGGGGAGGTTGCATTGGAAGGCGGTTCCGAAGAGGTCGATCAGGGCGACGACGGTGATAGAGGCCTGCACGACGAGGGCGACAAACTCGTCTTTGGCGGCTGGGGTGAGGTTGCGGATGAAGCAGGAGAGTGAGAGTTTGGAGAGACAGAGGCTGATGGTGTAGAGCAGCGAGGCGGCATATTGGCTCTGGTGAATGAATGACTGTCTCAGTACAGATTCACTGTAGTATGGATACTACATACCTGCATCATCCGGTCGATGCGATCCGGGGTCAGAGTGAAGATGTGGTAGCCATAGCCGTTGGCGACGGACATGGACACAGCGATGGATTGCCCGGCGCAGAAGATCAAGGAGGCGATGATCAGGTAGTCGTCGTTGGTAAAGGTACGGAAAGAGCCATACTTGGTGCCCAGGCGAAAAATGACGCTCAGGGCAGCCGTGACGAGCAGGAACCAGTTGGTGACATTGACGGCCGGATCTCGCGTGTCTCCCGAAAAGCGTCCCATGGAGGGCAACAACAACTCGCTGCTGGCGGACGCAGATCGGCGGCGAGACTCATGTCATAAAGAGATAAGGTGGTGGAGGAGGGGGAGGGGGGAAACGGGGCTCGAGACAGGGCGGATCTAGGGCAAGTTATAATAATAGTTAGGACTAGCCCTTGAATGCGATCGATGCAGGGCCATCGGACGGGTTCACAATCTGTGTGTCCAGGGTCGAGGGTGGAGGATGGCGGATGGCGGATGGTGGATGGCGGATGGTGGATGGTGGCACGCCCTCATCCGACGGACGGGGGATAAGGAAGGCTTCTAAAGCTTCATTTGTCGGGGTTGTCCGCATTGGCTTAGAGGGTCGGCAATACACTTCGGCCATCACGCAGGATCGCGTGCTTATCAGCCAGAAAGGTTGTCTGACGACATCCTCAGGCGTGTCAGTTGGTCTGATGGCTGCCGTATCGACGGTGAGACGCCGGAAACCCGACAGCCCCTGTTGCCAGATAGATAGTTATTGTCTCGCAGCCTGGAGGCTAGACCATCCGCTGAACCGCTCCCTATCTCCTGCCTTTCTATCTCTCCATGGTCCATGGTCCATGGATGGGACTGCCCACTAGCTAGATAAATGGACTGACTGGCCCCCGATCGAGGTCCACCACCGGCCGTCCCCACTTACTCTGGGGAGGCCAAGCAATAATCTCCTGTCGTGCCCTCCCCGAGTCCCCTTCAGTTCCACGGTTCCATGCATGCATGTACCATCAGCACTAGGGTCATGCGAATCACCGGCCCATCCTTCTGCCATGCGACTTTAGGGGAAAGGATCCCCGTCCGACTCGGTTGTGTTGCGAACAACAGCCGGCCTAACTGCGCACGTACGTACATGCGACCACGCGTAGCAGCAGCGAAGGGAGGCCTGAATCCCGCGAGTCAGGATGGGATCCATGCTAGAGAAATGAGAAATGCGAAATGCGACCGGTCCGAATACCTACAGGGTACCACCCTCCAAGGTGCTGTGCCGCAGTACCGTTGAATGTCCGCTACCCCCCCGTCTTGCCACTCTCTTTCTCCCAGCCCTCCTCCTGTCAGTGCCGCGTGTCAGTTGTAGCTTATCTAGCACTTGTACTCTAGCCCTCCTCCGCCCGGGGTCATCCCGATGGCCTCCACCAGCGCTGGCCCTAGCACAGGTCTAACAGGCTGACTTGACCCGCTCGGGAAAGCTTGCCGTTACACACCTCAGCCTCTGTGACTGTTCTCGCTCCTTGTTTGGATCAATGCCCCTGTCCTCGTCTCCCCTCCCCTCCCATATCTCAGCCCTGAAACAGCTGCGTGTGTCCGATGCATCCCTGCCTGGATAGTCGCTCGGCATGCTAAACAGCAGCACTAGGTCCGGTAGTGGCGTTAGCATTCTGTACCTGCAATAACTGTTTTGATCTTTTCTGCATCTCGGTGAATATTGCAGCTGCTGCGCTGGCCGTGCGAGTATATTAGGCTGTTGCTCCGTCCGTCTGCCCAGTCCCTCACGCCGGTCGCGATCGTCGCAACCAAATTTCACCATGGAGTCGTACGAACTGAAACACCGGGCTACCACGGCCAACCGTGACGTGCCTGATGGGGGCAACCTCAGGGATGCCCGCGATGACATGGACCTCGCTCGGCTGGGCAAGAAACCGGTCCTCAAGGTATGCAGCGTATCCTCCGCGGTGACAGCCTCGACTAACCCGTCCGGCTGGTCCTTTGCAGCGAACCTTTGGCATTCTCTCCCTGATCGGATTCAGTTGTACCATCCTGGGTACATGGGAGGGTATCTTATCGTAAGGCTTGACTCGATCTCTCTGCCCTCTAATACTGCTAACATGAGGATAGGACCTTCACCATCCCTCTCGAGAAGTCGGTCCCCCCGGAACACCTCAAGCACACATGATCAGCGCTGACGGGAAACAGTGGTGGCTCTGCGGGTGCCGTATACTCCTTTCTCTTTGCATGGACGGGCACAGGCTGTACCTTTGTGCTTCTATCGGAGCTGGCCTCCATGTAAGTCGTTGTGGATGGGGATAGCTAGACTCCGTGTTCTGACCTTCCAGGGCGCCGACATCCGGAGGCCAATACCACTGGTGCGCCATGCTGGCACCGCCGCGATACATGAAATTCCTCAGCTACATCTCCGGTACGCTTCTCCCTGCCCGTGTCGCGATAGCCTTACTGACCCGTCGCAGGATGGTTGACTGTCATCGGATGGCAAGCCGGGTTCGCGTCATCGGCCTACATGGCCGGTACGGAGATCCAGGGTGCAATGGTTCTGGGCAATTCGCTTTACAAAGCGCAAGGATACCAAGGCACACTGCTCATGTGGGCCGTGGTTGTGGTCGGCCTAGGAGTCAATCTCATCGGCGGACGGTTCCTGTCTCGCCTGGAGTCCTCCATCCTCATCATCCACATCCTGGGGTACTTCGCCGTGCTTATTACGATCACCTACATGGCCGACCACAAGTCCGCCAAGGACGTCTTCACGGCATTCAACAACGGCGGAGATCTCTACACGGACGGCCTATCCTTCTTCGTGGGTATGACCGGATGTGTGTTCGCCTTCGCTGGCGGTGACGCCGCTGTGCATGTCGGTCTCCTCTTCCATCCCCAGGCTCCCTCCCCTCGCCACCCACTAACCGTCAATAGATGGCTGAAGAAGTCAACAACGCCTCCGTCGCAATCCCCCGATCCATCATGCTCACTGTCGTCATCAACGGCACCCTCGGTTTCTCCATGCTGATCGCCGCCCTCTTCTGCATGGGCAGCCTCGAAGCCGCACTCAAAACACCAACGGGATACCCGTTCATGGAAATCTTCCAACAAGCGACCGGCTCCTCTGCTGGAGCTCTCGGGTTGACCTCCATTCTGGTTATCATCGGCATCTTCGCCGCACTGGGCATGTTAACGGCCACCTCCCGTCAATTCTGGTCCTTTGCCCGAGACCGTGGCGTTCCCGGGTGGCGCTTCTGGAGTCACGTACGTCCTGCCTCTTCTCTTCCCCTCTCTCTTCCCCTTCCCCCGCAAGCCCTAACTTGAACCTCCAGGTCTCCACCCGCAACTTCCTCCCCACCTACTCTATCTACCTCACGATGACAATCTGCTGCCTCCTGGGCCTAATCAACATCGGTTCCGCCCTCGCCCTAAACGACATCGTCTCCATGGCCGTCTCTGGCCTCTACACCTCGTACCTGATCGTCGCTGTGCTGCTCTTCTGGCGTCGGGCGACCGGCGCCATCGCCCCCTACAGCGACAGCGAAGACATGGTTGTCAACGTCCCCGGCGCAAAGCTCATGTGGGGTCCCTTCCGTATCCCCGGTATCTGGGGCATCTTGATCAACGGCTACGCGATCATCTATATCCTCATCGTCATCTTCTTCAGCTACTGGCCCACTGCCCTGCCGGTTACCGTCAGTGGAATGAATTATAGTGTGGTGGGGACGATGGGGACGGTTATTTTGGCGGTGGTTTATTATGTTGTTCGTGCGAGACATGTATATACGGGTCCGATTGTTGAGATTTCGTGAGGGTGAGATGAGAGGGATGGGGGTGGTAAGTGGTAAGGAAGGTGGGCGAGGGTGACGCGAAAGGGGTGGTTCCCCCTGCTTCTGCTTTGCTTTCTTATTTTCCGGTGCATCTAACCTGTCGAGAGCATTTCCGGTGTTGAGAATTGTATATAAAAGGTTTAGTCACTATCTTTTTCTAATGTCAGCATATTCTACTCTGTTTGTGAATGCGTTGCTGAATCTGTGTGTACTCGAACAGCTCATAAGCTCAAATTAGCTCAGTACTGCAGAATTCATAGCCCTCGGCTTCATTCTTGTCCGGACATCCAATGTTCTCCAATTCCAATTGTCCGTCCAACGTGCCACCACTACCCCCCTACAGGGATGGACGTGCCGGTAGAATTGTGGCGTTTTCATCGGTGGCAATCGATATGGCACGATATCCTATATCTATATCTCGATACTAACCAGCCGGTGTTAAAATACCGTTTTATTGCTGAACGAATGGCACATCTTCCTCTACATCATGATGTGGCGGCCTGGTCATTTCATTAACTAAAGCCGCGGGTGAAGAGCGGTATGCGGGCACGGGAGATATATTTAAAACCGGCCAAGCCACATTCGCTGTTTCTGATCATATGTGTTTATCCAATAGTCCCTCAGGTTGGGATCCCGTAATAACTGCTCAGATTCCTTAGGAACAGGAGATTGATTGATTTGGTTATTTTATACAGATTGGAGATATTGAAGCAAGTGACCGTATCTTGCGCGAAGTAAGCCTGTCCCTAGACCAATTGAGGATGGAGTTGTTTGCTTGGCTTATGATGTTAAAGTTATGAGCCCACTTCATCAGCAAAGGGGCTGTGGTTTAGTGGTATAATATTCCCTTAGCATGGGAGAGGTCCGGGGTTCGATTCCCCGCAGCTCCAGCTGTTTCTTTTTGTTTTCTTTTTGTCCCTTTGATATGGCCGTCGGGAGAGTGAGGGGTGCAGTGGAGTGAGTGGATCCGCTCTTTCTGTGCTGATTTATGTATGGTCTTGCGGTTGAAGAGAGGGGGGGGGCGGGGTTATAATTTTGTTGAACTTAAAGTATTGATTCTTAGCACTTTTTTCTGTAGTCCAGGAAGGGAATCAAAGTACCATGGCAGACATTCTATGCTCGTGAGTTTGTTATCCCTGTTGCTGAGCGTTTGCGAACTTTTTTCCAGCAAATGCTAGACGAGGATGAATGTGGGTTTGCAGCAGGACTCTCAGATAGATACATAGATTGTCTGCTAACGAGAATATCCACCATACATGACTCGTCACCAAGAGGCCCTTTCCGGATGTAGTCAGAGTACTGCCATCTCATTTTGAGAAAAGCCTCTGCGCATTTTCGAAATAGACCATCTTCCGCAACTCCTCGTCCATAGCAAACGCATCGAGATTCTCCCGGTATCCTGCTACTTTGATCGGCGGCGCATTCGGATAATCAGATCCTATATACTCGTCAGAATGAACCGATTTCAATCATAGCCACACGCACCGTAAAGAATATGCTCATGGGGCACCAGATCCATCAACAGATTCAAAACAGCCGGAGCACTCGACAGCGCCAAGTCATAATAGAACGAACGAAGAGCATCCATGAACTCGAAGTAGGTCTTCCCGTACGGCCCCTTCTGGCTCATCGTCTCTTCCGATGTCACCGCCAGCCTGGAAATAAGATACGGCAGGGTTCCACCAGCGTGAGAGAGGATCTTCGGGCAGTTCGGGAACTGCTGCGTGACATTATTGACAATCATGTCCACCGCCGTCCGGGTCGTCTCTTGCGGGAAATCAAGCATCGGCGGCGGCATAATCGGATCAATCCAGTTCTTATCGGCCGGCATGGTCGGATGGATCAGAACCACTGCCTTCCGGGCATCCAGCTCCCTCCACACCGGTGTGAACTGCGAATGGCCGAGGTAGTTGTTCCCGTCGCCGTATCGGGTAAACACCGTGACGCCGTCGGCTTGCAGGACGTCGAGCGCGTATTCGATCTCGGCGAGGGTACCGGGGATATCCAGGAGTGATGGTAAGGCTGCCAGGAACCCGAATTGCTCCGGATACCGATCGCGAATGTTCGCGGCATATTGGTTGGCTTCTCGAGCGAGAGCGCGTATGGATTCATTATCACCGGCAATAACTGCCCCGGGTGTTGTCAGGGAGAGGATGGCTCTTCGGACGCCGTTTGCCTCCATGTCATTTAGGGAGTCTTCGACCGTCCACGCGGGGACTGGCAGTCCGGTTGGGTCGCCACCTGCATCTTCTACGGCTGGATGTCGTTGGGGTTAGCTCAGGTCTCTGGTTTCGGGGCATCAGGTGCCTACCCTGGCGATAAAATTCGGGGACAAAGTGGTGGTGGGTATCGATCTTCGGAGGGAGTTGATGGGCCATGGCGAGGCTGGCATGTCTTGAAAGGCGGGGGAAGATGCCGAGGAGTCCGACAAGGTGCGTGAATGCGCCTGAAAAGATCTGCATTCCCAATGACAGGGGTCCTGTTGGCATTCACATGCAGTCAGTCACCTCCTGTGGGGGGTGTTGGTACTCAAGTAAGAGTGGAAGCATGTTAGGAGCAGTTTCAGTAGTGGATGATGGACGCTGTACATCTGTCGAGTTCATCCCTTGCATGACACTGTTGGACCAGCCCGGGCTGAATGAATATATACCTCAGCCGTCTGCATGTGGTTCCAGTACAGAATAGCAACCAGAACTTGAGTCAATGTTCGACTCCCTGAGGAAGACCTTTAATTTTTTTTTTAAAGCCATCATCCTCCTACCATAGGACACGAAAATCACTCTTCCCCGCCCATGTACTAATTGAGAGACATCCGAGTCGGGCAAAGAAGAGACTAAGCACCAACATCAGCCGCTCTGCTCATGTTGTCAAACATCTGCCTGAACTTCAGCAAATGGGGCTGTGGTTTAGTGGTATAATATTCCCTTAGCATGGGAGAGGTCCGGGGTTCGATTCCCCGCAGCTCCATTACTTTTTTGTTTTTTGCTCCTGTTTCATGCCATTGATTGTCTCCACTGAAGCTGTCGAGGGCCGTTCCGTGTGTCTCGCGTGGCCAATCACAGCCGCTACCCGACGGTCCGGATTGCCCCGCGGGTCGAGTCCGGTTTCTCCCGATCGCTCCAATGTGGCTGGTGAATGGCAGGAAGATTCATGACTGCAGCCCAGGAACTTTCCCCCTGACGATGTCCAATTTAGCCCCTCTAAATTCGCCAACATCACTGCCAAACATGTCCCGATCACCATCACCTGTACATATCTTCCCCGAACCCTGCCAAGACTTGGTATCGTCGAGATTGCCCTCAATCATGGCTCAATCAGCCAGCCAGGAACGAAAGAAACTCTGGCCACGCACCATAACCACGGACGCAACAGTCCTGCATTCTCCTGAATTGACTCACCCGGCTTCGCCCATCAATATTCAATCTTATGGGAAACGCAATCAGGATTTCCTACCCCCAAACAATGCCTCTATTGACAGCTTTATCGAAGAGGTTATTTATTCCCCTGCAAGCAATATGCCCTTCGCCCCGATGCCAGCCATTTGCCACGACTAGAAACCCAACAGACAGATTGTGGTCAGAACCGCGATGAAACGCGGCAGTCCTACCCCATGACTACAGCTTGTCCTCCGCTGTTGTGGCCCAGAATAATGAAACAAAGCCACTGTGTAACACCGCACCCAACTGACAGCCTTGATTGGTGCAATGGGCTGGGCTCTCATGGGTCTGCATTGATCCTTGCCATCGTTTGCTCATGGCAGCCAGATAGCGTGGCTGGGCGCGTTGCACCGGGCCCTCTGCGCCGGATAAAGCCAGAAAACTGGCTTGCGTCATACAACTTAATCCGCTGAAATCCCAAAAGCTTTGGACCTTTTTTTTCTGGTCGGGACTCTGTCTGCGTGGTTACTGTTACTCGACCTGGTCTGCGTGCCCAGGTCCGGTTCAAGATGGGTTCTGTAGACTTTTGGCGCAGGGCTATATCCTTCGTTTGCATCTTACCGAGTCTCCGTTATCCACTCGTTGCTCGTGCCGAGGGATTTACTTTCCCTACAGAAAAGGCGGATGAGTTCATCACCGGAGACCTCGTCAATGTGTCCTGGAATGTGGTGACATCGCGCATGTCGCTCTATGAGGTCTGCAGCTCAACAACTCCCCTGGAATGTGAGTGAACTCGAGACTTTAACATCTGGCCATGATCAGATGCCAGATCACTGATGGCTACATGCATGGGTAGTAAACATCACGAATAACTATAGTTACGTCTGGACTGCGACCCGCGACAACTATAGAGAATCAGGCTGTGCCTTTGAGCTCGAACCGCTTGATCAGTTTGGAGCCCCTAACCCCCCGAATCTGACCAGTGGTTTGTTTGGAGTGAGCAAGCGCTATCGCGACGATCCTGCCCCGACTTCCTATAATTTTGCAGATGCGACCAATACTATGGAACCCTCTTCACCTGCAATCTATTCACTTGAATCATATCCATCCGCATCCTCTTCGTCGTCATCCACATTCACACCAACGTCCACATCCGCGTCCTCTTTCCCGCCCTCTACATCCTCCTCACATTCAACCTCTTCCCTGTCGTCTGTGTCCTTTGCGTTTGCATCCTCTCCACACTCATCGAAGTCCTCCTCATCTTCGTCAGTTTCCTCACCTTCCCCAGCCACCACCGCCAACCCCTCAAACGCAGCAGTCGACACACCCCCTCCCCCAAATATCTCCACATCAACCCCAGAAAAGGCGAAGAAATCCGAACTCAGCACTGACCAAAAAGAAGCTATTGCCCTGGGCGTTCCACTCGGTTTCCTAGCCATCTGTCTAGCTGGAGCTCTTGCCATTATGTGTCAGCACCGCTGGAAAAAGACAACCAGAAGAGAGAAACAAATTGCTCTGGGACCAGTCATGGTCGAAATGGTGAAGGATTCGTCCGAAAGCTGTGTGATCCGGTCCAGGACGAACCTCGTAGAGTTGCCGGCTCCGAGCTACGGGTCCGAAGAGATGAATGTGGCGGGTGTTTGGCGCATTAGCGAGTTGATGGGCACGCCGAGGAATGAAATCCAGTGAGGATATACCACGTGGGCTGTGACTGTGGCTGGGGGTTAATCAATGGGCTTAATGGGCTATTTAGGGGTGATAGTGTAATAGTAACTTGGTATATAACAGCGGTCATTCCTTCAATATACCCAATTCAAGTGTTTAGCATCTCAAAATCATCCAGTCTTCGTGCTTGTCTTTCCGTAGCAAAATATTGTTCGCATCATTCAGATTGCAGAACGATACTGCCTACCAGGAAAAAAAAAAAAAAAAAAAAAAAAAAAAAAAAAAAAAAAAAAAAAAAAAAACTTATAATAGCATCAGCCCAAACTCAAGATAGAGCTTAAGGCTTAACTTCATACAGATCTAAGCTAGTATGATGAGTGGCAGGCTTTACTGCCAGTACTCAATAGAGCTGCTAGAACTGGTGGCGTGGATCGTTCAAAATGGCCCCATAATGCAGCAGGTTTTATTTCCTGTAGCAGAAACTTGGCCAATGGTCAACACAACCCACAAGCCATGTGGCTGCGGCTTTGCTACTAGTCCGGGATTTTTGGCCCCCAGACTGAGACATGAAAAGACCTTTTTTAGAGTGTAAACACCACGAAAGCGTCATTGCAAACATGCTCCTTTCAAATAAATTCTGGTCACTCTAGTTCCGCTCAAATTCAGTAGAGCCTTCCTCAAGAGGTTACATGGAACACCGAGTACATTGGTTATCTTATTTTCATAGCCCAGCCAATTAAGATTTCCTTGCTATCACCGGCCGCAAGAGCCTCGGAGCAAGCAACGAGTTTATTTAAACAGAAAGGTCATGGAAGAAGGCCCGGTCCGCGTCGATCTAGCGTGTCAGCACCAGGAACATGCCATGAAGCAATTGCCCTTTTCAGCGCCTCGTATCCACTCCACCAATACTAGTACTTGCATGGGGCGAGATATTCGGCCACACCTCCTCGTGCGTTCCCAGTCCGACTCTCTTGAGTGGTCAAATCCAACGGCATTACGGCTCAGGATGTACGGCATGAAACACAGGGTATCACCGTGGCGGAATTCCACAGAATGGCCCCCAACCCGGAGAGACAATCACCCCCGACTTGCATCCAGCACAGCTACACTATATAATAAAGCACCAGTTCAGTTTCCAATCCCCCCATTCTCAATCCACCAACACCACTGAAACCCACCAACCCACCATGCAGCTCCTCAACTTCCTATACCTGCTGGCATCCGTCCAGCCCATCCTCGCCACCTCCCTCATCAACTTCTCCGCTGCGGCGGGCGACAACCCCTCCACCCTCGGCATCCTCGACCTGGAGGAAGCCCGCGGCGACAAGATCTCCTCCAACATCGCGGACCTCTATGCCAAACTGGGCACCGATTCCAAAGGCACGGCGGCGCTCCACTACCACCGCAAAGAGGGCTATATTCGCGCCGAGTACCACGCGTTATCCAACAAGCTTGAGGATGATAAGACATACTACATCGGATATAAGTTCTCTCTGGGGGTAATCGAGGAGAGTTTGATGATTTTTCAATTGTACCACGCCCGCCGTGCCTCGTTACCATTGCCATTATAAGCATCGCGTCCGTACTAACACCCCCCCAGCAAAGCCTACGAAGGCAACGACGCCACCACCGGCGGCGCCAACATCCCCCTCTCGCTCGAATTCAAGAGCGGCCAACTCCACTTCCAATACCAGGCCGATTACTCGGCCCAACGCGAGCCGCAGTGGTCCAAGACCCTCGACACAGACACCGTCTACTCCGCCGGCATCGTCATCCACACCGGCAAGCCCGGCTGGGTGGAGTTCTACTTCGACGGCGAGCAGCAGACCTTCTCGACGTCCAAGTCCACGAAACTGGTCGCCAATACCTGGGATGGTCGTAATGAGCCAAAGTTCGGGGCTTATCGGGGCGAGGCAGTGGAGATTAATACTTACGTTTATAATGTGCAGATTGGGACGGAGTTGAGTGATATTGAGGAGGCAGCGGGTTTGACGTCCTCGGCTGGGGGGTCTACGTCTACGACTTCTGCTACTTCGTCGGCTGCTTCGGTGACGGCGACGTGTTCTTGGGAGGGTCATTGTGCGGGTGAGTAGTTTGCCATGGTTGTGTGGATGATATGAGGCTAATGTGTATAGGTGCTTCGTGTGAGACGTACAATGACTGTTCTGATGATCTTGTCTGCACTGATGGGGCTTGTGCTTCGCCTTGAGGGAATGTGCATTCTTGACGGCTCCGGAGGGATTTTCGAGGTTCTGATAATTCTAATTGTCAAATTTACAAGGTGAACCGTGTGCAGTGTGATGGAAATAGTTTAATACCAAGTTGAGGTTTTCATGGGATGGGATGTTCCAGAAATAGACACCGTGTGGCCATTATAGAGATATTCGAGACCGGAGAGGTGGAGGAAATACAGCCCGTCAACACTAGATCATTTGCAGTTCAATAACTAATATGAATGGGGGAGTGAGTGTAACAACACCGATTCATCAAGCTTCTGGCCAGTTGCCCCGACTGTGTTACTCAACCCACATGCCCCACTAGATGAGGCGTTAATCAAATCATTCACTCTCTTTGAAAGATTTTCAACACTAGCTACAATTTCCAATCTCGATTTACCACTATTCCTACCACTCTCGAATACTCATCCCATCAGAAAATGCAATCCCACCCCAAAGAGTCGCGATCCATTGAACCAGCCTACCTGGCAACTATGACAAAAGAAACTCATGAATTGCATTAATTACGTCTTAACGGTATGATCCTCCGCCGCCGGAATCTCCACAAGCCCCTTCCTGTCCTTCGTACGCCACTGAATCGCGCTCAGGATCCCATACAGCACCGCCAACGTCGGCATGGGCACCCCCCTGGCCTTCCCCTCCTTTAGCGCCTCCCCGACAATATTCTCATACTCAGTAAACCGCCCCTTCCGCACATCTACCTGCATACTGGGCGGGTTTTACATCGTGATGGGATCCATGGTGATCATGCAATCCACCAGCTCAGCCGGCAGATCATGACCACACGCCTTCGCAGCCGCACGGATCTCCTCCATAGCCGGGCGGACCAGATCATCAATGGCCCCGTCGGCCAGCTGGATCTGTCCCGTGTCCAGGTCCGTGATGGCGCAGATGGAGTTCAGACACGCGTTGTACAGCAGCTTGCGCCAGCGACTGAAGCCCACGTTGGCGTTGAACTCGGGCTTGCATTTCCCGCCAGCGCCGTAGATCGCGCAGAATTCTTGCGCCGCTTCGTCTTCCTCGGTGCTGTTGAGCTGCGGGTTCCGGAAGGCGCCCACGTATAGCTCGTCGTCGTCCTCGTGTATGATCTTCCCTGTCGCGACCTCGTGTGATCCGCAGAAACTGACGCCCGACAGCACGATGTTGGAGGGGAATGCGGCGATCAGGGGTTTCTCGATGTTCAGTCCGTTTTGGATCAGAACAATCCTTGTGTAGCCTGGCGTGACGGCGGGCTGGATGAGCTCCGCTACGGTCGGGGGCACATCGGGGTAGTTCTTGGCTGTGACGATGATGTATCGGTAGGGCGGGAGGTTCTCTTCCTTGACATCGGGGATGGTCTTGCGTACTGTTTTGGGAGTTAGTCAGTGGGGTTGGTATTTGTGAGGGGGGTGTTTTAAGGGTTGAGGCATACGGGTGGAGGGGCGGAATTCCTCGACCTCGCCGTGGTCGACGGATTTGATGGAGAAGCCGTGAGCTTTGACGTGCTCATAGTTCAATCGCAGGACGGCCGTGACTGCGACCTTGCCACCTGTCTCGAGGTTCAGGGCACTGATGGTGCCGATGCCACCGCAGCCGATCAGAAGGATATTCGCCTTGTCTTGCATTTTGTGAGTGGGGAGTGATGTAAGGTTGGTGAAGCTCCTAGCCTGAATCGAAACAATATTTCTGTTGAGGGGCAGGAGGGACATTTCCTCCGCATCCCAGGTGCATTGACCTGCCTGGATGGAGTGGCTTTCTCCATGGAGACAGACTAGTATTCTGGTATCAGATTATGAATGGGGTCATCAGGGCTATCGGCCGTGCACCGGCAGCGGCGTGATAAACCCACTTTTGACCCCGCTGCGGATCGTCCAAAAGGGCAGGCCATTCCGGCCTCACTTGCCTGCCCTGAGGACCTTCGAGTCGTGGTCTTTGGGACGGTTGGCCATGGTGATGTGTGATTGGTGTGATTAATGAGTGGTGGATAGATGGTTGTGTTGTGTTGGTGCGCTATATATAACCCCTGCAAGAGGGGGGCGTCGATACCACCTGCAAATCGACTTGAACACCACTTTCCACGATTGCGACAGGTCTGGACTGACACGATCAGATAGGGCACGACACAGAAGCAAGCAATCAATCACTCGGTCACTCAATTGATCATGCGGGAAATGCGGAGTCGTCAATGCGAGCAGTGCAGGCAGGCCGTTCCGCGGGGCAAGTCTCCCTGGGCCCCCCCAAACAGGAAGGTCGATGCATCACGACGATAAGATCGGAGTGACGTGGATTTAAGTATCAGTCAGACTAAGACTAGACTAGACGGAATATATGATCGGATCCACCGCATGTCAGCTGCAATCCGTGCAATTGACTCATCCTCATCCTCACAATGGCACGCTCCTCCGTCCAGCCTGTCCTCACCACCTCCGCCTACTACGCCCCCGGCGTCATCTCGCCCGCAGGCAAACTGCTACACGTCTCGGGCCAGACAGGCACCATCGACGGCCATGCGCCCTCCGACTACAACTCCCAGATCCACCTCGCGCTGGTCAACCTCCACCGCGTGATCACCGCCGTGGGCGCCACCCCCCGCGACGTCGTCAAGCTGACCCTCTACATCGTCAACTACGACCCCAACAACCGGCTGCACACCCGCCCCGTCCAGACATGGCTGGCCGGTCACCGTCCTGCCATGTCCCTCGTCCCCGTCCCCAAACTGGCCCACCCGGACTGGCTGTTCGAGATCGAGGCCACCGTCGCCGTGCCGGACGCCCTGTCGGTGCCTGCCTCCCTCTCCCCGGCCGTGGATGAGGAGACCGACGTGCTGGTCATCGGAGCCGGTCTGTCCGGTCTGATGGCCGCCGAGACGGTCCTCCAGGCCGGACACCGCTGCATCGTGCTGGAGGGTCGCGATCGCGTCGGCGGAAAGACATGGACGTGTCCGCTGCCCAGTGGAAACGGCGTGGTCGATCTGGGCGCTGCCTGGATCAACGATACCAACCAGACCATGATGACCGAGTTGGCTCGGCGGGCAGGTGCTGATCTGATCGAGCAGAACACCGTGGGCAATTGTGTCCTGCAGCGAGAGGACGGGGCTCTTACGATCTTCCCTTACGGACAGACTCCTCGGGTATGTACAAGACAGAAGCCACTCCTACGCGCCGTACTGACAAATTAGATCACCGCCGCAATCGAAGCAGAAATCGAAGCCATCCGCGACACCGCCGAAGCAGACTGCCAGGCCGTGGACTGCAGCCGACCCCGCGACGCCAGCCTGGACTCCATGTCCTTCCTGGCATACCTACACTCACGCAACGCCACACCCGCCGCGGTATCCAACGCCTCCGTCTGGACGCGCGCCATGCTCGGCCAGGAACCCCAAGACATCTCGGCCCTGTACTTCCTGAACTACTGCAGGTCCGGCGGCGGACTGCTGCAGATGCGATCGGACCGCAAGCACGGCGCGCAGTACCTGCGGGTGCGCCAGGGCACACAGATCTTCGCGAAGACCATCGCCGCCGCGCTGCCCGCGGGGACTATCCGGCTGGGCCAGCGCGTCACGGCCATCACGCAGACGGAGCGCGGATCCGCCCTGGTCGAGGCGAATGGCCGGCTCATCCGCGCCCGCAAGGTCATCTGCTCCGTGCCCACCCCGGTATTGAAGTCCATCCGCTTCGAGCCCCCCCTGCCACCCCAGAAACAGCTGCTGGTCGACTCGTTCCGGTACGGGTATTATACCAAGATGATGCTCTCGTTCCGGACGGCGTGGTGGGTCGAGCGCGGGTTCTGTGGGCTGGCGCAGTCGTTCCAGGGCCCCGCGTCCATCTATCGCGACACGAGTGTCCCGGCGGAGGGGAAGTGGATTCTCACGGCGTTTCTGGCGGGCGATGTCGGACGCGAGTGGTCCAAGCTGGCGCAGCATGATCGCGAGCAGGCGCTGCTGAAGCAGCTCGGCGAGATGTATGGCGTGCCGGGGGTGCCGGGGGTGCCGGCGGGCGAGTTCCTCGAGGCGTTAGGGCACGAGTGGTCGGGCGAGGAGCTGTCGGGCTGGGGCTGTCCCTGTCCGGCGCTGCCGCCGGGGGTGTTGAGTGCGGCGGGCGAGGCGCTGCGGGAGCCGTTCCGCGAGGTGCATTTCGTGGGGACGGAGACGGCGGAGGAGTGGAAGGGGTATATGGAGGGGGCGGTGCGCAGTGGACGCAGGGGAGGGCTGGAGGCTGTCAAGTGGCTGGGACGGAGCGGTTTGTAGAGACGAAGAAGTGTTCGTGATTGTGTTCTTGTGTTATTTGTGGTGCTGGCTAGCCGGATAAACCCTCGCCGAGCCGAGATCAGATCCTCTTCCTCCCTTCGTGCATCCTTCCTGGAATTAAGACCCTGGATTAGTCCACCCGTATGCTGATGTGCCATTAATTGGTCGATTCCCGCCAGATTCCCCCCCAGAGCGCGTCTCCGACCGTCTACTCGTATCCCCGCCGAGTCTCTCCATCTCCCCCCATACTAACCAACCCTGCCTAGTCACTCTGCATCACCTCTGAGTCCTCACTCAGCCATCTCCCCTGTCCTCTCCCCAGTCCTTTCTCCAGATTGTCCTCCAGATTGTACTCCGGTTCCTCGCGACTGTGCTTCCCAACACCCACCCGTCCTCAACCCGCGTCACCTAATCCCGCAGTGCAACCCACCCGACCACGAGTCCGCGTGATGGCTATACCGGGATAAGTTTCTGAGGATGGTCTGAGTGTCGGTGCGGGTGGCAGAGGTGGGATAATCTGAAAGTGGAAGCTGCTGAGATAGAGCATCGCAGCGTTTCGTGGGTTATATTTGCGCAGAGTGCTGTCTGCAGTAGGCGTACAGCAGGATTATCGGGGAGAGTCGCACACCCAACTGAAGGTGCTCATGGCATGCCGAATCGAAATGCTCGGGATGTTGCTTCTGGATGGATGTCAGCGCATCGAAGCCGCAGCTAAAGCCCTGTAGATCCAAACAAGCACGCGATCAGCAGTATTACCCCCCTTACAAACACAGGAATCCATGACCGGCATCGATTATCATAACATACAGCATAGCTCGGTATATACATGCACATGCAACCATGAGTATCCATCAATCAGCATCCTACCCCGAGCCGGGCAACGGGAACTCATTCCCGGGCACGAAGCCTTCCACGATCTGCGACTGACTCGACCCGCGAATCTTGAACTCCCTCCCCAGTCCCACCACCTGGAGGACACCCATCTCGTGCTCCTGGAACCGAAACGGTCCGATAATCAGATCGCGCCCGCCATCCCAGTCGCAGTAATCGAACACATGCACCGTGTACTGCACCGTGGCTGTCCCCGCGACGCGATCCGCCTCATCCATCCGCACCACCCCCGTCACGCTGAAGACGAATCGCCCCAGCGCCAGATACCAGTCCCAGCTCTGCTCGCTGGTGGCCGTGTATTCGTGCCAGAAGCTGGTGAAGGTGACCGCGCCGTGTCCGCCCATGACGAGGGAGCGGTAGGCCAGCCGCGCTTTGAATTCGGCGAGCTGGTGCACTTGGGCCCGGAACTGCGGCATCGCTTGCATCATTTCGTCGACCGGGACGGTGGCTTCGGCGCCCGTGTTGGAGAGGAAGTGTTGCACGTAGTGTGCGAAGTTGGGTTGCCCCTGGTCATGGGCTTGTCGGGCCAGCCCGTATAGGGTTGTGCGGTCGACGTGGTTGGCCGCGCTGGCGATGCGGGAGCGCCATGGGTAGAACGGCGAGGTGTCGGGTTTCGGGGGTCGGAGGGGGGGAAGGGCAGCGCGTAGCCGTAGAGGGGGGAGGCGGTGATAGAGACGAGGAAGAGGCACAATGCGAGGAGTATTCGCATGGTGGCGGTTGTGCGGGGTGTGAGGTGAGGTGAGGTTGTATAGAGGGAAGAGTTTAGGATGGCGACATCGTAGGCAAGATGGTGCAAGTGCAAAGGCAAGAATCCTCCGGGGATCTGGCAGAGGCAGAAGCAGAAGCAGTGGCAGGCTGGCCGACCCAACGACCGACAGAGCCAAGATCATCCCGCGATGCGGCATTAAAAGTAGAAACGGGGACTCGTTATTAAGGGCCTGCTTCATTCTTCTCAAACGGATCGGCGACGGCAGTGGAGATTGCGGCCGGAATGCGCCTATCGCAGCCCTTCCTCAGCCCTATTCCCCCCTCTGGGCCCGCTGATCTTGCGGTTTCAGGATGACCGTCCGCCGTTTAGCTAATGCGATATTACGAGTCAAGGGCTGTGTCCCTTGTCCACTGTCCACTCCGTCCACGGTTCTCTTCAGTCCCTGCAGTCGAGTCCCTGAGGCTGAGTCCCTGAATCCTTCAGCCTGAGTCCCTGCAGTTCAGTCCCTGTCAGACCCTACAATTCGTCCCTGGCTGTCTGCCGTGCCGTGCCCTCACCCTCACCCTCACCCTCACCCTCACCCTCGCTCTGGCTCTGGCTCTGGCTCTCCAAAGTCTTCTTCACCATCGCTGCCAGAATATCCACGATCAGATCTGCCGCTGCCACGGATGTGGTCTCCGCGGCGGAGTCATACGGCGGACTGACTTCGACGACGTCGGCCCCGACCAGATTCAACTCCTCCAGCCCCTTGATGTACCGTTTCAGCTCGCGCGTAGTCCACCCGCCGGACTCGGGGGTGCCCGTCGCGGGCGCAATGCTGGGATCGAGCACTGCCATCGTCAACACCCAGCATACATATCCCACCACCCCCTTTGCCTCTTAAATAGAAAAAGAAAAAAGAAAGGAGGAAAAAAAAAAGAAGACACACCATCAATATCAATGGACAAATAAACCGGATTATTCCCCACAACGGCGAGCGTCCTCTCCACAATCCCCCCCACCCCAATCTCATCAATCTCATGGGCCTCAATACGATGAAACCCCACCACGTGCTCATCGATCTCATAATCCCTCTCACTGAACAACTTCGTCCTCAGCCCCCCATGCACACTCCGTCCAGCATCAATACACCCCTCCCGGGCCGCATGCCAGAAGAACGTCCCATGGGTGATAGCCGACTGCGCGGACGCGATACCGGTATACCCCGCCCCAGGGTCCCAAGTATCCAGATGCGAATCCAAATGGATGACCGAGATAGGACCGTAGATGCTTTTCAGGGAGCGGAGGATGGGAAGAACGATGGAGTGGTCGCCGCCTAGGCTGATAATGCGGGGGTGGGGGTGCGTGGAGGGGGTGGTAGTGCCGTGGTGCAGGATTTGCCGGTAGCCTTGTTCCATCTGCTTGAAGGCGTGCGAGGCGTCGAAGGGTGTGATCGGGATGTCGCCGCAGTCGATTATGCTGAGGGGGGTGGAGTAGGGGTCGATGCCCCAGATCGGGTTGTAGCTGCGGCCTTTCTTTTCGCGCGACGAGCCTGCTCGGATCCCTCGCGGGCCGAAGCGGGCGCCTGGTCGATAAGAGGTGCTGGTGTCGTAGGGGAAGCCGAGGATGGCGATGTCGAGGGGCTGTGGGGGGGTTAGTTGGATAGGTGGAGGGGTGGAGGGGGTGGAGGGGATGGAGATGGGGGGGGGCGTACGGTGGTGTGGTCGGCAGAGAGACAGCGTTGCCATTCTAGATGTGCGAAAGTGACCGGTTGGGAGAACGGCAGGTCTTTGTCCAGGTCTGTAGAAGTGAGGTTAGCTTGATATAGAGGTAGAGCTGAAGGGGGCGTCTACCCTCGAGAGGATGCGGGTAGTCCGCCCCGACATGGAGGGCGGATATGGTGGAAAGCGTGGACAGAAGGGCGAAGAACTTCATTCCAACGGTTGATGCAACACCTTCAACCTGGGTGCAGATGGCAAATTAAATATCCCACCGCGGTAGGACTTGCCTCGGGGGATGAATACAACAGGCATCCCCGCACCTTATCAGTGGAGGTGGAGCGGGGAAGTGCCGGATCGTCCGACGAGACGTTTGCCTATCAAGTTGCCTACGGAGGATGAGAAAGTGCTAAGAGTTCTTGTTTTCCCTCAGCGATTTTCCATTGCCATAATATAATTGACCGATAATAATTCCACACTCGATTCGCAGAGCTAAAGCAATGGTAAAAGTTTCAAAAAACCTGCAAGAACACACGCATCAAAAACAAAAAAAAAAAAAGCGAATAGAAATCATAACCTTGCCTCGAGAGGGCCGTCTCCGCCTTATACTAAAGCCGAATACTTTACTTGGGCCTACGGGCAATTATAAAAGACTTCTGTAAATACCTTATAGATGACCGGCTGGAAATAGCTATATATTGCTTGAACCTGTCATCATGGTTTTTTATTCATATTTTAGTTAGAGCTTGACAATGTCTATATACACAGCCAGTCGTCCGAGACTTCACTACCAGCTATTGATCCTGATATACTCCGTCGCGGTGACAGGATTCGTCCGCCCAAGGACCCTATTCTCTGCATCCACAGCCTCCGCATAATACGCCCCCGACTTTGCTGGATGCTCCTCACTCTCCCAAAGCAAAGTAGTCTCGAAAGACGTCCTTGCCACCGCTCCAAGATACTGAGTCTGATTCCCCGACGCAGTCTGATAGAACCTCCAACCCCTCGTCTCCGTGTCGCCGTTCCACGAAACGTACAGCCGGGTGGTGTTTGAGGAGTCCACGTATGCAGCAATAGCCGGGTCCTCGTACGGCGTACCGGTCCAGTTGGATAGGAAACCGCGATAGCTGACAGCTTCTTCGATGAAGGCATGGTATATGACCTCGTTATCGGAGTTGAACTGTGTGATGGCACCGGCCTGGCCCCAGTTCACGAAGAGGTTGGCGTCAGAAAGTAACTGTACGTTACCCTGCGAGGCGGCCTGGATTCCGTACGGGGCGGTCGCTTTGCGGAGGATTGTGGCGGTGTTGTTTGTGTGGTCCAGCTCCACGATCAGAGCCCGGGACACATTGTTAAAGGTTATTGTACCGTCGCCGGAGTTGTCGAAAAAGGAGATGACCTCCTTCTGCTCCGATTCGTAGTGCCACCGCGCGTGGTGCTGGAATCCGAAGGTGAAGTTGTAGGTAAAGGTCGAGTGGAGGCCACCTAGTTGCCAGATGATTGAGCCGTCGGAACCGTTGATCTTGAAGATGGTGCTGAAGTGGCGCGACGAGAGGAGGTAGTTGCCTTCTTTGTCTTTGTCGACGCTGTTCAGGTGGACGTAGTCCCATGTGTCCGTGGAGTTGAGGCCGCTTTCGGCGCTCGAAGAGTTGAGTTTGATCAGACTGTCTGGAGAATGTCAGCACGATGGTCGACTGACACATAGATGCGCAGAAGGTAACCAACCTGCGGGATCGAGATGATCGAGCGAGTTCCACTCGAAGACTAGCTCGCCGGTTTCGATGTCAAATTCTGCATGCGTTAACAAGTCGGTCGGGCAGTCAAAGTCTCACTGTCTACTCACCCTGGAAAAGGCCATTCCCGATCCACTGCTGGGACGGGTTTCCTCCATAAGCGGACAAGTTGGCAACAGTGGGAAGATAGATCTCCACCAGCGCGGTTTTGCCATCGATCACATTAAACTCGTGAATGGACGGGATGCGATGATTCCCCGTCTTTGCCGTCACGACATGCTCATAGTTCTGGTTCAATAGGACATATTGACCAAAGCCCTCGCCATGCAGCGTGTCCATCGTCCCCTGGAACGCCTGCAGAACGGTCTCGCCATGGTACGTTGTAGTGTGGAAGTTGGCCACGAAGCCGGCATAGTACCCGATTCCGGACCAGATCAAGTCACCATTCTTGCGGTAGATGTATGCACCGCTCTGCTGGATGTAATCCGAGTACGGAGCGATGAACACATACTCGGTACCGTTGGCATCGGGGGCTGGGACGGTGATGTTGAGCTGAGGAGTGGATATGTCTGGCCGAGATCGGTATTGACCGTCTGCTGTCGCGAAGGGAAGGCAGGCAGCTGCGAGAAGCAGGCCGTATCTGGCTAGAGGGGCCATTTCCTGGACCGTGTGCAGGCAGAGAATGCGAATCCGAGATCCTGATCCTCAGAACAGGAGCTCTATCGCCCGCCAAAAGCTGCCATTTTATACTTTCCATGGCGGTATTTTCTCGCAATCGTCAGATGTTCGCTTCGGCACGTTCAGGTATGACACCATAAATGGAGCGCTTGCACCCATCGACATCCTGTAAAGTTGTGTCTTGCTGGGAAGTAAAGTGCAGCTAAATTCTAGCTCTGTATCTCTGCCGACATGCGTGCTCGGCTACGAATGTTGACATGGGCGGCGTCGGCGGATTGCGCATTGTGCCATTGCTCTCCCCAAGCACGCGATATCCGCTCCCTATGAGCACAGTCCAGGACGGTCGAGAACTGCCGCTGCCTGGGCTGACCGGTCCATCCCGCGCGGAGACATCATGTTATCTCTGCTTTCTTCCGCGAGGTGCGGGGGAGAACCGCTTGCCTTGCTTCATGTGGGTGAAAACGTGCTGCAGTTCGATATGCATGATTTCATCCGGATCTCGAAGCTTGACCTGTGTCGCACCCGTTTCGGTCCAGTAACTGTTGAACAACCTGCCGTCCAACCAGAACGACCTGATTATTTCGATCGTAAGGCCGATGGTTCGGGAGTCCCGTCTGCGTGACAAATGCTCGAGTCACTGAGCTTCACTCTTCGATTAGGGCAGCATCCCGTTCCCCAGGAACCCGGTCATGATTTGAACAGAATATACATCCGCACATCGATCACTCAACATCCCACCCTCTTGGGGGCACCCGGCACAGGCTTCCCAAGATTACCAGAAGGGAATGAAACCACAACTGCAATTATCTGAGTCTAAACAGGATACGATGGTTTGTGGTATGGACTTGGATGGGGAAGACGAACTGACCGAGGACTGGCCGGTATGATGATACCGTCCCGATCGGCGCGTGGAATTAAATCCTTCACTGTCTGTTACCATTGCATGCAGTTCGATCCCAGCAATTAAAACTTCATACTCCACTCATGAGTACAAAGTGTTCTTCTATCATTTCCCGATCAAATCAATGAGGTATTGCGGGCCAGAGGATCCAAAGGATCAGTCTTGTTGCCAAAATGCCTCTGCAAAATTCCCCGGCAAATTCCTGTTTTTTCTTCCATCGCGCTATTTTCGCGCCGTTGCCGTTGTTCTTCTCCCTTTCGCATGACCCCCCTTATGTTGCCAACTTCCTAGCTTCGCGTTAATCCTTGCGAGTGCGAATACCCCCCGTGGGCGACGGATCGAACGAATCCAGACCTGAAAAGAATCCGAAATCATCGGAAGGCTGGAAGCACCGCCCGCGTCCGACGCGCCCCACCCCCTGAGCTGAGTCTGACACGCCATTAAGGTTCTTATGCGTCGTGCATTCCATGGGCCGGATTCTTCAAGAGTTACCACTAAACACTGATGATCATCTTCAGCTGTCGGTTTCAACATCATCTCTTCCATCCACAACTGTCACCCCCGACTCCGAACGAACACACGGTCGCAAAATTGGGCAGATCTGAAGAAACAGCCCAGGGGTGGCTGAGTCCGGACACGACGCCCCTCGGCTAGGATTGCCATGTTGTGAAGGATCTGGCTAGCTCTGGCCGACTATTGCCTCCGCGGCTTCTTCAGCTCGTCCGCTGCCCCCTCCATTCGTCTCCCTCCAGAGCCCTAACTCCTGCGAAGCCGTCGCCCTCCGGGACCCAGACCGATCGGATTTAATACGAACAGCCCAAACTACCTGTCAAATCGTAACAAAGTCTCGGGAATTCACCTACTTCAAGATCTCCAGACCCCAGGGGTAGTTATCGCACACTGAAACCGAGGCGTTGAACGGACCTCTGGAATGGCTGACAATACGGGGCCGCGCAGGGCTCTCTCCGCCGCGGCTGAACACCCGCCCACCTCTGCTCGGCCAAAATGACCACAAATCTTCAACAGCACCCTCGAGGAGCGACCTAGATCGGCTATTCAGCTCGTCTCTCCAGGAAACCAGTCGGTGCGTCGTCGTAGGCCGACCAACGCCACCGTCAGGGGCACCGTCCAGCGATGGGTATAAAGAAAGCGCGTCTGCGCCACGATGACCGACCGACCAGACTGTCTCCCAATTCACCATATCGTGCTTCATCTCATCGCCCTTCTGAGTCATGACTGTCGACCCGAAGAATTTCAACGCATCCAGGGCCGATGCGGGTGCTAAATTGGACGAGCGCCCTCCCAGACGCTTGATCGTCTGCTGCGATGGCTCCTGGCAGTCTTCCAACCACGGCACCAAGAACATTGCCTCCAACGTCGCCAAGCTGAGTCGCTCCATCGCAAACTACGGTAAAAATAAGGAGGGCGATCTGATCCAGCAGATTGTCTTCTACGATGCCGGCGTGGGGACTAGCAACAGTTCCGAAGGGGGCTTTGTCGATAGCATTCATAAGCGTTGGGAGGGAGGGACGGGTCAAGGATTAGAGGAGAACGTGTGCGAGGGATACAACTTCATCGTAAGTCCCTCGGGTGAGGAAACCGACGAATAATGGTTTTGACTCCTCTAGGTAAACAACTGGCTTCCCGGGGACGAGATCTACATTTTTGGCTTCTCGCGTGGCGCTTACACCGCCCGCGCGTTGGCTGGAATGATCTGCAACATGGGCATCTGCTTCCCCGATATGATGGATGACTGGTGGGCAGTGTATGAGCTGTACAAGAACCGGAAGAAGAAGGAGGCCGAGGAAAAAGCGAAGGAAGCCGAGAGAAAAAAGAAAAAGCCCACGAACGAGTTGAAGGCTCAGGTCCACTCAATGGTAACGTCCGGCGGGTTTGCCCTACCCGGTATGGAGTTCATGGACCGTTTCCAAAAGAATGTTCACATCGAAGTCGTCGGGGTGTTTGACACTGTGGCTGCTCTGGGCCTGCCGAACAACACCACGATCGACGTCAAGAAAAGGAACGAGGCTTATTACGGCTTTCATGACGCCGACGTCCACCCACAGATCAAGTACGCCTTCCATGCCCTCGCTCTCGACGAGTACCGCAAGGCCTTCGAGCCCACCATGTGGCATCTCCCGGACGACAACAAAAACACCGAACTGTATCAGTGCTGGTTCCCGGGTTACCACATCAACGTTGGCGGCGGCAGCGAAAACACCCAAAACCACTACGGAGACCTTGAGGCCATGGCTAACCTGTCCCTCGCGTGGATGATCGACCAGGTGCGCCATAACACGCCCCTAGCGTTTGAGGATTACGCCCTGGTGAGGCTGTACCAAAACTACATGTGCACGATCCTGGATCTCTCGCGGCGCTCCTTCAGCAAGGGCGATTCCTGGTGCCGATACAGCTACGGCGAGAGTGCAACTCAGGCTGCCAGTGGCGTGGCGGACCCCGATAATCTCACTGCCTACGGCGGCTGCGGTCTGGGATACCGCCCGGATAGTATGACCTGGAAGATGAGGGCGTCTGGCTGCCATGTTCGGACTCCGGGGCAGTATGAGCCGGATAATCTGGACGAGCGGGGCTCCAAGAAACCGAGGTCCAGAACGCATGAGTACATTCATCCGGTCGTGGCGTATGCAATGAGCAAAGCCTATGTCGATGCGCACGGCGAGACGGTGCTGAAGTACGAACCGAGCGCGTTGGCCGGATTCAAACGTGTGAAGAACCCGATAGACCCCTACGACTCGAGGCCCATCCCGGAAGGTATCTACTGGGCCAAGGAGGTCGATGCAGGCCACACGGAGCAGACCTATGTGAAGCAGGGACTGGAATACGCCAAGTCGTTCATCTGGACGCCTCCTAAACCGGTCAAGAAGATGATCTACATCGAGGAAATGCCGCTGTTCCCTGATGCCATAGACAATCCCACGAATGAGAGGGATTACATGCGTGCCGACTGGTTGGCAATGTGGGCGCCGAGACACGGATTCGCCGCCGATGTCAATAAGGATATAGCCAATTATTTGGACAAGACCCCAAAGACTTATGTCTTCACGGACCGCGAGTTATATCTGCTGGAACTTCTTCTGCACGCTAGCAAGAGAGTAAATGGCAGTATCTGGAAGGAGAAGTCGCTGGTTTACGCCCTGCGTGCGAGACCCTCCCCGGGGTATGAGACGGAGAAATCCGAACGGATGCAGGCGACGGGTGAGCGCACGAGGCAGTTTTTGCAGGATCTGGATGAGAAGAAGATCTGAGGAATGGCAGAATGGGAAATGGATTTAGCGTTTTAGCATCTTGTGATATAGTTTGTCAATTTAGGGGTTTCTTATCTTTCAACCCCCTGTGCTGTGGTTGTCAAACATTGTCACCAATGTAGCTTGGACTTTTTCAGGTGTTCTTGGGCGCGAAATAAGAGAAAAAGGGTCCCACCAGCACCTCCGTGACATGTTGGAACGGACAAGAAAATTAATCACACGGCAGACTGAAGAGAGCAGGAAGATACCGGGGCTTTACAAGACGGCCTGGAATGGGTACATAGAACGGCAAAGGGAAAGTGCAAGTATAGGGGTGAAAAGGGAGAGGATTGCTCTCAAGTTGGATGAGATCCGCTCCTCAGTCCCAAGGGGGAAAACCTTGAAAAGCTTTTGCACATGGAACAGGAAAAGGGCACTGTCACACTCCGGAAGCAAGTCAAGAAGAGTCCGCACACGAGATTGGCCGAGGAGGAGATCAACAACCTATTGAAGGTCCATTGTTCCGTATCTCTCGCGCGACCGCTCAGGACGCAACACGAAAAAAGAAAAACAATGATCTTCCGGCCAATCCGAGAAGGTGAGTTCGGTCGCCCATTCACCAGATACTAAGTAGTATCACACGCCAAGGCAGTGAAGTTCAGTAAAATAAATACTATATACAAATCCTCAGTTGGGCGCTAGTAATAAATAAATATACTCATAAATTTCTTACTATCTCTTCTAGCCTAGTCCATATAGCTATTAAGCTATCTTAGCCAGAAGCTATCCTTATTGAGTTCGCGCTAAACCCTTTATATTGGGTGAGGATCTAACTGATGTTTTTTTCAGGACTGTAAAACCTCCGTTACCTCTCTCTATTCCGCACAAGCAACTACCAGATCAACCCGAGAATCGGGTAGACATACAGTCGGGTACGAAGGGGAAACTTGGTGTAGATGAACTTCCATTGTGAGACATGTCATGGGCTTCCACAATATTCATCTCCAGGCTGTCATATACGCTTCGGCGCCCTTAAATGCCCCGTTTCCACTCACCCACATGACCCGGGTGTCCCTCCTCGGATATGGTAGCCGCGATTATGAATATAAATACCCTTGCACACAGAGTCCAATGAGGTTGAAGCAAGGGATATAATAGCTCCGTCGTTGGTTATATAGACCCGCAGCAAAACTAGGGAATTGCTTGTAGAAACACGGATTTCTACAGCCACAAGAGGACTCTATTCCACCGTCATTCATTACCTTCTACCTCCACGCGATCATCCATTCATCATGACAGGAGAACTTGTCTTCGTCACCGGAGGCAGCGGCCACATTGGCTTTTGAGTCGTTGTCGACACCCTCAAAGCCGGCTATCGCGTCCGCGCAGCCGTTCGCAGCCCGGAAAAGGCCCGGAGAATCTTCGCTACACCATCCATCAAGGCCCTCGCACCAGGGGATCGGCTTTCGTTCGTACAAGTTCCCGATATGCAAGTAGACGGTGCATACGACGAAGCTATCAAAGGCGCCCAATATGCCATCCATGTCGCGTCTCCGATCCATCCCCAAAACCCAGACATCCCCAACCTCACAGAATACTTCATACACCCGGCCATCCGCGGCAGCATGGGCCTTCTGACTTCTGCGCAGCAGGCGGGCTCCATCCGACGTGTCGTGATCACCTCTTATACAGGTGCAATCTTGCCATGGTCGGCCATTGTTTCAGGACAGGTCGAAAATGTTGTCAACGAGAACACTCGTGTTCCTACGCCAACCGAGTATTCCTTTCACTTTGAGACGTATGCGGCTAGCAAAGTGGCCGCACTGAACGAGGCTGAGAAGTGACTGGCGTTCATCAAGCCTTCATTTGACGTGTTTCATCTCTTCCCAGCCTTTGTTATTGGCGCGGATGAACTGGTCACCGACGCCACAGATGCGCTGAGGGGAGCCAACAGGGAGATTCTGGACTCTGTCGTTCTTGGGGAGGACAAAGCTATCGCCAATGCCTCGGTTCACCTGGACGATGTGGCCGAGGCTCACGTGCGGTGCTTGGATCCCAAGGTGCCCGGTAATGGGGGGTTTATCCTAATATCTAAGGGTCTCCAGGGAACCAACTGGGGAGATAGTCTTGAGATCACCGCCCGAAAGTTCAAAAAAGAAGTCGAGTCGGGGTTGTTGCAGATGATGCTTTGAGATTGGAAGGTATTGATTCGGAGGGAAAGAACCCCGGCATCCCTTAGGAATAGGGAAAGATGATATATGCATAATATCTTCTTTGGCATGTGTCTATTCGCATACCGTTGGTTATCATGGAAACGGCAACTGACGAGCCTTACGGTAGGTAGGTAAACGGATTATCGCGAATATCTCGTTCGCTTCAACCTCTAACAACAATGTTCGATTGGAGTAATATGGATACATCCTATTTCTCTCCCCAGCCCTCAAGATTGACAGTGACCGGTGTACGCCCCGTTCGCACTATGACCCATTCAACAGGTTCATCCGAACGATTCGCCTCTTGATGCTCAGTATATCTGCACATAACTTAGCTTTACTGGGACATAACAACAATATCGCAGACTTACGCTGGAATGATCGCAAAGTCCCCGGGCGAAAGATCCTTTCGCTCCTTTCCACCATCGAAGACGATGGATCCGTAACCCTTGGCAGCATATACAATCGTATCTTGTTCTCCGTGGTGGTGGACGGCCGAAGAGGTATGTGGCTGGGCACACATCACTGGCTATGCGTTAGAATCGGACAGGTATAAGACAACAGGATGATGCAGAATTTCAACACATAGCGGAAGGGATTCAGGAATTTGCCTATCCCCTGGGGTCCGGCTTCCAGGTAAAGTTAAGAACAGCAAAATCAGGGACGACGAAGGCGGTACATCTGCAGGAAAAAAAACAGAAGGAATCAAGCAAGCATACCCAAGGAGCAGATGTTATCAGACTTGTCGATGATGGCTCCCTTCCGCACCATGCCAGCTGTCTGGCCCCCTGTTGAGCCCTCGTCAATCATCCATCGTTACCGGATTGACAACTGGATATGCACTTACCAGTGCCTTCGTCCAATTCCGAAGCTCTCGTGACGTGGACCGCGTTGCTCATTTTGGATGACTCCTCAGTGGATAAAATTTTGGTGTTCGATCGGTGTAGCCCCTGGGCTTGGCGACGTCAGGTCTATATGCAGCCGCCGACGACATGATGTCATCTATCCGCAGATCCTGCTTCCAACCCCGAATCATCCGCCCCACTGAGTATTGACGTGCGCTCGGCCGTTACATTTGCTTGATGGGATGCTATATACCTGCTATCTAACTCTTGTAGACATACTGTTGAGTGGATGTTTTCTGGCGATATTCCTCCCACAATACAAAACGCCAGCTTACCAGGAACTGCGCATAGGGAAATATCAATTCACTAACGTAACCTGCGGCTAGGAGTACAGAGAATCAATTATTAACTTAGGTTGTGAAGAAACATATGATTCCTCATGCAGGACCAAGTTTGGGGTAAGTAAAGTGGAGTCGGGGTAAAAAAGACGGTACTGCATCAGGATAAAGTGCGGGATTGGGGTTGATAGTCCCGCTGCCGGCAGGTCGGCATTTGGAGAACAAAGGGTGCCCTTAGTATCAGCCTTATGGAAAGCCCCCGCTCTATACTACGGATAGGGGTGTTATACACAGGACTATTGTCACTGAAATTCGCCTTGTTGAGCCTTCCGCGCCCGATTTTCACGGTAATATGTAAAGATTTCCCCACATGCAACCATATTATATCCGGTTCCAAACATATTCTCCTGGCATGCATATAGTATATCGAAGAAAGCCGGTATGTGTATAAGTTCTTTCTGATTCTGGATTCATTCTTCACAGCCCCACCTCTTGACCAATGCCCGGCTTCCGCATTTCCAAAACCCTCCACGTCTGCTCGAACACCTTCCTCTGTGCCCGAATTCCGACCTCCGTGTAGATCCACGACTCGACATCCTGATTTGCCCCGTCGCTTTGGAGCTCCCCGTGTGAGCTCACTGGGGCCGAGGCAGCGAGTACGAAAGTCCGTCCGCCCACCTCGGTAGTGCGGTCAAGAATCCTACGCACAATCCGTACAAGCAGAGGGGGTTGAGGGCCTCGACGATCGAGATTGGACGTGCAGAGGCCCGGATTGACCACGTTGATAATGACAGCGGGAGGCGAAGCAGTCTTGCGCCGCGCGACGAGTTCGCGCGTGAACAGAATCTCGATGAGCTTCGTGGCTTGGTATCTTTTTCTCATTAGCGCGATCTCTCTGGTTCCAAAAAAAAGGACGTAAATACCTAGGCTGCTGGCTGAATTCCGCTTGATCGTTCAGCTTCGCATATAGATCAGGCGCATTGATCTCAGGGAACTTGGTCAGACGGTGCGCCTCGGAGCTGACGATGACTAGATGCGGATGCGAATCGGGGAAGGTAGTCTTGGTATCGGTGAGTTTGGGCAACAGTGACAGTGCCAGCAGAAATGTGTTCAACACGTTGACTTGTACGGCCTGTTCGTAACCTTCAACAAGTGTCCAGTCGGCGGTGTTGATTCCTGCATTCTCGACCAGCACGTCCACCCGTGGCAGCTCCGTCTTCACACGCTCCGCAAAGGCAAGCGTCGAGGCGGTGCTGGACATATCCAGCGGCCAGACTTCGATCGCATCGGCGTCTGCTCGTTGCTTTACGGTGCTCACGATGTCCTCCTTGGCGGCCTCGCCCTTTGCGACCGTGCGGACGGCGAGGATGAGTCGGGCGCAGTTGAGGCGATAGAAATGACGCGCGGCTTCGAGCCCGAGACCAGTGTTGGAGCCAGTGACGATAACTGTCTGGTTGGCGAAGGAGTGTGTAGGCAATGGAGGCGTGATGAACAGCTGCGAGTGGAAGAACAGGCGCAGGCCCGTGCCGAGGCTGGGGGTAATGGGGAATTCGACTGGAGGAGCCATGGTCAGTGATGTGAGATAAATCTCGGAAGTGGAGAGGGGGGGATCAAGCGCTCTCAGACAGGAAAAGAACTACATCTTTTAACATCTCCTTGGAAGTGAATACTGCCCTTGAAATGGAAATTAGGGCAAGTCGGGGACGGGGGAACGTTCCTGGGGACACGGCCAGCGGGACAATTATCCCCCCGACTCATCCCGCCACCATTCTCCAGTGGCCCAACTATCCAATGCCAGGTGGCTGCGAGGATATTGCCTTCTCTCTATACTCAATTCCGAATTACATCTCTAGGATACTGGGGACTCAAGCAGCCAACAATGTACCCTTGATGAGTGTATTTGTGCTGTGGGCGTAAAATGACGCGACTCATTCACTGGCCATATCATGGCTAGTTGCCTTTCTGGTTTCGTCCAACTCTCACTTGATATTTACTCGACAATTAATCAAATCACTGCTTGAGCCAGTTGGTGATTCCTATGTCACAAGATGCTTTTTTTTTTTGAACTAACCCTGCTCAACAGGGCTTTTCCATTATCAATTAACTGGTATCTATTCTCATTTATCCCCTGCCAACCGCAAAATCCAATCCACCACCAGCTCCGGGGCACTCGTCATGGCGGCATGGGCCGTCGCAATTACCGTCACATCCACCTCGCGGCCACTCTCCTTCCTGATCAACTCGATCCCCGTTTCCTGCACCTGGCGCGGGATGACTTTGTCCTCAGCAGATCAGATACGAAACCGGCACATCCTTGTACCCCGCATACGTCAAGGGGTTGGCAAAGCTAGCGGCCGAGTGTGCCGGGAAGAGCTTGATCAACGCCAGGCCCTGGGCGGGGGGGAGGTCGGAGAAGCACCGTGCCCCGGCTGCGGGGAGGTCGTCCTGCCACATCCAGCCGTTTTCCTGTCATTCCGGGTTAATGATCTTGCATAGGGAAAGGAAACGGAACGAGGTTGAGTGACAAACATCCAGTCGCACTTTCCCGCGCTTCTCGGGGGCTACTTGGCCCAGCACGTCCAACGTCGAACCCCCCAGGGCCGGCACCACCGCCGTCATGTACCCCAGCCGGATCACCCCGCCAATTTGCCCACTGCCCTCCTTCACCAGCCCCTCGATGCTCTGGGCGACCGGCACCCCGCCATACGAGTGACCCACCACGATCACTTCCTTGCCTTGCTCCGCCCGCTGTGCGATTTCGCGTGCAATAGCCGCCGCGTCGTCGTACATGGTGGGTGGGTTGGGAAGATGGGAGGTGCTTTCCCCAGGGTTCGGGCCGACGCTGGGCAGTCGAAGGGTATGGATATCATAGCCCTGGGCCGCGACTTGCGTGGTCACAGCATCATAGAACTCGGGCAGGCAGAAGGAGCCCGTGACAAGGATGATCGAGGGTTTGGACTGAGACATGATTATGGGTCTTCTGGGGGTTGCATCAGGCTGAATATTCGACAGAGGTGGACCTTTCTTCCATTTATCACTGTCGCGATGGGTGCAGCATGTTGCAGCGGGCTCCCATTTAGGTCTAGCATGGCGGGCATGACTTCGCTGGCCTCATCCTCTGTTTCGGTTTCCGTGGCATATAGATGAAATAGTTGTACTTGGCGACGGCGATATGAGTCACGTCAACCGTCTCGTCGATCTAGTTGCTCCTCCCGTCTCGGGGACGCCGAGGATGAAGCCGGAGGAATCGGACCGGGCAGTGGGACAATCATGGCCCCGGTTTCTATGGCACTAATTGAGATGCTAACACGAATTTGGATAGCAATCTGGACGGGAGTTTAGGCAGACCCACCCGTGTATGCATGAATGCATATTTGTCAAGCATGTTTGTGCCGTTGGCCTGCCAGTCAGTGATCCTTCGCATGGCGAGGTAGCAGCGGCATAATCAGTGCTCGTCCTCAGCTGGGCGCAGGATTCGGATTGCATAAAACCATGCATGCGTATCCCGCTGCTGCCTGGAATACGCTCTTCTGCGGCCCCGAGCTCATCCGTCACGGCATCACCATGCCAAGCACAACGCCCCCCGCCCAATCGGTCATCAACGCGGCCCCAGAGTTAGACAGCTAGATGTAAGTACTGTTTCCCTGCAACCCAGAAGATGCCACCGTCCGGCCTCGTACTGGTATAAACCTGCCGTCATAATGCGATCCTGATCGGTTACGGAAGTCTTCACGGGACTCAGTGACCAGATACTCCCCGTCCACGGTGGATGCCACTGAAATGGCGGTGATCGGGTTTGGTTTGCCCCGGGAGAGGCCTGCCAGAGCTTAGGAGTAGCCAAGCATCTCACCTCTTTCCACTAGGAACGCTACATCGCTGGGACCGACTCAATGTGATTTCCGATACAAGAAAAATGTTTTGACTATACATTACACCATCTGACAAAAGCAAGACCTCATTTCGACTCCGGATCATGCGCCACAACCTCGATCTCCACGCGCATGTCCAGCCAAGTCCAGATGGGCTTGTGATCCAGCACGTACTTCCTGAAATTGCGCACCATGGCATCCAGTCCCTCGTTGTTGATGGGGACGTGATACGAATTGACGCGATACACCTGCCCCCAGCCCTTGCCACCGGCATTCTTCAGGTTTAGCTCGACGTTGGCGAAAGCCTGATCGATCTGCGCGTTGATTTCTTTATAGGATTCTCTTATTCTGGAGTCCCAGCCGCCTGTATTCGGGTCAGAAGAAGCTGTATATAGTTGAGCAAGGGGGAATGTTTGCCTTGTCCTGCGCACTCGATGCGATCGCCAACCCGAACTGCCTGGCTCTAGTGGAATTTTTCGGCCTGGATGAGGCCGACGTCGGGGTAGTTATAGTAGGTGAGGTGTGCCATGGAGAAAAAGCTAATGGTGCACGTTGCGTGAGTGTTTGCACACTTGAATATGCATTCGATCTTGATACTTACAGGTGCGATTAAACCAAGGTATTTATTTTCCAGTATGGGAGCGGGAAGTGACGTCGCCGAGATTGTCCGCCCTTCTGCGGAATTTGTATTCCGCTCCTCCCCCGGATTCGGGGCGGACCAAGAGATAAGAAGGCCACACCAGCCGATCTGGCTGGCGAAATCCGAATTACAACCGAGATGTGTCCCATACACTTAGTTTGATATTTGCCTACAATCACGCAATAGCCAGTTGCTGATAAGGGAACGGATTCATCCTTGGAATGAAGCGAAAAGCCAGCAATGGGACGATTGGCCATGCCAAATGCTTGAGCAGCTCTCACTCTGTTTGAGGGTACTTCATATATCGACGGTCGGAATACTGGTTGATCTCGTCAGCTGGGCCCGAAACCCATCGATCGGGGATTGCGATCAGTCCTTCGTGTCCGAGTCCTGCGGAGAGGGGCGTGGGGACATCTTTCTCCGTGCTGCTGGGGCCCTCCTGCTCTGGAGTCCTGCAAGTCGTATACAGAAGAGCTGGTCCGCTATATATCATAAGTACCGGAGAGTAAGACCGGATGGGTGGTGATAGGGTTCGGGGGACTTATTTTCTTTTTCCTGGTACCGAAGCCCAATCTACAGGCCAGGTTTTCTTTTGCCTGAAATATCTCTTCGTTCATCGACTGAAGCCTGGCTCGCCCATCCCACAGGTCTTACAACCTCCCCTGGTAAATGGGTGGCTCAGGAGTAGTCGGCTACTTCGTGCAGTACAAATTGACTACCTTGCCGGGTGTATCCAGCGGGATGGCTTGAATCTGACTGAGCGCAAGCCCCAGTGATCTCTTTTATGAGATCGACTATCCTGAGCCCAGAAACCGTCACTCCAGCGCTGACCGTCTAATAATGATACTGCAAAGGAATGGCAAGCCACATTCCTTCGGCGGTGACTCAATCAATAATCCCAGCAAGCAAACAAGCAAGCGATGCAAGCCAAGACGAACTACAGCCAAACTACTCAATTGTCTCCACAGCCACCACAGGCAGCCGAACCAATCGATTCATCACATCATGGCCGTCGGCAATCCCCGAACAGCATTAAGTATGCATTAGACCCCGATACCGGAGCCACCATAATTCTAGAACTTCTTTTCAGGAAACAACAGCAAACCGCAAACAAATCGAGCCCTATCTACTCAGCCCAGGCCAGGGCGTCATCAATAAGCGTAGCGATAGGATGGCGACATATCGCCTAACCGCTCCTCCTCCTCTTCTGAGATATTCGCCGGATCGATCGCCGCCCGGTCGCGTTTCCGGTTCTGGTGCCAGATGGCGAGGAAATAGGAGATGGACATGGCGGCGGAGAAACACAGGAAGGACATGCCGATGATGTATCCGTTGCGGTAGAAGGGGGCGTCTTTGGAGAGGAAGGAGTAGGTGGAGATGATGCCGCCGACTGAGTAACGCAAACTGGTTAGTATTTGGGTAGGCGTGGAGTGGAGGATGGATCAGCGGGAGACATACTATTTCCGAATCCAATCTGCCAGGCTGTTCCCACGCTTCGTCGTCGGTGGCCACCCAGGTTCATCGCGAACCAGCACACCAGCACCGGCATGGCGCTGTAGCAGCCGCTCGTGACGAGGAACAGCGCCCCGTATTGGATGTGGTGTTGCGCCGTGTCGTGGATGTTGAGCAGGATGCCGAAGCCCGCCATCGCGATCAGCATCGGGATCAAAGTGAAGAGGAACCGGTGCTGGAAGCGATCCGAGAGATAGGCGATGACCATCGAGCATCCGAAGGCGGCGGCCCAGGGTGGGATCGTGTACAGTTGGGTTTGGATGGCTGGAGGAGTTAGCAAGGGGACTCTGACTCGGTGTCTTGGTTCAGGTGGACATACAGCTGTAGCCGAACGTCTTGATGATCGTCGTGGCGAAGTACGCGTAGCCTAGACGGTCAGTTCGAGTCGTGGACTCGGTCGCAGGGACATACCGTAGGCTGTGACGACCTGTCCGAAGTACATCAATCCGCCGATGAAGATTTTGTCTGCTTCTGTTAGTTGCATCATCACACCAGTAACTACAGGAAGCGATACGCACAATCCTTGAACACATCCAAAACATCACGGAAAGTCATTTTGGCATCAAAATTGGCCTTTCCGACGTCCTTGGCCAGCTTCTCCCGCAGAAATGTTCTCTCCTCATGGCTCAGCCATGTCGCGTCCTCCGGGAAGTCCGTCAGGAGGAAGTAGCACGTAATCGCGACCAGACAGGTGATGATGCCCTCGATGATGAACACCCATCGCCATCCGGCAAGGCCCCGAATGCCATTCATCTTCCCAAGTCCACTCGCCAGCAAACCGCCGAACGCACCGGCGAGAGTCGTCGAGCTGAAGAAGAAACTGAAGCGCTTCTGCGCCTCGCTGCGCTTGTACCACATGCCCAGGAGGTAGAAACCTGTCCGTTATCAGCCTCAGTCATCGCAACATCCAAAAGAAAAGAGAGAGAGAGAGAGAGACCAAGAACGTACAGCCCGGAAACAGCCCCGTCTCAAACATGCCCAGGAACCAACGGGTGGCCATCAGCCCGCCCCAGTTCTGGACCAAACCCTGACAGATCATCACCACCCCGAAGCCAAACATGCACAGCGCCACTGCATCCAAGTCAGTTGTCAGTCACCATTGATCTCCCACAAAACCCCCAGTAGCGCGCACATACACCAAAGATGAGGCTTCAGCTTCTTCATCAGAATATTCGACGGAATCTCAAAGATAATGTACGGAACGAAGAAAATCGTCAACGCGGTGTTATATTTCGTGCCTTTCTCGATATGAAGGTCGGATTCCATTCCCAGCGTCGCCGCATTGCTGATATTCACTCTGCGATGGCCGTTAGTCTCAGTTCCGAGCTGTCGAGAAGTAACCGCCAGGAAAAACCAAGTCAAGTCGAGTCTCACCGGTCCAAAAAAGCAAACAGATACATGGCGCACAGACACGGCAGAACGTGCCAGTCTATCTTGGCCATCAACTTGCGCTCGTTGACGGCATATGTCGACGGCGGAGGCGAGGCCTCCCCATTTTCGATCGGCTGTTTTTCTGCGCAGCCAGAAAGTATTCGTTAGTTGACTGGCGATCAGGGCAGAAATACGGACGCGAACATCATCAGGCGCGGAATCATGTACTCACCGTCCTCGACCATCTTCTATCGCGCGATCGCACCGAAAACCGTCCAAACAGTCAAGGGGGCAAGATGAAAGAAAGCGAGAAAATAAGCATGACTGCGGTCGCGCCGCACGCAGCAGCAGCCGAGCATTTAAGCAAAGCAAAAACCAGTCAGTCAGCCATGCAACGCGGGGGGAGCTAGATCGGCGCAGCTGAGGATGACTCCTTGGATGAAAAGCCAAAAAATGGACCGAAAAGGGCCAGCAGTGGAGACCGAACCACGCAGGTGAGCCAACCATTCCCCGCCGATCGGACGGTTTGCAACGCTATCGCCTGCTAGATGGTTCAGACTGTGGGCGTCCGAGAAGCAGTCACTTCATTCAGCTCCGATGCTGTGGCTTCTGGGGAATAATATTAATCGACCTGGCTCGAGGGAGAGCTTGGCGCGCCGATGCCGGGGCTGAAGGGGGGGAAGTGAGGTTTTAGGGCACCGCTGATTGGTGTCGCGCGAAGTGACATGTCTTCGGCTTGTCGCAGTAGCCTAGACAGTCAGGTCGCAATGGCACCCCTGTCCGTCCATGTCGTGTCCGCTGCTCAGGGATCAAGTCTTGCAAGGGACTCAGCTGGGATTATCACTTGCCCTATTCGGGGGGATGTGGCCCCGTCCAGCTGCACCTTAAGCTTTGCTGCCCCTCTGTGGTCGCACCCCCGTGCAGATATTGCCCCTTCCCATTTTCTTAGGAATGTTCCATCTGCAGTTTTGGCTCCGGCGACAGGGAGGGACATCCGCTGGAATAAGAAGTAGTCAAGTGATCGTGGTGAAACCGCAAACGATTTGGGTGAGGCCGATCCGCGATGCCCTCGAAGTCTATAATATGGGGAAGCGGGGGGTCGAACCGGCCCAGCGATTCCCAGCGGCTGCCTGACTCGCCCACTTCCGATCCATTTTGCACCAATCAGCGGGAATTCTGTAGATATCTGACACTAAAATTTCAAATTCAACAATTCACAATCGATTATCGCTGGGTTTAGGATACTGTCTAGCCAGCAGGCAATAAATACAAACGAACAAGATCTCTCCGCAGACTGCCGCCCTTCCGCCAATCCCTTTCCTCCAGGTCAGGTGACGTCTCCCCGAGCCCTACTTCTCCATCCCAGTCGCCATCACGAGCACCGTTTACTCAACGTCCCGCTTGTACGACCCGTAGTTGGCGTACGTGCCGTAGTTGCCGTAGTCTCCGTATGACACCGGGGTCGCAGTCGCAGTCGCAGTAGCAGACGACGTCGAGGACGACTCACTCTCCGCCTCAGGCTCGGCATCCCGCTTGTAGTTCTCGTAGGTCCCGTAATTGCTGTATTGGCCATAGTTCACGTAGTCGCCATAACCCGCAGCGGTGGTGGTGGTCGCAGCCGCAGTCGAGGTCGAGGTCGAGGTCGTCTCGGAAACAGCCTCGCTGGGCTCGGGCTTCTCGTCGCGCTTGTAGTTCACGTAGGTCCCGTAGTTGCTGTATTGGCCATAGTTCACGTAGTCGCCATAACCAGCAGCGGTAGTGGTGGTCGGCTCCGCAGACGAGGTGCTCGAGCTCTCCGGCTCTTCGCCACGCTTGTAGTTCTCGTAGGTCCCGTAGTTCTTGTATTGGCCATAGTTCACGTAGTCGCCATAACCCGCAGCGGTAGTGGTGGTCGGCTCCGCAGACGAGGTGCTCGAGCTCTCCGGCTCTTCGCCACGCTTGTAGTTCTCGTAGGTCCCGTAGTTCTTGTATTGGCCATAGTTCACGTAGTCGCCATAACCAGCAGCGGTAGTGGTGGTCGGCTCCGCAGACGAGGTGCTTGAGCTCTCCGGCTCTTCGCCACGCTTGTAGTTCTGGTAGCTGCCGTATGTACCATAGTCACCGTAGTTGCCGTAGTTGCCGTAGTTCGCGGCGGTGGTGGTGGGCACGGCCACAGTCGAGGTGCTGGAACTGTCCGGCTCCTCGTCGCGCTTATAGTTCTGGTAGGTTCCGTAGTTGCCATAGTTGCCATAGTCTCCGTAACTCACGGGGGTCTCCGTGGCAGTGGAAGTGGCAGAGGAGGCATCTGAGGCCACGGGACGGGCAGAGACAGCAAGCAGGTTGCTGCTCAGCACGAGCAGGAAGCCCTTGGAAACAGTATGCATGATGTGTATTAAAGATTAAGAGGTATGGAATGACAGAGAAGGATGTGGGGGGTTGTTCTCGAAGTCTTTGTCTGGAGATACATCCCAGGTCGGGTTCGAGGGCAATATTTATAACAGTTTCGTCCCTCTGCGATGTCTACCTGCACGATCGCGAATAATGAGCAGGCAGCCGGCAGGACCGATCGTGGGGAAGGCATCCTGCCGTGGCGTACCAGCATGATTGGCCAAGTGTCGGATTGTGCCATCTCCATCTCATCGAGGGCCTCCGAGTCAGCGGGCCAGTCCAATCACGACGACCAGTGAGCACGACAGGTTGCATCCGCGCCTCACGACGAGGCAATATCCTTTGAGTCGCCCACTTCCCAAGCCGGATAGCGGGTTGCAAGATGAGCTGGAGAGTCGCTGCTCCGCCTTGGCTAATAATAGCGTGCAGATGTTTAATAACGGTGAAGCCGGATTGCATCTCGAAAGTAAGGCATCTTTGCGTCATGTCTCAGATGGTGGAGAGCCGAGATGGTGGACATAGGCAGCCAGAAGACCACCGGCAGCTGTAAGGCGGGCAGTGGCCGCAGTGGAGCCCTTCGTGTTGGAGGATCTCCAGCATTCCAGTGCACTTCCAGTGCCCTCCGCAGATCATCATTGGTGGCGGATGAGACAGGCATGCGGCCAAGCAGCGGGTGTCTCACCTCGCCAAATCGCAGCACCGCAGCTTCAGCCTCTCCGCACCTGCACGAGGTCCTTTGAGACAAAGACACCTCGGGTTACACCCGTCAGTTGCTTCCAACGCGGTATTATTGCGATATTATTGCGATATTCCAGGATATTCTTAGCACCGGACCGGGCGGAGGCGGAGGCGGAGGCATCGCACCATCTGACCCGTCCGAAGCAAACGGGGATAAACCCTCATCTCGCTCCTCGGGGAGTTGGCCTGCTCGCTGTATCCTTCTCCCGGCTTTTTTTTTCTCTCTCTCTCGCTCTCTAATCACCTTTCTCCTTCTCTCTTGCATACCATGGATTCCTCCAGAAACACATCCTCCTTCGAAGATGACAAGATGCATCCCTCGGACCGATCCGACTCCACCGACCAAGAGCGACTTCTCATGGATGAGGAGGCCCCGCACTGGTCGCAAGGGAAGAATGCGTCGAGAACAAGACTCGGGGGCTGGCTGAACCTCATCCTCATCTTCGTCACCGCCGTGCTGTCTGGCTTGCTGGGCGTCTTCATCGGCCACAACCAAACGGACCTCAGCGAGTCCTGCACGCGGCGTGTCACCCAGCACTGTAAGTCCATCTCGCAAACCAGCCGGGCGCACATCCAGTCTTCAGGGCTAACGCGATCGCAGCCCCCGTCATCTCCCAAGTCGGACTCTCCTACCACCGCCAGCAGTTCAACGGCTCCCTCCTCAAGGAGAACATCTTCCGCCAGGATGCCAGCCCGGCCGTCGACGCGGCGTGGGAATCGATCGGCACCAACTGTTGGTGATCACCTTCTTTTCTTTGTTGCAAAATGCCTGCTCACTGCCTGCCCTCCAGACCGCGCCATCCGCGTCCCCGTCGAGGATGCCCAGAAATCGGGCCTCGCGACCGACCAGGTCCAGATCAGCGAGAAATACGGCGGTGGATATCCCGCCAACGTCGAGGGCTTACACCATCTGCATTGCTTAGTATGTTTGTCCGACCGGGCCGATTTGGGGCGAAAGGATGTGCTGACTGACTGGCGACGTGTAGAATCTCCTCCGCCAATCCCTCTACTACAACTACGACTACTACCACGACCTGGGCACGGGCGCCTTTAAGAACGATGATTTCATCGTCCGCCGTCACGTCAGTATGTATCCCCTCGTCTCCTCACCTGTCCACAGACGCATGTTGATCATCGACCTACCTTCCAGCCCACTGCCTCGACATCATCCGCCAACAGCTCATGTGCAGCGTGGACGTCGGCGTCCTAGGCCAAGTCTGGGTCCACCCGGACCACCCCGAGCCCTTCGTCGACTTCAACACCGAGCACAAATGCCGTAACTTCGACGAGATCCGCGCCTGGGCCGAACGGAATCAGCTGCCGGAGACCGTTCCGTTGGATTTCTTGCAGCCTCCCCGCATGGGGGACCGGGTGTATGAGGCCATTCCATGAGATGCGGTTTTTTTTTTTTTTTTTTTTTTTTTTTTTTTTTTTTTGGTTGTATATAAACTGTACATGGCGCGTCGACGTCAATGACAATAGATTTGTGATTGTGATAAAATACCTCACGTTGCACAAGAATGCGTCTGGCCAAAGGCTAAACATGCTATGTAGGGAGTACTAGATCTGAGAGGTTTGCAAGGGTGTTTGGTGAAGTTTCTATTTTTGTCAGCTAGCTTTGGGACTGCCTGTGGGATGTGTCGTGCGTCTCGGAACCGTGGGCACCGGAAGTCTGACTGGAGGAAAGTCAGTCCTGCTTCGAGGGAGCTGAGTCTCTTGCCGGTACTAGGGGTAGGGTTGCGATCGCCGCCTGTCGGGTAGAACTGGGTTTGGAGGCTCGAATCAGCATGGCCCGGGAAACAAGGCCTCGGTGAAAATCTCCAAGCGCCTGTCACTTCCTGCCATTCGGGGACCAGAAACCTTCCGTCGAATCGACAAGAACAGACATGACTACCGTAGGGCTGGTTAACGTTACATCGGACTGCGGCGGTCCCATGGTTGAGGGACTGCCAGAATCGACTCGGGAGGAGAAGGTAAAGTATCACATTCTGAGCCATTGGGTCCGATCGAGCTTGACTCGAACTTGTTTGCTTGGTGCCGGTCTTCCCTGTGCGAGAATGATTCGAGAGATCAGGCTCAATCATGTGCATCCACCCAATCGGTGATCTGCTTGCCCCGCACCGATAATACCCCGCGGACCGACAGACGTCCAGCTGAAGTCTCCCTGAAGCCAGAAATCCTATTCTGACACCTTCTCTGGGTCCGCGGACCAGTCTTAGCACGTCAGGTTTGCTCGCTCTCACTCACCTCGCATCGCGGGGTTTGAAAATGGCTCGTGCCCCGCCCATCATTGATTTTGCGCGTGAGCTTCTCTCAGACTGCGGACGATATATGGCCCGTTACTGAATGCCTCCTAGCCTTCTACCATGGAGACAGCGAGACACGCGCACGTTTGGTAGAGGAGATTCGCAGCGCGTGCGAAGGGCTCGGCTTTTTCCAACTGTGTAACCATGGCATCCCCGTCGATCTCCAAGATGGGATCCTCCAACAGTCCCAGCAGCTCTTCCGTCTGCCTCCGGAGGTCAAAGAGAGGTACAACCGGGGTAAGCCCACCCGCTGCTCGTGACATCAAGACCCCGACCAGGATGCGGCGGGGCGATGGGTCCTGTCCCTACTAAGCTCCCCCGACAGACAATGACCGCTTCAACCGCGGATACGAACCCCTCCGGTCCCAGAACTTCGAGAAGCGCTCCAAAGGCGACCTGAAGGAGGGTTTCTTCCTGGGACGCGACCTCCCGCTGGACGATCCAGTCGTCCAAGCCGGCCACTTCGGCCAGGGTCCCAACAAGTACCCTGCAGAGGTCCCCGATCCGGCCCTCTTTCGGGCCACCGTGGATTGCTATTATGATGCCGCGCTGGAGCTGGCAGTCGATATCATGGCCGTCATTGCAGAGATGGTGGGGTTGGATCAACAGACCCTCGAGCGCTTGTGTCACAGGCCCATCGCGACCCTGCGTCTGCTCCATTACCCCCCCCAGCCTCCTGATGCGCCTGAATTGGAGAGAGGTAGGTGATGTCTCCGTCTCCGCGAAGAAGGATGGCGCCGGTACTGACCGACCGGACGGTCGCAGGAATCGGCGCTCACAGCGATTTCGGCGCGATCACCATCCTGCTGCAGGACTCGACGGGGGGTCTGCAGGTGTGGGACCGCGAGTCGAGTGAATGGGCGGACGTGCAGCCCATCCCCGGCGCGGTCGTGGTCAACACGGGCAACCTGATGATGCGCTGGTCCAACGACCGATACATCTCCAACCTGCACCGGGTCATCAACCGGTCCGGTCACGAGCGCTACAGCGTTCCGTTCTTCTTCGATGGGAATGCGGATTTCGTGGTCGAGTGCCTGCCGAGCTGCCGGGAGGCCGGCCAGCCCGCCAGGCACGCGCCCATCACGGTGGGCGCGTGGATGGCCGGTCGGTATGCGGATACGTATGAGGGGGATGAAGGGAACCCTGCAAAGGATCTCGTGGGTTTAGACTAGCTGTATCCCGCGGAAGTAATCCTCCAGCGACTTTCTATAGTAATAGCCGAACTCATCCATCTGGAGCTGCGTCTCGACGTACTCGTCCGCCATCTGCTCGCGGGGGACTGGCACAAAGACGGCCGTCTTGCCAGTTGCCCAGGCGAAGATGGCGACGATCTGGTCGGGAGAGTAGTACGTACTGACTGTTGTTCCGCTGCCAACACGCGCTTCTCGACCATCGCGTCGGCATTCTTCAGTATCGCCTTGACGAACCGCCCTAACTCATCATTAGCCACGGTCGCACGAAGACACCCACCCACATCACGGATTCAGGATCTCACACTGGCAAACACATACGTCCCGTCCTCGGCCCTGTGCAACATGAAGTGGAAATTGCTCATGTAGGTACCCACCAGCACCATCGTCGCTGGGATGTTCGAGGCCCACGCGTACTGCTCGATGGCCGCCTTGCTGTCGCAGTGATACACGTGTGTGTTCCGACCGTTGGTGGCGTTCTTCACCTCGTCTAGGGACGAGAAGATGAGGTGGGCCACCCCGACCGCGACGGCCGCATCGACGACATTCTTGCCCTGGCTGGTTTTTCAGTGCCGCGTTGGCCTGCGCCCAGTAGTCGGTGACCAGGAAGACCGTGTGGGAACCCTCGAGGACGGGGTGTTGGAGGTCGGCCTGCGGAGATGGTTGATTAGCTGTTTGGTTTTTTTGTTTTTTGTTTTTTGTTTTTCTCTCCAATTTCAGGGATGCGACGAACGGCGACGAGCTCCACGCCCTGGCGGGCCAGTTCCTGGGCAGAGAGGGCTTGTCGGGGTCTCTGGTGACGGCACGAATCCTGAATTGGCTTGACAGCTGCGGGTCGCGGACGAGGTGGCGGATCACCGAGCCCCCCCTGGTTTCCGGTGGCCCTGAAGACGGTGATGATGCGCTGGGTGGACATGGTTCTGCTTCTGCTTCTGCTTCTGCTTCTACTGTGTACCCTACACCATTACACCATTCACCACATACCCCTGCTTTATAAAGCGCCTGAATCCCAGTTGAAGCTGCTCTGATCGGCCCCGATGATTCACAGCATGAAGGATTTCATCTGAGGAATCCTGCCGTGTGTCACGCCCGGGGGTGGAAGCTGGGATTGGTCGCCCGGGAAATGATGAGATGCATCCTGCAATCTGCGGCTGGTCGGGGGATTTTTGAGTCAATCGTCAGTGAGTAGACAAGTAGATGATACCGTCTGTCGCACAGAGGATTGTTTGATCCCCAAGTTGGAGAGAAAAGTAACACAGTCCGTACCGGATTAGTCAAGACCCCCCACTGGTCGAGTCGCAATAATCAGGGTCGAGGATGTCACTTCCAGCCCCCCCCCCCCCCGAACCAAAGAGATCCCGACCGTTCAAACCCCGATTCAGATTCATTTCTTATTGCATGCATTCCCAGTGGTCCAGAGGCCGGAGTCGATACCAGCCTATGGCAGGGCAGGATCATCCGACGGAAGAAGCAGAGACTCGACAACGTCATGGTGAGGCGACAGCCACCCACCAGCCAACTCTAATCCCTCCCCCGATTCAGGGCTCGAAGCTGACAGGCGCGAAGTACTTCCGGACCAATCCACACGTCATCCATCCACCCGCTCACCCTCACCCTCAACCCTGTGAACCTGGCCAGGCAATCATCGGCTCGGTGGATCCGTCCGTTTTCCACCCTGCGACCAAGTTTCCTCCCCTGCCCGCGCGCCCCGGATGATTTCTCCTGCCCGTCTGGCCCATTCGCCGCGCTCCCCTCAGTTCGCGTACTTTATCCTCCCCCCGCCCCCAATACATACATGTATATTGTGGCGACCGGCTGCCGATCGAGAACTTCACTTGCACTGTAGTCAACCTTATCGAGCCGAATCTCCTCCCTCTCGCACCGACCAGGAACTCCCTTGCCCAGTCAGGCCAGTCGCAAGGCCAATCCATTGCGCGGTCTTCCGGCCACCAATCGGCGCTGCATCACCATATCGCCTCTCCATATAAAAACCATCCGGCGCCAACGGACACCCGCGGCTTTTGCCATACCAGACACAATTGCCTGCATTCTCCCTTGGGATTGATAACAATTCCACTTCTGTATGGACGGTTATCCACCATGACCGCCGAATATAGCCTCTACAGCCCCCTTGCGGGCCCCTCCGCCGCCACAGACCCCGACACCACCACATGGTCGGACTCCCTCCCCTTCCTAGTGGACAATTCAATTGCCCCCGAATCATCCCTCCCTCTCTTCGACGAGAACACACAATGGGTCCTCAATCCCATGTCGCCATCCCTGTCCACTTCCTGGGCCGCGGGAGCAGCAACGCGAACAGCCTCCGACCCCAGCTCGAACGCCAGTTTCATCAACCCCGCCCAGTCCTTGCACGAGCCCAGTTGGAACCATAACCCATACCGGAAACTCTCCACTGACCCGATCTACCCCTTCGCTCCGATCGCCATCCAACCCACCCTCTCCCTGCAAGACATCACCTCCCGCGGCAGCAGCAGCAGCAGCAGCAGCAGCAGCAGCAGGCAGCCCCAATTCAGCGTCGGCAGCAGCAGCAGCACAGAAGGTCAGACCCAGTATCACAGCCAGAGCCTGAGTACGAGTCGCAGTCGCGCCCGCAGCGGGAGCTCCCAGACCGAAGCCAACACCTCATCCTCCGGGGGCTTCGAGGACCACGAGCGAGAACGGCGCAAACGGGAGCGCTTCCTCGAGCGGAATCGCGTCGCGGCCAATAAATGCCGCAAGAAGAAGAAGGAGCACTCCCGTCAGCTGGAGAGCCGGTGTCAGGCTGTCTCTCAGGAGAATACCTCGTTGGAGAGCGAGGTTGATCACCTGCGGAGTGAGATCTTGAGTTTGAAGAATGAGCTGTTGCGCCATTCCCAGTGTGGAGATGCCGGCATCAAGCGCCACTTGGCGCAGATGATCAAGGAGATCTCCGATCGGGGCGCGGCGGGGTCTGGGACTGATGAGAGTAGTAATAATGCCTCCGACGGAGGAGGGGGAAAGATGGGATCGTCGAGGGAAAGTGGACACGGAGAACGGAAGATGGAGGACGATCAGGACCACGACGAGGACCAGGACTTGAAAACGGAGAAAATGGACTTTGATTTCGACGATCTAGTACGGCTCCCGCCGTCGAACGGCGGTGCCGCTGTGGAGCAGCGGGCAAGTGTTGCCGAGTAATTGTAACGGCTGGGTCTGTGGATGCTCGAGATACGATGGGCTGGCCCGGTTCACGTTTGTATTCATGAGTAATGAGGGGGGGGGGGGGGGGGGTTCTTTTTCTTTGTATATACATGGCTCTGGGAGCAATCCCGATATACCGATACCAAATCTATCGACCTTGGAAATAACACTCCGAGAACCACCCTTCCTTCCAGCCTCACTAGCCCTCACATCTCCAGGTTCAAAGCTCGCCCCAGACAACATTCCCCCCCTTATGTCCAGCCTCCCTAGCACGCTACTCTCCGGCCTGGAACCTCCCCGTCGACGCATGACCGCCCAGGGAGGCAATACTACGCTGCTCACCTTTCAGTACCCAGTACCATATCCAATCCATCAGACTGTACATTCCAATGCAACGCACATACCCTAGTCTCCTCATCCATACTGGCAAACCCGCCCGCGTGGCTGGCCCGTCCACCTTTGCGCGCCGATGTTCTCCACTTCCTCTGCGGACCGATTGACAAAGTTTCCGCGGTTGGTATTCGATCCCATCTTCAATAATGGGCTTGTTCCAAGATTGTCTGACGTCAGATAGGTGGGTGGTTGCTAGATCTGGGGATGTGGTTTGCGGGCTGTGTGGACATGTGAGCGAGAAGGTTATGGACTGGTCATCGGGCCATCTGGCTGGGAAGGTATTTATGTTTAGATCTTGCCTGATAGGATTAACATTGATCACAGGGGGAAGATTCTTGATGTCAACTATGTGATGCTGTTTACAGACAGTTCCTGGCGAAGTACTAACAGGCTTCTGGAAGATGGGAGCGTTTAGCAGGTAGGTGCTTTCACTGTGAAAAGATACTCCGCAGGGCTGTGAGGTCATATCACATCATCTGTGGGGCGAGAGGTTTTCCAAAAACATGCGATCTGGCATGATGTTCATCGTTGAACTGGCCGGACCCCTTTTTTTTTTCTGGGCTGTCGAACGGAATCCGGGGTCATGTACGGTACTTTTTCATTCATCATCCGGGGTGCTTTGCTGTCTGCAAGCGCGGGATACTGCTTCGGGGAAGCCAGCACAGTCCCGTCGACTGTGGACAGCTTGGCAGGATGAGCCGTGTAGAGCCATACCTGATTAGGAAGCTGTAACGGAGAAGTACTTTGGTATGTATGTAATACTAGATCACCAAGTAGTACTCTGTAAAGTTATCTGACTTGGATACAAGTCACTGGATTTCGCCAGCAGAACATAATGGCCCACATGACCCACGTACAATCTTTTCGCTACATACCAAAGTACGGGACTCGTGTCTTGTGCTTGAAGATCATCGACTTTGCTCGTCCTGCTGTGGCAAACATGCCGCTTTCGCCACTGCGTCTCCCCAAACCCGCCATGACATGCCCATGTTGAGGGCTGGCGGCAACACATGATCTCCGGATTCCAGGATGGCACTGCGCACGCGGCATGCCTACCATCCAATCATTTATGCTCCAGGAAAGAACTCTGGGATGGCGCCTGTCATACCCCACAATCTTGGTTCCTCGTACGACATCGGGGATATTAAGTGGAGTCCGACCTGACCTACGGAGTACCTTGCGACGATCATCCTTGGTCTTCGGCACCTGCAGAGATGTGATCAATCAGATAATCGATGAGCCAAACATAGATGGTGATTTTAGACGGTCTATGACATCAGAGGCTCTACTTTGTCCCAGGGCGATGGCCAATCAGTCCGGTGCTTGTCGATCAGGACTGTGGAACGAATGGGGTGGAATCCGCTTCCCCCGATCCATTATCGGACTTGACGCTCACTCGTGTCGCATCTGAGTACCGAGAGTGTGTATCGGGCGTGACATGGGTCCAGTGATAACTCTATTCTCTGGGGTGGGGGCCGAGAGAAAGCCCATAAAATGCCATGTTTCTGATTGAGAAGGTGCTAATTGTCTGAATTATTTCTGATGAACCGTGGGAGTAAGTCCGACTCGTGTACCTCTGGGTCGGATCTATGGAGATTGGTTCAGCCGTGCTGAGTATGAGTTGCGCTTGGATCGTTGAACTGTTCGGGAATATAAATCTTAGTTTATCAATGTCCCCATTCTCTTCTCAACATACCACCTGTCAGCATTGTGGAATGAGCGAATTCAACAAGAACTAAGATATATATCGAGGGATCTTGAACCACCTTTAATTCCGCCCCTTCTAGCAATACACAGACTGGAACAGCTAGTAGTCCTACTACCGTGCAACCCTGAAGAGCCAATCATTTTTTTTTCTTAAATATCAGTCGCATACGAAAGAAAAGCAATCCCAACCTTCCAACCTTCCACAATCCAGCAGAATCATCAATGAGATGAAGTCTCAGATTTAGCTCAACATAATCATGTAAATTAACCCGATATTATGAATTTACTAGCTAACTAGCCACCGAACAGTATAATTATCAACTATATTCATAAATCATCATAAGCATGCGTAGCCTCTGACTAGCCCCCATGCTAGCCAGACAACAAGTGGAGTCATTGTCATAGCCGTCCGGGGTGTTTCGCCTGGCATTGATATCGCAACGCCTCACTGTTGCCGGCCGATCCACCTCCAGGCAGGCATGTTCTTGTAAAACTTTATCCGCGCATTTCCACATGTCTCAGGTGTCTCAGGCGTTCGACCAACCAAGTGCCGACAACCCCTGCAATTCTGGCCCCCGAGCCAAAATTATGGCCCCAATCCTGACGGACCGCGGTTGTAGCGCGCACGTTTCAGCGTGGCTGCAACTTGCAAGGAAGTAGCCCTAACCACCGACCACCGTTTTCACAGGTTGCAGACATCGTAAAGCATATGCAAATTCTGATTAGAGATGAACCGGATAGTGCACAGCACCCCGATATAATACATAGCAAAGGAGCTGGGGAATTGGATCTATATAGTTGCGAGCTGCAAGTTGCAGATGCATTACAGCAGGGAGGGTAGGGGTACAGCACAGCACAGTCAGAAGGTGTAAGCGAGGCCTCTAGAGCTGAAGGAGCCCGGTCAGGAGCCCAGCCCCGACAATCGCGACCAGGGACCCGAAGGAGGCAGAGAGACCGGTCGCTGCGCTGCTGGACAATCCGCTGGAGGAGCTGGCGGACGAGCCGGAGGAGGAGCTGGAGGAGTTGGAGCTGGAGGACGAGTTGGTGGACTTGGACGAGGTGGTGGTCGAGTTAGACGAGGTGGTGTTGGCCGCCTTGATACTGGTGTAGTCGCCCGTCTTGTCGGTGTAGGTATAGCTCTCGGCCGGGTTGTAGTTGATGATCTTGACCGACTCCAGGTACATGATGAACGGCCCTTCGCTGTAGTCTGTCTCGCCACCGGCCCATTCGATGGTTCCGATCGAGTTGTCCGGGTCACCACCGGCCCAGATACCGATGCGGATGTTCATGGGCGTCTGGGGGAAGTTCGTGCCATCGACGGCTTCCTCGTAGGTGACCGTCTTCTGGACAACTCCGTCCAGGATCCACTCGATCTTCTCGGTGGTCCAGTCGACCGCGTAGGTGTGGAACTCTTCCTCGGAGTCGGTGACGTTCAAGGTGGCGGAGCGACCGCCCGCGGTGGTGTTGCCCTTGCCGAAGTAATCGGTCTGGACCTCGTTATCCCAGGTGCTGACTTGCTCCTGCAGCGACGATTAGTCCTGTCATGTCCGTCCGGTCTTGTGCACTTACCCAGTCGATCTCGTCCAGGCAGTCGGACTCCATCACACTCGTGCTGATAATGCCCGTGCCGTTGGCAGCCCGGAACTTGACCTCGACATAGCCGAAGAAGATGTAGAAGTCACTTTCGATCGTGGGCGCATCGCCTTCCGCCTTGATCTCGAACTTGGCGCCCAGAGAGGTGCTGTTCACTTTGCCGTCGGTAAAGTTCCACCCATCGAAGGACGATGCGCCAGTGGTGAAGTTGGATTCGAAGGACCACTGGTTCAGACCCTTATCGGCAGGGCAGGTTTCTACCGCAACGAATCAGTTAGAGGTGTCTCGTCGAGTCGCAGGACTGCTGCTCTATCAGTCACGTACCGTTCAACGGGTTGCAGCTGGTGTATGTCTGGGCCGCGCAGAGCGGCAGCGCGGCAGCGAGGGCCACTGCCCACTGCATATACGACTTCATGGCTGTAAGTGGATAACGAGTGAATCCGGAGAAAGGCGAGATAGGCAGCAGTGAAAAGAACGACGACTGCACGAGTGTTGGTTGATGTGATAGATAAACGAATGTATGGCAGTTTGCCTGGGGGTGTGAAGAAGGGAAGATGGAGACAGAAAGAGCAGCAAAGTGAAGATGGGGACTCAGGGGCACGACTGGCCAAGGCAGCAGCGATATACACAGTCTGCAGAGATTGGCAATATCTTCTTCCCTCCGCTGCTAGAGCCTAGGAGGCTAGGGCACCTCCACAGCCCGTAGCGACAGAAGCATGTGCACGCATCTCATTGGCAACAGAGGGGATGGCAGCGTTGGTGTTGGCTGACGGGCTGACGGGCTGTTATCGCCCGGATGGCCATGATAGGCGCCTGTTCGCGAGCAATGGGGCCATGCGGCGGGCCTGAAAGCTTGACACGATGGCCCGGAGATGGCTTGCGTGCGCGTCCTCCACGATGTTCGCTGCTCTGGTTCCTGAATGCTTTTCCGGCCCGCGGGCCCCTTGCCCCGAACGGGCCAAGTGCCGTCGCGGCCGGTGGAGGCCGGACGCAGGACTGCCCAGTAGATGGATGGTTGGCGATGTTATCCCCGAGCTGCCTGCTCGGAGGTGGTGGCTCATCATGGCTGCCATCAAGCTGAAACCGTCTAGGGGCGGCGCCAATCATGCCCGCCCACAAGAAGCCCGTTGTGGCCATTCGGGCGCTGACCATCTAACAATAGAGACCCTTGCCTCTGCAACGGACCCCGAGTCGCATTGCACGCCACTGACCAAGTCCTATTCATGGTGCTGCCGAAGACAGAACCTGCGACGAGGCGGATTAGTTGCAGGCAGACTTTTGCGAGTCGTGGGTGGTGAATAATGGCGAGGATCCATCTAGACAGCGCCCATTCACCATTCGGTGGATCGGATCGTGGTCCCGCCAACGCGGCCCACGCTCCCCAGCCTGGTCTGGTCGGCTTCCATCCGACGAGGATCTTCTCCCGGGCTGATGATCTACGTGGATCATGGGGTTCATCAGGATGACAGGGCCGGGAGAGAGACAACGGGATATCTCTTCCAACGACAGGTCGGCTTGTTCTGTTTCAAACACGGCCCAGATGATGATTGATTTTCCCGGCTCGGCTAGGGCAAGTCAACGCACCTTGGAACTCTGGTCTGTGCTTCGGTCGCGGTGGATACAGCATTGGCCATGACGCAGGTGTCATACGTATCCCTCCCCGAATAAGTTCAAGCTAAGCAGATATAAGCGTTTTTTTTTTTTTACCATTATGCTTAATGCTTATAAGCCAGATTCTTCGTGGTGGGGATGGCGTCGACTCGCACATCTCTTGGCATCGGGGGAGGATGATTCTGGATCTACCGCGTAGGAACGCTTGTCCCATTGAGCACGATTTACCGATGCCAATCGCATCTCCCGTCGAGGTGGATGCGTGGCCCGTCTGGCATGTTTACTGGTTGCTTCATATTGATTGATTGATTGATCCAGGTGTTATCATGGTCGCTGCATATTAAAAGAATGCGAAGAGCCCGTGAGTTGTTGATGAAAAGTATGTTCATCGTCTCCGACAGCTTATATACAATCCCCATTCAAAAATCCGTGCTCATATCGCTGCCGCCTTGATTACCTCGACCACCCGGTCAGGCTGGCTCAGTTGCGGCATATGGCCCGCACTGCACCGTTCAATCTCGCTGCCAGCCAGACCAGCCAGCTGCTCCTGCAGCGGCACGGGGAGCAACTTATCCCCCTCGCAGATCAGGTACACGCTAGGGACATCCTTCCACCCGGTGTAATTGACCTTGCCATCCCACCCTTCCGCCGGCTGGGGCTTGAGCGCTGCCAACCACTTTCCCTTATCCGCCTCTGCGAGATCGTCCAGAAGGAGGACTTCCGGTTGTGCGCAGTAGCACGCACCACCCTGCATGCAGCAGTCAGTCAGGAACCACTGAAGTGAAATCGAATCGCGACGATTGGGGGTCGCAAAAACGACCGATCAACATACCTCGACCACGGCAAACGGCAGCGGTTGGTGCTCGTGCCCTTCGGGGAACACCGCGCCCACCAGGAACACAATCTTGACCACTCCGCCGTTTCCGCCCCGCGCGGTCTTGTCGAGCCCTTTCATCGCCTCGCTGCCAAGAATTCCGCCCCCGGAATGTAACACGAGGATCACCTCCTCCCCGCGCTCGACCACCTTCGTCAGGTGCTCGCGGATGGCGGCAACATCATCGGCCATGGAGGGGTTGCCGGGCGAGACGGTGCCCGTGCTGGGCAGAGTGGTGATTTCGGTCGTGAAGCCATCTGCTCTCAGCAGGGAGGCGACGTGTTCGAAAACGGAGGGTCCTTCCCAGAACCCGGGGACGAAGAAGATCGTAGGTGTCATGGTGAAGGGATGTGGATGGAAATTAGGAAGCGATAAGAGAGATTGCACAGTTGTCAGGCGAGTGGCGATAGAAGGTTGGTGATTGCGGCGAGCATTGAAGTATTTATGGCTGCGGGGGAATGGACGAGGTGGTAAGTGAGGGCGTAGTTTCTTGATCCAAAAGCTAACTACCAGCCGCAGGGACCATCGAACGCTGCTATTCCAGCCGCTTAAATCTCACGTCAGGCCACCGGTCCAAAACTCTGCTTCTGACTTGTTAAGCCATTAACCACTAGTCGCATAGCCTCAATTCTACTGCTACTATTCGTGAGATAATCCTAGCAGACAGCTGGTAAGGCTTTCAGCCTTGTCAGGAGTGAATCTCATTGTGTCCGACCATAGGTATGCATCTTGATGTGAAGACTATGGCGGCAAAAGAAGAACTCCCCGCCGGTGTCTCTCCGGAGAAGGGACCATATAGTCCAGACACATGTTCACATGCACATGTCGGTCATTTTCATGAATATGCTCCGATCGCATTATGTATCCGTTTTGATTGACCACCTCTCGCATCACCTCCTATACTTGCCAATCCACAACGAAGCAAAGTTCAAATATTACTTAGAATCACCATGAGGAGTTTGGGGAGGCGAAATCCGTATCTTTGTCAGACAATACGGGCACCTGACACTCCCTAATAGCCAAATTTTTCTTTGCTGACTGAACCAGTCGGTTGTAATAGAACTGCCGAAACCCCCCTATCCCGGACATACAGAGGGAATATTGAGAATGTTGCCATTTGGAAGATAGTGCGTGACATGTCGACAGTTTGAAGGACTAGTTAAGAGCACCTTCAACAACGGAGCTTCTCCGTGCTCAATGATTGTCACGAGTCCCCTTACAACGGCGCAGATTGCCTCGCCCCTTCGTGGACCCTCGACATAACTGTTTCCATCTAGAACACATATAATGATTGTAGTCTCTGGGATCTGGGACACAAGGCTACTGTAGTGTCGCAGAGGTCGATGGAATCACAAGTTGCAGGCCTCTCTAAAAACCCCTTTAATAGATAGTAAATCAAAACATGGCTAGCGGGAGAGGGCTTGTTGAATAATACTATATATACATAAGTCCCGCGGGGTTAGCCCTCAGATCTGTCGCCTGGTTGATGTGCTCGTCATAAAAAAGTTATAAATAGATAATAGAGCTTTTCAAGTTACTAAGAAAAGCGACAGCCTTGGCGGAAGTGAAAAAAGAACATAGAAAAATAGTGTTTATTTCGCGAACTATTTCGGAGGCTGAGGCTATAGGCTAATTTAGTGGCTGTGAGTGCTGTGATATTATCGCGCTCCTCCTCGATCAGGGTTAGATCCCTATTGATACGCAGATATAATACAAGGTCTTTATCCGCAAGATTAGTATTATAGTCTATATACTTCAGGAGGCGTCCGCGGTTGATTCGCGGTTTTTTGAAGTAGTTAGGCCTAACAACCGCTTAGAGTAGCTTAGTATCAACTAATAACTATAAAATATATTGCACCCACCCAGTGCTTATATATCTTTTATTTAGTCTTCAAGGTATACTTATGCTTGGTTTGATTTATTCAACTGGTGGGCGGTAATTGCAGCTTAAGTATATATAATACTTTGCATCCCCTGCTGCAAGGTCTCCAGCTGGGATAAAACCATGCTAGTGCCTATTTTGACTAGTTATCCGGGGTAATATTTTGGAAATACCTAAATATAGTAATAATATTACGTGAGACCGAGTCAACTCAATAAAGCAAACAAGTGGCTTGAGATAGTAATGTACCAGACCATATATACAACAAATAGGACAAACGAAGTGAAGTAAAGTAATAAGATGAGGCCATCTGCTATCCAGCTAGATGATGGCTGCTCGGGACGAAGAGAACGGGCGGACAGTATACTCGCTGGGTGAGGCGAAGAAGGCACTACAGCAGGTGGTAGGCCCAACAAAATTATTCCATTTAGTAAACACTCTCACAAGACCAGTTCTCAGGGAGATCCGGGTTCCCGCTTCCAGAGTGCTTAGCCTGAAGAGGGAAAGGACAGATAGGTCTCTGGCGAAGAACCTCATCGTGAGTCGAGTCGTCCTTGTACTTGGTGGCAATGATCGACTCGGGAGCGGTACCATTCTCAACCCAGTTCATCAGGGCGAGAATGACATCGTGCTTAGCGTCGCGGTATCCGGGGACACCGCTGACATTGTCACCAAGCTGGGCAGCCTGGTTGGCGCCCGCGATGTACCAGGGAGCGTCCATAGAGTCCGGAGTGGACATGCAGTGCCTGGATGTCGTTAGAGATTTGTCACCTCGGGAAGAGAAGGGGACTAATTGACTTACTCCATGCCCGGAATGAGGAACATGCGGTAGAAGTCACCCACAGTAGTGTTGCTGAGAGCCAGGGCACGAGTAACATGGCCGTGCCAGTAAATACTGCTGCCGGTGGGAAGAGTGGGATCGGCCAGGCCGTGGTGGTGGATGAGCTTGCCGCCACGAGCCTTGAAGGGGGTGATATCAAAATCATCGGCAGTCGAGTTTCCGGGGTTGACCTTGTCGCCGTACTGAACAGTCGCATAGCTGAGATCGGTGTAGTTCCAGTCAGGGCCGTATCCGAGGAGATCCTGGGCATACCCGGCCTGATTGTCGATGGAGGAGAGGGAGCCAGTGCCAACGGCCATGCTCCAGGATGACTCAGTGCCATACAGGTAGTGAGGGAAGACAAAGGTCTGGTTGACATCAACCCAATCGCCGTAGATTTGATAGAGAGTATCAATCTGACGGCCACTGAGACAGTCAATGCTGTTCTCTCCCTTGCAAAGAAGAGCCAAAGGGTCGAAATTGCAACCCAGAGGATCGCTGATGATAGTGTCGATCATCCCATCCTGAGGATCGCACTGCTTGAGAACTTCGTCACCAATGACATCGAACATAGATGCGGGGATCGTGTGCTCTGCATCTTCCGGGAAGTTCCAGAGCAAGACCTTGAGGGCGAACAGCTGATTGTGGTTAGTCCACCAGGCAGGAGCACCAGCGGATACTCCATCATAGTCCTCAGGGAACAACTGAAGGGCACGAAGACCCTGTCTTCCGCCGACTGAACAGCCACTGTAGTAGTTGTACTCAGACTTCTGGCCATACCAGTCTTTGATGATGACCTTCGAGGTCACAGTGGCCTCATGAAGAGCGCGCCAGGCCCAGTCCACGACCGATTCTTCATTGTGGTATGCCCAAGAGGTGGACTCATAGCTTCCCTGGTGACCGGTATCGGTTGACATGACAGCAAAGCCGTATCCAGCGCCGGCTCCCTAGATAAACCAAAGGATCAGAGAAGCCAGAGAAAAAGGGGGTACGGAAGACCGTACCATGTCAATCCAGTTGATTCCACCCGCGTATCCGCCGTTTCCAACGGCACTATATGATTTTTTAGAACACATTTGCCGAAGTGCGTACAACAGGGAAGGGCTCACAGGAATCGGTTATTCCATTCATTGGGGAGGAAGAGACCGAAGTTGTAGGTGGTGCCGGCCTCGGTAGTCATATTGGCCTCCAACTGACAAAGCGCAGGCAAACCCGCGGGTGAGGTAGGATAAGCCTCGTCATCAGAGACCTCGTAAGTTCCATTGGTGGCAATACTACTCGCAGCAGTCACGGTACCATTGAGACCATTCTCATTGAGGATCTTCTGAAAGGCATTGATCGAACACGGGAGTGAGGTAGCAGAAGCAAGGCCGAGAAGCCCGAGTTGGGCAAGGACCATAGTAGGATTCTTCATTGTGTCTTGAGAAAGTATAATGAGATTGTTTGAGCATGATAGGCACTGACGAGTAAGGACTTCGCAGGTATTTTATACTTCAGACTCCTCGACATCGGATTTGACTCGACAAATCATGCACAGTCTGAAACATCTGCTCCGAGTGCCCGAGGTTTCCAACTCTGAACCTGTAGTGAAGCACATGCATCTGGATATCGGAATTACCTCAACAGATCATACCCGATTTGAGACCTTCGCTCCGAATGTCGGACTTCTCTGTGCCTGAGCCCACAACCAAGTTTCATGTGTATTTGAACACGATGCCTATTGTCAGCGCCATTGAAGCAAGAAACGTCTCTAGCGTCATCATAGGAGACATATTCGATGAGATAGGTGGGAATATCTCAAGAAGTCTCCATGATCGAACGAGGTTAATCTGTTCTTACCCCTGGAACTAGAGCGTGGCGTTGCTTTCCGCCCAATTACAACTCAGTGCCGCGGGGAGTTTTGGAATTTTCCTATCAGGGCCTTGTGTAGGGGAAACGCTCAAGTCCCCTAAGCTTAAATTTTCTTCTTCATCGATTCCTGTACCTGAAAGCCCATAGCTTGGCACGTCTCTATACCCTAATGGAGGTCCTAGAGCTACCGATAGGCGACGGTGTCTTGCCAGACGTGAATTGATACCACAACTAGTACTACTACTATGACTGCGATAATATGAATAAGAACTCCTAACAAGTAAGGGACGTGCTAATTGACCACCTGATCATGTTGTCCCATGGCGACTTACCACTACTAGATGGTGAGGCAGGTATGTAGGGTCCAGTGAGTGCCTGGGGTCCATTCGATATGCGCGCTACTATGTCGTTAATAGCGCGGAATTGAGTGGGTCAAGCCGAAGACTACAGCCGAGAATAGCCAGAATACGACTGGACTGGCAGCATGATCGGAATTGTAAGGGTCCACGGAGTTCTGTCTACTCTGTATCTATTCAATGCTAAAAAAACAGCTGATTCTACGGAGTACCGTTCCCCACAATCACTATCTGCGGAGAGGTAGTACTCGATGTACTTAGTGGGTATCGTTCTAGGGGTCGCATTTTTTCTCGCCGCGTTTGCGGGCTATCTTCCATCTACATATATTTACTGGTGGCAGATTTCAACTGCACCACTGGTCCAGTCGCGGCTGTATCAAGCCCTGTCTACGCAGCGGCTTCCCAAACTCCTCTTTCTCGGCTTCTGCAGTTTACTCAGAGTCTGCTCAAATCTGCTCATGCTCGATCCGCGGGCCCTTGTGGATAATATCCGGATCCTCCACCAGTCGGAATTGGGTATCCCGCATTAGCTTCTTGGCTGACGCCTAGACCTACCCTCTCCGGCAGGTGAGTTTCAAGATAAGGTGAAGGTGAAATGCATGTCACATATTCTATCTATGTACATTGTGCCATCCATCTACCCACAACACTCCATCGGCTTTTCCCCCGCCATTCCCGCGGCCGCATCTGGCGCGGCAGTCGGAGAAGCCGGGCGCGGCACCACAACCCTATATTGTCCCCAGTCGCAGAACGCCTTCCCGAAAAACGCCCCCAGGAAGATCGATATGATCATGTACCCGTTGTAATACATCGCGATCAGCATGATGATGTATGCGAGGCCGAATTGTAGCGTGTGGATGAGTGCGCGTATCATTTGTTGCATGGGGCTTGCTTGGAAGGTTACTATTGTTGGCGTGCTGTCGATGGAGTCACCGCAGAATAGTTGCATCTTCTCGTGGGCGCTTTGCGCGGCGACGTGCCGCTGGAATTGACGCTGGATGCTATCTTCGTATTCTTTTCCGAGTCGACGGAGGAATTCTAAGACGATGACGAGGAAGGCGACCCCGATGCAGGAGACGGCAAACTGTCCGGCGGTTTTGACGTGCCAGGACGGGGCGAGGAAACCTGGGTCTGTCAGCAGTCATCCTATCGAAGACACAATGGGATCTCCCTAGCTATAAGGTTGTCGAGACACCTTGCTAGTCTAGGGGTAACATCCGTTTTCTAACGGATTCTATTTGGACGGAACGGGGGGACTGACAGGAATCAATGGTAGACCAGTTCCATAGCATCTGTGTCGCGCAGTATGGTCAGTGAAACGTAGTTGACATATATACACAATGGCCAGGCCTACTGTGACGGAGCAGTCGCTCGAATTGGAGCTGCTAGACATGTCCATGTTCATGTCCATGCCCATTGTGAGAGAGAATCGAATCCAGCGAGGCTGGCGATCGTCGGAGACTATGATTCTGAATAAACGTGATGTTATCGTATGGAATGGACAGACAGGGGAGGGATGCATGTAGATATGGACATCCAGAGATTATCTAGGGGCACGAAGGAATGACTGCCATCCGGTGGGAAGTCTTGGCGGAAGCGGAGCCCGCTTGGCAACTGGCACTTGAGCACATTTCGGACTTGGCGACTCCACCCCGGCGTCGTCTGGAGGCCATTAATACGACATCTGGTGGGGATGGTAATATGTTCTCCAAGGTCTGGCTCTTGCGCCAGATATATCTATAGGTCGCCCATGCCGTGAAGTCTGACACCTGTTCGATCATGCATCTCGAGTGTTGACATCTGCCTCGATCAGGCACCATGACCGGCTCCCGGGCTGCCCGTCACATCCAGGACTTTTCCTCGGATTCCACCCTAGAATACCACTGGGGATATGTTGCCCGACAGGTTCCCTGCACCAAGGATGCCGGGACCTGCGCGTACCTGGACGCCGTCTACCACGACCATGATATCAGCATGCTGTACAGCTTCATCCTCTGGGCCGTGATCGTGGGCATTCTGTTCCTATGGGCTGTCGGACGGCATTTCATCCAGTTCAATCGCAATCGCTCCACTGCTTCCTCCTCCTCTCCCAAACTCGACTCCGAACCTCTCGAGCCTTCCGCCAGTCCCCAAGGCGCAGCTTATCGTCTCAGCAGGACCGTCCGCGCTGCTGTCCGTCGACATCTACTCCCTGAAACAGACACCCTTTCCTGGGTATTCGGACACACCACTCGACTACAACTGCTCGTGTTCCTGATTCTGTCAGCCTACCTCCTCATCTTCACTCTGGTCGGAATCACCTACAAAACCTGGGTGACGCCCATCTCCGGCAGTCCCGGGCTGTCGAACACGCGCAGCGGCCTCGGCACATGGGCAGATCGCATCGGGGTGCTCGCCTTCGCGCTCATCCCGCTGTCCGTCCTCCTCTCCAGTCGCGAATCCCTCCTCTCGCTCATTACCGGCATTCCCTACCACCACTTCAACTTCCTCCACCGCTGGCTCGGATACGTCATCTACATCCAATCCGCCCTGCACACCCTCGGCTGGACGATCGTCGAGGGCCGACTCTACCAGCCTCAGCCGTCCCAGTGGAACAGCTTCATCGGCCAACCCTATATCATCTGGGGTATTGTCGCCATGATCCTTCTCTCCTTCTTGGTCTTCCACAGCACAAAGTGGGGGATTCGGCTCACGGGGTACGAATGCTTCCGCAAGGCCCACTACGTCGTCGCGATGGTGTTCGTGGGTGCCTGCTGGGCCCATTGGTCGCATCTGTACTGCTGGATGATTGCCTCGCTGGTCGTTTGGTTTCTTGATCGGGGGGCCCGTTTGGTCCGCACTTTCGCTATCCACCATCTCAATGTCCCGTCCGTGAACGCCTCGTTTGGGCTGCATATCCCCAAAGCCACGATCCGGCCGTTTGCAAATGAGTCTGACGGGGATGTCGTGAGACTGGACTTCCAGCACAACCATGACGAGTGGCGCATCGGCCAGCACTTCTTCCTTTGCTTTCCCGAGCTCAGTATCTGGCAGGCTCATCCCCTCACCCCCGCCAGCGTGCCGGGCACCCTCCCCACTGGCCAGCCACACACGTACATCATCCGCGCCAGGAAAGGGTTAACTTCACACCTCGCCAAGGCAGCTAAGGCGCAGTCGGGCGCGGGAAAAGGGGAGACTGCGGCCATGGCGAGTCTCGCGTCGACAACCTCAGTTGTTCTGTCAGGACCGTATGGCCAGTCAGTCATGGGCGGTGGCAGTGAGGGTGCATATGCAGACAACGACATCAACGTTCTTTGTGTCGCCGGTGGCACCGGCATCACGTTTGTGCTACCTCCTCTGCTGAAAATCATGACCCACCCAGGCTGTACCGCTAATGGGAGTCGGCTGGTGGAGTTGGTCTGGGTGATCCGTCGCGAGGCTGATATGCAATGGATCGAACCAGAGCTCGATGTCCTGCGGAAGGTCGCTTCCACCTCGATCAACTGTCGCATCCGCGTCTTTGTCACCCGTGAAAGGGGGCCGGCGGATGTGGAAAGCGCCACATGCTGTGACTCTGCTGGGGATCGGAAGTCTGCATATCTTGCTGGATCGGACTTTTCAGACAGGCCTTTCATGGTCCAATATTCCACCGAATGTGAACAAAGCGCCCATCCCGATCTGGATCTCTACTTGTCGGACTTCCTTTCGCGTGTATCACAGGGTCCGACGCGCATCCTTGCCAGTGGCCCGTCGGGCATGATCACTCGGTTGCGCAAGTCGGTGGCTGCGAGCAATGAGCCTGGGAAGGTGTGGCGGGGGGATGAGCGGCGGGATGTACAGCTGGTGCACGATGATCGGGTGGAATGGTGAGTATGAATGAAGAACTCTGACTCTGCCACCTTGTATATATATATACTTTCGATTTTGTTTTCTATATTGCAACGAAGATACCCCTTATTACATCGAGTCCGGCCTGCATATTCCCACGTTCATTCAAATGAAAAGCTCGCTGGGATATACTCTGACAGAACATGGCCGACAGGGTATCACCAGTCCGGAATAGGACAACAAAGGTAAAGTAACCCTACAGCGAGGTCTCCTCAGTGCGACGCAGTCTTCTGGGCAAGCAGAGTGCCTGCCAATCGACCAAACGTCAGGCATCGAAGCACGGAAGTGAGCGGTGGATTGCCTATCTCGTAGTTAGCCGTCCTGCTGCCTCCATCTAGGTCCGGCACCGATCTTACCGTTGTAATAGAGTCCCGTCAGTTCCCCCGTGGCCCACAGCCCCGGAATCGGGGCTCCATCCGGGGCAAGGACCTGCGAGTCGGTGTTGACCTTGATGCCACCAAAGGTAAAGACCAACTGCGCAGTGACCGGGAAGGCATAATACGGGGGGTTATCCAGTGGCGTCGCCCAGTTGGACTTGTTGATCCGAAGACCGCTGGTGGCTTTCCCGTCCAGCTGCATCGGATCGAAGGGTTTGTCGTTGCAGGCCGCGTTGAACTCTGAGATCGTCCTGTGTAGCTGAACCGGGTCCACTCCCAGCGTCATCGCCAATTCACGGATGGTGTCGGCCTGGAAGGGCTCCCGATCCGTCGACTCGTAGACCCAGCCCGGGCGGAATCGCTCCATGATGGTCGCGTCAGTGATGAAGAAGCCCTTGTTGTTGTGGTGTCCCCGCCACAGCTCGACGGCAATCCCCTCGAATGTGGCAAACAGCTGCCGCTTACCCTCGTCGTAGAAGCGCTCGCACTGCTCGTCGACGACGATCCCATAGCTGTGGCCGTAGATCGCCGCGTTCGGCTTGCTGGTGCGCGCGTCGGCCAGCTCCAGGTGCATGCCATCGAACGATCCGGCCGTGTCGCAGCCCACGTCCAGGGCCATCTTGAGTCCCTGGCCTCGGTTGTATCGCAATCCCGGCGCAATCAGCGACAACTGATCGGTCGTGGGACCGACATGTCTGGCCAGCATCTCCTGGTTGCCCTCAAATCCACCGCAGGAGAGCATCACGTCCGGCGCGTACAAATCCTCCAGGAGACCATTCGACCGTCGCACCGTCACCCCGTTCACTCGTCCCCGGGGGTCTCGCAACAGCTTTCTCGCCTCCGTCTGCCAGTGCACCTCGCAATTGTCAAACCGGTGGAGGTGCTCCATGAGCACCTGCACCATAGCCCATCCGCCACCCTCCGGCATGACAAAATGCTGGTCGGTCTCGAACTCCAGCAGAACCTAGGCCGTGTTAGCGGAACCATCTGTGGTCGGTTAAGCGGGGACATTCGGCCTGCATTTTCTTCCGCGTGTCGAATGAACCGCACGCCATGGTCCTGCAGATATTCTGCTGTCGCTCTGGCCTCTTTCGCCAGCTTCTTGCAATACTCCAGATCGGCCTGACCGTCGCTTACGTCGGTCATCTCTCGGATCCAGCCCGGGTCGAAGTTCAGGTCTCTGTCGAGCCGCAGGAAGGCTCCGGTCCAGCGGGAGGCACCGCAGCGTTCGCCGTTCTTGCCGGCCTCGACCAGGGCGACTCGGACATGCTTACGGGCGTTCTGGCTTGTCTCGAGGAAGTTCAAGGCAGTCATGCAGCCGGCAAACCCGGAGCCGACCACGATCAAGTCGTATCTGTCGGATCTGTTCACGGACATGATTCGCGTGGAAGGAATGTCCCGGGGACTGCCTAGAGAGAACTAGGGGGACAAGAGGGGAAACAGCAGGCAACACGCAAAATGCAAAAGCAGCAGGTCAAGCGGGCGAGCGACCAGGCTGGACATCCTTCCTTGATTGTTGTCACGCACGAAGTGGGGTTTGACAAGGGGGGGGGGGGGGGGTCTGGGCCGGCGGTCGGGCGGGCTCGAGATAGGGGACTTTGGGGGACTTAGGGCATCGCCAGGTTTGTTTTCTTCCGCCTCGCGAAATCACCGTTCAGCCGCACGCACGGCCTTTAGATTAACACCAGCGGAAATTAGTCCCTGAGCTGTCCACAACCCGGTCACTTAGCGCGCGATGTGGTCGATGTGGTTGAGATAGATTAAGTCCGTGATGGGGACGAAGCCGGGAATCTCCGGTCGGCCGGAAGATCGCGCCATGACCTGTCGTTTGTTCGTTTGTTTGTTGAAGAGGCTCAGTGACCAGCCCATTCCATTCCCTCCCCCCAGCCTTCCAAGGCGATGAGGAGCCCATGATCTGCCTGCGGAGCTTCTTTGGGTCAAATCCAAAGTCAAGGTGAGTCAAGGTGAGTCAAGGTGCTATTGATAGCTCCCTGGAGCGACCATGGTTGGGCAGCGGTGGGCTGCAGGTGGAGGTGGTGGGTGGTGGTGGTGCGGACCGAACCAGAACCGGCCGGAGAGGCTGCGAATGGCCTAAAATTAAACGACAACGCCTATCAATGGGAGCAGGCGGAGACCGGGGGAACAAAGAACATGCGATGACTACTAGCAACTCCGTAGGAGGCCCAGGACTGGGGTTGAGAGGTGCTTTATTACAAAAAAAAAAAAAAGTAAGCCGTAGCCAGGCTGGCTGCTCCACCCGGCGGAGATGCTTGTAGAGTGTAACCCTAGTCCATTTACCTGCAGCTGTCACACCAAACCCACCCCCAAGGCCCTCATTTCACTGCGTTCCCACCAGGTATTGGCCCCCAAATTTATCCGTCGAGCCACCGCATCATGACAGGGGTTGATTCACGGACGTTAATGCACCGCCCCTTAAAAGGTCCTGGGCTGACTTCCCCCGTTCGCCTCTTTTGAAACGCACAACCACAACCCCCCCCCCTTCTCCCTCCCTCTCTCTCTCGCCGTCTCTCATCCCCAACCCTAATCCCTACTGCTCGTCCCTCACATCAGCCAACAATGGCTGTGGCTGACGAGTGTTCGGATAACCTCCTGATGAGAGCCAAGTCGCCGGAGGTCAGCCCGCGTGAAATCACCGGCGATCGCGACCGCAAGAGCAAGAGCGAGTTCAGCATCGTCAGTCCGCGGTCGTCGTTCCGGTCCAGCATGGCCAGCAGCCTCTTCAAGCCCAAAGCATTGGGGGTGGATCGGCATGGCGATCCCCCCGAGTCTCCCCCAGTCGACCAGCCTCTCGCTCCTCGCCAAGCCAAGTCCCTGTTCGTCGTCCTCCTCATCCTGGCCATCTACACCACCATCATGTCCGGCTTGTTCTTCATCATCGCCTGCCTGAAGCCCTTCTACGGCGACTGGATCGGCCGCAGTGGCAACCTGTCCGCCTCCTCCGCCTCTCTTCTCAGTGCCCTGCTGGCCAAGACCATCGAACTGTCCTATGTGACCGTCTGCGTCGCCTTCCTGGGCCAGCTGCTCAGTCGGCGGGCTCTGCGGCATGGGTCGGAGGGGGTCAGCGTCGCGGACATGACGCTGCGGACATGGATCACCCAGCCAGGGTCGCTGCTGATGCAGTGGGAAGTCCTGCGCTACTCGGGCTGGACGATCCTGGGCGTCATCACCCTGGTGGTCGCCCTGGTGGCCATGTTGTACACCACTGCGGCCGAAGCTCTGGGTAGGATCCCTTTTTTTTTTTTTTTTTTTTTTTTTCTTTCTGTCTTTCTTTCTTCTACACCCATTGGTGCCGTCTGTGTCTTGCTTGCTGACAGTGATGCCCAGTGTCCCCCGACTTGGTTCTGGGCCCCGTGCGCCATCGCGTCCTGCAGGGCAATGTCTCGACGGAATACTCCAACCCCTACTACCTGGAAAACAACTGCCAGACCCCCATCACCTCGGCCATGGACCCGGTCTACTGGAACTCGACCTGCCTGGCCATCGAGCTGGCAGGTCGGGCCTTCCACGACTTCGACCAGTACATCCAGGACTGGGCCATCCAGGTGCAGTCCGGCAACGACACGTCGACCTCGCTGGTCTCCCGTCCCAAGCCCTACGGCCAGCTGTACGACAACACCACCGTGACGGGCCACTGGATCGAGATCGTCAACACCACCGAGGTCTCCTCGCAGTACGGCCGCATGGTGAACAATGTCACCGCCGCCTACCCGCACGCCGGTCTGTTTGCCGCCGCGCGCGACCCGAAGAACCACATCCAGCAGCCCGTCGATCTGTCCGGCGAGGGCAAATACATCCTCCAGGCCTCCGTCCCCGTGCCCGCCGTCAACGTGCTGTGCGCGGGTCTGTCGACCGAAGACCTCAAGCCCATGATCTATACCGAGTGGCCCGACCACGAGACCTTCAACGCCTCCACCTGGTATGCGGACACCCTCGCCGTCTCGACCACCAACGCCACCGTGATCGACGACCTCTTCGGCTTCGACTCCGACAACCAAGCCCCCGTCTTCCCCATCTACCCCGTGGCCATGAACACCATCATCAACCCCCGCGTCCTCAACACCACCTACCTCTATCTCCTGGGCGCCTCCCCCGCCGGCCACAACCCCCCGTACGTGATGTGTGGCCTGCGCGGCAAGCAGTCGGGCAAGTGCTCGGTCAAGTACCAGGTCGACTCGAGTGGCGGCGTGCTCAGCGCGATCTGCGAGGACCCGTCCGACGCCCTGCAGTACGACCGGCTGTCGGACCCCGGGATGGTGGAGGACGAGTGGGACGTGAACTGGAAGAGCGTGGCGTGGGAGTGGGCCGACTCGGTGACGCTGGGATCGGGCATCACCGGGGGGGACGCCAGTATCGAGCGCATGCTGATGGAAATGGTCCCGGCCTTCGACAACGCCACCAACACCTCCAGCCTGGCGAGCAATCTGCCCTCGACCGGTGAGGCCCTGGCCGTGATGGCGGGCACGACCCTCCTGCTGGGCAGCCAGGACTCCCCCTTCGTCCCCTTCTGGAACTACACCAATTCCACCCTCGACCCGCCCGTCGTGCAGATCTTCAACGCAACGCTCCAGTCCGCGGGGTATGCCTCGGGTCGCGTCACCGACTGGCAGCAGGTCTTCTATGTCATCCTGGCCGTCGTGTTCGTGACCAACGTCGTGTGTCTGGCCTTCATCCTGCTGCAGCTGCGCGGCCACCTCGTCACGGACTTCACGGAGCCCCCGAACTTGTTCGCCCTGGCCGTCAGCAGTCCCGACACCTCTCGCCTGGCAGGAATGGCGGGGGAGGCACCCTCGGGACCGCGACTGCGCGAACGCTGGCATGTGGGCGTTCGGGAGGAGAGCGGGCATTTCTTCATTCGGACGCGGATGGAGCGCGAGGCGGCGATGTACTCGACGGCCCGCGATGTCGGGGATCGGGACGCGGTGGAGGTCATTGTCGAGGAAGAATCGTCATGATTTTCTTTTCTTCTTTTCTTGTTTTCTTGTTCTTTGGTCTGGTCTGACGTTTTAGCAAGCCCATCATGTTAGTACAATAATAGAATGAATGATTTACACTGATACGGTTTTGGGGTCATGGATTAAAAGCTTAGCTGCAGCAGGTGACTCGCATTGAATCCGTTACTCATACGGTCACTCGAAGGATTCTGGTGTTGATCATAGTGTATAGTACAGTCAGAAATATATCTCGGGGGTTTCCCCACCTGGCAGTTCTGAACGTAGTAGTGAAATGAGATACGGCACACGTCGTAGCAGCGGAGAAACAAAGAGAGAGATATATATATATAAACCGTCCCTCAACAAGACGCAAAGAGGTACAGTAACAATTTTACTCCATGGTGCTCGTCAATGGTAAGTAAGTTAAGTCTCTGGCTAAGAGTGAGGCTGGTGAATGTGGATTCTTTTCACTCCGCTTATAGGGGTTTATTCCCGGTCTGTCCTCCACAAGAAGCCCGGCTAGCTCAATCGGCAGAGCGTGAGACTCTTAATCTCAAGGTTGCGGGTTCAACCCCCGCGTTGGGCTTTCTTTTCCCCTCCCCCGATGGTCTAGTTGGTTATGGCGTCCGGCTGTAATGGTTCATTGTCACCGGAAAATCACCAGTTCGATTCTGGTTCGGGGGATCATCTTTTTTTCTTTTTTTTTTTTGTATTCATACCACTCCAACACGACATGTCTCAGAATTGACTGCCTCAAGCCCGACACAAGATCAAGATTCTGTCCTACCCGCAGTGCCACTTCTCCCTCACGTAGCCGCCTGACCCTTACTCGGAGAATTGATAGCTGTCCGCAGATCCCAGGTCAAGGGATGATGGAGTCCCTTCCAGCACACCGGTCCCTATCCCTTGCGTCGCACATGCCTGAGGTCCAGGATTATTATCCCGATGAGATTCTCCCCCATGTTCAACGATGCTTATTACATAGTTACACATCACACGTCCTGCTTGGCAGGTATTTACCCCATCCCAGCTCAATTAAGCTCTACTTCGTGATATACTCCATTTCGTGACATCTATCCTCGGCTTCTGGATTCTCGATCATGGACTCGACCGAAGCTGTCCCCGAGAATGTCGTCCATCCGCCCGGCACGGCGGTGATGCGCGATGGAGAGAACCAGCGGGTTCATGGATCGAAATCGGGCCTTGTGTGAGTTGCCACCCTCGAAATCATGTCTGCCCGTATACTCGATACTAACTGTTTAGCCTCGTCCCTCAGCCTTCAAATGACCCCCACGATCCGCTCAACTGGTCAGCAAAGTGGAAGTGTAAGTCAAGAATACCAACCACCAACACCCCCCCACTGTCTCACGGACTGACTGTATCACAGACACAGCCCTACTCACCCAGCTACTCGCCACCTGCTTCTCCACCGCAACAGCCCTATCCATGAGCCCGATGTTTCCCTCCTTCGCGCAGGAATTCCACCTCGACAACACCCAGCTCCTCCTCATCACCGGTGTCTGTATCTTGGCCTTCGCCTACGCAAACTTCCTCATCGTTCCTTGCTCCAATATCTTCGGGAGGAGGCCGACATACTTCGTCTTCACTCTGATCAGCATCGCTGCCCTGATCTGGCAGGCTCGCGCGACCTCGTATGCCAGTCTGATTGTCGCACGGGTGGTCAATGGCGCTGGGGCAGCCACGAACGAGACCATGGCCATCCAGGTTATTGCTGATATGCTGTTTCTGCATGAGAGAGGACTGTGGACCATGGCCTACTTGTGAGTCAACCTGGATATAGTGGCATTGGACATTGCTAATCCATTCGATAATCAGCACTTCCACGTCCTTAGGTGCCTACCTCGGCCCCGTCATCTCGGGCAACATCACCGAACGGTAAGATCTATTCATCCATCCATCTAAACAATCAACCGCTAACGCCACCCAGATTCGGCTGGCGCAGCTTCTTCTGGCTCTCCGTCGCCCTCAACAGCTTCAACTTCATCACCATCCTGCTCTGCTACCCCGAAACCAGATACCGTCGCGACACTCAACTCACCCAGGAGACCTCTCCCATCTCCGTGTCTACTCCCATCCCCGACGACGAGAAAATCACCAAACCCTCCACCACAACCCCCCTCCCACCCCCTCATCCCCCCACACCAAGCCCAGGAACCGGCTTCCCCTCCAAAACCCAATTCCACCTCTGGCAGATCCCCGACCCGCAATGGAAACGCTTCCTCCTCCGCGACTGTCTCACCCCCGTGCGCGTATGCATCTACCCGATCATCTTCTGGGCTGGCCTCGCCGTCTCGGGGTCCTCGAATCTCGTTCTCTTCTGGAACCTCACCGAGTCGTCTGTTCTCGGCGCGCCGCCGTACAACTTCAGCGCGTCCGCCGTGGGATACTCCAATTTCGCGTTTGCGGTCGGCGTCCTGGTTGGGCTTGTCACGGCGGGGCCGTGGTCGGATTGGGTGGTGCTGAAGGCTACCGGGCGGAATAACGGGGTCTATGAGGCGGAGATGCGTCTGTTTGCGCTGCTTCCGTGCTTGGTTCTGGTCGTTGTGTCCACGGTGGTTGGGGCGTTTGCGATGGAGCGTCGCTGGGATTGGCCCGTCATTCTGGTGGTTGGGTATGCCCTGTGTGGCATCTGTGGGGCGGCGATTGGGAGTATCAGCGTCGCGTATGCCGTGGACTGCTATAAGCCTATCTCCGGGGAGATTATGACGGTGGTCACCGTGATTAAGAATACGTGTGGGTTTGGTATGAGTTTCTGGCTGCCGTCGTTGGCGGCTCGTACCCGGGGCTATTTTACTCCTGCGATGGTTCAGCTTGCCCTCACGGTTGGGCCGCTTGTCTTGGCTGGGCCCATGTATTTCTGGGGGAAGAGGTTCAGGGTCTGGACTCGGAACTCGAGTGTGCATTCTTACGAGATGTAGGTGGTGGCAGACATGAACAGAAGAGGCTTTGGGACGGGTTGTTTGATTTTGAATTATGTGACCATTATGGATGCGGCGACTGGCGCATCGTGTTTCGTTTGTAGTTAGCGTGATGATGATGATGATGATGATGATGATGAATAGGGTATATATATAAAAGACCGCGCTGGTCCATGTGACATCTCCCTCGAGGCGGACAGTCGGGTGGTCGAGTGTCCCTCCGACTGATATATCTGGATCTGGCGATGTATGTGTATGGATGCAAAAACAGGTCACCCTCATGACCTCAGCCCAGGCTCTTGTGAACAAGATGTTCGTCACTTCCGATTCCCTCATACCGCTCGGGCAAACTCATCGACAATGTCTGGTCACCGGCTGAGAAATCCTCGACGTCCACTGTCTGAGTGATCGTGTTGCTGTTCTTCGAAGGGGTCGCTGGCTCGCGAGTCGCGCGTTCGGCATATGAAGGGGGCTCGGGCCTTTTTGCTCGTCGCAGGGTCCATAGGGTCGGAATATTCGCGACTAGCGCCGACAGGAATATCTCGATCCCCGACCAGAGTGATTGGAGGTACAGCATGTGTCTACCTGCAGCGACGGGATAGCGAGCGAGATCGATGCTCACCAGAAAGATGCCCATGGAGAAGAGACCGATAATGCCTACACGCCTTGGGTCCGGTCAGTTTGAACCTGGCCGGGTCGAGAGGAGATTTCCTTACTGGTACCAGGGCCGCTTGACCCGGACGATCCACGGCAGGGGGAGGAGGATGAGGAGAGCATCGGTCAAGCCGTCGAGGAGGAATAGCATGCGGAAATGGGCCGTTTGGAAGATGCACTCGGCTGTAACCGCGAGGCGCCTTAGACTCGGGGGAGATGCGATGCGGGGGATCATCTCTTGTCCTGTAGTACGTACCTGGATGGGGCAGAACCTGCCAGTAAAGCCTGAGGGGCTCGCACACGGTGAGAATGGTAGCGAGCCCCCCCACCAATGTCACCAACAGCATCCCCCAATAGACTCGGATCCAGGTTTGAACCCAGGGCAGCACTCCCAGGACACGGTCGATGAAGAGTAACGCAACACCCTTCTGAGACCAGGCACTAGGCTATATCAGTATCGCCCGCTAGACGCAACCGGCCGGAGTGGATGGGATCACACGCACTAGAAGACATAGACGACCTCGTTCATCAGGGTCATCTGGCTCCCGATCCGTTGATGGGAGACTTTCGTTGCAGTCGGGAGACTCGACGCATCGTACGGCGGGTTCCACGACGTGCCAAGGAGGATGATGACTTGTGGCTCGATAGTCGCATAGATCATGATCACGATGCAGAACATGGTGAGGTAGTCGCCTCCATCGAAAGACTGGCCCCGGCGCTTGCGCAGAAAGAGACGGAAGCCCATGATGAGGATGGTCAGCACACCGAGGATAGTCCCCGTGATGACCGGGACTGCGTATCCCTTCTTCTGAGCGATCATGGCGAGCGTGGTGAATGCCGAGGGCACGAGTATCGACGGTTGGGGAGGCTGTGACTACGAGGAGGTTCCCCTGGAGGGTTAGGGCTCGTCAGACTGACAGGTCAGGTCCGCCATGCACGCAAAGAAAGTTCCACGAGAGTGACCCCGAGAGTCAACTCGTCCAGCTCGCTGGGTTGGTTCCAATCACCAATTTATGACTGCCATCGTGTGCGAATCCGGCTCCGAGTGCGGCAGAGCAGGCCAGGAGTTGCATCCCCAACATCCACCACTGGTCAAGCCCGCCGGACCGTCAGGGCGCCACCACGAATACAGATCGACTCAGACAGCACCCGGTGACCCAGCACCGGGGTCCAAGGTTGGGGTCCAGCTTCGCCCCTGGCCCAGGCTAGCAGCAGGCGCCCCAGGGGGATGTGCGTACACGATGGAACGCGAGTGGCCAGGCCTCCCACTAGCCCGTCCCGATCGGATGGACTACGGGTGGGAGACAAAGAACAAGATCCGCCACACAGCCCCGGGGAAAGCCATCCTGGATTCCGCTCCTCCCTCGCTGCCCGATCGGGGTCTGGCTCCGAAGTCCTGTTCCTTGGCTGGACCCAAGCGCTCTTTTGTTGTCGAGTCCCCACTGGTCGGAGTTGGAGGGAAGACTGGTTTTTGGGATAGGCGCTCGGTGCTGCGTCCCCTTGTCTGCCCCCTCTTCGTGTCTCCTCCCCGTGGACTTGGGAGGTTAATCCACTTTCCTGCGCAGTGGTTGGGCAGAGGCTATCTCCATCGGGTGATCTCGGCTGTGACACGTCTCTGATGTCGATGAGGGCGTAGTTATCACTTCTTTATTTGCCATCTGGGCGGTACCCCGGCGTGGCGTTGGAGACGCCATCTCTATTTCCCAGTGTATCTGGATGCAATATGGATGCGTGTTGGATAGAGGACCAGCCCGGTCTAGGTGCCTGCACGCCTTCTCGGTCGAGTGGATGTGGTTCGCAATGTGCCATCCATAACGAGATTGCGATGGCGGGTGGAAATTGGGGGTTGATGGCTGGAGATTGCGATCACGATCAACTGGCAGATCAGGCGCATCGGAGGCAACATGAAGCCAACCGAGATAGGGGCCTCCCTGGCTAGAAGGTTCTCGACACATCTTTTCGGTCCACGAGTCAGGTCCTGTTTCCGACAGTGGAAGCCCAGGCTCATCTGTTCAGAAAGGGGCGAGCTGTTGTCCACCCGATAAGTCAGCTCTCTTAACCCTCAGTTTCATTCATTAGACCGATTGAGATATGGAGAGGGAGTAGTCACCCATCGCGCTCCCCTGCCATAAGGTTGTCCCCGACACTTCTAAAAACCGAACTGAAGACGACGGACGCACTCCAAACGAAAGACCTGCGGGGACATCTCCCACAGATATATCCAGACCAGACCTGGCCGAAGACCCCGAACTTCACTCGCCGGTGTTCCCCGAGCGCTTCTCCTGCAGGCCATCTGCGCGACCGAACGGCGACCCATGTTGCCCGAGAACGCAGTCTTTCCCTCTCCCCCGGACCCCCTATCGAGTCGAGTACCTCTGGCTTGCATCCGGGCCATGCACCGTTGCAGTCGGGTCCAGCCGACAGGCGTGGCCGCCAGTGAGCGGGAGGGCGACGGAGCAGAAGAATGCTGGACGAGGATGAGAGTGGAGGCAAGTGGAGGCAAGTGGATTCGAGAGGAGGACCTATCTAGGGGATGGCTGGCAGCACCACCAGCCAAGCCCTCCCTGTCCGGTGAGGCCACTCGGCCCATCAGCCCTATAGGGCGCCGTGGGGAGTCGCAAGGAGATGATGCTGGCATCCAGCTCGGCCATCTACCTACCACTCTCAGCCCTACCCTCCAACAAGAGCCCCCAGCTAAGGCCAGGCAGGCAGTGAATGGTCATCCAGTCGGGAGGGAATTGATTCTGAGGGGGGTTCTTTGAAGCGAGCGAGTTGCCTCCAGATGAACGGGTGTGCTGCGACTCTCCATCATCAACAATCCTTTCTTCCTCGTCATGCACAGTCCACTCCCTTCTTTACTCTCCCCCCCTCCTCCTCCTCCTCATCACTGTCATCATGGGTGCCTTCAACGCCTCTGATGTGAACCTCCTCACGGCCAGCAAGGAGGACGTGTTCTGCTACTATGCCATCTCCGAGAACGACTACAACGGCCACCTCGGGGCCCGCATCTCCTCCATCTTCGTGATTCTCTTCGTCTCCATGGGCTTCACTGTCTTCCCCGTCGTGGCCACAAGCATGCCCCGCTGGAGTACGTGTTTGCCCGCTACTTCGGCACGGGGGTCATCCTGGCCACGGCCTTTGTGCACCTGCTGGACCCGGCCTACAAGCGCATCGGGCCCACCACCTGTGTCGGCGTGTCCGGATACTGGAACGAGTACTCCTGGTGTGCCGCCATCGTGCTGATCTTTCTCCTCGATCTGGCGGCCGAGGTGTATGTCGAGCACCAGTACGGCATGCATCGCGATGAGGGCGCCCCCAATGCTTTCATCTCCAACGATCCCCACCCCGCCCATCAGCACCGCTGTCCCACGGACGGTGTCGCTGACGGACCTGGCGGCGGAGAGAAAGTCCCGGCCTCCAGATCCACCGAAGACACGACCTCGTCCACGGAGCCCACAGGATCCACGACCGCGGAATCCGCCGAACGCTCGTTCCGGCAGCAGATCGCGGGCTTCCTGATCCTCGAGTTCGGGATCATCTTCCACTCGGTGATCATTGGGCTGAACCTGGGGGTGACGGGGTCGGAATTCGCGACGCTGTATCCGGTGCTGGTGTTCCACCAGTCCTTCGAAGGGCTGGGGATCGGGGCGCGGCTGTCGGCCATCCCGTTCGGCCCTCGCGTCTGGCTGCCCTACCTGGTGCTGATCTCCAGCGCGCTGGTGGAGTTGCTGGCGCGCGACTTCATCTTCGATCCGTGCCGCACCCGGCGGCGGTCGAAGCTGCTGTACATGGTGTTCTGCACGTTGCTGGGGGCGGGCATCATGGCGTTGATCGGGAAGTGGGCGTGAGCTGCGCACAGGATCGAGCTGGCAGGCTCTTCCGTGGTCAGGGGTGGGAAAAGCATGTACTTACTGAGTGATTCGTTGGAGACTTCTGCGTGACTAATAAAGAGTAGTTAATAATGTTGAATCCCCATCATCTTCACTTTGCTTCCTTCTTCCTCTTCCCGAGGCGGAAGAATGAACATCCACACAGCCACACAGCCACACCTGCCCTTCCGGTCGCTCCGGATCCCTCTCGTTCAATCAGATAAAATCATGACCAAAAAAAAAAAAAAGAAAAGAAAAAATGGTCATATCATAATATTCAAATGGTAGGGTATTCGGATTTAATCTACAGCCTCCTGCCCCGTCATAACATCGCTCGCATCAGATGAACCGGCACCACCCACCCCGTCATGGACATTCATACAGTATCAGGTATCACTCTTCTCTCTCTCTCTCTCTCTCTCTCTCTCTCTCTCTCTCTCTAGCAGCAGCACTCGCAGCACTCGAAGCAGGCGAGACCAGCGCAACTGGGGGTTCCGTCAGTATATCGTATAGTATATAGTATAGGGAGGGAGATATGGAAGAGGAAAACCTACACGCCACAGCAGACATCCTCGCCCTCACCACCACCACGCAGGCTCATCTGCATCGTCTCCTGCTGGCCCTGTTGCGCGTTAGTATGGTTCACTCCCGCGAAAGGATTCGGCAGAGAAAGGAGTCCGTCACGTACAGGCTGACCCGACACGACACGCTCGGAGATGGGGGCGTCGGGGTGCTGGGGCTGCTGCATGGTCATGGTGTCGGGGTTCCAGGTGGGCTGCTGGGTGGTGGGAGCGGACTCCTTGTTGGCAGACTTGAACCAGCTGAACATGATGATGGATTGGGATTTAGGTTTGGTGGGGTTGATTGATGGGTAGAAAGTGTGTTGGAGCAAGGTGTAAATGGGTATCTTCTGATCTGAAGAAAGAAAAAACAGGTTCAGCGACCGGGCGCAACGCCCGTATTTAAGCCAGGACCGGTCAGCCCCAAATGATAGGCAGGATAGGCCGGGGGGGGGGGCCAATCCCACCGAGCTTATGACCTCACCGTTGGGGCCCGACTAGGTAGAGATACTATGTCGAGTACGGAGTAGATAGATAGGGATTGTTTCTATTCTGGCGACAGTGACATCACCGGACTCAGCCCTGCCGAGAGAGAGAGAGAGTGTGTGGCTCAGGGACAACTGACCATCCTTTTTCCCACCAATTTATCCCCCGGCTGTGGATCCCCCCCCCCCCCTTCCGTCAAGCTTTTGGTCAAGCTTCGCCAATGAAGGCTTCCCAGGGCTGGCCATCCCCCCGGACTAGGCGTGTCGCCAGCACTTACTTGGTCGGCAGTAAGTAGATATCTACGTGTCGCCAATCCCACCCACGACGATCTGTTGTTACACACTGAAGATTAATCTTCTGGCCCGTGGGACAGCGAGAGGGCGCGAAGGTTCATGACGCAGTGGATCGCCCGTGTCTCAGTCGGCGGTTGCAAGGAGGAGGAGGCCAGAGGCCAACGGGGTAACGGACAGGACAGGATTAGGGTTGGCAGGCAGCAACGTAGCCATCATCCATCATTCATCGACTTGTCGGGGCGGAGGGACAAACCCGTTCGTTCTTCCTCTTTCTTCCTCTCTCTCTCTCTCTCTCTCTCGCTGTCTGTTCCCTCGGAAGTCCGAAAGCCCAAAATTCACATTGTTCGACTGGCGGTGGTCTGTGCCGTGCATGGGGTCCGATTTTTACGAGGGAGAACAGAAGCGACTCCTCCTCCTCCTCCACTCGACGCTCCGACCGCCGACCGCCGACCGCCGGACGCGCCCGGGCGGAAAGGCTGAAGGCTGAAGACTGAAAACTGAAGACTGAAGCTGAAGCGAGGCAGGTCTGGCCCGATCCAGGAACTATCCCATTCGAGAGACTTTTCTCTCTTCCTACACGGGTCTGCTACGGGGTTCACCCTATCTGCACTTCCCAGTGTCTATCCAACACCTACAAGAGAGAGAACCCTGATCATCGATGCACACATTGTAGACAATAGGGTAGACAAGCAGTGGACCGGTCTAGCCAGGGCTGTGCTGCGCCCGTTTCAGCCCCCACCGAGTAGTCATTTCCAGCCAGCCATTAATTATTACCGTCCGTCTTGCTTGTCGGTGTCAGACGAGGCTCAGCCGATCCTTCTCCCGATCCTCCTCCTCCTCCTCCTCCTCCGACTCCACCACCACCGCCACGCACTCTTCTCCCCTCCGACTCCACGCAGGGTTTCGTCCGCATCGCCCCTGTCGACTCTGCGTCCCCGTCCCCACCATCCGCCCACACACACAGCTCATCATCTGCCACACCAGAACCCCCATCGTGCACACCACCAGCCCCGCCGTCGCTCCCAGCAGCGCCGGCACGATGGCTGGCACCACCAGCCGCCAGACGTCCGGTCGGTGGTACTGCGCCCGGAACAGGGCCGGACGCGACCACGACGATGACTTCTCCGTCCCGAACACCTGAAAGGGCGAGACGGGGGCGCGGGAGAGCTGCTCGTCCGCTTCCGAGGGCCGGACGGGTCGGCTGGACCCTGCAGGGGCGGGGATGGGGATGGGGATGGGGATGGATGCAGCCGCTTTAGCACACCCTCCAGGGAGGAGGATGCTGTTCTGATGCAACGCAGCCCCCCGGGCCTGTCCATGTCCCTTCCTCAGCCGCCACGCCCGGTATTTGTTCCCGATCATGCGCCAGTATTTGACGTGCCACCGGCAGTTGCCGTCGCCGTGCGGGTCGCGGTATCGGGGCAGCGGCTCGACGAGGATCTGCGAGAGGACCAGCATCCCTTCGTCCGCGCGGCCCAGTCGCACGACGACGAGGTCGGTTGTGGCCGGGTGTCCGGACAGGTCGAACAGTTTGAGCTCCACCTGGTAGACCTCCTCCTCCTCCTCTTCCTCCTCCTCCGCCGCCGCCATGCCATCGAGATGCGGCGGGAGATACTTGATGCCCACGGCGTACTGCAGCGTCACCGTCTCGGACTCCAGTCCGCGCCAGTCTCGGTATCGGGTCGCCGGCAGGTTCATCGGGAAGGTGGCCGGGAAGATGCTGACGTTGTTGACGAGCAGCGCGTTGTCTTCGGTCCGCACGTTCATCGCCTGGAGGGGATGTGTTAACTAGTGATCTGAGTGCCCCGGTGGGGTCTGTACCAACGGTCCCTCCACACACGTACCAGGTAAGCCTTGGACGGGTCCTTGTCGTGAGGGTAGGTTAACCCCGGAACGGGAAGATGGACCTCATGGCCGGTGACGCCGGGAACGGAGTCAGCGGTGGTGAGTCTGGTGGTGGCCAGCGCCCTGGCAGCGTCGCCGAGATCGTGGACGGGGAGAGCAGCACCGCTGGCTATCCACACGCCTGCAACGCCAAGGCTGCGAAGGAACATCGTGGGGATGTCACAGTTGAGAGGGATCCCGTTCACAGGAGCATAGTATGGGGACAGTAAATGGGGAGGTAAATGGGTAACGAGCGACCGATCTGGTCAGGACCAGAGTGTCGGGGCCAGGACGGGTTAGATATGACAGTGGAGGGCTGAGCAGGAACAAAAGAAGGGAGGAGGCCCGTCAGACTCAGAAGAAGTATGCAGTAGGCAGCCAGGTTTCAACCGTCACCCGCGGAGTCCGTTGCAGGCCTGCAGCAGACTGCAGAAGCAATAGCCCTTAGCCCTATAAGGCGGACCGCGCAATCAGGGCCTCACCCTCTCCCTCCCCACCCACTCGACCAGGCCATCTGGTTGGTCTTCTCCCCTCCAGTATCCCCTTCCCCCCTCCCCCCCCCAGCCGTCGTCGTGCTTTGTTCGAAGCTTCACCCTGACTGTTTCTTTGCATTTGGCCCGCTGTAAGGGAGGCGGCACCGGAAGATTCCGAGGCAATTTCGGGGGGTACGCAGCGAGCAGACTCCAGAGGCGTCCGTCGGGCCCGTCTGGCCCATCTAGCCTGGCGACTAGCCCGAGACAAGCATCTGCCATCCTTCCTGGTCGGCCTTAGCGTCGTGCCCGTCCACGGTGCTGAAGGGGCCGCCCCCCGGCCTGATTGGCGACCGTCTGCTGGGTTTCCTTCACCTTGCGGGCAGAGGTGAGAAGGGGAGAAAGGGGAGACGGTTCGAGGGGAACCCTGGTGCCTAGCTGCGCATGGGGAGTGGCTTGTCTCGTAGCCATATTCGAGCCCTGAGCCGTCTGTGTTTCCAGCAACAGCTGGTCTCTCCTATTATTACTACCCTCGCCACCGTGTGACTCAAGCCAGGCAACCCCTCGTCTGGTCGGCCGTGCCGATCGCAGATAAATAGAAATCGAAATGGCAACAGAACTCCGATCACTGCCCGTTGCGTAGTGGTGATGTCTTCGTTCTTGGTTTCCTGGTCATTTTCGCCTCGGGGTTTCTACGCTCACTCGCGGCGGGAGCCCTATCTTCTTAACCTGCAGCCCACAGAGGATCGGCTGTGTGGTGATTCCTCCCGTCAACACAGTCCGTAGAGTCCAACTGTCACAAGCCCATAGCATCGGGTCCCAGACACCTGGTAGTCTTTGCACGTTTTGGGAGTAGCGTACAGCCGAATGTCTGGTGCCTGACCTGGGAATGCTCCCACCCCAGGTATCCGTGTCGTATTTATTCCCCAAGGGCTTGCTCTGGATGCAAGTGAATTCAAGAGTGACGCCTTTGATGAGACACAAATTCACTGTCTCTCTAAGCAGATTTTCACCATAGTCACTGCCATGCCCTCCAGTCCCCTCTCTTTCTCTCGCCCTTTCCCCCTCCCCTCTCCCCAATTCTTCCCATCAACCCTCCCTCTTGACCTCTCCCTGCCATACCCCGTCAACCACGCCGCATGGCCCCACCCACGGCTTCCGCCGATGCAGGCGCTCCGCAGCAGGGTCCCAGAATCCCTGCCATGCGGCATAGCCTGTTGACCGTACAGGCTTTGCCCTCGAGCTCATCGTCCCTGACCTCATCCCCGGCTGTCCCGGGCAAGCGTACCGCATCGTCCTCGTTCCCCTCGCCCGCGCCCCCCTCCAAGAAACCTCAGCCCTCCTCCGTCGTTGCTGAGCTCCGCTCCCTTGCTCAGCGTCTCGAGACCGAACAGGCCTCGGCCTCGGCCGGTGGAGATGGCGCCTGGGTCGAAAGCGCGCTCAAGATCCTGAAAGACGGCACTGCGGTCCATCAGAGTTTTCTGGATCTTAAATCCGACCTGAATGTCGAGACTGATATCCTTCGACGCCATCTGGAGGACCTGTCGGGGGATCTGAAGAATCTGTCGGCAAATATGATCTCGGTCTGCGGGACATTCGATGCTCTGAACCAGAAGGTCTTGGGTCTCACCCGCTCTCACCATGCCAGTCGTTCGCAAACTCGTCAGTCTGTCCAGGCGCTCATGGAGCTGCACCGTGATGATACCGCTGGTTGTACCAAGGTAAAGCAGGCCTTGTCGAACTTCGACAAGGGCAAGCCCTCTTCCATCCGCTCTCCACGCTCCTTCGAGGATCCTCTTGGGACCCGCGTTTTGTCAAAGTCGGACACCGCATAGTTCACCAACTTCTCTGGAGATCCATTGCTGCGTGTGGTGAAGACTGGATTCTGGGATCAACCTTTCTTGTCTCCTCTCTTTTCTTCCCCCCCCCCTGTCTTTTTCTTTTCTTTTCTTTTCCCAAGACAATGACTGTTCTTTCTGTGGCTAGTAGCCGAACACTCGTGTGGATGTGGATATGGTGTGGAACGGGGACGTCGCTGGCGGCGGAAACACCTTTCTTCGTCTCCTTGGAAATTTCAAGCTCCTGCATCTACCAGCTGTCTGCAGAAAAGCCGATTCGGACACGGTCATCTCACTTCTTTTGTCACGTAAGAATATGGAATTTGCCTACCAAAGGAAACTTTGTTTGTCGTCATTGAATCCGACTGCGGATCCCGGATCCGAAAGATACGCCCCTCCTCCTAACCAGTCAGTCACCCTTGAATGTTCTCATCAGTTCATCGCATACATCCAATCCCTTCGACGCACAGGGCTCCTTGTAAAGCTCTTACAGAGTAACTTCAGGCCCACAGACCCATCTAACGCCGATCCCAATCTCCCCCCTCCCTTATTGGTCAGGTATCAACGAGTCAAATGCAACGCAATGGTCATGTCATTTCTTTTCGGTCATCTCTGCTAGAACTAGAACCAGCCAAAACCTCACACAGACTATCAAAATCGCTCTATTATTATCATTGCAGAAGAAAGGAAACACGTCCAACACTCAAGGAAAAAAGTCAACAGTCCATAAATGTACAATCCCACGGAACCGCGCGCTGGAGAACACGACGTAATCATGCAACACCCCCTCCGCCTCCCTGACACCACGCGGGCACCACGCCGGCTGTCGGAGATGACAGTCGGAGTGGGCCCCCGCATTGCCCATCTTGTCTTCCTGGGCGAGCAAGCGAACGGATTCGCGTTTACCGCCGGGACACGCAGCACAGGATACCCGAGCGACCCAGGAAGTACAGCGATCCGATGAAACGGAACAGCGACAGACCGGCCGTGGCCCACAGAATGACCTCGAAGTACCACGAGGTACGGGTGGTGGAGGTGTTCTATCACATCGTTAGTGGATTGATGTCCTCTCGAGTGATTCCGGGCAGAAATACATACCGTCAGACACATCTTGTCCACACCGGTGGCGGTGATCAACAGCGCCACCAGCAGGTTGCTGAACACCCACAGACACACCAGCACGGTACGGAAGTTCCGGTACGAGTCGTCCAGGCTCTTGCCATCGTCTTCGATGGGGTCGACCCACGGCTCCAGTGCGCGCTTGACCGTCGATTCGAACTGACTGTCGATATCGGCCTGCGGCTTGTCGATTTCTTCAATGAAGTTGTGCTTGCTGTCGTCGTCCTTCTTGGTCTGCGCAGACGGCAAAGCCTCCGCCTTGTCGGATCCCTTGGTACCCCACGAGACATCGTGCCAGTTGCAGAACGCGTACACCATCAGAATGTTGATCGAGGTCGTCATGCCCAGGAAGTAGGCCCAGGAACTGGTCAGAATATGCCACGGGTCCATGTAGAGCACACTGGCAATGATGTAGATTCCGTAGGTCGAGAGCAGCGCAATCAGCACGATACCACCACCGCTGGAGCTGAAGAACGATTTGAGGAACTCGCCCGCACTTTCGTCGAAGTTGAAGTCCATCATGCCACCGGTGAAGGCACCCACCACCAGGTAGAAGGAGAGGATCAGCACGTAGAGTTGCACCAGGGAGAAGTAGAGGTAGGACAGCAGGTAGGGGATTTTAACACTATCGGTCATGGTCAGTGACGTTTCGGCGGGCGGAAAACATGCAGACTTACCCCTTCGGCCTGTTACCCAGGGCCATGATGAACTGCAGCGTGAGCACCCAGACATATCCGTACTTGACAAAGTTGTTGACGATAGGCGACGCTTCGTTACCCCAGGGCCAACCAACTTCCTTGTTGGTTTTACTGGGCGTACCAACCAGGTCCATAATGACGGAGCTAGTCAACCAGTAGGAGGCTGGGTGTGCCAGGTTAGCCATTGACTCCCGCCACGGTGGGGAGGGAACGTACCAAGAGAGAACCAGGTCATGATCAGTTGGCACACGTTGTAGATCATCTGAAGGTGGAGGAAGAACATGCGAATGACACTGTGACCACTGCGATAGATACGGCCGAAGTGCATGATCGAATACAGACCGGCCGCAAACGAACCGTTCAACCAACGACGACGCTGACTGATGAACTCCGCCGCACCCTCGGGCACATCGGTCTCACCCTTGGACGCCTTGACGTACGTGAGATGCCACTTGAAACCCGCCTTGGCCACCAGTTCGAAGCAAAGAATACGATCCTCGGCCAAGAACATGTTCTTCTTGAAAATGTTCATGCCTTCGATACCCTTCTTTCCGAGACGTTTCGATAGCGTGTGATCACCGTGGAAGTACTGCTCCAGCGGCCGACCCATGATGGCCCGGTACCGGTACGCGGAGAAGGCACCGGGCAACACACTGACGTACCCGAACGCGCTTTCGAGGGGCTTGTCAAGAATATTGGAGATTTTATACTCGAAATTCTGGGCAGCCACCAGGGGGTTGAGGACCTTGCGCCAACCCTGACCCAGCATCGCGTGGATCTCACCACACGCACCACCGAGGGTCTTGTCATTGTAAAAGGCCTCCCAGAGGAAGAGCAGGGACTTGGGGCCGGGTTTGGTACCGGCGTCGAGCAGGATGACGACTTCGGGGTTGAGGATTCGACTGAAGGCGTTGAACAGCCAGCGGTGGGAGTTGATCTTCTTGGAGTTCTTCTGCTTCAAGCAGAACATCATCTGCACGGGGGGCAGGTTGGTGTGCTCATTGCCCTGGGGGCGGATCAACTGCTGGGTGGGGGTGACGGACAATTGGGTGGTATATTCGAACTGCAAGCCAGTCAGTCAGTCAGTCAGTCCGTCCTTCAATCCTGGACGATCCGGCGATCCGACGATCCCTGAAGGCGGGCTGGTCCGTCTGTCTGATCGGATCACTCACGATATGGGCGACGGTTTCCCGCCCGTCAACGTCCTTCTTCATCACTCCGTCCTGGTAGATACCGATCGTCGCCAACACATCCAGCGTGTTCTTGTCGCAGGGCTCGATTCCGTCGAACACCAGGCACACGGCGATCTTCTGCCACGCGGGGCCACCCTTGTTCCAGAACTCGGATTTCTTCAGGTTGACGATGTCGCGGATGTTCTGCATGACACCGTGCAGCGTACGCGCCGTCAGCACCTTGTCTTCGTTGTAGTAGGTGATGGCGATCAGCAACTCGGTGTGCCGGTTGTAGATGGCCGGGCGGAGGTTGTATCCGTTGCGCAGGGTGAACTCGTCGGGATCACACGTGGCCGCGGTATCTGCGATGCATCTTGTCAGCCGGAGCACGGGGCGTCGCCGGGACGCGAGACCTACAGCGCATGTGGGTGAATTCCTCGGAGAAGGCCTCCTCGGCGTCGCGGTACTGGGGCTGGATGGCATTCTGGATGGCACTCGGCACGGGGTAGTCGACACTCAGGACGGAGCCCTGCACCAGGTTGATCTTTCTCGTGCCGTAGCGGCGGAGGGCGCCGGCGCGACTCCCATCGCGCGAGGCCTTGTCATTGCCGCCGCGGGCGGTGGCCGTGTAGGCCTCGGAGGCTTCGGATTCTTGATACGCGGGCGCGGCGAAGACACTCGGGCCCGAGTCGTGCAGGGTGTACCGACGCAGGGAGTCGGTGGACATGGCGGGATCATCGAAGGGGGTGCTGTAGTGGCTGGAGTTGTTGCGCTCCAGCAGCGACTGCTCCTGTTCCTCGTGCTCATCGGAGTGGTAGGGTTGTTGCTGTCGGGGATCTCGTTAGCACCCTGACCAGAACCAGAACCAGAACCAGAACCAGGGCCCGCGGGGACTGATGGCGCGAAGACTCACGGCGTGGGTGGGCGAGGTGTGAGAGAAGTAGCTGCTCTCGCTGTCCCGGGGCGAATGGGTCGCGTAGGGCTGTGACGGCGTACCCATCTTGACGGTTGACGATGGGAAGCCTTCAGGACGGGAGGAGGGTGGATGATGGTGTTTTGAGGAGAATGGGGGGGGGGGAAGATAACAACGAGGGTTCCAGGGAGGTTCCGGACTGGAGAAAAGACGCACCCCAAAAATAACACCGAAAATTAGTGCACAAAAATAAACAGGAGCCCCCAGGAGAAAAAAAAAGAGGGCCAAGGCGAGAAAAGGGCTGGGGACAACAACGGCACCACGCAACGGGTACTGCGCTGGGATTGGAGGAGGGCCTGGATAAACCGCAAGTCCAGCTGCTAGAGCCTTAGAGGAGTGGAGCCCCCATGGATACGTGCCCAAGAACTATATATAGGGGGGGACGAGTGAGATGCTTGGTGCTTGATAGTACTGTGTAGTGCTGTGTGCACCGTCCGGGCAACAACTACTTTGAACAGGTGCCGGGGGGAGGGAGGGGGGGGGGGACCCTCATCTAAGCCTTGGGGTGGGAGTGGCGATAATTCGTCGAGGCAGAGTTTATTACAGGTTTGCCATGCTCTGGCGGTCCGGGGCGACACCAGAATAGCAGCCGGACTGAGGCTGTCCGTCGCTGGGGGGCGGGGGGGGGGGGAGAGACCGGTGATGCTTCTCTTTGGTCGGCCAGCAGCAGGCTGCCAAACGGGGGGGGACGGTAGATACCTACCCAGTAGTCCCCAGTATCTAGTGGTCGTGGTGGTATAGCCACGTCGGGCGGTGCATAGGAGGAGATGAGGATGGCTGACATCGATCCCGAGTCCTGACTTGTGGTGAGTGGGTGCGCTGCGATCTCCGTCATCAGCGGTCCGGCTCCACAGGAGTAAAAATCCTTATCCGGAGAGAGAGAGAGAGGGGGGGGGTCCTCGCGGGCACACCCATGGTCGACAACATTTAAAGCGACTCCATCCCCCGGTTTGCGTCTGGTTCCCAGGGAGAGAGGAGACTGTCCGCGTGTGAGGGCACCTGGTATGCGCAAGCCAGGTCAGACCTGGTGGTGGAAGGAAGGGGATTGCGACGACGGCGATGGGGGGGCCTTCATGATGGCGCGGTGGATGGAGTGGATGGAGGCCGGCGATGATGGCGGGCGTCGAGAAAATTCGGCGGAATGTCACGGTTCTCGGATCGGATGCAGTGGATGACGACGGCCGGGGGGCTGCGATTGGGCGGCGGAGGAAGGAAAGGCACTAGCGTCGCCTTAGCCCGGCGACGATGGATCCATAGCAGATGGCTAAGCCCGAAGAGCCATGCGAGGCGTGCAGGAGAAACAGCAAACAGGAGAAGAAGCTGACGAAGGACGAGAAGAAAGGGGCTCAACCCGTGGGCGACGCGCAGCCCGGTGGGCCCGGCCCGGCTGATTCTCCGCGCAAGCGAGCGCTCTGCCGCTACTATTGGCGGGCGCCAGGGTTTGGCCCCGTTAGTGGGTCTCGCCCGCGCAAATTGCCATTTCCAGCGGCCAAAAGGAGGAGGAACTCCCCGTATTCCGTACGGATACGGAGTACGGAGTAGATACACAGCTGTCCTCAACACAACGGGATTCTTGTCATCTGTCTGTCTGTCAGTTGTGCTGCAGTCAGCTGTCGGTTGCGGTCCATCCCACGATGCAGACACAGCCTCATCGGGTCTGATTCTGGATTCAGCTCCCCCAATATCTTGTCCAATGCCATCTCAACATCAAAAAAGGGACAAACAACAATGTCGGTGTCAAGCGAACAGACCAATGGCCATCCACCCCAGGCAGCAACCGGCAGGCATAAGCCGCGAGGCTTGAGCAGGCTGCCATCTGTTCCCTCCCCAGGCGTTGCCGTCCCCTCCTTATATACCTACCCAGTCACTAGGGGCATACGCTTCCCAGCCGTCGGGCCTTCGTCTCTACCAGCCCATTGTCGGGGTAAATTGTCTTCCCGGATGTCTCGTACTCTCACGATGTTGGTGGATGTGGATGTGGATGTGGATGTGGATGGGGATGGTGAACGAACTGCTCGCGTTCCCAGCGGCTCCACCCGCGAGCGGATCGCCCAGAGGCGTGGCGCTCCTCCATCAACCACCGCTCATGTCTCATGCATATCCGGACATGCTTCTGTAGACTGGATGGATGCCCTGTCGACGGTGGAAGTACCTACTTAGCTGAAACGGACATCCTACAGAGTTCGATCCGGGTGCTTGGTAGTATGGACATGTGTCTCATGTGCGATCGCTATTGTTATATGATTGTATCATGATCAGGGCACACACCCACCATGTCGGCCGTGAGGTGATGGCGGATATATATATTGCCTCGATGGAGCCCGACAAGCTCGCCAGAACCCTGAGCTTAGTTGCGACGACGGCGGATAAGATGGAGTCTCGGAGACCCTAGTCTACAGCCCTGCGTCGCCGGCGGTCTATTTTTATCAAGCATTGTACTATGTACAAGAGGGAACTGGTCCCTGGTCGGGATCCCGGGCGAGAGTCGACGTAGAAACCAGCCATGGTCCGCGTTCTAACTACACTTTGCATATTAGTCAAGTGTGCATGCACCCACCGACAGTGCGACCTGAGAGACCACCAGAATTGCTGTCGAGCAAACGTTGCGCATTGTTTTATGACCACTGTGTGCCGAGTACAGAGTACTTACACTGTTTCCACACACTATGCCAATCTGGAGTACTAACGCACGCACGCATCCTCGGACCCGGAACTGGATTGGCAGATGAGCCGATCGGGAATGCTTTTTGCCAGTCTGGGCCAAACACACTCTCTGAACCCACGAAAAGTGCCCCGAATACTTACAGATTATTTTCGATGTTATCTCGATGGGGAAGATGAAGAAGATCATCGATCCTCCTGCTGCTGATCGATCGACGGCCTTGGCACCGGCTGAGTCAGCGGAGCCCGTTCCGGGATCCGACCGGCGCCGGTGGGCCCGCGATCGGCGGCTCACGTGACCGACAACCCTGCCTCACCCGCCAGGCAGCAACGTTAATCGCGGCGGCCTCAGGCGGACAGGCAGCCAGGTTGCCCCCAGCGATGAGCCATCAATCCCATCACGATGGCTGCTTATTCGTCCCCCATCAATCAGCCACTCGCTGCGTCGGTCCTGTCATCTCCCTGGCAATGAAGGTCATGTTGGCCCCCACCCACTCGACCGCTCACATCGCTCAGGCCGTGGGGACTCATGCAGTCATGCCCGGATGAAACAGGGTAGTGTCTAGTATGCTCTAGATATCTACACAGCTCTGGGATATCTATCTATGTCATACGATGCATACGATGGCCCCCAACAGGACTAGTTAACGCACCCATTATTCCATGAACAGTTCCAGGTGCGGAGACTACGCATCTCTCGGACTAGGTCGTCATGCCCGGCATACACCGCACTTTGCGTCCCATTTGCAACTAGTATCTAAACACAGGTCCACGCATCCGGATCGGTGTAATTGCCGGGCCCCGTGTGGATGTTGTGCTGGGGATAACGACAGTGCTTGCGCAGATACTCGATGTTCCCGCTCGCGTCCAGTTTGTTCCCCGCCATGAACTCGGGCGCCTTCCCTTGCTCGACCCATTCCACGATCGTGCGCAGCAGATTGACCTGAGGCGCCTGCGCCGTGTACGTGCCCGCCGCCTGTCCGATGTATGACGCCCCGTCCCCGTCGCCGCAGTGGCCCATCCCGGAGATCTGGAACAGGCGATAGAACTCGTCCAGATCGGACGGGCGCGCGCTCAGGGCCTTCGCGACCCGGCGGTAGTAGAGCTTGCTGTTGCCCGAGCTGATGACCGGATCCTGTGTGCCGTGGTAGGACAGCAGCTTGCTGCCCCGGTCCCGGAACGTCGTGATGTCCGGGTCGAACGCCTCGATGTTGAACGGGTTCTGCTCCAGGGCCAGCTTCGCGCTCTCCAGCGTCCACTGGCTGGAGTTCCACGTGGTGTCGTTGTACACCACGTACCGATACCACCCTACTGTGCGGTCGAACATGGACCCCGTGAAGTAGATGTCGGCGGCATCTGCTTCCGCGCCATATTCCAGACGGGGGTAGTACAGCTGTCCATCTGGGCCATAGAAGTCACCCAGCGCGCGAGTGGCCCGGGACGCCTGCAGTGGGGTGAGGCAGGAGGATGTGTCGCTCGTGGCCTGGTCACAGATCAACGTCTCGAGCACCGGGGCACAGAAATCTGGGTCCTCGATGATTCCGTCAAGGGCCCCGTCGACCGCATCACATTGGCGCAGGATCTCGTCGTGGACCACGGCCCACAGATCCGCAGAGATATACCCAGGATCGCCCACGGCCCCCGTGGCCTCGAAAAGGAACGCTCCCCAGCTGATGAGGTTGATGAAGTTCATCGCCGCCGAGCCTGCCACCACCCCGTCATAGTCCTCGGGGAATCGCTGCACCTGCTGGTAGCCCTGGCGCCCTCCCGTGGAACACCCCAGGTAATAGGAGTAGTTGAACCCTTCCGGGTAGAACAGTTGGGTCAGCTCCTTACCCACCACCGTGCCCGCATGGACGGAGCGATAGGCGAAATCTGCCAGGACTTCGGAGTTGTGGAAGAACGGCTCGGCCGTGTCACCGTCATGTCCCGCGTTGGTGCCGATGGTGGCGAATCCAAACGTGGCCGCGAAGTTGAGGTCTGTCTCCTGGACACCTATGTCAGGTTAGTCGTGGATTCACAGGTCTCCGTCGGGGGGGGGGGGGGGGAGGGGGGGAGAAGGACCAAAGAAATAGGGAAAGACTCACATCCAGCCAGCCCTCCATTTCCGGTGCTCATGAAGCGACCCGTATAGTTTCGTGGGAGCCACGCCTCTGCCCAGAGGTGGCTGCGGTCCGACGTCGAAATATTCATGGTCACCCGGCAGAAGTCGATGCTGGCCTGCAGGGAGGCCTTGCAGGCCGCCGCGACCTCCGCTTGAGAGATATTCTGTCCGGCGGCGACATACTCGACCGATCTTACCGTGACATTCGTGATGTCGATGCGGTTCTGAAATGAGTTACACCGGGTCTGAAAGGGGTTGACAGCGGCGGGTGCCACTCCAGGCAATTCGAGGAGAGGCAGGAGGCTTGTCAACCTCATGATGAAAGAGTGCGGAGGGAGCAATACTGCAAAGTGGAGTAGAGAGAGGAAGGCTGTCTTGTGAATTGAGAGTGAGAAGCCTCCGGGGGGGCAGCACTTTATAGCCTGGCTGTGGATAGAACGGGTTGCAGCCAGTCCGAAAGACTGACAGATTTCTGCCTCGCTAGTCCATCTCCATCGGCAAGACTACTGGCGAATTCTGCCCGTCTGTCTGACCTGTGGACGGGAAGATCCTGATGCTCCTCGCGAGTTTGTCAGCGCGGCACGTTTGCTGTGCCAGCAGTGACGGCCTGTTGCAATGGCCCGAGCACATCCCCTCATGATGCTGGATGCGAGATGCTGTCATCAGCACCCCCGCAGGAGAAAGACCCCGCCCGCATTGTGTGTCCGGGACTTTGTTCATTTCTCCCGAGTCCGCTGCTGGGAAGCGATGCTCACCCCAGGAACGACCATTCAAACCCCGGGGCTATAGAGACGGGTCCGCAGGGGCTCGAAAGTTTGGCAGCGCCGGCAGACGAGCGCGGCAGCTGGCGGCGGGCCATTGCAGGGGGCCTCGGTAGGATTCATTCATCAGGATGATAGTACTAGCCCTTGTATCTTTCGAGCATTGATGTGTGGATGATACAGCCTGACAGCTCGGATTGCGGGGAGAGGGGGGGTGGGTGACCCGTTCCTCTCTGCACCGCAAGCCCCATGTCGGCTGTATAACTGCCCCCGTCTTAATGGGTCAAGGATCCTGGCATTGTTGCCGTGTAGATAGACAGACCCCAGGGTTGGAGTTGGACGCCTGCCCTTCTACCGAGGATACCCCGCAGTGGGTCATTGCAACTGGTAAATATGGATCGGCAGGATTGGGAGTGGATGAATGACGGCAGAGATGATAGTAGACCGCAGGCATCCGTTCCATTAATATTTGGAAGGAGTCGTGGATGTTTCTCTTGCGATCTCTTTTGGATGTAGATAGTTGTGTGCCTGAGGTTCTCCATTGGTGCCTCGCTGCCTGGATCCGGGATGCCTGTACGATTCCTGCCTCGGTGCCGTGATGCCTGGGTGCCTGACCTCTTCGCTTTACTGCCTGACAACAACCTTCTTCAACATCCGCAAGGCATGACTAGGATCTATCTCACATCCATACTGCTACAGACAGTGTGTACAATGATACTGCTTGACATGGTCTAAGTGGAACAAATCGACTGTCCATCCGATGTTAAACACTCAGGGCTTGACAGAGAGCTGTATATCTAGCCGCAGCCCTCCACCAGAGCATATCAGAACAATTGAACGGTTCAAAGCTATACTGTGCCAACTACATACTTATTTAAACAAAGAGAAGGCCACATCCGATAGACCAGACCACATGGAGATCGACAGCAACAATAGCTAGCTATAAGTGCTGACTGCAGCGACAGGTTACACAGCTTCACTCTATTGCTCGAAGTCATACTCCGGCCTCCGGCGGAAACAAACATCCCTCATGAGGTCAATTAAGTAGATTATGTACGAGGGCGCTCTAGGCCATAAACACTAGTAGATAGGATATTAATAAAACGCGGACGGTGCATGTTGAGACAGATCCTGGCCGTTGCCCCTCTCGCTTTCGCTTTCCCCCTCCCCCTCCCCCTCCCCATCCTTGAAGGTTCGTGCCCTAACTTCTCCCCCTCCCTCCCCGCTCCTCTCAAGACAAACACAACTCGGTCGTGTCGTTAAGATGCAGGTGATGCCACAGATCCTGACACGCATCCTGCAGGGTCTTCTCCGCCCGCCAGCCCAGCTCGACGGCCGCGCGATCAGCCATGGCGACGCAGGACTCGACATCGCCGGGGCGTCGGTCCGCCAGACGCCGGGGGATGAGCCGTTGACTGACTCCCTCCATCGCAGCCACGACCTGCGCCACCGAATGCCCGCTCCCGGTGCCCAGGTTGAAGGCGCGGAAGTTACCGCGCACGCGCTGCTCCTGCGCGGCTGCCAGGGCGGCCGTGTGCCCGCGCGCCACGTCCGAGACGTGGATGAAGTCGCGGATGGCCGTGCCATCGGGCGTGTCCCAGTCGCTGCCGTACACCGACAGCTCGGCCAGCTGGCCCGTCAGCACCTGCACCACCACCGGCACCAGGTTCGATGGTGTCCCGCGGGGATCCTCCCCCAGCAGGCCCGAGGGGTCGCAGCCGACCGGGTTGAAGTATCGCAGCCCGATGATCGTCCAGGCTGGATCCGACGCCGCCACGTCTGCCAGGATGGCCTCCCCGAAGAACTTGGTCCGGCCGTACGGGTTGGTGATCCCCGTGCAGCCCTGCGCCGCCACGACCTCGTGTCCGTTCGCATCGCGGTACGTCTCCGGCTGATGGACACAGTGCTCCTCGCGCAGGGTCCCGTAGTCGCGGGCGAGGGTGCCATACACGTTGGCCGATGAGGAGAAGATGAAGGTCTTGATGCCGTGCTCGTCCAACAGCCCGAGCAGGTCGACCAGCCCCGTGATGTTGTTCTGATAGTACTTGAGCGGATTGCGCAGGCTGTCATGGACCTCCTTGAAGGCCGCGAAGTGGATTACCCCCGTGATGTTGGAGCGTCCCAGGGGATGATCGAGCGAGGGCACCGCGTGGGCAGCCAGCAGCGCGGCCATGGCAGCCCCGTCGCGGAAGTTGATACAGGCCAGCTCCACTCGGGGACACCGGCCGCCGACACGCTCGAAATGCAGTTGGGCGGCCATCAGAATCCGGTCAAAGACATGGCGGAAGCTGTTGCTCAGGTCATCCACCACGAGGACGTTGTGTCCGGCCTTGAGCAGCTCCAGCGTCGTGTGGCTGCCAATGTATCCCAGCCCGCCGGTGACGAGCACGAATTGGGCCTCCTCGGCCGCCAACGAAGGCTCGTCGAAGCAGTCATCTCGCTCGGTTTCCGGCGTGGACGGGACGGAGAAAAGAGGCGTGGGCACGGGGGAGCTGCTCTCGGATGGGGGACAGAATGAAGGCATGATGGCGCAGCGCGTGAAGATTACGGGAGTACAAAGAGGGCAATATCAGCAGCAGCAGTGCCAGCAGCATCAGCAGCATCCACGAACCACAAGATCCTCTACGGAGACCACCCGCTGGGCGAGACAGGAGCTGGAAGTACTCCTTGCCGGGCTGCCCACCCCTACGGGTACCTGATCCGATGATTTCATTGCAGGCTCCTCTCTTGCCAGTGGCCTCCGGACGACAGAGACTCGGCGCCTTGCGCCCCTAGTGACATAACAAATTCTGGTGCTGTGAATGCCGGGGTCATGGGCGACAAGACTAGGGCAGGGCCTGCGCGGGCTGCTTTCCTTGTTTTGGGGTATAATTGGCGATCGCTGTTGACATCGAATCATTCGCACCACGGAGACGACCAAAAATAGGCAGGTCGAGGGCGATGGCACCAATCTCAGCCGCTCGTTCCTACAGGAAGCAATGACTTTTGCCTTGACGAGAAGCAGGCTGCCCTCGTCAGGCCAGGACGGCAACCCGGGCCTGCAGCACCTTATCTAGCGGGTTTAGAGCATGCATTAGGGCCATGGTGTCCGTCGCCGGCCGGTCGGATCTACTCCGCGGACGACGGGAGGAGTGCTCGGAGTCTGGAGGAGTGGATAGTGGATGTATGATGGATGCCTGCCTATTGTTGATAAATGGGATCATAGGTCCAGACGCCGTGGCGTTGGGGGGGAGAGAAAGGGGAAGAGACCTGCGAGTCTTAGACATACATCCTCATCAGCCCTAGTCTCATTCGTGCATGGCCAGCGCATCGCAACAGTAGGTACCCAGTGAGTACACCGGTCCGGAGTCGGGGGACCTGCAGACATGATACCAAATGGTGTGTTCCTGCACCACGATCAGGCAACTGGCCCTGCACATAGTGCGATCCGAAGTGATCCATCGCTTGCGCTTCCCTGAATGGACTCATCGGGATTCCAGAAAGCCGAACAGTCTCTGTCCGAGGGTCAACTAGGTAAGCACTAGGGGGCCATTAGTCACCCCTTGCGCACAGTCTAAATTAGCCCCAGATGGGCCTTGTTTGCTTTGTCTCAGCAGCACTTGGCCTGGAAGCTGGGATCCGGTCGTAGAAAAACACAAAAAAGCATTGTTATCATTTAAGTGACACGTCGTTTTCCCATCCGGCTCCACAGTTCATGCCCCGGTTGGTCCCCCTTCCGTCCTCCCTTCATTTGCCGTTTATTTCTCCGACTGCACCGACTGCAAGGACAGTGCCTCCATGAGGGCGCCCCAGCTGTAAGGGCCGAAGCGCTCGTAGAAGTCACCCACGATCTCGGTGACGAAGACATAGGCAGCGCGATGGCGCAGATCGTGGACCAGGGGCCGGATCTCCTCGCGCGGCACTTCAGTGATCATGTAGCCGCAGCGTAGTCGGTCGTAGTGTAGCTCGCGTAGACGGTGCTGGACCTCATTGGATCGGAAGCGGACGTGTGGCTCCTCGCAGACCAGAATGAGGTCCGGGCCTGGATCGGCCATGGTGTAGTCAGGGGGGGTGCCGGGGTTGTGCACCACCTGCAGTTCTCAGGCCTCCGATGTCAGATCCTGAGCATCAACAACCAGAACAACTACAATCACCACCACATTGCCCACCCGCCATTCGTCAAATTTCACAGACAGCTGTTGGTGGCGCCCGCAGTCACCCGCGGTATGGATGTACTTAAACTGGCAACGGGGCTCGGCACGCGGGGAATGAGGGCAACGAGGGAAGCGACGGCACGAAGGCTGAAAGAAACAAACGCACTTACCAATCGGTCCCGAAGGAGCCCCGGCGAGGCCTTGACATGCTGGTGCAGCGCGTTCAGATAGTCGGCGGCGGTGGCAGCGTAGTGGTTGGGCGTCTCGTCGACCATGATGCCTCCGACGCCTAGTCCGCTGGTGGCATGCTCCGCGGCCCAGCTGGCGTATCGATCGATCTCCTCGAAGGTCTTGGCGAGGGGCTTGCGACAGTAGTCGATGCGGATGTAGCCGACGGTGTACACGTTAGGACAGGCGTTCAAGCGGGCTACCTCGCGGGCATAGTTGGCGTCGGGCGATGGCAAGGCACCGGGTCCACTGTTGGGGTTGATGATCACCAGGAACTCAAGGTGTGGATAGGCCGCGATACTACCCAGGGACACCACCCCAGCAGCGATCAATTCGTTAGTCAGACTGACATCCAGCTAGCCCGACACACCCCGACAGACAGACAGACCGCCAATCTCCCCCGACATCTCCAACAGGGGAGGGGAAGACGGAGTTGGAAAGCATGCAGAATAGGAACCGGACAAAACCTTACGCGTGATAGAGTGGATCCCAAGTGCTGGGCGTTAAGGGATAAATGTACAAGGGTACAAGCACACCGGACTTGGGAAGCGAGTCAGCCATCGCCACTGGTTGGGGGGCGGGGTGCGACTGATGAGGAAGGTGAGAGAGAACGTGGGGGAATGGTTGAGGAGGCAAGCAGCAGCAGGTTGGGGCCCAAAGACGCAGGCAAGATCCCCGGCCTTTCTTTATACGAGGTGTTCATCTATCTGGAATCATAGGAGAGTTGGGACGAGACGTGGACGGCACGACAGGACAACTCCCAGTCCCCGGGGGGGAGCAAGAGAGGCTAGTTGAGAGGCTAAGTGCTAAGGGCCTATCCAGATGGCACAGACAGACGGGTTCCTTGCCCAAGTGCCGAGCTAACAGGCGCTAACCAGCCGGGCCAGCCTCGGGCGGCATCGGCCCTCCAAGCCTCCCCCCTGGCGCGGGTGTATCTGTCACCAATCAGGCCCGATGGCCGGCTCATCAAAATCAAGATCCGGAGGCCAGGCGGGTCTAGGGCCAGATGGGCCAGATACTAGTGGTCCAAAGACAGGAGCCACCGACGGGATCGCCCGGCCAGTGACAGCTCACGTCGGCATCACGTCGCAGATGGTCGCCCCCGCCGGATCGAAACTCTCGTAATAATCCTCGCTCAACGTGGTCAGGAACAGGTACTCGGCTTTTCGGCTCATCTTGTCCACAAACTTTCGCAGGGTGCCGTTGCTCAGCGTGTCAGGCACCGAGTGCAGCATGTAAGCGTATCCCGTGCGGTCGGACGCCAGTGCGGACAGGGAATGCCTTTCCGAGTCAAAGTCTTGATAGCTGCTCTCGAACACCACCGTGACGTCCGTCGTGTTGGCGTTGTAGCGGCTGTCCGGAATTGTGCCGGGGTTGTGGATAACCTAACGCATTCATTCCCTGTCAGCGACCTGTCAAAGTCTTTTTCCCCACTGGTGCGCTTCTTACCAGGCGATCTCGGCGGAATCCCGAGGAATCCTTGACAGCCTCATTGATGGTGTCCATGTACTCGACCTTTGCGGCAGAATAGTCGTAAGGAGCCTCGTCGAAGAAGATCCCATCCATGGCGAGGGTGAGGGATCGATTCGCCCATCCGGCGTACGTGGAAACTTCCGCGAGCACGGTAGAGATGTTGCGAGTGGCATAGCCAGTGCGCACATAGCCAACCTTGCGCACATTGGCATAGGTGCCGAGGCGCTCGATGTTGGTTACATACGCATCGGACGGATACGCACTAGAGCCCGGTCCGCTGTCGGGGTTGATGATGACTGTGAAGTTCAGATCCGGATGCGCGGAGACCCTAAAAGGGTTAATAACCATGTGCCGCCATTGGAATGGACTGGGCAACAGCCGCAACTTACGAGTCATATAGGGGATCCCAAGTGCTGTCGTTGGTGGGATAGATGTATAGTGGGAACAAGACGTTGGATCGTTCCCCATGGGACTTCCGGGTCAAAATTACGGCACATGGCACGACAATAACGATGATGACCACAAGGGCCAGAGCGATGGAGATGGCAATGCACCAAGGCCGCCTAGGTTGTTTGAGACTGGGGCGAGGCATCCATGCGGCGGCCAGCCCGAACTGGCGACAGTCAGTGGGAGTGCGGAGTATAGCAGGCAAGCTGGCTTCCGTCGTCTGTCCGAGAGGGACGGCGCGCAGGAAGTGATATAAACTTGAGGAACTCGAGCCGAGCCAGTGCGCGGATTCTCCGGATACACGTCTGCCAACGCGCCCGGACGCAGGCTACCAGATTGAATGCTAAGACCGCTACTTCGACCTGTAGCGCGACGGCGATAGAGGATGTATAGAGTGACACCAGATGGCACTAGATTGATGGCAGCCAGAGCAATCACGCCGGCTGTTCTTTTAGGCCCACGCAGGTCAGACTGAGCCAGCCAGTGCGATAAGAGCCCCGTATTTCAAGTCAGACATGCAGGTCAGCCCTTGTTAGTGCCTCTTGCGTGGCCACTAGTCTGGTGGTGAGGTCCTGTCGGTTCGGAGTCCCAAAAAAGTAGACAGAAAATAATGCAAGAAAGTAAAACCAAAAGCAAAAAATCCTGCCATACGTGCAGGCGCCAAACCCTTCCTTTGCGGTGTCTGGGGCGACCTGATATCCCGTACATAAGTAGATAGATGCATCCGCTATTAATAGTCATTCATTAAATGAGAGATCCGCGGCTCCCCTAGCGGCATGAAGATACCTGCATTTAGTGGCTAGCATCGTCGACCACCTTGCAGTGACCTTCTAAATAAACAGGCACGGTTCCCCATCATTGCAGTTCAGGGCAGCAGCATACATGCCGGGTGTCTGACGACTTGCCTGACACCATGGGACTGGAAATCCTGGGCCTGGATGCTGTGGGGTGGCATCGGATGGTGACGACGTGGTGGGACAAGGTATGATGCTGCCTGTGTTTGGCAAAGACAAGTCCCCATGCCACTCTTCTCCTAACTTTGTCAATCCACAGGTTCTCGCAGCTTGCTTACTGGCAACTATTGTCTTCGGGGCGCTCTTTCTCTTGGCTGTTATTGGAAGGAAGCTTTACAGAGTCTGGCAGGTATGTTCTCGAAAAATATGGCTCAGACCATCTGAATAGGATAGCACTAACCTTTGCCCCCATTGGGGGGGCGTTCTAGGGGCGTCATCATCTCTCGGAAGTTCCCTCGGCCATTGTCCGTTATTTTGATCAACTCAAAACAAACACTCCATCCCTTGCGTCGGAGAAGTCGCCCACGAAGGAGCTTAAATCCTTTGGTGTCTTCCTTGGCTGTGTATCCAATCCGCCGACCCCTGCAGAGGCGAGAATATTATCGCAGTGGGATATTCTCGTCGTAGATCCCCTTCAAACCGGGGTCCTGGGTGCCTTGACCGGGCATTGCACCTCAGGGCATGTCCTCGGTCGGATCGACGTCCGAAGCCTGATCGGGTCCGATGCGAGTCACGACAAGGATGAAGTCATAAAATCCCTGGACACGGTAATCCAGACCCTCACCACCTTCCTCAGCCGTGGACAGGGCGAATCCTCGCCATTCCATGGTGTGCTTCTGGCTGAATGCTACTCGCACTTTCAGCCCGTCATCTTGAATGAATTAGTGAAGTACATGGACCGCCTTGGTCTAGCTGTGTGGCTTGAAATGTCGCCGCCGGCCTACCTCGGCGAGCAGGAATGTCGAGCCATTGATATGAAGCGTATCCGCGGCGTGGTCTACCGCAACGGAACCATTCTACCCGACGGTGATAGGCGCAATTATTTCCAGATGGCCGAGATGCGGACTGCTATGCGAGTTGTGGCATCCCAGAAAGCTGTAGGCGACTCTCTCATTGCCATGTGGGACATCATCGACGACGATGTTGAGTTGTCACACCACGTTCTCGGGCGGAGCTTCAAATGGTGCAACTACAACAGCGCCTTGTGTTGGATTGCACCCCAGTCCGCCCTGACAAACGCGGACATCGCTATTGCCAAAACAGTGACCCAGGAGCCCCTGGGAGCCATGATGTTTTTGAAGCGTGGCGAAGTCTTGGAGGCGCACGATGCTTGGAGGTCAAATGACAAGGTGAGTCCCACATTTCCGCCGCTTGTTCCATGAGCTCGATTCAGTAGCTGATGTTTTGAAACAGATCAGTCAAAGCCCTTGCGGGCATGAGAACCTGTATGATTCATTGGACGTCTTTGTCCCCGACCTGAGGGCAAAGCTCGCCCTGTCACCCCCTGTCAATTACCCAGGTGCCGAAAGTCCAGGGTCGGCGGTTCATGGTCTGGAGTTATCTGCACGAACTGAGAGGCCGCAGACAGACATTCTTTCTGTCTCGTCGGATGGAACTAGTTATACCGGACTGGGATGCTTCCAGCTAGGTCTGGAAGTCAACTCGAAAGACGTTACAGACCTACTGGAAAGTCAGCGGCAGGTGAGAGATCTGGATTTGCTCCAGCGTATCCAGGGAGACGAACTTCGTCGGATCGCCGAGCCGTTGCGCGTCTTGCTGAGGGCCGAGAATGCGCATGCCTACATTTCATCCGAGCTTCATGCCATCCGATCTTTGATTGACCTTCTCACCGCCAGCAAAGGTGACGATGACGACAGATTTCGAATCTACGTCGGTCTGCACTCGGGTTTCCGTACTCGCCTAGGGAGTCAGGTCTGGGGGTTGCATGACCTTGACTCTAGCATGGGGATCCTAAACATCTACCTGTCTGGGAAGACGCAGGACCGTACCGGAGCCGTTCTCCACACCTACCTATCCAACAGGGGATTCAGTCGGTCGCAATGCTTCCTGGCAGAGATGGCCTTGGCCACGGAGAACCAGACCCTGTCGCAGACTTGGGGGTTGCCACAACGCCTTGTAGATGACGTTGAGCAGCTTACCCCGTTGGAGACGCTTGTATGGCTCCGGCGGCTGGCCTTGGTAAGCCGCGATGATCCTCTCAAGTTGTCCACAAAGCTACGCGCCTGTGGCGAGTACCAGCTGGTGGAAGCCCCGTCACTTGCCCAACTCCGAGCATTGAGCTCAAGCGCTTACCTCGATGGAGAGATCTCGGCAGCAGAGTTGGTTTCGTCCCGTCTCACCTGGCTGGAGGGTAAAGGGTGCTGGTCTCCTGACCCGTCCACTGCGGAAGCGCTTTTCCTGGAGATTGATGCCCGACTGCCGGTTCTTCTCATGAATGGAGAGGCAGACATTCTAGAACAGCTAGCGGTGGTCATGGAGACAATACTGCAAAAAGATAAGATCGATGCTGGCGCCGACCTCTTCGCACTGAGTGTATTTTGCGCCTTCCGCCGTCTTGCCTTGAACGAAATCTACCTGGAGGTCCTTGACCGCAATCCACTACCGAACCTTGATCCAGTACAAGCAGCATGTTTCGCGGAAATGTATGCTTGCGGTGCGCGGACTGACGTGTATTTCGATATGACTCCCAAGCGTCTGGGGCAGATCATCTGGCGCTGGTATCGTGCGTACTACACAAAGCACCAGCCCCCACACCGCGAAGAGGTCTTCACGGAGCTCCCGACGTCGTATGCTTCCATGAACGTGGACATTGACCCAAACGGGGATCAGTACAAAGTTGCCTGGCATTACCGACTGACCTTCCTGGGAATTTTCGCTGTCCCGGCGTTGATTGATGTTACCATGTTGACGACGGTCGGACGTGGCCTGTACCTCACCACCTTCATGAGCGATCTAGACAAGACTCTCGCGACAACTGCGCTGATGTGCGCTCTTCTCGTCTGTGGTGGGTTTGGCAGCTGGATCAGCTCGGGTGGAAGTTATTATCTGTATGCCATGGCCTTTCCGGCCATGAGCATGTTTGTGCTGACCCGTTTTGTCGCTGGCCTTGCCGTCGCCATTGTCGGGGGTGTAATATCGCTAATCGTCGTCGGTGTCATCAAGAACTTCGCCGCGGGTATCTTGTTCTGCCTGTACTTCATCATGCTTTCGACCTATCTCATGACTCTGTCAGCGCTGTCAGTGTATCAACTTCCCGGATACCAGTTCCAATCGGTAAGTGGATTCAGGCCGTGGTGGAAGACCAGTCTTGCTGACGTGTGATAAACAGGGACGAACGGTCATCATGACATGCATTCCGATTCTTTTCGTCTCACCTATCGTCACACTCTGGGTGCACCGGGACTCCGTTATCTATCTGTGTGTTTTGGCTGTGTTCCTTTCATCCCTGCTGCTTGGGGCGCGACGTGTCATCTCACAATGGAACATCTGGTATCTCAATATTCCATGCGTCACGGACACGGAAGTCGTCAACTGGTATATGCAGACCCCAACCTCGGGGTATCTGGGATCGGCTTCAACCGAGAAATTGAAAGACGTCGGAGCGGATGCCCGCCAGGCTCTCCTAGCCAGTGTCCAAAAAGAAAGAAACAAGTGGTTCTGGACGAAGGAGACCACGGATCCCTTCATCGCCAAGATGACCAATGGATATTCGGCCACTATCTTTCTTCTCGGCTGGTACTGCCGTTACTCAAGAACCAAGATGCCCCTGGCGTATAGCCCGACGTGGAACCTGCAACTCAAGGCGGCAGTCGATACGATGGCCGAAATGCAAAAGGGTCTGAAGATGCACAATGCCTTCTTGCACTGGCGTCACACCGGCGCCGACGTCTGGTGTGGTATCCTGTACTTCATCGTCGCTCTGTCGGACAAGTGGACAGCTCTGCTCACGGGCGAGTCCATTGTTGGGCTGTCAGCGGCAAACAGTGCCACGTACCGTCTTACGGTGGGCTTCGCCCTAGGCTACTACCTTCTGGGAGCAGTCATCCTGGACGCTGTATCGCAGCCGCTGTGGACACTGGTCACGAAGCCCACTCCGCAGCCCGTTTCCTCGTTGGCGAGCCTGCGCGAGGTTACCCTTAATGATGCTCGGGCGCGCCGGAAGCTCTACTGGAAATCCCTGATGAAATTCTTTTTCCTGCACATCTGGGGCACAGCCATCAGTATGGCTATCATGTGGAGTTTTGAGGCGTCCCAACTAGCCACGATCATGTACCTGGCCTATGTCGGTTGCTATAGCGGTCTTCTCTGGTACCAATACAACCGGATTTTCAGCGGCCCACATGTGGCAAGCGGACTCGCCGCTTGCGCGGTTATCTCCTTGGTCGTTGGCGTTCTTCTTCATACCCTGCTTCCTGCTTTCGCCTACAGCAGTGTTATTGGATTGGCGTCAGGTACCTGGGGGGCTGCCTTCTATTCCGTCTGGAAGGCTGACATTGGGTGGCCAATATTTGCGAAGGATTCCCCCGATGGCACGATCAGGGTTAACATCAAGGGGGCATCGGCGACCCACAGCATCAGCACTCTCGAACCATACACAGAAATCTCTCAGACCACCATGTCCCAAATGTTCGATAATATTGGCATGCTGTCGGATGAGTTTCGGTATGCGCTTGACCCTGCTCAGCATCCCGGGGTTGAGGTCAGGCAAATCCTGCGATCTGATCGTCAACTCCAGAAGTCCAAGGCAGTGCGAGCTGCATTTCCAGAGGCAGCAGATGTGGTTCGACGTGCCGCAGAATCCTGGGAAAATGGAGAGATCAGCGTTGAACTCGTGTCGGCGGCACATTTGCTGCAGCCGGAACAGAAGATCCGAACTATCACTCGACAGACTGGCGACCATGTTCACATCTGCGTTGTCATTGGTCCCGACCTGGTCGGATATGACTGGGTGTCCGATATCCGTCGCAACTGTCAGGCTATTGCCGAGGCAGTGGTTCAGGCGACAGCCCAATTCAAAACGGGGATGTCTCACGACCACTCCATGATCGCAGAACTACTGGTTGTGAATGACCGGCAAGGCGAGGAAATATCTCTCCCGGAAGGCATCAAGCGTCAACTTGAGAGCAGCTCGACAGAGCGGGCTCGGGTCATCAATTATGGGCAAAAGACAATCGTACGCCACCTGTTGCTTGGCCTGGACTGCGACCAGGAATGGGACCAGCTTCCTCGAGCGGCGAGGGCCTTGCTTTTGCGTCGGACTTGTGAACAGCCGAGCCGCGTCTCTTCCGAGCAGGCTGCATGGCTCCGTTCCAGAGCCGAGGCCGGCGAATGTCTATCGATCGAGGAGTTCATCGCACGTTGGAACCTGGGCGTGAAGCTGGCAGTCAGCGTCACATCTTTTGCCATCGAACTGGAAGCCCACCATCGAGGCCGAGACGAACCGGAATTCCTGAATTCCCGATATGATCGGCCGATCCGGAACCTGCTGGCGCTGAACGAGCAAAAGCCAAACATTGGCTTCGCCGAGGCTCTCCGGATGTCATTTGCCCGTTTTGTTCAAATCTGGAACGCGTGCGTCAAGTTTACTGTCATCTCCCTGGTGGCGGATCCGGAGTATCAACGCGAGCTGGACTTCATGATTCGTGGCCAGCCGTTATTCTTCGCCTGGCCCGTGACTCTGTTCCTCAACGGGGTCTGGCTGTTCTGCAAATCCCTACAACGACTTATTATTCCATTGGTCCTGGTACGACTTCTATGCACCCTCATCATTCCCGAATCATGCTGACAGCTGCTCGCAGTTCCACGGCCGACCCAAGGTCTCTGCCCTGTATCGGAACAGGAAGGACTGGAAGACGGTGATCCACCAGAACCGGGTCGTGGTGGAGAGCCTGGGTGGGATCTCGACGGGATTCTTCCGACCAGAATCTGACGGGACCGTCCAGCTCTACCAATTCAACGGACGCCACGACCATGAGCCAAGCGATTACAAGCAACTCGTCGCGATCAACACTTATACCGAAAAGCTCCTTCTCTCGCGCCGCCAAGAGTATCGCGGAGACACTCTGGTTAACGAGTTCACGTATGAATATCCACAGGACAGCCGGAAGGGGCGACCGAAGTTGCCCACTCAGCGGGAATGCACTCAAGGGGAGTTGAGCGGACAGATCGTCCAGTACGATAAACGAGGCTATATGACCTCGGGATCCGCAATGCGCGGGGTCAACCCGCTGCAGTTCAAGTTTTGGTACCGGAAGGGGGCCAAGTTCGAAGACGAGCTGCTGCGCGCCGACTATGTCCTGCCGCATATCAAGATCCAGGTTGCCTGGTGCATGCCTCCGCCAAACCGCCCTGAGAGGCAGGACAAATGGATTCCCTACCCTCGGGTCACCGATGCCACGTTCGTTCAAGGTGATGATACCCACAAGGCCAAGTGGACGTACGATCACAAGTTCCATCCGATCATTGCCACCACGCTGAATGGTGAATCCGTCACTACCCCTGCCATGATCCACGAGGATTGGTTCAAGGTGTTGCAGAAACCGACCAAGTGCAGCTTTCTGGACGACAATCCGCTCTTTTCCTTCTCCTCGGTCAAGCCCAATTTCCTGTCGCGCCTCCTGGGCTGGAACGTGAAACGGTATCCCATCCCCACCTCGCGCGCTCGCACCCACCTCTGGAAGTCGTGGAAAGGCAGCAAGGAATTCGACGCGATCACGACGCGGTGGTTGGATGAGATCATGTTGCGGTCCGACCGGGTGCTCAAGCCGTACTGGAGAAACCGGGACCTAGGCCGTTTGGAGCCCGCCTGCGATTATCTGGATGCCCAAGCCGACACCGTCCTCGCCCGGGTGGATATCGACCCGGAAGTCAGCTCGTGGACTCCGATCGCGTTCAAGATCAGCGATCTGTCCAGTTTTGGACAGGGCGGCGACGCACGTATCAATACCAGGACCCTCTCCACCCAACTGCAGGATAGCGACACCGAGCTGCACGTCCTCGCCATGGACACCGGCACCTGGCCCAACGAGCCCGGTGGTGTGTCGGCGTGCCGGCGCGACATGGTCAACGATCTCAAGGCGATCCGGTGGCACATCCTGGCAGAAGCGGCCAACGACTTCGGCGTGCCCCGATTCCAGATCGAGCGGAATGTCCAGTCGCTGACCGTGTTGCCTCAGTGGGGGCTGGACTTCCTCAACCCGACCCACGGGATGTTCCAAAACAACCTGGATTCCGAGGTGGTCCAGAAGTCCCACGACACGCGGGTGGCAGACATCGAGCAGAACTTCATCCCCATCCTGACCAGCCTCGTCCGGTGTGCCCGCACCATGCACAAGACGCGGGCGCACATCGAGCTGGCCACGAAGGCGCTGGTGGATTTGAACACGTATTTCGAGTCGTCCCGGAACTGGAACGATGTCTGGATGAGCGACACGGTCAAGCGCGCCTGGCGGGAGCTTTGGCTGACGGAGGACATGGAGGATACAATCCCCGTGTCCGAATGGTGGAATTGCGAGCATCCCACGTTGTTGCAACTGGATACGGCTTTGGACATGTGGCATCGCTGTGAGCTTCCCTTCCCCCCTCCCCGAGGTGACGAGACCCCGAGCTAACCTGGGGGTTTAGATCTCTTTATCTTCTCGGTTCCCATCCCCGAGCGCATCCCCGACGTTTTTCAGGTCTCGCATCACTTCACGGGCGCCACATATGGTGTGCTGTGCAAGGTCAAGCGCAAGTGTGCCCTGCACGTGTGGGACCACTGCGTGAGCTTCCGCGAGATGACAACCTTCCTGTCCGCCGCCGTGTCCTTCGACTCGACCTTTGTAAACTCGACGCTGATCTCACTGGGCCACCTGTCCTGCATCCTGATCGAGCACCACGCGGATGTCGTCCTGCCCTGTGCGGAGTACTTCAACCCGGGGTGGGAGATCGAGCTGGGCACGTGCGAGGGCGTTCTGGAGCATCGCCGGGCCTTCCACCGCAAGATCGACCCGGTGGTGAACGGGATCACGAACATGGAGAAGTATAAGCCGATCGAGAAGATCAAGACAGAGACGCCTACGGTGGTGATGCTGTCTCACATCCGGTATGTATTGGAGAGAAATCCCCCCCCTCCCCCTTTCACTTGCAGTCGACTGACCAGGATCGCAGATACGTCAAGGATATCAAGACGGCCATCATGGCCACCGATCTGATTGTCAACCAATGGGGCTTCAAGGACTACCGCCTCCACATTTACGGAGATATGGAGCGCGCGCCTGGGTACGCGTCCGAGTGCCAGGAGATCATCGCATCCAAGTCACTTCGGGATCATGTTGTCCTGAAGGGATTGGGTAACCCGTCGGTGGTGCTTCAGGATGCCGTAAGAGCCCCCGATCCCCCCCCCTGTTCCCCCACCTTCCCTTGTTTTCTCTTCATTCCCGTGGAATTCGGACTGACAGATCGCAGTGGATCTTCATGAACTCGTCGACCTCGGAGGGGCTTCCGCTGGCGATGGGCGAGGCGGCGCTGACGGGGGTGCCGGTGGTGTGCACGGACGTGGGGGCGTCGTTCTGCGTGGTGATGAACCGGGACACGGGCAAGCGGTTCAGCGAGGTGGTGCCGCCGAACGACGCGTTCTCGCTGGCGTCGGCGCAGATCCGGGTGATGGCGCTGCTGGGGGAGTGGAGCCAGTTCGCGGGGACGCGGAGGGATACAAGCCGCCGGCGCTGGGGCTGCGGCCGTCAGCGGCGGAGGTGGAGCAGATCTCGGCGCGGATGTACGCCAAGCAGGAGGAGCGGCGGCAGTTCGGCATGCAGGGGCGCGACAACGTGCTGAAGAGCTTCTCCAGCCACCGGTACCTGCGCGAGCACGAGCAGATGCTGTGGCTGGGCAAGTACCAGAGCCAAAGCTACGTGGCGCGCGGGCGGGAGTCGTCGTCGGCGGGCGGGTCGAGCGAGTTCTTCAAAGAGCGGGTGACGATCGAGGCGATGGACGGGCTGGTGCCCCGACCCCACGCTGGCCGGGGGCCCGTCGCACGTACGGGCGAGGCTATTCCGGGTTCAGCTCGACGAGTACGCAGTCGTTGTGTTGAGGGGGCGGGGATGATGTCTGAAGAGGAGGAAGGGCCATTTTGTTAATAGCTGACGGGGATGCCGGACGGGGCTGTACTTATATACTTGTCTGGAGCTGTACTTACTCATCTTTTAATGCTAATCATCATAATGCTAATCAGCCATGCAATTGACTTCCGAAGGGTTCAATGGGGAGGAAGATGGAGAGGAGGATGGAGAGGAGAAGGGAGAAAAGCGCAGAGGAAAGAAGAAGCGAAGACAAAGGAAGAAGGCGCAGTCACCTGCCGGGTGGCCGCCTCAGGCAGAGGGGGGATGGTGAGGCATCAAAGCGTAGGACTATTTAGTAGTAGTAGTAGTAGTAGTAGTAGTAGTAGTAGTAGTAGTAGTAGTAGTAGTAGTAGTAGTAGTAGTAGTAGTAGTAGTAGTAGTAGTAGTAGTAGTAGTAGTAGTATAGTAGTAGTAGTAGTAGTAGTAGTAGTAGTAGTCAGTTGTTAGTAGTAGTTGTTAGTAGTAGTTGTTAGTAGTAGTTGTTAGTAGTAGTTGTTAGTAGTAGTTGTTAGTAGTGATAGTTAGTAGTGATAGTGAGTAGGATCAGGATTAGGATATAGTTGTTGATAAAGGATAACTCCCATTCACTGATGCTCTTTCTTCACTTGCACTGCTGCTGGTCAGCGTGAAGTCCTCCAGTAGTGAGTACTAGTAGTACGCTGCCACCGTCTCGCCGGTCGTCTCTCTCTTCCTCTTTCCCTCCTCTGCTTCTTCTTCCTTCTCCCCTCACCTCTTAAGTTACAACGACGTGACATCCCTCGACTCCTCGCCTTCTTCACCAGACTACTACTACTATACCCTCGTCTCAACACTCCAACCAGAAAGCTGCTCGCTCTCCCACCTCCCCCTTCCGGCCAGCCTGGTCCTCGTGTCGACCCAGCAGACAGTCGATCAGCCTGACGCCACCATGATCGGCCAACGGTTCGTGATCGAGACTTTCCTCTCTCCCTCATCACGACACACACGTGCTGACAAAAGAGCTCCCACAGGATCTGCCGGGACTTTGCCCGCCATGGCAAGTGCCGCTGTCAAAACTGCCGCTTCTCTCACCACGTCAATGCCCCCAAGAACAACCAGAACGAACAGGCGACTCGCGTGCCGGGGACCAAGCCCGCGTTGTCGGTGGACGAGGTCGACTTCCGCGACTGGAAACGCCACGTTCCCGCAAAGCCTCAGCGCGTCGGCCCTCTGGGGAGCCAGCTGGGTCCCTTTTTCCGAGAGGCACGCCGGCTCCTCGATCACGACGTCGGCGTCTTTCAGGAGGTCATCCGCGCCCTGTCCACCGAGGGAGGCTTGAAGCGAGTCCACGAACTGATCGAGGGCCTTCGGGATGCCTGGCCCGCGCCCCTGAAGCTGAGCGTCTTCGCCGATCGCGTCCAGCCGTTCTTGAGCATCATCACCCACCCGGAAGCGCTGGCCTCCCTCATCCTCGAGCAGGCCGTGGGCACCATCTATACCTTCCTGTATGGGCTCTCCGGAACGCGAGCGATCACCCTGCTCGGATTCCTCGCCGGCGTCCTCGACGCTCACAAAGAAATGGAACAAGGCGCGGGGTCCACCGTCGGCCATCTGGAAACCACACTGTTGGTCTTCTGGCAGATCATCGAGCTGAACTCGACGGCGTTTGCCAACGAGGCTCTGGTCCCGATAGCGGAGGCGTTCAAGGCCCTGGTGGTGGAGTGCCAGGAGTCCCAGGCGCAGTCCACCCTGTACAATGTCCAGTTGCATCTGGAACGGATCATGCGTCGACTCAAGATCGGCGATGCCCTCCCGACCACCATTTCAGCACCCGGAAAGGCCACCGACCGCCTGGACAGAGCCCCGGCATTGTTCAACATCAATCGTAACCCCCCGGGCGGGCGTCACGACAACGACTCGGCGAACATCTGCGACATTCGGATCCTGCCAACCTCCCAGGAGATCCTGTCCCCGCATGCAGAGTATCTCCCCGTGAAGGATCCGGAGCAATGGCACATCGCGGGGGTCCCAGGTCTGCTCGACCGAAATTTCCGACTCTTGCGAGAGGACACTGTCGGCCAGCTTCGAGACGCGATCCACGCCATGCTGAGACCAGCGAGCGACCGGGAGGGGAAAAGCAATCAAGTCCGCACGTATACCTACCCCAACGTGACGGTGGCCAACCTCGCCTTCAGTCGGCACACCGGGCTGCAGTTTGTCGCGCAGTTTCGCCAACCGCCACAGGTGCAGCGGATGAATGAGCGACAGCGGGAGGAATGGTGGCAACTGTCCAAGCGACTGCAGGGGGGTGCCCTCGTGTGCCTCGTCGATCCAAGTGGCGATGTTCTCTTCTGTACGGCGGCCGACCCACCGCGGTTGAAGCCTGGCGAAGAACGCCCCAAGGACCTGCCGTCCCTCTGCAAAAATAAAGACATCGCTACCGTTGCCTGTGAGCTAATCGAACCCAGCGACGAGGAGGTGCAATATATCTTGGACCGGTATCGGCCACGCGTCACATTCCCCCCCGTGACCTTGGTCGAGTTCCCTGGCATCATCCTCCCGGCGTTTGCTCCAACGTTGAGGGCCCTCCAACACATGTCGCGAAGCGATAATATCCCGTTCTCAGCCTTCTTGGCGCCAGTGAGCCCATCCGATGCAAACCCAGTGGTTGATGTGCCGCCCCCCGCGTATGCAGTCAAGCCCGGCTTCAGCTTCGACCTGAGCTGCTTGATGAACGACCAGAAATACCTGCAGTTTCAACCGGGCCAGGCACTGGATATCAAGACGCTTCAGGCCCATTCAACCTTGGATAATGCCCAGGCCATGGCGATGGTGCACACTCTGCAACGTAGTATCGGTCTGATCCAAGGGCCACCGGGCACCGGGAAAAGCTTTACGGGGGTTGCCCTCATCAAAGTGCTGTTGGCAAATGGGGCCAAAGAAAAGGCGGATCTCGGACCCATCATCTGTGTGTGCTACACTAACCACGCCCTCGACCAGCTGTTGGAAGACCTGCTGAAACAGAATGTCACCAACCAGATTGTCCGGATTGGATCTCGTTGCAAATCGGAGCTGGTTGAAGGATACAGCCTGCGCAAGTTGGTGAACGCGCCCTCCAGAACCAAGGCCGAGAAGCACTCGCTGTGGGAACTCTCGAGCGATCTGAAAGACTGTCAGGACCAGTTTGATAACCTGAGGTTGCAGACCGAAGGATTGGATGCAAACCTGCAATGGTTCCTCCGCAGCTACCATATACAGCATTATGCCCAGCTGTTTGGCGATGATGGGGACGACGGGACATACATACCCGCGCAGAAGGCCAAGCGAAACGTATTTCAATCCTGGGTCAAGGCCGGTCGCAAATCCAAAGCCGACCCCCGGCCCATCGAGACGCTTTTTGAGACCCAACTAGAGCACATGACGGCTGGCGAGCGGCAGCGGATCTACCAGCATTGGCTGGAGACAAATCGAGCCAAGTTGCACGACGAGGTGCAAAGCATCGTCGCAGACCAGCAGAAGACAAAGAAGCGATATGATAATGTCCGCAATGAGCTAGATCTACGGTGTCTTTGCGAAGCACAGGTCATCGGAGTCACCACATCGGGTCTCGCCCGGAACCTGAAGATGTTGAAACGGCTACGATCAAAGGTCCTGCTATGCGAGGAAGCTGGTGAGGTGTTGGAAGCTCACATTCTGACGGCCCTCCTGCCCTCAGTGGAGCATGCCATCCTCATCGGTGATCACATGCAGCTTCGCCCACAGATTCAGGATTATGACCTCTCGCGCGAGAATCATCGAGGAGGAGAGCAGTACTCCCTGGACAAGTCACTGTTCGAGCGCCTGGTCGACCCCAACGATGAGTCCAGTGTGCAAGTTCCATTCAGCACCCTGGAAACCCAGCGTCGAATGCACCCCTCGATCGCTCGCCTGATCAAAGACACATTATATCCTCGCCTAGAGGACGCACCGTCTGTCCAGGACTACCCCGAGGTCTGTGGGATGCGCCGGAGGCTGTTTTGGCTGGATCATCAGCACGGCGAAGGTAACGTGTCGGACGCGGACGCCCTGGGAACGTCTCATTGGAACGGATTCGAGGTTGAGATGACCACGGCCCTGGTGACCCATCTGCTTCGCCAGGGATCGTATAAGGACGGTGATATTGCCGTCCTGACGCCCTACCTGGGACAGCTCCACCGACTTCGACAACGGCTCAGCCAATCTGTCACCATTGTGGTCGGAGACAAAGACCAGGACGACCTGGCAAATGCGGGGCTGGAGAACGACGCTGACAAAGAGAAAACGCCCATCGCAAAGACTGATGCCCTTCAGACCGTCCGCGCGGCGACTATCGACAATTTTCAAGGCGAGGAGGCCAAGGTGGTGGTGATCTCCCTGGTGAGGAGTAATACCCAACGGCGGTGCGGGTTTCTCCGGACGTCTAATCGAATCAATGTCCTTCTATCACGCGCTAAACATGGCATGTATATCATCGGCAATTCAGCCACGGCGGGCGACGTGGCGATGTGGCGGCAGGTGGTTGACATTTTGAAGGAGAACGACAACTTCGGGGCCCGACTCGAGCTCCAATGCCCGCGTCATCTTGGCCTACCGATCTGGGTCTCACAGCCCGATCACTTCGCACAGTACTCGCCGGAAGGAGGCTGCAACAAGCGCTGCGTCAATCGCTTGCGCTGCGGCCATGCATGCAAGCAAAAATGCCATTCTACACTGTTGCATGATGCCGTTTATTGTCAGGAGTTATGCCCGAGACCGCAGAAGGGATGCAAGCATATATGCCCCAAGCTCTGCGGCGATCCATGTCCCCAACGGTGCCAAGTGAAGGTCTTCGAGGCTGGTCGAACACTGAAGTGTGGACATGCCGCCGAACGGCTTCTCTGCTGGCAAGCCCAAGATCCCTCGGTCGTTTTGTGCCCGGTTCCTGTGGCGAAGACAGTGCCAGGGTGCAACCATTTGGTCACGGTTCCCTGCCACGTCGATGTTAGTCGTTCCACGTTCAAATGCAAGACTCCTTGTGGAAAGAATCGTCCTTGTGGTCATATCTGCAAGGGCCTGTGTTGCAGCTGCTGCATCCGCGACGAGAATAGCGAGGTCATCATGTTCAGTCACGGTCCATGCCGACAACCCTGCGGACGGAACTATTCGACATGCACCCACATCTGTAGCAAAGTCTGTCATCCCTCGGAGCAATGCCCTCCATGTGGTGCCCCATGCAATGTCCAATGCGGCCACTCCATATGCCCCAAGAAATGCTGCGAACCTTGTGCCCCCTGTGCTGAGGATAAATGTCTGTCATGCTGCCCCCACAGTCAGTGTACCTTGCCATGTGCAGCGCCGTGTGACAATGTTCCCTGCTCTCGACGCTGCGAGAAAGTCCTGGAGTGCGGGCATCGCTGCCCCTCCGTGTGTGGAGAGATCTGTCCCACCAAGATATTTTGCCAACTCTGTGCCACGCCGGAAGTTCAGGAACATGTGGTCGATTACATTCTGTCACAGGCCTATCGGGAAATCGACCTGGACAAGAACCCGTGCATCTTTCCTCGCTGCGGTCATTTCCTTACCATGGAAAGCATGGACGGCCAGATGGATATGAAGAGGCACTACGAGCTCGATGCAGAGGGCAGGCCGGCCGCGATCGCATTATCGTCAGAGCCATTCGCCACGGATGTCAAGCGATGTGGCACTTGTCGAGGCTCGCTGAGGGATGTCTCCCGATATGGCCGTCTGGTCCGTCGGGCACTCTTGGACGAGGCCACGAAGAAGTTCATTGTCTACATCAACAGCGAGTATGTGCCCATGGCTCAGGAGCTTTCCAAGCGGTTGTCTGAGATGCGAAAAGTCGAAGCAATTCCGTACTGTCTGGTAGTTGGACAGAACTCTACGTTCCGCATTGAAAATTCTCGTGAGAAGCAGATCACGCTCCTAGCTGGCGTGATGAAGAGGACTAGCCCGATCCGCTGGCGAGAACTGATCAAATTGCGAGATCAGATGGTGAGATATTACGACCGAGTCAAAATCGAAGAGCAACCTTTCAGTCGCGTCCAAGCCCTAGTGGAGCGCGCACAACAACTCAAGGAGGGCCGCGGAAAGTTTGAATTCAGCGAAAGTGTCTTGCAGACCAAGGGAATCCTTCTTGCCACGGCCCTGCTAATCCGGTTGGACAATGCTCTGCTCAGTGACTTCATCTCTCTGTACATGAAGTCCAAGACCAGTGCTTCCAAGTTCACACTGATTGTGAACCTGCAGGCCAACCGAGAGGAGTGCAGGGCCTTCATCGGCATCGCCACGGATTTGAAACGGGTTCTTCACCAGGTCGAAGGCTACATTTTCCTGGCGCAACTCTGTGCACTACAGCGACCGTATGCCCGGGGAGCGGAGGCCGAGAACTGTCGGGTTGATGGGCAATCTGCTGTTGCTTCGGCTCGAGACTTGTGTCACCAGTATCCGGGCCAGACCAACGGGCTATTGAAGGAGGTTGACGGGGCGGAGGCCATGCTGAAGGGCTCAACTTTCTACACGGTAGTCTCCAACGAAGAACGGATGGCCGTTGTCGCTGCCATGGCCCGTGAGTTCCTGGGCACTGGACATTGGTACTACTGCGCCAACGGCCATCCCTTCACAATCGGCGAGTGCGGCGGAGCGGTGCAGGAGTCGACATGTCCCGAGTGCGGCGCGCCAGTTGGTGGACAGGGACATGTCACCGTCGAGGGTGTGACGCGTGCGGATGATTTGGAGCGCGGACTGGAACATCTCGCTCTGCGATGGTAACCCGGATCAGTGACAGAACATGTGAAGGGGAGGAGGAGGATGACGAAACGATACTTCATATGCCATGTAATCTGGTGAAATGCAGTTTCAGGTTGCCACCCGTGCACTGTAGGCTAACCGTAGCTCGGCCCCCCTCTTCTTAGCTTCGATTGGTAATGGAATGGGCGAGGATGTTGAGATTGTTCTTTAGTGCCTGGCAGACCGGAGATAACCAGAGCTAACCGGGAATAGGACCTGGCGATTACTCAGACCAGTTGGTGCTTAGAAATCCGCCCGGGGGATGTCTCCAGGATATATTCCATCTTCATCTTGCATCCACACTTCCAGTCTCTTCAGCGTGTCGGAAGCGCCGGATTCTCGAAGTCCTGTACGAGAGCAGCACCATGGCCACCTCGAACCTACACAACATCCTCCTCACCGGGGCATCGGGCTATCTGGGAGGCACACTGCTCGCCCGCTGGTCGGCCGCCCAGCTGCCCCCGTATGCGACACTCTATGCCCTCGTCCGGACGGAAGGGCAGGCCCAAGCCGTGCGGCAATACGGTGCGGAGCCCCTGATCCTCGATCTCGAGGACGACGAGGCCGTTACCCGCGCCATCGTTGCCCATGGCATCTCCATCATCTACTTCCTGATCGCCGCCGGCAACGCTCGGTACCAGCCGACCATGATCCGAGCCCTGGCACAGGTCCAGCAGACCACCGGTCGGGAGGTGCATTTCCTGCATACCACCGGTGCGAAGGCCTTCAGCGGGCATGCGGGCCACCCGACCGATATCCCCCTGTCCGATGCCGATCCGAGCCTGTATGACCTCCTGAGTTGTCCGAAGGCCGCCCATCCGTGGCTGGGACGCGTGAGTAGCTCCTAGCTCTAGTCTCCGCGAAGGCACTCGCTAAGAATCTCACTCACAGGCGTCGGGGGTCAATCGTACCGTCATCGAGGCTGCCGAGACCCACGGCGTGCGCAGCTATATCTTCATCCCCTGCATCGTCTACGGCCCCGGCGAGGGATTCGGGAATCGCATCTCCATCCAGACGCAAGCGATCGTCAAAGCCGCCGTCGGGACGAAACACATCTATCGAGTGGACTCGGATCGTCCGGTATGTTTTCAACCGTTTCTGACTGGGTTACGGGTGTCTAATATTCCCCAGACCTGGCCGGTCTGTCATGTTCAAGATACCGCCAGCTTGTACCTGGAGCTCCTCCGGAGGGTGCTACGCGGAGACAAACTTGATTCCGGAAAGCAAGGGTACTATCTCGCAGCCTCGGGGAGTGTGGCATGGGAGGCTCTCTACGACGCCATGGGTCAACGGCTCGCCGCACGGGGCGTCGTGGAGGACGCTGCGATACGGGACGCGAGCGAGGCGGATTTGGAGCGGATTGGCGAGGTAATTGAGCGTCCGAAGGACTTCGTTCCCCTCGAGATTGGTGGAAAGTAAGTTCTACTGTGCCCGGAGGGATAAGACACAAGCTGACGATGACAGGTGTACACTGGAAGCACACCATGGGCGGCAGATTGGGTGGGAGCCCCAGTATGGCCCGGAGCATATTCTGGCTGCTGCCGCGGAGGAAGTGGACTTGATTCTGGGGAACCTGTGATTCATGGCCATATGTAACTTTTAGTATAGAAAACGTCGGAATTGCACGTATGACAATCCAACTCGCTCCTAGAGAGCAAGGCTGTATACATAGCCTTCACTGTTCCATTTCTGCTCTCCTCCGGTCGTAATTGACCACAGACTCGAGCAGGGTTTGGGCACCTAGGGTACTAGATTCAGTCAGCCTCGATATTCCATTTAGCTGAGAGAACACTTACCAGTCCGCGGGACTGCAATACTCCTGCGGGTGATGGCTCACCCCCTCCTTGCAAGGCACAAAGATCATGGCCGTCGGGCAGTGCTGGCTGGTGTGGACGCTGTCGTGGCCTGCTCCGCTAGTCAACTTCATCCACTGCTCTGCGCCCACCAGGTGTGTGGCCGCGTCCTGGACCGCCGCGATACAGTGCGCATCAAACTCCACCGCCGCGGAGTCGGTGTCTAGCGTCCAGTCCAGCGAGACGCCCCGGCCATCCTCGCGGGCGATGGCCGCAAACGTCTCCAGGCATTCGTCCTGCACCGCACGCACGACGCGATCCTGCAGATGCCGGATGTCCAGCGTGAAGGTCACCTCCGAGGCCACGGTGTTGGTCGACGAGGTACGCGGCAGTTTCATCACCCCGGTGGAGGCGAGTGCACTGTACTTCTTTGCCACCGCGTTGGAGGCGACGATCATCTTAGACGCTGCCAGCACAGGATCCCGGCGCGCGGCGAGTGGCGTCGTGCCCGTATGGGCATCGCGACCCGTCACTGTGATGGTGAGCCACCGGTATCCCTGGGCCCCGCACACGACACCGATCGACTTGCGGGCTTCCTCCAGAATGGGACCCTGCTCGATGTGCAACTCGAAGTGTGCGCCCAGTGGGTATCCCATGGCGGGATCACTCGAACAGGCGACCGAGCCGAGGAAGCCATGCCGCTCGAGTTCGGATCGGAGGGTAACGGTGGGATTGAAGATGTCGGTTAGTCCCCAGGCCTCCTCAATGGGGGTCGCTCCAGCCCAGACTCCCGACGAGCACATCGACTTGGGGAACCGGGCGCCCTCCTCACTGAGCACCATGGTCAGTGATCTGTCCCCGCTTCGGGCCACCGGAAACACTCACTTGGTCCAGTTCACCAGCCCGATATCGTAGAGCGTGCGGAAGCCACGTTCCTGCATCGTGCGCAGGACCTCAAGGCCGGCGACCACGCCCAGGATGCCGTCGTAGCGCCCGCCCCGAGGCTGGGTGTCGAGGTGACTTCCCATGGCTATCATGGGTGCCGGCGACCGAAAGGAGCCAGGCTGCCGGGCGAACAGGTTCCCCATCTGATCGATCGTGGTCGTGCATCCCAGCTTCTCCGCCTCCTGGATGAGCCAGCGCCGTACTTTGGCATCGTCGTCGGTCAGGCACAGACGCGCCATGCCCGTCTCCGTCGGATCGCTGTCGAGAAAGATTTGGTCAGAGGGGGGCCATTTCCAGCCGGGGCTCCCCAGGGACAAGGTACTTACTCGCCATAGCGATGGGCGGCGCCCCATCGGCAGGTGCGATGTAGAGTCTCTAGCAGGCGATCCGAATTGATTCGGAGGCCGGATGCAGATGAGGGTGAGGATGCTGTGGCTGTGGACGCCCACCGCCGCACGGGAGTCGAGAGCTGGCGGGAGATGGTTGATCCCAGCATAATCAATCGCTTACGATGAGTGCTCCGAAGGTTTACAGGGAATATTCAAATTCGCTTGGGAGATACGGGATGAGTTTGGGGGTCGGTGGTTGTGTGATGAGGTGACGAGATGACTGGCCTCGACGCCCTCCGGCGACATCCACCCACCGAAGCCCTCAATCCCAGCGGACCTTCATCATTACGCGACATCTTGCACTTCGTTGAGAGCTCCACGACCAGTCGCAGAGAGGACCCCGTTGCTCCACCGTGTCAGATGCTGCTCGGGGGAAGATTCGCCCGAAGTTGTCGGCGGAGGGCGCATCAGGCCTGCGAGAGAGTCAGTCAGTCTAGTCTGAGGGGAGGGGACTAAAAAGTGGCGAAGCCCCGTCGCTCATCCGCAGGAGGCAGAGAGAGACCGACAGAAGTTCGTGATCCAACCCATACCACGATGCCCTCCCAGCGCAGACCCATCTATCTCAATCCCGCCCCGACCACCGCCTCGGGGGTGCCGTCGGCGTCGGCGTCGGTGCAGGCCTTCCACGAGAGCTTCCCCGGGTATGCGGCCAGCCCCCTGGTGGCGCTGCCCACCATCGCCCACGAGCTGGGCGTCCGCGCCGTGTATGTCAAGCAGGAGAGCGACCGATTCGGACTGCCCGCGTTCAAGGTGCTGGGGGCCTCGTGGGCCATCTACCGCGCCGTGACCACGGCTCTGGGGCAGCCCTCAGACACGCCTCTGGTGGCCCTGGTCAATGGCATCCGGACAGGGGCTGCGGCAGGCGCTGCCCTGACTCTGATCGCCGCCACGGAGGGTAATCACGGGCGCGCCGTGGCGCGTGTCGCCCAGCAGATGGGGCTGCGGTGTCGCATCTACGTGCCGCACACGATGCACGAGTACACCCGGCAGATGATCCGGTCGGAAGGCGCCGACCTCGAGGTGGTCGACGGGGACTACGATCGGGCCGTGCAGACCGCGGCGACGGCAGCGACAGCGGCCCCGGCGGCCCCGGAGGGGGCGCCAAACATTCTAATCCAAGATACGGCATTTGCGGGCTACGAGGAGATCCCGGGATGGATCGTCGAGGGCTATTCCACCCTGCTGCGCGAGGCGGACGCCCAGCTTCACGCCGTGGGCCTGCAGAGCACCCTCGTCGTGGCCCCCGTCGGGGTGGGTTCCTTTGCCCACGCGGTGGCGGCCTCCTCCAAATCGCGTGAATCCCCGGCCGCCGTCGTGACAGTCGAGCCCGATACCGCCGCGACTCTGACCACCAGCCTGCGACGGGGGGTGCCCACCTCGGTGGCCACCAGCCCCAGCATCATGGCGGGGATGAACTGTGGCACCGTGTCGACCACCGCCTGGCCGCAGCTGCACCAGCTGGTCGACGCGAGTGTTACCGTGTCCGACTGGGAGAGTCACTGCGCGGTGCAGCAGCTGGCCGCCCAGTCCGTGGACTCGGGACCCTGTGGGGCGGCCAGTCTCGCGGCCATCCGCCGTCTGAAGGCCGAGCACGATACGGAGAGGTTTTTCGCGCCGGACTCGGTCATCCTGCTCCTCAGCACCGAAGGGCCCCGTCCCTACGCGGTGCCGGTGGATGTCTCCCCGGATGATCCGGTGGAACTGACCCAAGTGCTCACCCGCATCAACTCGTCGAATCCCACCCTGTCTCAGTCCGAGGGGGCGGGGGAAACGGCCATCGTGAACTACCTATCCGCCTGGTTCGCGCACCGCGGCATCGAGCACCACCGCGTTGTACCGTCAGCCTGACCACCTACGAAGGGGACGCACTATCGGGCCATCAAGGGATGAAGGACGGCGAAGAGGTGGTATTTGGCCGCGGCGCCCTCGACATGAAGGCGGGACTGGCGGCGGGGCTGTCGGCGCTGCTGGTGGCCCAGAGGACGCCTCTGTCGGGGGACGTGCTGGTGGCGGCGGTGGCGGACGAGGAAGACAGCTCCCAGGGGGACGACGGATGTGATTGCGGCGGGATGGCGCGCGGATGGCGGGGTGGTGCTGGAGCCGACCAACCTGGCCATCGCCCACGCGCACAAGGGCTTCGTGTGGGTGGAGCTGACCGTGCAGGGACGGGCCCCCGAACACCCTCTAATCCAGCAGCTCGTGGCCTTGGGCACGGACGTGATGGGGCATGCGCCAGCGTCCCGTTCTGGTGCGATGCGGCGCTGCTGACGGCGGCGGGGATCCCCAGCATCGTCTTCGGGCCGTCGGGGGGTGGCTTGCACGCGAAGGAGGAATGGGTCACGGTCGACAACATCCGCGCGGTGACGGGCGTTCTGGGGCGGCTCATCCGGCAATTCTGCCCGTGAGGTGGTCAGTCGGACAGAGTTGAACAAGGTATCATAGTTGTAGTGCCTGTATAAATGGGGATGACCGCAATGCTAGTGTGTCGAAGCAAGAGGTTGAAGAGGTTGAAGAGAAGAGAAATAGAAGAGAAGAGAAGAGAAGAGTACTCCGTAGAGGGCGGTAAACAGAGGATAGGCGGTGTGGTACTGCAGAACAAACCCACAGACCGCCTTCCCCCCCCCGGCTGTGCCTCAGGCCCACAATGACCCTCTCCCGCTTCCTCTTCCTTTTCCTTTTCCTTTTTTATCCTCTCTCTCTTTCTCGACACTCCACCCTCCTGCGCAAGTCTTTCCCCATCTGCTTCATGTCATTGTCTCTCTTGGACCGCCCTCGCCATGGCGGGCTCCCTCCCCGATGACCCTCCGCTGGCCTCCTACGACGACTGGGTTGACTGGCTGTCCTGCCCCTCCTCGTGGCAGAACCCCCCCCCTCCTCCTCTTCCTCCGAATGGCTTCGTCCCACCAGCTCCCCAGAGTCTTCAGCCCCTGCCTCGTCAGATCCCCTCCGGCTCGAAGACTGGCTATCGTCCGATCTCTTCGCTGCCGAACTTCCGACCGCGCCGCGTCCCACCGACCCCTCCGCCGTCCCGCCCGCCCCGACCGAGGATTTCGTCAATGTCTCGCGATGGCTGGACGGCGCCTATCGACCCCCCGTGCCCTGCCGGCACTGCCAGACCCAGCGCCTGCAGTGTCTCATCATCCGCACCACCCCGGCCAACCCGAACCCCGTCACCTCCTGCTCCAGCTGCGTCGCCCTCTTCCGCGAGTGCAGCCTGTCCCGCGGCGAGAAGCGCCACCCCGCCGGCTTCGAGACCGTCTTCCCCGTCTTCGGCCATCTGCACGGCGTCGCCGAGCTCACGGAAGACCCACGGGGGGCCACAAGCCATGTGCAGTCGGATGCCCCTGGGCGAAGGAATCATAACCCGGTGGGGGGACTGGAACATCCCCCGGGACACGTCGAGGAAGATCCCCCGCAAAAACCGCGGTTCTCCCGGAAGGGCGCCAAGGTGTTGCGAGACTGGCTGTATCGGAACCAGCATGACCCGTATCCCACCGACGACCAGAAGGCCGCCTTTGCCCAGCAGACCGGTCTCACCGAGAGACAGATTACCACCTGGTTTGCCAATGCGCGACGGCGGCAGAAGATGGCCCGCCGGTCCTCGCGGTCGGGCCAGATCGTCCGCAGTGGCTCGCCCATGCCCGTCCCCCGGTCCGCCACCCTGACCCCGATGGAGCGCTGGCAGCGATCGCCGCCCGACCAGGAACCCGTGTCGCAGTCTGTCATCCAGGAAGCCCTCGCCACGGCCGGGACAGATCCCGCGTGGGCGCGTCCGGGCGCCTATCTGACCGCTAGCCCGAGTGCCGACGACCTTGCGTCCTCGATCTCGAGCATGGACAGCGGGCAGTCCCAGGGCTCCTCTGAGAGCTTTGCGTCGGCTTGGAGCCATCAATCCGAGGACGGTCTGCCGTTCCCCCTGTCCGACGGGCAACGCGCCTCGCAGCCCCCGCGGAGACGCCCCCGGCGTCGGTCCGTGACCGGCCACCCCTACCAGTGCACGTTCTGCGCGGATTCGTTCAAGAAGAAGCATGACTGGTCCCGGCATGAGAAGAGTGTGCACCTGTCGTTGGAGTCGTGGATCTGCAACATTGATCCCAGTCCGCTCGATTCCGCGGACTCGCCCTGTGACTTCTGCAGCGCCTGTCCAGCACCGCGGGCGCATATGGACACGCACGAGTTCGACGTCTGTGCCGACCGACCCCAACCCGAGCGGAGCTTCCGTCGCAAGGACCACCTGATCCAGCACCTCCGCAAGTTCCACCACTGCACCAAGGCGCCCGCGGGTCGGATCGAGCCTTGTCGCGTCGTCGTCAGTCAGGTCCTCAGCCGGTGTGGTTTCTGCGGGCAGCGGATGACGACGTGGTCCGAACGTGCCGACCATCTGGTGCAGCACTTCAAAACCGGTCGACGCATGGCGGAGTGGTCGGGCGACTGGGGGCTGGACGCGGTGCACCAGGCCATGTTGCGGGATGCGACGCTGCCGCGCGATCGGTCTGCGTATTCCCCGGCCACCTCGTGATCCTTGATCCTTACGATCAGACGTGTCAGCCATCACGGGCAGGTGAATACAATCTGGGAGGCTCCTCTGGCCTTGGGCTATAAGCGTTTCCTCCCTCCCGATGAGCCTTTTCTGTGGGATCATCATCTTCACATCCCAGGAGATTCCTCTCCCGGGGGGTACATAGAGGTCGCGTCACGCTACCCTCGTCGTCCTCCGGCCCATCTCCCGGATCGAGGGTTCGACCGGCGTGGCGCATTCTGATGCGATGATCGCGGTGCAACGGTGACTCGACTCTCCGATACAGCCATCTAACCGTTCCCCGTAAGAGCCGAGAGCTCGCAGGGGTTGTAGGCTCATCGGCCTTCCAATCGCGCGAGTGGATCATCTAGCTCTCTACCAGTGTGGGGCTTTCTGACTCATAGAGCAGGGCAATGGCAGACGTAGTGTATATCCAACTGCGGCGTGCCTGTGCTCTCGATTTCTCTGGCTATGCGCTACACCAAGGCAGTAAGGCCTCGCGTAGCCCCTGACCACCTCCAGGCATAGAAGAATAGACACTCTAGATACTTGGACAGTTCATCTAGCTTGTACTAACGAAGCATCAATTGAAGACTTCTTTACCTCCCTGGAAGCAGAAAATACCATTTCAGTTCCCAAGACCTGCCAACCTGGTGAGGGTCGTTTTGCTACTCCTCTCCAAGGGAGGGAAAGCTATCATACTCTTCCCGACGCCGAATCAAAAAACCAAAGAACTTGAAAGAAAGGGGGAAAGAAAGAAAGAAAAGAAAAGGGAAACGATTCAGTATCGCGTGGCAATGAGTGGGTAAAGCCAACATGCACTGGGCTATCCTTGTACGAAATGATGTGTTCATGCTGCTGCGGGTGTTTGCCGAGATCCCGGCAATGTCTTCCGCATCGATGACCGATATATATATTTTTCGTCTAGCAAAGCAAACGCACAGCAGTAAAGTAGAAGCCCAGTGCAAATGGAATAGTGGAATTGTTTTGGTGTGGTTTCAGGACAAGACGTGTGCCATATATGTAACAGAAATTATGATAAATGAAAAAAAAAGGCATGTTGGTAACTGGTGGACCGCATGTATGCATTGATTGCAGGTCGGAAATCAACCAGGTAGTCCACTCCCACAGCCGCGCGCAGGACTGCAGAATGGCCAAAGGAGAAGGAGCCGCTGAACAGGGTAATTCTCCGCCGTTAAACATACAGCACCGATGGTGGTCGGTCCCCTGGAGCTCCCATGGCCTGGGACCCGGGACCGCCCGTGGGCGGACAACTGTGACCTCACGCGCAAAGACAAATATGTCGTATATACATTCGTCTATCTGAAGCTATGTAGGAGGAAGAATGACAATGACCGGTCGCTAATCGGGCAAATGCTAGGGGTATGGCAGGAGTGTATGTATGTATGTATGTATGTATACAGGGCATCGGAGAGGGATTTGGAAAGAGAGTCGTGGGAGGGTCGTCATCATGAGATTCGCATCACTTTTTTGAGCCCGTGCAGCGACACGGGCTTGACCAGGTACTCATCCACCCCGGCCGCCAGCGCCTGTTGCTGCCGCTCCGCGGACCCCAAGCCGGTCACGGCGATGATGCGCGAGGGGATGAGCCCGTTCTTCTTCTCGTACCGCCGGATCTGGTCGGTCGCGGTGATGCCGTCCATGACGGGCATCGAGATGTCTAGACGTCGCGGCGGTCAGTGGTGGGGGGAACGGGCGTCGTGGTGGGCGGGGAGGCCGGCTTACCCATAAGAATGATATCGTGCCGCCGGGTGGCGGCCTGATAGGCGTTGAGGGCGATCAAGCCGTTGGACGCGGTGTCGTAGCTGCACCCGATCTTGCGAACAAAGGTGGCGAGGATCTTCAGGTTGATGTCATTGTCGTCCACGAGGAGCACGTGGATGTCCTTGGGGGCTTTGCACGGCGGGTAGCACGCGGGCAGCGGAGAGGCCAGGTCCGTGGGCGAGGCCAGGCCCGCCATGGACGAGGTCTGGCTGGTGGGCGAAGCCAAGGGGGTCGCAGTGAAGTAGGTCGGAGAGGTGGGCTGCGAGGGCTGCGAGGGCTGCAACGGCAGGGGTGAGGGCCGCGTCGGGGGGAGTGCAGCGGACCCTCGCGGGACAGGGTCTGCACGCGTTCGAGGGCCTCTTGGAACTTCTGGGGACCGAATCTGGGGGGGACAGCAGGGTTAGCGGGGGTTGCCGGACGCCAGGACCGGGGCACTTACGGCTGCGACACCCGGACGACGTTGGGGGGCGTCGGTTCATGCGCGTGGGACGCGCGGTTGCGATCCAGCACCAGGAAGAACTGGAATCCGCCCGCGACGGCGGGCAATTGTCCGCGGAGGGTGCCCAGGTCGTCCTCCTCGATGACGGCCACCTGTCCCTGGGCCTTGTCCAGCGTCTCCGCCAGGGCCAAGGTCCAGCCGGGCTGCTGCGCCAGCACCGAGGTCAGCGAGCTGCGGATGGCCAGTTTGCGCTTCGCCTCGGCCGGCAGGATGCCCGTGGGGGTCTCCCGGGGGGTCGGATACCCGTCGAAGCCGATGAGGCAGGCGGCCAGCGGGGGCGAGGGGGCGGGAATCTCTTCCGTCGACCGACGGGACGGGTGGCGTGGGAGATCGGGGGGCGCGTGGACGGGGATGTAGATGTCGACCTGGGTGCCCACGCCCACCTCACTGCGCACGTCGATGTGGCCGTCCAGCGAGGAGACCAGCTGGCGCACGATGCTGAACCCCAGCCCGAGGCCCTCCGACAGGCCATCCTCCTGGGTGAAGGGGGAGAAGAGGCGGTGCTTGAGGAAGTCCGGGGCGATGCCGGAGCCCGTGTCGGTGACGGACAGGTGGGCCAGGACGGAGTGCGGGTTGGACTCGCGGCGGGCCTTGGACAGCGAGACCTCGATGAAGCCGGTCTTGGTCCACTTGAGGGAGTTGCCCAGCAGGTTCATGACGATGCGCCGCCAGGCGCCCGCCACGGACTGCACCTTCCAGGCGTGCCGCTCCTGGACGCGCACGACGACGGTCAGCGCCTCGTCGGCGGGCGCCGCGGGGGACGGCTGGGCGGGACGCCCGGCCAGCGGCGCGACGACGCGAGCCAGGCGCTGGCCGGTATACTGCACGTCGGTGACCTCCTCGATGAGATCGTCCAGGTCGAAGACGGTCAGCAGGTTGGTGACGCTGGGTTTGGCGGGGTCGGGGCTGGTGTCCTCGGTGGTGGTCAGGTTGTTGATCTTGGCGAAGTCCAGGAGATGGTTCAGGGTGTCCAGCAGGGTCAGACCACAGCTCTTGACCATGTTCATCCAGTGGGCCTGGCTCGACTGCAGCGGGGTGGTCTGCAGCAACTCGGCACTGGCCAGGATGCCGTGCAGCGGGGACCGCAGCTCGTGGCTGACGGAGGAGATGAAGTCGGACTTGGACTTCTGGGTGCTGGCCCACTCGATGCGGGCGACCTCGGAGATGATGGAGTCCCCGAACACCTTGAAGTAGTGGAGTTCCTCCATCTCGAGGGCGCGATCCCGGGCGTGCGTCCAGACCAGCGTGCCGGCCAGCCAGCGCGAGCGATTCCAATCCCACAGGGGGTAAAAGAGCACGCCTTCGGCGCCCGGGAGGTGCTGGCGGAGTTGGGAGCAGATGTCGCGCAGGACGGAATTGCCCGTCTCGACCTCCACCTCGGGGGGCACCGCGGTGCTGGCCTGCGATCGGTTCTCGTCGTCCTCGTCGTCCTGATCGTCGTCGACCCAATCCTGCAGGTTGAGGAACTGCCCCTGCGGGAAGGCGGCGATCATCCGGTCCAGGAGGGCCTCGGTGACGGGCGGCCCGGGGCCGGGCTGGGGGGGCTGCCCCAGCACCTCGCAGGGCTTCTCGGAGACGTTGGACAGGGAGCCCACGCCGGGGAGGTCGATGGGACTGGGGTAGGGATCGGCGAGGAACTCGGGATTGGCGGTGGTGGGCAGCGGTTCCCACGATCCGGCTTGTCCGGGCCGCACACTGCTTGGTTGGTTTGTTAGGCGGGGGCACCCTCCAGGGAGGGGGTGAACGGGGACAATGGGGCACTCACACGCCGGCATTACAGCGGGAGGCGTCCAGGAAGAGGACGCCCTCCAGGTCCAGGGAGTCGCGCAGGGTGTCACTGGCGCGGGTGAAGATGCGGGCGAGGGTCTCGGCGCGCGCCTCGCTCTCCATGACGGCAATGGCGGGGAACTCGGTGTGATCGGAGACGACGACACTGGAGTCGTGGGTCTCGGAGCCATCGCCCGGCGGGGGGGCCTCGCCCAGGGGGGGACCGGGGCGAGGCGGAGGCCGGGGCGTTGACGGAGGTGGAGGTGACGGTGCGCTCGGAGCAGGTGACGGCGGAGAACAGCGAGGTCAGGTCGCCGGTCAGCTCGGAGGCGGCGGAGGGCGAGGGCACCAGGGGCATGGCCAGGGGCAGGAGGGCGTCGCGGGGGCCCGGCTCGTCGCGGCGGACCAGGGTGTCGAGCACGGGCTGGGTGGCGGCGCTGGTGGGCACGGGGGCGGACACCTCGAGGGGGTCGAAGGCCGTGTGGTCCTTGACGAAGCTGGTCAGGCCCTTGACCAGGCTCTCGGCGCGGCGGTGCGAGTGCGCGATGCGGACGTGCTCGAGATGCTGGGCGACGGCATCGGCGACCTCGCGCAGGGCGGCGACGTCGTCATCCCCGAAGCGGGCGCGGGGCCGGTCGTCGATGACGCAGAAGGAGCCCAGGACATGGCCGGCGGGGCTGTAGAGGGGCACCTCGGCGTAGAAGCGGAAATGGGGCCAGCCGGTCACGTAGGGGCGGTCCTTGAAGAAGTCCTCGGTGGTGAAGTCGCGGACGATGAAGCGGGAGGCATTGGCGGTGACGTTGGGGGAGTCGACGACCTTGGAGGGGTCCTGGCCGGTGAACAGGGAGATGGAGTGGGGGCAGACGCCCCAGACGAGGTCGAGAGTGCAGACGCCCAGGTAGATGCCGTCGTCGGGGGCATGGCGGTCCTTGTCGCGCAGGGAGACGGACTTGGTGGCCTCGGCGATGATGTACTGGCGGGCGCCGTCGATGAGGGAGATGAAGGCGCGATTGCAGCCGAAGCGGAAGACGGCCAGCTGGGCCAGGGCCGTGAGGGTGATGTCGGAGGACAGGCGCACGTCGACGCCGGGGGGAGGAGTGGTTGTCTCTGCATCTCCGTCGGCCTGTGCATCATCTGCCTGTGCGTCTGCGGCGTGGAGGGCGTCCGTGGCCGCTTCCAATCGGATGGCGGGGCGATCGACGGTGCAATAGTACCTGCAGAGGGAGCCATTCGGGTCAGCCTGGTTTGGTCTTGTTGTTGGTGTGGTGGTGCCTCTCACCTGGACAGATCTCGGATGCGTTCCCGTTCAGCCTCAGGGTGCTGAAAGGAAGCCGCCATTTATTCGGAAGCGATCCAGGGCATATCGTCGAAGGGGCGGGGGGGAGGGAGGGGCGAGGCAGCGAACACGAGACGAGTTAGATAGCAGGGAGGGGAGGGAGCGCGTGATGGAGAGAAGAGAAGGGGAGGAGGTGAGATGGAAGGAAGCGAGTGGATGGGGAGGGTATATGTTGGAGGGTTGGAGGGTTGGAAGATAGATGGAATGGGAATGTGGGGGGGGAGGAGGAGGAGGAGAAAAGACGGAGAAGGCGAGAGCGAGCGAGAGAACGAGAGAAAGAAAGCGGCGGCGCCAACGCGGCAACGCATGCCGACCAATCGCCCGCCCCAGCCGGCCGCAGCCTGTCGATTTCCTTGATTGGCCCTCGGGCCACCGCCCACCGGGCCTAGGCCCCCCGCCGCCCTGGGCCCGCCCAGGCGCTAGGCCGCATCGGGGATGGCCGCCGTTGCGGCAGAACGTACTTCCCGGACGACGGCCTGACGCTGCAGGCAGCCACGGCGACCGCCGCCCACTCGGAGCCGACGGGCTCGTTCCTGCCTGACACGCCCCGATTGCTCAGGCTGCTTCTCAGGCTGCTCTCTGGTATCTAGATGTCCGCCGATGCATCCCCTAATGAATGTCCACAGCGGACACGGTAGTACGAGTAGTATAGTAGTTAGTTAGTTAGTACTTTCTCTACTTACACAGCAGCAGTCAATGTCCGTTGTCGACTTTTTTTTCTTTTCACACCCCATCCTCGTCATCGCCCGGGCCAGTTCCCGCCCTCGCAGTGACGACCCTCGTCGATCGATCGATCCGCCGACGGACGCTCGCTCGCTCGCTCCAGGCCTTCCAGGCCTCCCAGGCCCTCCCTCCCTCGTGCCCGCCCGGCCCACCTCGCTGTTCTTCACTTCTTCACTTCTTCCTTCCTCTCTGCTCTTCGTCAACCCCACAACCACACCCCGAGTCAGGGACCTCCCCTTGGCTGACGTCGTGACTCTCGAGCTTGCTGGTCTCTTGGTCTCTTGTCTCTGCGGGCGGTGGCCCTCGCCAGTCAGAGTTAAGAGTTGGACTGATCCAGAGTCTCGAGTCTCCCGTGGGACAGCAGGACAAATATCCAAGGGCCCGGGAGGGGACCAAGGGAACCATCCCCTTCCGGAAGGCAACCGGACGCCGTGGCGACCCATCCGACCCCTGATCTGGCCATGCAGCTTCCCTACCTCCCTTCCCTGAGGTGGATGATTGGATCTGGGGTGGGGAAGATAATCCGAGCGTGGAGAAAGCTCCCGGGAATGAAGCAATGTTTTTTTTACTGATGTGCCGGATCAAGATCGCCCCAAAAAACAGGCACCTAACAATCATGTACAACAACGACGGATGTCCCTGGAGACTGTCTGTATGATCACTCAGAGTCGAAATCCGGCAGCCTATCTACACCGTCGGGAGGAATGGCGCGATCCATCGTGTTGGATTTCTAATCAGCCCTGCTTCTTGATCCAGGGGGGGGGGGCTTATAAATCGAATCCGTCGTAGGTAACTACTTTACTAGTTATATGAAGGCAGAGAGGGCAGGGAGGGCAGGGCAGGGCAGGGCAGACACAACCACCATGAGTGCTTCTCCCACCACTCGCGATATTCATCGTCTACTGACTACTAGTACGCACACCACCATGGCCACTCCCACCCCTTCCACCCCTTCCACCCCCGTCCGCACCGCCCTGATCGGCCTGTCGGCGTCCGCCATCACGGCGTGGGCCAGCCAGGCCCATCTGCCCGCCCTGCGCAGCCATCCGGACGTCTTCGCCCTCGCCGCCCTGTGCAACAGCAGTGAGGCCGCCGCCGACGCCGCCATCCGCGCCTTCGAGCTGGATCCCACCACCGTCCGGGCCCACGGTCAGCCCGACGCCCTTGCGGCCGACCCGGCCGTCGACCTGGTCATCTGCTGCACGCGCGTCGACCGGCACTTCGAGACGGTGCTGCCCAGCGTGCAGGCCGGCAAGTCGGTGTACCTGGAGTGGCCCATCGCCAGCTCGCTGGCGCACGTCGAGGCGCTGCAGGCGGCGGCGCGGGCCAGCGGCGCCCCCGTGGCCGTGGGGCTGCAGGGGCGCTTTGGGCCCCTCGTGCGGACGCTGCAGGGGGCGCTGCAGTCGGGGCGCATCGGCCGGGTGCTGAGCACCGAGGTGCGTGCCTTTGGCGGCACGCGCGATCGCGAGGTTCTGCCCGTGGGCTTGAAGTACTTTGCTGACCGCGAGGTTGGCGGGAACCCCATCACCATCGGGTTCGGGCATCGTGTGTTTCCCCCCCCCTTCCAAAATGTCTTGTCTGGTATCGATCGATCGTCACTGACTCTCTCCCTCCCCTCCCAGTCATCGACCAGGTGCAGTTCGTGGTGGGCGATCTCGTCCCCGGCACCGACCACATCCATCTGCAAGTCCAGCGCCCCGACGTGCGGCTGCGAGATGCCCAGTCGGGGGAGTTTGTGGGCCACACGCGCTCCAACGTGCCCGATCTCGTCAGTCTCCACGGTAAGCCAGGAGAGACCGACCCCCCCCCCCCCCCCCCCCCCTTCGCGCCCGCACTGACCCTGACCTCCAGGATCCCTGCCGGAAACCGCCCAGGTCGCCGCCGGCGCGAGCCTGGTGGCCTACTTTGCGCGGGGCCAACCCTATCCGGGGGACCCGGCCCTGACCTGGACCCTGACGGGGGAGTCCGGCACCCTGCGCCTGACCTCGCCGACCGGCATCTTCATGCAGGCGGACACGGGCCCGGAACGGCCCATCCTGACCGTGCTCGATCACGCGACGGGCGCGGTGGAGGAGATCCCCTGGGCCTGGTCGGAGACGCAGCTGGCGGTGCCCGTGATGGCCCGGGCCGTGCAGGGCTGCCTGGTGAGCTTCGCCACGGGGCGGACGGAGGGCTATGTGTCGCTGGACGACGCCGCGGGTCGGGCCCGGCAGATCGCCCGGTGGTTGGATGCGTTGGCGCAGGCGTAAAGCTGGTTCCCCCCCCCCCCCCCCCCCCCCGCGCGGTGTTGGGGCTCCTGGTCTATCATACGATGTAGGAATGTAGGAACATGCAATTGCCTGCTCTATTCTACCGTCACGCGTGTTTTCGATATCCCGATATCTGCAACTTCATATCTCCCCCGGGCTATGGGAGAGATATAGTGCCTCGATTGACGTAGTCTTTCAACCAACCAGCCCGGCTAGCTCAATCGGCAGAGCGTGAGACTCTTAATCTCAAGGTTGCGGGTTCAACCCCCGCGTTGGGCTTCTCTTTTTTGTCATTTCTTCCTGGCTGTCCCCTTTTTTTTGGTCCAGGCTGGGTTGTGGGGGGGGGGGGACCGAATCACAAAAAAAAAAAAAACTGCAACCCGGGTGGGTCCGTGGGAATCCGCCCGAACTGGCCGCCCCGCCAAACCGTTCATCGTGTACGGAGCACTGGAAAGCCGTAATCCATGATATGATGCTGGCATGACGGTGCAGGGGGCGGAATACATACTCCAAGATTGATCCATATGCCCTAGACAGTCCAATGGATTATATATCCTATAAAGCCTGCGCTGGATCCCAGTTGGGCCATGTACTTCCGCTTCCGCAGATCAAACCCCGCTCTCCACTATATATATATGAACGATGTCGACTCCCAGCTACTACAGTCTGGACATGTCCGGCCCGGGTCTCCTGCCTCAGGCTGCCACGCTCGGACTTTCTGACAGACCAAAAAGACCACTCGGCTAAAAACGTGTCCAGACACCTAAGTAGGCGTGATACTGAATGATCCTCTTTTTGACACTTTCCTTGTCCGGGCGGCCTTCCAGACGTGCATCCACAGCGCGCGATCCGTCCTGGCCGCCCTCCACGGCCACCTCCCTGACCTGGACGGTGTTGGCCCCCGACCGTCTTGTTTCATTTGGGCCCGGAGGAAGACATGTCCGGCGCCACTCTACTTGTCTACGCTGCAAAGGAGAAACATATTCATCACGGACATATATATATATATATATATATATTTTCACCGGAAGATATCTACACGGGCATCCTCTTCAATGTCACTGTCGATCTACTGCATCACGAACTGGGTGGCGTGGTCCTTGTGCAACACACTCGAATCCAGGACCTCGCCCGTCTCGGACCGGATGAAGTCGACCTGCAGGTCGGTCGCGTTGAGGAAGCGCAGGCTGGCGAAGCTGTAGTCGTCCGCGTAGGCGAACGCCGTGTAGGACGGCTCGGTGCCCACGGAGCTCAGGCCCTCGATGTTGCCGGCGCCCCGGCGACGATGTACATGGGCGCCGCCGGGTTGTCCAGCCCGTTGGGGTCGGCGGTGCCGTTGACCACCGGCTGGAAGCGCTGCGCGTTGTGGACGTGGCCGAAGACGCCCAGGTCCACGCCGTACGTGTAGAACAGCGCCTCAAAGGCCTCCTGGCAGGGGCTGCAGAGGTTGTCGTCGCCGCCCGTGCTGTACCAGGGGCGGTGGCCCGCCACGACCAGCCAGGGGGTGACGGTGCGGTCGACGCTCGCCAGGTCGGCCGCCAGGAAGTCCAGCTGCTGCTGGCGCCGTCCGAACGGGCCCGTGTCCAGGTCGGCGGACCCGTCGGGGCCGTCGGGGGCCTCGGCGAAGTCGGTCTCGGTGTCGATCATGGTGACGTGCACCAGGCCGTACTCGAAGGAGTACCAGAAGGGGGGCACGGCCAGCCCGCGGGCCGTCTGGGCGCGGGCCCGCGCGGTGGTGTTGGCGGAGGCCGAGGGGAAGGCCGTGGGGACGGTGCCCTCGAAGCGGTGCAGGAAGTCGGTGAAGTTGCGCTGGCCCTCGGGGCACAGGCCGGCCGTGTAGGGGATCTCGGTGCAGTCGGCCTCGTGGTTGCCCGGGCCGGCCATGTACAGCTTGTTGCCGGCGATGGGGGCCAGCTGGTCGTAGAAGCGCTCCAGGATGGACTGGTAGGCGTCGCTGCCGTCCAGCCAGTTGTCGATGTCCAGGTACCAGTCGTCGGCGTAGGCGAAGTCGCCCGGGTGGAGGACCAGCTCGTACTCGTCGAGGGTGTCGGCCAGGCGCCCGATGGTGGTGTGGTTCAGGTCGGGCTCGATCCAGGGGATGTCCGACTTCTTGGCCTTGCGCGACGACGAGAGCGTGTAGCCGTCGGTGCCGTAGACGCCCAGGTCGATGACGACGTCCATGGTGAAGGGGGTCGGGTCCCCGGGGACGCGCGGGCTGAAGAACTGCCCGACGCTGGAGTTGCCCGACACGATCCGGTAGTAGTACGTCGTGGCCGGGGCCAGGTCGGACAGCACCACGACGTTGGAGTAGGTGCGCGACGTGTCGTAGGTCGTCGACTTGGTGGAGCAGGCCTCCCCGTCCAGGTCGGTGCGCGAGGTGCCATACTGCACGCAGCTCTGGTTCAGCTTCTCGTAGGTGTTCCAGCCCACGGACACGGCTGCACCAGAAGAAGGGTCATTAGCGGGGGCAAATGAGACCGATGGCACAGGGCAGATCTCACCGTTGGGCCCGTAGATGGCCAGACGCTGCTGGTAGGGGGTGGTCAGGTCCTGGGGGATGGTGGGATAGTCGATGGCCAGGGCCCCGGCGGCCAGGACGGGCAGCACCTTGCTGAATGCCACGAACTTGGACATGCTGCTGCGGATCTTGCTGCTGCTGAGAGGGGCATCCTGAAACTGAACGGCCGGTCGGAGAATATATAACTGGCAGATGTCCCGTCACGCCGTCACGCCGTCACGCCGTCACGCCTGTCTTCCTCCCCGGGGGAGGGGAAGCGGACCAAAAAAGGAGGGCATTGCCGGCACGTGGGATGGGGAGGCCTCGGAGACCCTCCCGCATAGGGTTGCCAGGGCCGGGCAACGTGCCCGGCCCGCATCCCCTGCTTGGAACGGCCAGGAGCAATACGCATGTCGTGATTCTCCGTGATTCTCCACCCGGAACGCACGTGGGATCGACGCAGGCTGGCACAGGTTGATTGTTGATGGCTTGCTGGTTCAACCGAGGTCCAGCCCCCCGAGCCAACGTCCCTGACGAGCCTGCCGATCTCCCGGCCTCCGTCGGGCGCCTTCTCTTCCCCTTCCGCCACCGCAGGGCATGGGCATGGGCCCATCCATCTGCCGGGGAGGGGGATACTGCTGGCAGGCGATGACAGGTGACATTTCTCATAGGCATTTTTTATAATTTTTTGAAGTACCGGATGCGAGCTATCTACTATTCTCATCGTCTCATTATTCGAAAAAAGACCACATCAGTTGCGGTTGCTCATGTAGTTGTACCCCCGGTCCACCATCGCCTTGGCCTGGCGCGTGTGCGCGTCCAGCTCCTCCACGGGGAGGCCCAGCCGGGCGTTGTCCAGCCCGCGGCGGCTCTCGTGGTCGCCATCGCCGTTGGGGAAGAAGACCCGCGAGTACATCGCCTGCACGAAGCCCGACCGGTCGCCCTGCCTCAGCCGCTCCATCCCCTGCCGGTACCGCTCGGTGGCCGGCGCCTGCGCGAGGGTCCAGTCGGCCGCCCGGTCGCCCGCGACCCGGAGCCAACTGTCGAACATGTCGCGCTGGCTGAGCCGGAAGCTGGCGATGTACACGGCCTGGTTGTGCCAGCGGCGCAGGGCGAGGCGCGGGTCCTGCGCATTGTCTGGCAGCACCGGGAGACTCAGCAGGGTCGCCACGGCCCGCCCGCACTGGGCCTGGGTGCTGATGCTGATCCGGGTGCGCCCGTCGTCGTTCAGGGTCAACTGCCGGTGGGGGAAGTCGAACCCAAAGGCGCCCGGCCCCAGCACCAGGCTGTGCTCGTACCAGAAGCCGCAGACGAGGGCGACCCAGGCGCAGACCCCCGTGGCCTCGATCTCCGCGAAGATGGCGCGCGAGCGGTCCCACTGGAGGCCGCTCCGCGCCAGCGGGTCGTGCAGCACGTCGCAGCCCCAGACGTTGGGCATGATGTACCGGATCCCCGCCTGCGCGGCCGCCTGCACCAGCTGGGACTGGGTGTCCGGGGGCGCCGTCACGGCCAGGGTGATGATCAGGCAGTCCTGGCCCTGCAGGGCGGCCACCAGGCTGGCGGGCGAGTCGTAGTCGACGGCGACGGTCTCGACCCCCGCGGGGACGGCGCTGGAGCTGCCCACTCGCGTCAACGCGGTCACGGTGTGTCGACCGGTGTCGAGTAGGGCCTGGGTGATGGGGGTGCCCACGGAGCCCCCGGCCTGTTCCGGGGTCAGTCTCCCTGGCGAAGTGCAACACTGGGGGGGGGGGATAGACGTACCCCCACGATGGCCACGCGTCGGATCTCGTTGACGAAGCCCGCGGGCTGGTCTTCGGCGTAGATGGCAGACATGGTGTTGATTCGATCGGGGAAGGGGTTGGATCCGACTGGAATCATGGACAGCTACTACTAGTATTGACCTGGGATGCCTTTATACAGCAAGCCGGCTCGGCGATAGCTCGCTAAGTCCGTCGCCTGCACTGCAGGATGGTGGGAGGTTTTGACTGACAGACGAATTGCCCGGGATCGACGGGCCATCAGAAAGGGCTGCGGGCATATTGTCTCGGGGTCCAAAGGGTGTGCCGAGGTGAGATTATCTCCGGGGTAGGAGAAGAGAGAGAGACGTCGGGAGGGGTGCGGCGTTAAGCCCTAATTCCGGGCTGTAGGAATCGAATAACAGACGACAACCAGGACTAAACCTCACTAGCAGCATAAACTAAGGACTGGACACTGTGGCGCATGCGTGGCCCCCACGATGATCCTTCTCGAACGAACCCCAAACGAGCTGCCTTCACCGCCACGATGCGACTCCTCCTGGCGTCAGACCCAGACTCAGACTCTCCACCCTCTCCTATCAACTCTTTTTCGTCAGCACAGCACTCCCCACCCCCCATCCGCATCGGCCACGCCCGCCATGGTGTACTGCGGCAAGCCATCCAAGGCCTGCGAGCCGTGTCGCATCCGCCGCGTCAAGGTAGGTGCTCTGCCTGGTGCCTGTCAGCAGGGTCAGAAGGGTCTGACTCGAGTCCCCTCCCCCCTCAGTGCGACCTGCGGCGGCCCGGATGCCGCCAGTGCTACAATACGGGGCGTGTCTGCAGTGGCTACCGCATCGATATCGACGTCAATTTCCGCCACCAGACCGACGCCGTCGTGCAGCGATATGGAGGCAGCCCGACGAGTCGGAATGTACCAAACACAAACACGAACCCCATTCCCGTCCCCGCCGCCTTCCAGGCCGTCAGCACCGCCCGCACCATCGCCGTCCGCCGCTTTCTGTCCCAGACCACCGAGGCCATCCACGGGGAATACGTCCTGCCCCTGTACGAGCGGGCGCAGTGTGCCCCCGTGCTGACCGCCGCGCTGGAGGCCGTCAGCCTGGCCTGCCTGGCCAACGAACAGGCGCGTCGCGACCTCCTGACCCCGGCGCGCGAGCAGTATGGGCGGGCGCTGCGGCATCTCCGGCAGGGCCTCGCCCGGGGGCACGGGGAGCTGGCGGCGCTCCTGTCGGCGGGGATGCTGCTGGCGCAGTTCGCGGGGCTGGCGGGATCGGCGGAAGACCGCCGGGGGGACAGCCCGGGGGAGTGGTCGCGGCACGTCAACGGGGCCTTCTCGCTGCTGGCGACGCGGGTGCTGCAGGGGGGCTGCCCCCTGACGCTGCCGGGGCGCAGCCTCTTCCTGCACCTGGTGAGCTGCCTGCTGGTGGACTGCCTGCAGCGCGGCACCACCTTCTCGCCCGCCATGCGCGCCCTCCTGCGCGCCCGCCGCGCCGACATGCCCGAGTTCCAGCTCCGCTTCTGGGGGCTCGTCGACCGCATGTGCCTCCTGAACGCGGTGCCGGGGGGACCCTCCGGCGGGCGGGTGGCGGCGTGGCAGGCCCTGGACCGCGAGGTGGCCGTGCTGATGCAGAACATGCCCCGGTCGCAGGCGTACGCCGACGGACCCCCCGCCGCCGCCGCCCGCAGTCCAGACCCCCCGTGCCCGGGCTACGGCAGCTATCGCATCGCCCAGCAGTGGAATATCCTCCGCATGGTGCGCCTGGCGGTCAATGAGCGGCTGATCGAGCATGCCCCAACCCACCCCCCGACCGGGCCCGACGATCGGGACCAGGAGCAGGACCAGCAGCAGACGGCCGACCGGTCTCGGGCAGTGATCGCCACGATGATCCGCGACATCTGTGCCAGTGTCCCCCGGGATCTCCGACCGGTCGCCCCAGGAGACAGCCCGCCGACGCCGGGGCCGGGGCCGGGGCTCCACGGCTGGGCCTACTCGCTCGTCTGGCCGCTGTCCCTGGCCGGCAAGTCCCCGTCCTGTCCCGCGGCGCTCCGGGGCTTCATCGCGCGACAAATGGCCGCCCTGGAGACGATGATCGGGCTGGAGATCACGACGGCACACGCCCCGCATGAATGGTAGGTCTCTGCTGTCCGCTGTCCGACGAGAAAGTCCATCGCTGACGGGTTAGGGTTCACATGTTCTTTCTATTTTGAGATCCTTGTTGGACGAGATATCGAATTGAATCAACTAGACTCAGCTAAACTAGACTCGACCTTCCTGAACTACATATCTCCCTCTCTACTCCTTGTCCAGCACCACCCGGAAGGCCGACAGCTCGACCGCGTGCACCGCCGCCGTGGCGTTGGCCCGCCAGAAGACCATCTCGTTGAGGGCGACGCCGGCGTACGTCAGGGGGTCGATGTTGGACACGCAGTAATCCGCCCAGATCGAGCTGGCGTTGCCGCGCGTCGCCGTGTCGCCCCCGGCCCCCTCCAGCACGTTGATGACGCGCCAGACCTCGCCCACCGCGCCGTCGGCCGTCGTGGTGCGCGTCTCGAAGGTGGGCAGGAACTCGAAGTAGATGTCGTCGCCGCTGCCCTCCTCGCCCGCCACCAGCGGCACCAGCACGTCGAGCACGTCCGTGCCGTTGGACACCCACGCCGAGACCGACAGCGACCGCTGCGGCGACTGGGCGATGGTCAGGGACGAGTTCAGTCCCGTGGCCGCGGGGGCGCGGTAGGTGCCCGCGTAGGTGGTGGCCAGGTGCCGCTGGGCCACCCCCTCGGCGCCCACCAGGATGGGGTCCACCACCGCGTCCAGCAGGTCAGTCAGCCCCGTCAGCTCGCCGGCCACCCCCAGGAAGATCACCAGGTCGTACACCGGCACGACGAAGCTGTACGTGTAGTACCCCGTCAGGCCCCCGCCCTTGGTGTTGAGGGTCACGGCGCGCGTGCTGTGGGGCAGGATGGCCGGGGAGCGGAAGATCTCCCAGGGGTAGCCGAAGTACGAGTGCGCCCCGGCCGAGTAGGCGGCGGGCAGGAACCAGTTGAGCGCCGGGGTGATGCGGTTGTGCTGGGCCAGGGCGAAGCGCAGGAAGGCGATCATGTCGGTGGCGCTGCTGTACAGCCCGCCGGATCTGGATACGCCTCCGTCAGTGATCATCAGCACGAACGAGGACAGGTCCGGACCACTCACGGGTTCCCCTCGCCCAGATCCACCCCCCAGTAGCTGTCCGCCACGACGACGCCCGTCGCGGGCGGGGTGAAGCAGGTACCCGTGAGGTTCAGCGGGCGGAGGATGGTGGCCTCGATGTACTCCTCGTACGTGGTGTTGCTGATCCGCTCCAGGACGAGGCCCAGCAGGTTGTAGCCCAGGTTGCTGTAGGAGGTCTCGTCCCGGGCCGGGAACACGGGGGTGGCCTGCTCCAGGAACCGCAGGAGCTCTGCCATCCATCGTCAGTCATCAGTGGTGCGTCTGGGTGGACAGAGGAACTCACCCGCGGTGGTGCAGGGCTGGGTGTAGGTGGAGAAGCCCTCGCAGGTCGGCAGCTGGGCGGCCTCCTGCGCCGAGAGCAGCGGGAGGCCCAGGACGGTGGGATCCGACAGCGACAGGACCAGATCGTCCTCGGCATCTACCTGGGTCAGTCTCCGCCTTTCAAACTCTTTTTTTTGGGGGGGGGGGTTACAGTTGTCAGGGATGCCACTGAGGTGGGCCATCAGGGTGCGCAGGGTGATGGTGTCCCAGGCGATCCGCCCCGCGGTGTGCCGGAGGTCCGGGAGGAAGGTGGTGATGCGGTCGTCCAGGCTCAGGTGGCCGGCGGCCTCGGCCTGCAGGATGCCCAGCGCGGTGAACAGCTTGGTGTTGCTGGCGATGCGGTAGGCCGACGAGGCGTTGACTGGCTGGGCGACCCCCGGCGCCGCGTGGAAGGCCGAGTGCAGCAGCCGGTCCGAGGAGGCCACCATCACCGAGAACGAGGTGTCGTCGAACCCCCCGGCCGCCACCAGGGCCGCGAGGGAGGCATCCACCTGCGCGAAGGCCTCCACGAGGGAGTCCCCGGTGTACTGGGGCGGCGGGAAGGGGATCTCCGGCTCACAGGCTGCCAGGGCCTGCTGGGCCGCGGACGCCAGCAGCGCGAGGGAGACAGCCACGCGCATGGTGAGATCGAAAAAGAAAAAAGGGTGCGTCTGAGCGGACGGGAAGAGTTGGGCAAACGGAAGGAGATGAGAAAACGAATGTTGAGCTGGTGTGAGTGAATGATTGCAGCTTGTTGATGGTGGTCCAGTCCGAGGGCTGGTACCACATCATGGGCTTTATACTACGGCGGGAGTACCTGATGGACCGACCCCCCTTTCATCGGACCGATGTGGCTGCCTGGTGGACAGGCCCGTCCCTGCCACCTTTTGGGACAGCAGCTCGCCGAAGGAATGACATGCGCCACGACGAGCCCTCGAACGGGCCGATGACGCCAAACACTGGCGGGCGAGTTGCGCCCCCAGATCCGGTTAGTCCCCAGGGGGTGGGGGGGTGGGGCCTCGTCGGAGGGATTTTTTTTTTTACCTCATTCTCGAACATCTCCAGAGCACACGGAGAGAAGGGATGGACTAGAGGGAAAGAAAAGGCGTGGTCAGACCCGACCGGTGGAACCGTCAGAGGGGCTCGAGATCATATCTTCAGACCCGCTTGGCGGTCGATATTATGGTCGAAATCCAGGTCCGAATGATCGAAGAGATTTTTTTTTTTTTTTTTTTATCAATTAAAGATTAATCAAATGTAATGCAAATTCCGTTTCCCCCGTCAATTATGTATATGTCCTTGGGTATCCTCAACGCGGTCTCACAGTCTTATCTTCATTTGCCCTCCATTCAGACCTCCCGCTCCACCCAGGCCCGGAAGAGGCGGTTGAAGTCCTCGAAGCCCTGCTGGGTGGACGCCCGCATGTCCGCCGACCGGGCGACCAGCCCCTCGCCCATCAGGAAGGCCAGCAGGCCGGTGAACCGCTCCTCGTGCACCAGCCGGGTGCGGGCGGGGTCGGGGCCCGCCTCGAAGCCGAAGCGATGCTCGCCCACGAACACGCCCGGGACGGAGCCCGTCCAGCTGAAGCAGGCCGGCTCGTTGGTGGTGACGACGGGGGAGAAGTTCATCTTGCCGTAGCCCAGCGAGCACTGCAGCTTGTCGCCGGGCTGCAGCTCGCGGGGGGCGCGGTCGGGGGGACCGGGGTGATGGCGCGGATGAAGCCGTGGGGGCTGTAGCTGGGGATGGCGGAGAACTCGAGGAACTGAACTGGGATGGGAACTGATCAGTGGGGGAGAGGGACTAGCAGAGGGGATCGATCGTCTGTCGCGGCCGGCCGTACCTTGTCCCGCACGACGGCCGGAGGGGCGGCAATCTCGATGCTGGTGGAGATGATGTACATGGTGGGTGCGAGCGAGAGACTTATATCTGGGATGGAGTCGGGGCGGTGTGGAGGGCCAAGGTAATGAAGGAGTAATACTAGGCTATTTATCATGCAGTTGCAGGCAGGAGGAGTCAGTCAGTCTTCTTTATATGATGGCCGCCCTTCCGCCGTGGCGACCGCACGGGAACGGAATCCCGCGCCCGAAGCCCCAAGTTTCCCGACCGAACGGACGGGCCATGCATGCATGGGCCAGGATATGACCTAGACTGTCTACTTTTTCTCCCTTTGGTGTCTCTTGTGTGAGCGGTTGAGAGAAGGGAATTTGATCGGATCGCGGACAAAGAAGACCGGCTGGAGGGGGCATAGGGACTCCAGCCTGGGGGTGGTCAGAGTGAAACTTCCAGTCCCTTCCCAGGTCACGTACCCTCGGCTAGAGTACGAGATCCAGCCACTGGTATATTTCCCTGTTCCGATGTACGAGTCTGTAGGAGTTTGACAGGGAGCCCCAGGGATGTGGCGTCTGTCACTGTCCCCCGTCGGCGGACCCGGGAATGGATCCAGACTGCGGTCCATGAGGGGCAGCAGAGACCACTACGGACGTACTTCTACATTGCCAGTGAGTCAGTTGACGCGGAAATTGTGCGATGACAGAGCCACAAGCCCACCAATGCGCCGGCTTTCTCTGTTCTCTCGGTTTCGGTTGCGAACGCGGATCAGCATCACCCACCCGCGGTGTTCTGGTCCAATCCGAGATCCCAGGCCTCGTATCTGGTGCTGCAGCACCAGGGGGGGGGGAGATGGGGGGGGCACCAGATGGTCCCGTAATACATGGAAACTATCTCATCACCACTGTTACGCAGTCTATCTCCCCTCCGGTGGAGCAAGGATCGAGGTCTGCCCGCCGTTGGTATAAAGCAAGGGTCCGCCGGGTCCGTTCTCTGCTGCTCTGCTCTCTAGTATCCTCGTTCCCTGTCTACATCTCTATCTTTACCCTCACCTGCTCCTCTTCTAACCGCCACCATGGTCAAAAACGGATCCTACTTTGACTTCATCATCGTCGGCGGGGGCACCGCCGGCAACACCGTCGCGGGGCGTCTCGCGGAGAACCCCAATGTCACCGTCCTCATTGTCGAGGCGGGCATCGGCAACCCCCAGGAGGTGCCCGAGATCACGACGCCCTCATCCGCCATGGACCTCCGCGGCAGCAAGCACGACTGGGCGTACAAGACCACCCTGGTCAAGCGCGAGGACTACGAGCGCGTGGAGAAACCCAACACCCGCGGCAAGGCCCTCGGGGGCAGCTCGTCGCTCAACTACTTCACCTGGGTGCCCGGCTGCAAGCCCACCTTCGACCGGTGGGAGGAGTACGGGGGCAAGGAGTGGACCTGGGATCCGCTGCTGCCCTACCTCCGCAAGAGTGCCACCTACCACGACGACCCGGCCCTGTACCCCTCGGGGCTGTCCCAGATCGGGGCGGGGGGCCCCATCCACATCTCCCACGCCGAGCTGCTGGACGAGATGCAGCCATTCCGCGAGGCCCTCACCAAGGCCTGGACGTCCCGCGGCCACCCGCTGACGGAGAACATCTACGACGGCGAGATGATCGGACTGACCCACTGCTGCGACACCATCTACCGGGGCACGCGCTCGGGCAGCTTCCTGTTCGTGCAGGACAAGCCCAACATCACCATCCTCCCGCAGGTGCACTCCCAGCGCCTCCTCATCGACGGCGCCGAGCGCGTCTGCCAGGGCGTCACGGTCGTCGACGCCGCGGGCCAGGAGCTGAGCTTCTACGCCAGCCGCGAGGTGATCCTGTCGCAGGGCGTCTTCGAGACCCCCAAGCTGCTCATGCTCAGCGGCATCGGCCCCGCCCGCGAGCTGGCCAAGCACCGCATCGACACCCTGGTGGACTCGCGGCACGTCGGGCAACACCTCCTCGACCACCCGGGGGTGCCGTTCGTGCTGCGCGTCCAGGATGGCTACGGCATGGAGGATCATCTCTTGCGCCAGGGCCCCACGCGCGACGCGGTCGTGGCGGCGTACCAGCGAGACCGGACGGGCCCGCTGGGCTCGGGGCTGCTGGAAATGGTGGGATTCCCACGCATCGACCCCTATCTGGAGACGGACGGGGAGTACCGGCGGGCCAAGGCGGCCAACGGGGGCCAGGACCCCTTCTGCCCCGACGGGCAGCCGCACTTCGAGCTCGACTTCGTGTGCATGTTCGGCAGTGCGTTCCAGTGGCACTTCCCCGTGCCCAAGCAGGGCCACTACCTCACGGTGGTGGTGGATCTGGTGCGGCCGGTGTCCGAGCCCGGCGAGGTGACGCTGCACAGCGCCGACCCGTTCATGCAGCCCAACATCAACCTCAACTTCTTCGCCAACGACCTGGACATCATCGCCATGCGGGAGGGCATCCGCTTCAGCTACGACGTGCTGACCAAGGGCGAGGGCTTCCGGGACCTGGTGGTGGGCGAGTACCCGTGGGAGATGCCCCTGGACTCGGACGCGGAGATGCACCGGGCGGTGCTGGACCGCTGCCAGACGGCCTTCCACCCCTGCGGCACGGCGCGTCTCTCCCAGAGCATCGAGCAGGGCGTCGTGGACCCGCGCCTGCGCGTGCACGGGGTGCAGCGCCTGCGCGTGGCGGACGCCTCGGTGATGCCGGTGATCCCCGACTGCCGCATCCAGAACTCGGTGTACATGGTGGGCGAGAAGTGTGCGGACATGGTGAAGGCGGATCACCCGGACCTGTACCAGTAGGAGGCCAGTCGGATGCTAGTAGCATCATGGTATCCCAGTGGGAGTTAGTACTCAATACTCCGTACCCTAACACGAGATTCTTCCTTTGTTTCGCTTGGCGTGTCACCGTTCCCCACTTCCCCGGCAGGAGTCCATGTACCTCTTCCTGCTCCGCGTAGCTAGCCGTTTGTCTTTCGAGGGTCGCCATTCTTGTCCGACCCGGACAGACAGATTGGCTTGGGTTTCCTCGTCCGTCCGGCGAGGTCGGCGAGATGGCTCCCCCGGTGGAGCTAGTGGTCTGACGTGGCGGTGATGACAGGTGGCTCGTGCTTTACGATGCGGGGGGGACCTTGATGCCATGGTCCGTCTGCTACAGCTAGGATTGGGGATGTTGACTTGGTATTCGCACAAGGCCGATGGGTCTGTGTCAGTCAGTACAACCTCAGGCCAGACCAGTCCGTCATGACGTCAGGCCTCAGGCCCCCGCCCGCTTTGCCGCGTCCGGAAGCCCCGGCAACCCTAATTCATGGCGGATAAAAAGATGGATGAGGGTATGTATGTACGTACGTACGTACATGTGAAGGGGAAAGCGTCAGATGATCGATTGCCCTCAGCTCAGGCCATTCATTCACCGACCCAACCTCTCACCAACTCCTCAGCATGATTCGGGGTGGCTGTTCCCAGGCCAGTCGCCGGTTCCCCCGAGTCGTCCCCAGCAAGCAACTGCGTCCACTCTTCTCCCACTGTCCTCCTCCTCCTCCTCCTCATCCTGCCACTCTTCCTGTTCGCCCAGCGTCTTGCTCGCTACACACAACATCATCACCACGTCCTCCTCCCCAGGCTGCCACCATGGCCCAGCGGGCGAGTATCCAACCCCAGAGCGTCGATGCGCCCCTCACCTGCTTCGCCACCTTCCTCGTCCTGACCCTGCAGGACCGCCCCGCCACCTTCTGTACTGTCCGCACCACCCTGGCCGGCGTCGAGGACCTCACCAAGAACCTGACCATCCGCGACCTCCACGCCCGCTTCACCTGCACCGTCGGCATCGGCAGCGACATCTGGGACCGCCTGACGGGCCTGCCCCGGCCCGCCGAGCTGCGTCCGTTCCCGGCGGTCTAGGGCCCCACGCACACGGCCCCGGGCACGCCCGGGGATCTGTTCTTCCACATCCGCGCGGAGCGACGCGATCTGTGCTTCGAGTTCGAGCGGCAGCTGCTGGACCGGCTGGGCGATGCCGTCACGGTGGTGGACGAGACGGAGGGCTTCCGCTACTTCGACATGCGCGACCTCCTGGGCTTCGTCGACGGCACGGCCAACCCGGTCGGTCCCGCCGTGCCCGACGCGGTGCTGGTCACCCAGGCGGACCCCGCGGGGGTCGGGGGCAGCTACGTGGTCGTGCAGAAGTACCTACATGACCTGCCGGGCTGGAGGGCCCTGTCCACGGAGCAGCAGGAGGCCATCATCGGTCGCACCAAGCCTGACAACGTGGAGCTGGCGGACGCGGAGTCAGGGCAGCGGTCGCACAAGACCCTGGCCACGATCGAGGACGACGACGGGACGGAGCACGAGATCCTGCGCGACAACATGCCGTTCGGATCCCCCGGCGCGGGCGAGTTTGGCACGTACTTCATCGGGTACACGGGCCAGCTGTGGGTGATCGAGCGGATGCTGCGGCGCATGTTCGAGGGCGACCCCCCGGGGCTGCACGATCGCATCCTGGACTTCTCGCGGCCGGTGACGGGCACCACCTTCTTCGCCCCGTCCGCCAGCGTGCTGGCCCAGCTGGACGACCAGTGAGGGTGGTGATCATCCGGGGCAGAGAAAGAGGTCGGAGCCTGCTAGATGTTACAATATAAGCAATCCATCCATTTTGCGTGCTGCGGTATATCCCCCCTCCGGACCCATGGCCCGTGGAGAGCTGGGAGTCCGGCGTGCCCCCGTTGTCCATGTAGAACACAAAGTGGCTCGTCGCGCGTCCGACAGAGCAGATTCATGCCTCGCCAGTCGTCGTGGAGCTGTCGCAGCCCCCCCGCGGGCCTGGATCATCCGCTGCAGACCGGACCGATGGATGGACCACTCCTCCGCCGGGCCCCAGTATCGCTGAGACCATCAATCTCTGTATCCCTCGGATTGGTGGACCGGGGGAAAGGGAAGGGGGGGGGGGGGGTTCTAACAGATGAAAAAGACCATTCGGCTAAAACGTTGTCCAGGCACCTAGACAAGTGTGATACTGAATGATACTGGCGAGGCGATCTCAACGGGTCGGGTGGAGCCCAGGGCACAATGATGGATAGCCGGGCGGCGGCGAGGGCTGGGGACGGGAGTTCCGACGCGGAGCGGGCGTCCGGTCGGGGACGGCGGGGAGGGTCTCGGGGGGGTCGCGGCCGCCCGGGAGCTGCCCGTGTCCGTTCGCTCCAGTGGACTCGCCTGGCTTGGCTGCGCAGGCCGGCTGGGTCCTGACGATCTTGAGTGTCGGGTAGTATTTCGATCCACAGTCTAGGCCAGGAAACCGGGGAGCATCACCTGGGGGTCAGTCAGAGGGAGCAGGGCGGAGCAGAAGGGACTAGGAGAGAGTGAAAGAATGCAGGACACGAAGAAACGACAAAAAAAGGGAGAATAGGTGGTAGATGTGGGCGAATGGGGCGCGGAGGATCCGTCCCGACTCCCGACACGCCCTGTGTTCATATTATCCCGCTGTCTCTTCACAGGGCCTGTTGATCTTGAGAGCCAAGCATGTCACTATTGTGACTGTGGGAGATCCGGCAGACTACTACCCGAACTGCTGTCACTACAGGCCGGGTTCAAGTTCTCCTTTGTTGGTTATCTATATATATATTATACACATCTATATGTATTATATATGTATATATAATTAGATATACATATATGCATTATATATACATATATATTATATATTATATAAAGTATACATATAAATATATATAGGGCGGACAAGGGGAGCTCCTGCGAGGAACACGTTCACGCCACAGATTAGCTGTCCCGCTGCATCTTGGCCAACAGCTCGGGGATGATCGAACCTTCACACTCTGTCCACCCTCCAGACTTGGGTCGTCTGTGCCAAAATATGACTCTGCGCATGGAGCGGTCAGCAGACCGCTCGCCTCTCTCCAAGAAACCTCTCTCATCTGCAGACAGGCTGGCACGGGGCGTAAAGTGATAATTAATGCTTATTATTGTCTCATATGAAAGACGGTTGACATCTGGCAGATGGGATTGTCCTGGTTGTCTGGGAGGAAGCACGTGTAAGCAAAAGTCACCTCCTCGATGGCTCTGGGACGGACTCCTGGTGCGTGTCCGACCGACCGACACGGAAGGGCTTATCGCCGCGTGCGGGTTTCCCTGCCTGGCACGAATCCGGAGGGGTCCGCATCGGACAATTGGCCTGACGCCTCAAGCCCTGACTGGCCGACCGGGGCCAAGCTCAGGCGCTAGCAGAGCTAGCAGAGCTAGCAGATAAGGCACGCGGGCCCGTCTCGGCTGACAAATCCCCCTTGGACGGGCGACCGCGAAAAAAGAGTCCGTTTCTGCGCGACGTATCCAGCTACTTATCTCCGTGCGGAACGCCCGATGGCTCGACTGCCCGCAGGCTCGGTCGCGGGCGACGCTGCTCTCTGGCACGGCGGAGGCTCCAGCGGTCGTTGGGATTCGAAGGCGCGAGTGCGCGGGTGAGTCATGGCGCTGGTCCGGGAGCAGAAACAGCAGAAACAGCAGAAACAGCAGAAACAGCCAATTCGCACCGGGCATTGTTGTTGGGCTGCCCTTCGCCCGTTGTCGAGGAGCGGAGGCTGCAACCGCCGACCGCCGTCGGGGGGCGCCTCTTAAATCCGCGCCCTATTCCCGTGCCGCCAGCGACCAACCCAGTATTTAGGGCCGACCAGGGCTATCAATCGGGCTATCAATCAGATCAATTTTCGTCTATCTTCTCAGCACACACACCATGGAGAAGATCGCAGACCACGACAAAGATGTCCTCCAGACGCAATCCCGGACCCTCACCCCGGACGACACCAGTACCCAGGATGGGCCTCTGTCGGTGCCCGCCACCGCAAAGCCCGAGGACCACGAGCACGAGTGGCTCACGGGCATTCCCCTCGCCATGGTGGTGACGGGTATCACCCTGGTGGTCTTTCTCATGCTGCTGGACGTGTCCATTGTATCCACGGTAGGACTCGTTCCTCCCCCTCCCCCCCCCCCTCCCCCCCCCTTGGATCGTGATCACTGGCAGTGCTGACGCCCACGGGGCAGGCCATCCCCCACATCACGAATCACTTCCATTCTCTCGGCGACGTGGGCTGGTACGGCAGCGCCTACACCCTCGCCAGCGCCTCGCTGCAGCCCCTGACGGGCAAGTTCTACTCCAACTTCCCCTCCAAGTGGACCTTCCTCTCCTTCTTCACCATCTTCGAGCTCGGGTCGCTCATCTGCGGCGTCGCCACCTCCTCGAAGATGCTCATCATCGGCCGCGCCGTGGCCGGCATCGGCTCGTCGGGCATGGTCAACGGCGCCCTGAATATCCTGGCGGGCGCCCTGCCGATGCATCGCCGCCCGCCCTTCATGGGCATCATGATGGGATGTAAGTAGTAGGACTGGGGTGGGGAGGGATGCATGCTGACCGAGTCCCCCTGCAGGTTCGCAACTGGGCCTGGTGCTCGGACCGCTGATCGGGGGTGCCTTCACCACATACACGACCTGGCGCTGGTGTAAGTTGCGACCCCGACCCCCGTCGGAGCATCCCCGCTGACTCTGCGCGCAGGCTTCTACCTCAATCTCCCCATCGGGGGCCTGGTCGGGGTCCTGCTGGTCTTCACGCGGATCCCGGAGCAGCAGGTCAAGCCCCCCTTGCGCAGCATCGAGTGGGCCACCTTCTACAAGGGCTTCGACCTGTTCGGCTTCGTGCTCTTCGCGCCGGCGGCCATCCAACTCCTGCTGGCGCTGGAATGGGGCGGCAACAAGTTCGCCTGGAGCAGTGCCACCATCATCGGGCTCTTTTGCGGCTCCGCGGGGACCTTCCTGGTCTTCGGGCTGTGGGAGCGCCGCATGGGGGACGTGGCCATGATCCCGGGCCACCTGGTCACCCGCCGCATCATCTGGTGCAGCTGCCTGGTCATGGCGACGATGTTCGGCCAGACCATGGTCCTGGCCTACTACCTGCCCATCTACTTCCAGGCCGTGCGCGGCAAGTCGGCCCTGATGAGCGGTGTCGACCTGCTGCCCAACATCCTCTGTCAACTCGTCATGGCCGTGACCTCGGGCATCCTGAGTAAGTCCCCGCCCTGTCCTCCTCGTCCGCCCGCCGCGTGCGCCCCGCGCTGACTTGACCCCCTTCCAGCCGGTCGCATCGGATACTATCTGCCGTGGGGCATCGGGGGATCTATCCTGGCCGCCATCGGGTCCGGTCTCATCTCGACGCTCTCGCCCACCACCCCCGTCCGGAACTGGGCCGGGTTCGAGGCCCTCATCGGATTTGGCCGCGGCGCGGCGACGCAAGTGGTAGGTGGCCCCGTGTGGCGGTCTTCCCGATAGCCGGACTGACTGACTGACTGGTGTAGCCGATGATCGCGATACAAAATGCCGTCACCCCGAATCAGATCTCCACCGCCATGGCGCTGATGACCTTCTCGCAGACCTTCGGCGGGTCAATTTTCCTGGCCGTCGCCGAGGTCATCTTTTCCGCCGGTCTGCGCAAGGAGATCCCCAAGTATGCGCCGGCCGTCAGTGCCGAATCCGTCATCGCCGCCGGCGCCACGGGCTTCCGGGAGATCGTCCCGGCGGCCGATCTGGTCGCCGTCTTGAAGGCCTACTCCAAGAGTATCGATGGCGTCTTTTACCTGGGGGCCGGCTTGGTCTGCGTGCAGTTCATCTTCACGTGGGGCATGGGATGGAAGAACATCAAGAAGGGGAAAGAGGCGAAGAAGCCCGCCGAGAGTAAAGAGGAGGTCTAATAGTCCAAGGGCGTGATTATAACAATGATGCGGAAGCCCTGGGGTGTGTTACAGAGGAGTTCTTAATGTTAGACTATACATAAAATGTTACCAAAAGTAGATAGAGATAGGGGAAAATCTACACTCTCATGAATATATGAAAATTATTATCTATTTATAAGGGTGCATGGTTTAAGATAGTGTGAAGAAGATATATCTATCGCGAAGTCAAGATAATATCTGTATTAGGCTTGTCAAAATACCGAGCCCGAGCGGGTTGGGGGGGGGGGTCGGCGAGCCGGCTCGGCCGAGCCCAGGGCTTGTTAGAGCCAGGCCCTGCCCGCCTGTAAGTCCTGTGACTAAAATATAGCTTATTTGATATATTTATACTAGAAGATAATTTAATAAAAAAATTCTAATTTTAACTAAATTAGATTAAACTACAGCTTAAAAGCTTGTTAAGATCATTATATAAATAATTTAATATAAATACATAATAATTCTTTTTTATATTTTATTGTTAGGGGAACAATTGAATTAGACTAATCCAATATGCTATATTATAAGAAATTAATAAAAAAGAAAGAAAATAAGAATATTTAAGTTATATTCTTTTATCTCTTTCTATATAGCACTGTCTTTTATTTTATTTTATTATTTATTTAATTATAATATACTAAATAAGATATTTACACAGATATTATTAAGTCTCTAAAATTTAAAGAACTTATATAAGAAATTTATAATAATATTTCTCTTCTTATTTTATATATATCTATCTTATTTTTAAATAGCTTTAAGATTTCTGATTTATATATTATTTTTATTATATAAAGAGTTTGCTTTTTATATAAATAATAATTTTTTAACTTTTTTAACTTTTTTATATTATAAGATTCTTGTACAAATTCTTCAAATCCTAAAGACTTAATAATATCTGCGCTAATACCTTGTTTAGTCTACTATAATTAAATAAATAATTAAATAAAATAAAAAATAGTACTAGATGAAAGGAGATAAAAAAATATAATTTAAATTTTTTTTTTCTCTCTATTAATTTCTTTTATATTAATAATTAATTATTTCTCTGATATTAGAAAATTATTAATAATTATTAAGAGATAATCTTTTAAGAATTAAGAAGTATTTAATATATAAAAATAATAAATTCTTAATTTATTGATCTAAAATAATTAAAATATCATTTCAGGATTTATATAAGCAGTATACATTTTAGAAATAGATCTAAATAATTATTAAATATATTTTAATTAATAATAATAAAAATATTAGATAATAAAAGCTTAGCTATAAGTCTAACTAAAGAATTTATAAAAAAATTTATATTATTATTTATATAGATAATACTATTTTTTATTTGTTATCTAATGATATAATTCTAAGCTTACTTCTCAGATCTTAAATTCTTTTTTAAAAAAAATCTTAAAATATATTTTTTTTATAAGAAGCTTTATGTAAAGTAGACTTATTAAAATATTAAGTCTAGAGTGGCTTAACCTGATCATTATATCTTAACCTTAATCTGGCCATAATCTAATAATTAGATTAAGATATAAAAACTTTTAACTATATAATTAAGATTAGATTAAGATATAACTATTATTTTAACTGGTTTATATTAGAGTGGCTTAACCTGACTGTTATACCTTAATCTTAATCTGGCCATAACCTGATGATTAGATTAAGATATAAAAAATTTTTAACTGTATAGTTAAGATTAGATTAAGATATAATTATTATTATAATTATTTATATCTGCTGATTAGAAAGATTAGATATAGCAGATAGATTAATAATTATAAATTAATTTATAATATATATATTCTTCTTATATAAATAATATATAAAGTATAATATATATTTAATTATAATATAGAAATAGTAATATTCTTTAAATATAATCTATTACTTAATTTGCTTAACTGATTATATTAAGAAATATATTATATTCTAAAAAAGACTTTTACAGAATCTAGTATAGAAGAAATAAGAAAAGATATAGAATATTTATTTTTTATATTATTTAGAATAGTAATTATAATAATATAAAAATTATAAAAACCGGGTCTCTATCTCTATCTGAGTATATATAATAATCAAAAACTTAGATAAAACTAGTTTTTTTAATTCTAATAATAATCTATTCTCTAAATTATCTTCAAGATTATCTATATTCTTATTTTTATTAATATAAAAGATAATAATTATCTTATTCTTCTCTTATTTTTTAGATATAAAGATAATTAAATCTGAATTAAAATTATTAAGTATATTCTAATACTTTTTATTTATAATAAAATAATTAATATATATTTAAAGTATAACTGCTTTAATTATATCAGAATCAAGATAATTTTAATAATAATAATAAATATCTTAAGAATTATTAAAAAAATATTTAATACTAATATTATTAATTATAATCGAGAGAAAATCTCTAGCTATCTAATAAAAAATAGAAAACTGATTATAATAAAATTTTTAATAAATAAAAATATTAATATATTCTATAATATCTAAAATTATATTAGTTTAATTAAAGATATCTTAAAAAACTATATATCTTTAATATCTAGATATATCTTAAGTTCTTTATATATCTTAACTGCGGGTAAGAGTCTCTGATATTTAAAAATATTATAAAAGATCTTATCTAGATCTAATAATAATTTAAAAACTATTAATAATATATTAATTATCGGATTTTAACTAAAATAAAAAGAGAATATCTTTTTAAAAATAATTTAATATTTATAATATTAGTTAATATTTTTATTCAGCTATATATCTTTCTTAAACTTTTTAAATTTTAATATTAGATTCAGAATAGTTATAATTATATAGATATAATCTTTTATTTAATAAATATAATAATAATATTTTCAGAGCTTCTAATATATATTATATAAGCTTTTAAAAATCTTTTTTTTTTAGAATATTTACTTTCTTTTCAGTCTATTAATTAAATAATCCAGATAATTAAAAAAATTATTATAAATATTATAAATTTTATAAACAGTAGGCCCACTGTTCTCAAAGAGATAAAAAATAAAAAAAAAAAATATAAAAACTTAAGAAAATATTTTATTTATTTCTATTTTATTATAATAGAATAAAAATAATTAATATTATTATATTTATAATATTAAATAAAACTTTTAATTACTTAATAAAATTTAAGTATCTAATAAATTATAAGATAGATTAAGTTCCAGCAGATTTTATAGTTAAAAAAAAGATAATAAATTAAGCTAGATTTAAATTATTAAATAAGTAAGAACTTCTTATAGTATTAAGAGCTTATATTTATAAATTATATAATCTTTTAAATCTATAATTAAAAATTAATATAATAAATTAGCTAATAGAAAACTTCTAGAAACTCTTTATAAAAGAAGATTTTATATTAATCTTTTATAGATAACTTCTAGAATATATCTTTTTAAGAATTTTTAAAATATTAAAAGAGATTTTAAAACTTTTATTATTATTCTTCTATATATATTTAATAATATTATTTAAGATCTTAATCTAAAATTTCTGCAGAAGAGTATTAATCACAAGCTAAATTATATAAATAAAATAAAAAATATAATATTAATTTTAAATAATCTTTGAAAAATCAGAGTTAATTAAAATATTATAAAATTAAATATTCTAGCTAAGTTAAGTTCGGAGTTCAGCTAAGATTATATTAAATATTATATTATTATTATTAGTATTATTAGTTATTATATCTAATAATTAATAAATAAAATTATATTTATATAAGATTAATAGAATAATTATAGCTAGATTTTTATTAATATAAGATTTAGATATTAATTAAAAGTCTAGTAAAATCTTATAATAATTTATATCTTTTATTAAGAAATATTTAATTAAATTAAAAAATATTTTCTAATCAGAGCTGATTTAATAATTTATTATAATTAATATTTATCTAGTACTTAAAAATTTTAATAATAATTATATATATATCTCTTCAGATAATTTTATAAGATATTTTTTAATTTATATTTAATTAGAAAAACTTAATTTTCAGTAAAAAAATAAAATAATAAGATTAATTATCTATTTAAATTAAATATATTTAATAATTTAGAATAATAAATAATAAATAATTATAAAATATAGAACTTGATTCTGAAAATCCTGTTTATTATAAATTATAAAAATCTAGAGAAAGATAATAATTAAAAAAGATTTATCTTAAAAAAATAGATAAATATTTATAATAACTCTTTATTTAATATCTGATTAATTATTTATTTAGATATAATTAATAATAATTTTTTCTTATAATTTTTATAGAGATAATAGCTTATAAAACTAGTTTCTAAGTTTTTAATTCCCAAATATTATAAGATATAAAAATATATAATATAATAAATATAAAAAATTTTATTAAAAAATAATATATTTTTTTAAAAGCTGTTCTATATTATTAATAACTTTTTTTAATTAAAATAAAATAATAATTTTTTAATTTATATATAATCTTTAAAAAAAATTATCTTCTGCTATTAATTCTGAAAAATAGAAAGCTTTTTTTAAAAAATTAAATATAAAATAATCTTCTAATTTCTTATAATATATATAATCTCAAGATTTAAAAGAGAAAAAAAGATCTGACTTAAAAAACTTATTTTAATTTAAATATTATTATAATTTATAAAGATCTGAGAAACAGAAGAAGAAAATTTAATAATATTTTTTAAAAATAAATTAAATAATTATAATTAATTTATAATTCTGAAGCTGTTCTGCAAATAATAAATATAAAAAAATAAAAATAAAAAACTCTATAAAAGCAGTTTATTTTATTTTAAAATATAATTTTATATAAATATAATTTATTATATTTTAATATATAACTGAGGTGCTCGCTGTATTTTATTTATTTTAATAAATTTAATAAGCAGAAATTTATATCTAAAGCTCAGAGTTATAAAATAGTCTCTTTTTTTAAATAAAACTATTTAAGATATAATAGACTA